ATGGCGGCTTGGGAGTCGGGCTTGGCACCGGGCCGCACGTGAAGGCGTCAACCGTCGTAGCGAGCCAGCCGAGCCACTTGTCGTTCGGTATCACGTGTGGGCCGAGGTCGCGGCCGCGGCACTTTGTCGTCACCGCGTGGATGAGGCGTTGAGTTCTTGTCGCGAGCGTCTCCGTCGGGGCGGCGGCGAGCATCAAGGCGTGGACGTGCTGGGCTTGAGTGATCCCGATCTTGGCCATCGACCGTTTGTAGTTGTCAAGGCGGATTGGATTGGCTAAAAATAGACCATGACGTGGCAGTCCCAGGGCGTGCAGATGCCTCGCCGATGGGCGGCGACAGCCTTCCCAGATATGATATGCGTTAATATGAGTACCTTAGGACCCTTTCCTGTAGGTTACTACGTACGTTGTATATATTGTCTATACTGCAATAACTGCAAGCCATTCTGTGCCATGATATGGCAAGCTCGACACTACGTTTAAGGTACGCAGTCCTCAGCATAAACACCCGTAATTGATCAAATTAAACATCGTTCTTATGGCCCACAGAGCACGCGTTTCTTCATCTCTTGACGAGCGTCCCAGTCGGGCTCGCAACCGTCTTCGGGCGTCGACCGGAAGCGTAGCTTGAGGATGCCGTTGCGGCGCGGGCCCTCGCCTTTGCCCGTGTCGTCTGCATCCCACGACGCCGGCAAGACCCAATTGGGAAGCGGAGGCTCGTTTTTAATAGGCGCATACGAGTAGTCGACCCAGTTGTCACCCTATACATAGCACGCTTTCATTGAGCCGAAGTGTCATCGCATCCAACAACCTCTTCGACGATCGCAAGGTGGACGAGGATCTTGGCGACCGCGTAGTCTTCCAACACACTCATATCGAGCACATAGTACCGATCCGGTTTGAGCGGGTTGAGGATATTGAGCCACCCGAGGTAGGTCGCGAGCATCTTTTGCTCGGGCACGGAGAGCTCATCCAGGATATCGACAAAGTTTTCAACGTCCATGAGCCGCGAGAAGAGGACGCGCGCGGCTTCGACGCGACCAAAGTTGCCAATGGGCATGCTCAGCACGATCCGGCTCGCTTGGGCGACCGTGAGATACCGGTCGCTCGTCACAATCTCAATCTGAATCAGCTTGAGTCGGATTTCCTCTTTGGAGTTTTTGATGCGGAAAATGTGGGCTTGGGCAAACGTCGTCAAGTTGAAGAACCGATCTCTTCGCACGGAATCGCGAATCTTCTGCCAGCGCGCGCGGGCCGGCGATACGACGGTCGCCGTGTGCTTGTCGTGTTCCGAAATGTCGACGTAGTAGGTGTCCCGTGCGAGCTCCTTTAGCAGCTGTATGTAGCGCCGGTCGCTCAGAGCTTGGGCGCCTACGTCACACCTCTACATCAACAACAACACCATTGTGTACGTTCAACTATACCAGGCGGCGGGCGGCGCGTCGACACATAGTCAAATTCGAGGCGTCCGGCCTGCGGCAGCGAGTCAAAGAACGAGGTCGTGAGCACAATGCGCTGGCCGTCCAGCGTTTCGTTGCGGTAGTTTTCCCAGTTGGCGTGCTGCGACGTGTCTACAACACGTTGTCGCGTCCAAATACGACAGGTTGTCCACTATACCGCCGCGCCGGGACGCGATCGACGCCTTCTTCTCCGACTGCGCGATTTCCACGAGCTTCCTCGCGACCCAGCGGTCGGTGGGCGCGCTTAAATCCAGCGAAAAATGGGCGGTCGGATTGCCCATGATGACGGTATACGCATTGCCCAGCTCGAGCTTGAGCATCGCGCGCTCCCGCAACGAGAGCGCCATCGAGACGAGCCGCTGGGCCTCGCGCGCGGTCAACATCTGCAGCACGAGGTTGGCAATCTCCTTGACGCGCACGTCTTTGGCGAGGCCGCCGCACTGATCGAGGAGCTCGTACGCTTGCGGCGCCGTAAACAGAATCTACCCAAGACAATGCACAACATGTCCTTCATTCCAAGCTCGAACCTCCGAGTCGTGCACGGCCATGTTGAGGAGATCAAGCTTCTCGGCGGAACTTTTCGCTTGGCTCTGAATGTTCTTGATGAGCTGGGCCACGCCGCCGTCCGAGAGACCTACATAGGCATTGATCATGTAGCTCCAGACCACGAAGCGAGGGCCATGATAACGAACGTACGGTGCCGGGCGTCGTCCGAGTCGAACGTCGCTTCCCGTTCGTACACAAAGACCACCTCGAGCCGGCCTTCTTGCGGCACGTGCCACACTTGGTTGGTTGCGACGTCTCGCAAGGCGAACGCCTGGTCCTTGGCCGACATGGTCGACTGCCGCCGAACGTACGACTTGATGAATTCAACAAACTCAGGGCCTTCAATCGTGCCGCTGCTGTCAAGGTCGTACTGCGCAATGACGTTGATGACGTCATGGTCCGTCATGTGAATGTCGAGCATCTATCCAACATCCATGTAGCATATAAACAAATTGGGCGCTAGCACCTGCAGCGCCGTCTGGAGTTCGCGGGCGTCAATGCCGCCCGACAGGTCCGCATCAATGACGCAAAACAGCGCCAAAAAGAACATATTGCTAAAGTCGAATTCGTCCGAAGGTGCCGCTGACGTCGGTGGCTGGAGCTGCTTCATTGCCGCCAGAATCGCGTCCAACGTGGGTAGCGTCGGGCGCATATTGAGCCCCAGAAACACGGCTTGGAGCGCCGCCGAGTCGATGCGCAGCTCCTTGGTCTTCTTTTGCTGCTTGAGCGTTGCGTAAAAACATCAAGGGGACTGTTGAAGACGGTCGCAATCGGCGGTGGTACGAGTGTGATCGTGGTCGCTACATTGCAACTTAGTCGATACTCTTTAGATAGATAGATAGATAGATAGATAGATAGATAGATAGATAGATAGATAGATAGATAGATAGATAGATACCTTGTTTTTCACACGCTCGACGCGCGAGTGGTGCTTGAGCTTCTCAAAGCGGCAGCCTTTCTTATACGTCGCGAGGCGAAGGAGCTCGGTCGCAATCATTTGGTCAAACGGCTCCGAGAGGTCGAGGTTGTATTCGCCGGCGGGATTCGTCGGGTCGAACATGGCTTTTTCCGATTTGCCCGTCGACGCGAGGTTGCAGCCGGCAATCTCAATGTCAATGCCTAGACCCCAATTCAGATTCAAAGCCTCAAAACCAACCAACCGTGGTCGCTCTTGTTGTTGCACATGGCAAACATAATGGCGCGACCGCCTTCCTTGCCAATGTTGTTGCCGTTGAGCAGCAGCAGTCGAAGCGACTTGGTTTTGCTCGCCGCACTCGCCAGCACGAGCGCGCCGCGACAGCCCACGTTGTTGTAGCTCAAGTCCAGCACCCGCAGCGTCGAATTGAGCGAGAGGACGCGGCCAAACATCATGGCGCCAGCATCGCCGCACGCATTGTAGGCGATATGGAGCTCGAGCAGCTTGCGGTTGTACTCGAGCGAGTGGGCCAGCGTCACGCCCGACTCGAGCCGCAAGAGATTCCAGCTCAAGTCGAGTTTGGCGAGCTTCTCGTTGACGTATCTACGTAGCTTTGTACACAAGTGTCCTTTGAAACGCGAAGAAGACGTACAGCATCGAGGCAATGGCTTCACCACCGGTCGTGATCTCAGGCTTGACGACGTTGAGCTGCTCGGCTTCGCCAATGCGATTCCGCGGCATCACGAGCTCTTCGACACTCGCGTTCTTCTCGAATGCGCTCATAAAGGCGGCGCACTCAAAGTCGTCAATGTCGGCTTTGGCCATGACCCTAACCACCCTCGAGGGATGAGCCTCGACATGGGATAGTAGTGCATGTCATACAGGTGCTGGAGCGTGCAACTCGGCGATGCAATCATGGTGCGCAAGATCTTGGCGGCATTCGACCCGATGGTGTTTTCGGAAATGTCGAGCTTGCGCAGTCGGAGGTGTTCGTGGACGGCCGTCAAGAGGCGGTGGAGGCCCATGTCACTCAGTCGATTGTCGCGGACGTTGATCTCTTCAAGGAACGGAAGACTTCCAACGCACTCGGCAAACTGCTCCATGTACGCATCGCCGAGCGACTAGAGTATCCGCATCAGTGTTTGCTCGCAGATATGTGTTCATAGTGTGTGTGTCCACAGACAATTTCGGGATCGAGAATTGCAGTACCTGGTACGAAAAGTCGAATACGTTGGTGGTGTTCTTGCGAATCACGAGCGGAATTGCGGGGCGCCCGGCCATGATGCTTTTCGTCAAGCAGTGCGTTCTCGGCGACGCGACATCCTTGGCGTCGGCCTTGGTCTCGCCTCGACTCGAGGCATCGATGCCCGTCCCCATCGGGATCGCGTAGAGCTGCTGCTTGGCGGCGAGCTCGCGGTAGTCGGCGTAAAAGGTCTGGCGCGCCGGTGCGCCAAAGTACTTTTTCTGGTTGACGCGCGTGAGGCCAAAGGACGGGGACGACTTGAGCGGCGGACGGACCGGCGACTCGAGCGCCTCGAGGAGGTCCTCGGCGTCGTGGTCGTCCATCCGCATGACGCGCGGCGACGCAACGAGTCGATCCACGGACCGGTCGAAGAACGAGCTCTGGCGCGGCAAGTTGGTAAACGTGGCCGTCGACCCGGCGCGCGGCTGGTACGGCAGAGCAGACTGCTTGAGGATCTCGCGCACGGGCTGGGACGTCGGTCGACTCTCGACGCTGCCCGCTTGCAGCTTGGCAATCTCGGGCGGCAAGGGCTCGTGGCCACGCCGGCTCGTCTCGCGGATCTCGAGCACGTCCGGGTCCCAGCTCATGCGTCTACCACAGAGAGGCTAATGTCGACTTGCAGACGACAGATCGCACCCCAGGAGCTTGGTAGGCGCGCTATTCTTTGGCGACGGGCGCACGCCCAGAGGCTCGAGCTTCTTCTCCTGCGCTCAAGGGTTAGAACGCCTATCTTTGCAGCGCGAGGGGACCTGGCGACGCGTCCAGGCGGCTGCATGCTGGCGCGTGCGCGGCGGTGTCGACACCAGCGGGTGGCGCGCGAGGACGGTGGCGCTCGCGTCGGTCGCATCGGCCACGTCGGGCGTCGGCGGCGATGCTGTGATCTCGCCCTTCTCGTTGATGGAGAGACCCTCGGTCTCAAACGTGTTTCTACAGCGGACGTCCGGCCTCGACGAGGCGACCACGAGTACGTACTTGTACCACGAGAGCCCGTACTTGCTGTCCTTGGGCCGCTTCCGGCCCGGCGTTCCATGCAGCATCCGTTACACTGCAACACGGTTCCAGCTGACACGGTCCCAGCGTTTCACGAGTTGCAAAAGGACAAAGTGTGCATCTTTCGGTAAGCAACTCGAAACAAGAAAAGAGAGATGGTGGTGGTGATTGGAGAAATACAGAGGAATGGCTAGTACGAGTGGTAACTACTTGGCCGTAAAGGTCGCGGGAAGGATCCCGTCCGAGGTGGCGCGCCCGACAATGGTCGTAAAGAGGCCTTCGGCCGCCGGCACGTCGAGCTTGATATCAGGCAGCGCCTACGAAGGGTATATTGAGACAACGTGTTTGTTTGTCAGCTGGAGCGTACGAGCTTGACGCGTTCAAAGCCCTTGAGGATCTGGATCGACGACACCACGTCCTGGCTGACCAAAAGGCCAAGAGCGAGCCCATGGCGTGGCACGCATCCGCGCCGTCTTCAAACGAGTTGATGATACCACGCTTCACGACCTACATCCATGCACATATGAGAACGAGGCGATTTGTATCGAGAGCTACCTCGTGGTGGAAATGCTCGACGTTCAGTTCGCGGACGCACGCCGCCGCTTCACCCAAGTCGCGCGACAAAAGGTACTCCTTCGTCAATTGGTCGATCGCAACCTGCCCCACGTCATGAGAGGATTTCATTTGCATGATAGACGCAATACCTTGAGTTCTTCGACCGGGCGGCCATCGCCAGGGCCCCAGCCCTTCTCCATGCGAACGGTACCGTGCTTGATGCTGAGCTTTTTGATGGCTTCAGCAACGACGGGCTCGGCGTTCTTGAGCAAAAACGAATCTTCGAGGAACTTCGGCGGCACGATCTCGTCGACGACCGCACGCGCAGCAAAGATCGAGAGCATGTTGATCGCGCTCGGAATGTCGAGCGCCAAGTCGTCGGCCGCGATAAGGACACGGCGAAAGCCTTGGGAGATCTCAAGCGGGCTCAAACCGTTGAGGTAGAGCTCCGAGAGAAGTCGGGAGACGCTCTCGCGCTCTTTTTCATGCTTGTCCATCGACATGGTGATTGCACGCTTGACAAACTCATAGTTGTACGGCTCGCCTAGAGAGACAGGCTTCAATTCCATGGACAGCAAGGGTCCTGCACGTACTCGTCTTCTTGGCAAGCTCCTTAATACGGTGCTGGACTTCTTCGACTTCGCCGCTGACGAAGTACTCGGAGACGATCTCTTCGATCGCCTTCTTGACGTCCGCGGGCACGGACGCGTTGCCAAACGCGCGCGGGTTGCCGTCGACAAGCGCAATTTTGGAGAGGCTGCGCGTGCGGGGCGAGAGCGGCGGGGCCGCATGCGGGTTACGCGGCGACGTGACCAAGACAACGTTGTCCGACTCTTCTTCGCTGTCGTAGTTGGGGTCGTCGTGGTCGATCGGCGCCGACGTAATAAGGTCCTCAGGCTTGCCCCACAGGCCCTTCTTGCCGCCGCCCATCTTCTTGGAGAGCTCGCGGCTCTTGGTGCGGGCCTTGACGACTTCCACCTTCTCGGCAGATGCGCTCGACGCAGCGCCGTTCAAGGACAGGTCGGCAAACGACAGCGCTCCGGCCGTCGGGTTGGCCGCAACGTCCGCCATGGCGGCCGTCTCGGGGTCTTCGTGGCCTACATCATCTCCATGAGGCGTCTACCTCCATGCGGATCATCATGAACGTACGGGTAGAGTCCTTGGAGTTGCGTCGGGAGGCCGACATGATGTGAGGAAGCGATGGGGCCGGGAGGGCAGGAGGAGCTCGGGTGCTTGAGGCGGAAAAAAGATTAATGAGCGTTTCTTTCCAACGGCAACCGGCGCCGGATAAACCGGAAACAGACGTGGGAAATGTCATATTTCACACCTCCAAATAGTGTTGCATTGGAGGCACCCTCGTCGCTATGACTTGGCAGCGCGCTCTCGATCCATCCTTTCGACTCTATCGACTAAAGACATTACGGACGTGATGGAAAGGATGGCAATCACCACGCCTTCACCTCTCTGCGCTCTCAAAAATTCCCACAGAGCATATCGTACACTATATACGTGTGTGTAAAACTCGCCATGTGTTTTTCACCGAGTCCGTATCCGGCCTATCCGGATTGACCGCAAATACCTTCCGAAGATAAATCTTGCCGCCGGGTCCATGTCCCAGCGACGCGGCCTTGGCGCCTCCTTACGACGTCGTCGCCGACGACCTTGCCATGCGAGCTAGGGCCGACGAAGGCAATGGATGTCTTGAGCATGAGTGCGTCGAGCGACGAGGTACACCTCGCATGGGCGCCTCGCCCAGCAACGGCAATGGCCGCCATGCCTCCAGGTGACTGCATAAAAGCCACATGTTGAAGTCCCTCCGCCATCGACGGAGCATCCCTCGGCGGCTGCACCTGGGATAGAAACACGAATCGCATCCAGGCATCAGTAGTACCAGGTATAGCGTGCTTATAAGGCGATGGTGCGCGGGTTGGGCGACGTGAAGATGGCGTAAATGCGCTTGGAGAGGACCTTGAACACCCTGTTGGCGACGAGCTTTTCCTACTCCATGGCGGAAGATCAGTGTCACGATAGACAGCAAGCGACGCACCGCCAGCAGTAGCTCCTTGACTTTCACCGGTACGTTCGGGTTGACGTACACGGTCATGAGTGAGTCGATCGTCGGGTAGTAGTCGAGGAGGCGCTGCGCCATCTCCGGGCTCATGCCTGGAATCTACCACCACCTCTACCAACCATGCATTTCAATACGATCGGTACCATCTCGAGCATTCGCAGCCACGCATTCGCAAGCTCGTTGGAGGTATCTGCTCGATCATTAGACCCACAGGGTCGTTGCGTCTTGCACGTACCGCCATTGGTCGTCGCACGCACCGACGTGAGGCGCGGGACATGCGACAAAAAGTCATTGGGTGGCCTAACCACGCGCATGACAACTTGTCCACATTCGCAGGACCTCGTACGTCAACGGCAAGGCGGCGATTTCGCGGGTCAGCGACAAGACGTACGCCGCGCTGTCGTCGGGCGTCGCTGCAAACTATCGCATTTGTCAACGGACAAACACGGCGGCGCGTCCATCTAACGTACGTGAATGTGGCAAAACGAGTTGACAAAGAGGTGAACGACGGCGTTGTGCACATCGGAGAACGTCACCGGTCGCGCTCCGTGGCCCTGTGTCGACTCCATCGGCCGTGTCCAGAGACAGAAAGCGTACCTGGCGTTGCCGGGCGCGCTGGCGCGCGACGAGAGCCTTCTCGAGCCCCTCCACAAGCAAGAACGTGCGCGCGTACGGGTCGGCCACTTGTTGCCGGAGCTTGACAATGTGGTCGTACACGGGGCCGTACTCTGAACCGATCGCGTGTAGAAAGTCGGCTGCAGAGAGGTAGACGCAGGCCATCGGCACCACCGTGCTTGCCTCGCGCCACATGATGCTCTTGGGGACGACCAAGGGCACGGTGTTGACGTCCGTGACGTAGCACCCAAAGGGCGTCGGCTTGCTCGCGGTTGTGTGGTTGACGAGCGCGGTATACATCTTTTCGCCCACGTCAGCGTCAAAGAGCGATTCTTCGAGGTACACGTGCACTTGGGGCTTGGGCTTCCGCGGCTTGGCCGGGGATTTAGTGGCTTTGGCTTTCCGAGCGCGGCCTCGCACGGAAGTCACGGGCGCGGTGTGGTCGAGATGGACGCTGACCGCCGGTGCAGCGACGGGCGGTGAGGACGGTGCGCGTGGTGGTGCATACTGCGGGATCGGACGGTTGAAAAGATCACTGCTGAAGAGTGGCGACGACGGCGGCGAGTACGCCAGCGCAAACGGGTTCTCGTCCATGTGAGCATACTCGTCGTCGCTTCCGTCGACATCGACCACATCTTGCATGGACGCATTGGAGCGTTGTGATGACGTCAAAAGCGATCTTTATGTAGCAAGTCGAGGTCGTCATCACTGTCGACGAGGTCGTACAGAGGCGAGGTGACTGGCTGTGACGGAGGCGGCGACGCCATCAGCACGGCGTACGCCTCGTCGTCGGTATCATCTTCAAGGGCCACCACATTGACGGGTGGAGAGAGCGCAGCGCGACGAGGAGAGACAGGCGGTGGCAGAGGAACACGCGGGGCATCTTCGTCGTCGGTGTTGGTGTTGATGCTGATGATGGACGCATCCAAACCACTTGGATCTGCTTCGTCGACGGGCTGTGGCGGCGCAGGACGGCGTTGTACGAGTAAGCGCTCACGAAGAGGAACATCCAGCGCACTGTCGCTGTCGGATGAGTCCGACATGATATCGATCACAGCTTGGCTCAAGGCCGATGGAGGCGACTCATGCGAGAAAGCAGGTGCTCGCACGGGGCTGGCAACCGCTCGTTCTGGGCTTGCGACCACTGCTGCTGTATCTGTCGCTGATTGCACAGGACCCGTGGCTCTAGTGTGTGAGGAGTTCGTGGCTACCAGCCTTGGCTGGAGGGCAACGATGGGCGCTGGCTCGTCTAGCAAGCGAGGACCGCCCAGGACCGGAAGCTCCGTAGCGACGCGCGCTGGTCGTGGACGCTTGGGCACGATCGGCGACTCGGATAGATCGACGAACGCATCGGCCGTCGCCGTACGCTTCCCGGTGCTTGCCGTGGATTGCGCAAGGGGCAGGTCCTAGACGCGCTCAGAACAAGGTCGACCTCGGGAGCTGCTCGTACCGGCGCTGTCGGTGGCGGCAGCGGTCGCTTCGCCTTGGTCGTCCGAAGCCCAATCGCGCTGAGGATCCCATGCATGTCATCGTCGTCGCTGGCAAAGGAGTCGTCCATCATGCTCGCTGGATTACGTTGCCGTGTGGAAATATGTAATCCGGATATGTGACGCGCAACCGGATCATTTGAATTTGGCCGAAACGGCGCCAACACGAGATCAGGTCGCACGCAGGTCGTTCTTGTGCAATCCAACGAGACTCTAAATACAGAGCCATCGAGAGCCGATGGCATGTTCTATGTGGTATCGCATCTTGTCGGACGTTGAAAGTGTCGATGTTGTGGCACTCTGGAAGGGGTCGCGAACCAGCGTTGCTGTCGGCTTGGCGCGCTACAACCGCAGTCACTACGGCAGACGTGCGTTGGCGTTGGCAACAGCATTCATGGCAAGGTGGCTGCAGCCCTCGTTGCATTCGATGCATCGACGGCCAAATGATACGCTTGGAAGTATCGAGGCGCAAGCCGCACGTTTCGGTTACCGTAAATGCGATGTTTGAGCCCTAGCGCCGGCGGCAAGGGCGCTCGATGAAGCAAGGTCTTCGTCTCCTCGCTCAATATATCATCAGCTTCGCTGCTGAGAGCTGCTGCCAAGTAGTATGGATCCGAGCTGGTTCCCACACGTCCGTGGCTAATATTTGCGTTCGCGCCTCGTTTGCGCCGCCACGATAGCTGAATTCACCACATTTACTATAAGCGCATGTTCGGGCCGTACATCTCAGAGGTAAAGCGAGGTAGGATCCAGAGTACGTATGGCGTGTGCGCGGATACTCAAGACAAAGCTGTGCTTTCTGGTCGACTCCAGCTTGGCGCCGCTTGGACAGACGCCGGGACGGCCAAAGAGCCAACCGGCCTCCCACCGATCGTCGTCGCGCGGCCTCGCCTAACTCGCTTAAACGTGAGAAAACACATTTTCCCGATCATGCCAGAGGAGCTGCCGCAGTGATGCCACGTCATAGATCCCAAATGGTGTAAGGTGTCTAAAATTATAAATAGTGTAACATGCCGAGAATTCAAAGTACATATGCATTTAAAAAGTGATTCTATATATAAACAAACAAGGGAGCATAATAAAATGCATTTATTTTATACCCTTGACACAAACTAGTGTATCTAGAAACATAAATGGTGTACAATTTAATACAATAGTGTGGATGTGTATGCAAATAGTGTACGGAAACGTTTGTCGCATAAACAGCTGGAACTGAAAGGGCACCTCCGTTTCACGAAAGATCCGTGATGCAAGGCTACCTCTGGAAGCGAGGCCATGCGCTGCCGACCATGTAGATCGCCATCGCCTTTACGAGCAGCAACCTCATGCAACTGCGTAGGAGTCGGCGCTACTGCGTCCTCGACGGCTCGATGCTGGCCGTGTACCAGACCGAGCGCGAGCACGAGCTGGGCTTGACGCCGAGCTCCGTCTACGAGATCCGCGAGGTCGTGCCATGGGACGGCCACACGCGCTTAAAGAAGTACGAACACGGCTTTGTCGTCTCGACGCTCGGCGGCAAGACGTACCAGTGCAGCGCCGACACCATGGCCGCCCAGGAGCAATGGTCCGAGCCCGCCCTCGATTCCTCCGATCCGCATCCATATACATAGGATTGCCGCGATCCAAGAGTCGCTCGCCGAGCCCTACCGCATTGTGGCCGACGAAATAGTCGAAGCGCAAAAGCTGCTACAAGACGATATTGAGCTCGAGCATGAGACCGCCGACGCCGCCGCGATTGCTGTACGTCCTGACCTCCTTATCATGTCACGAAATCTCGGTCATTAGGTGCGCAAGGCCGAAGTCTCGTCCAAGGCGATTCGCGCGCACGAAGAGCAGATCCAGAGTCTCAAGACACAGATCAGCGAGATCGAGACACAGATGGCGTCTGCCCAAGCCGAGGCCAGCACCGCCGCCATATCCGCCGCCGACGCCAAGAGAGCAGCAACTACCGCCAAGCAAGTTGCGCATCACGTCATGATGCAAGTCAACACGGCCGAGAACGCGTCGCCCACAGCCGTGCAAGACGCTACCGCCGAAGCCTCCAAATGCTCGGCCTTGTCCGAGGTGGCGGCGACATTGGCCGCCACCGCGCAGATGGCCGTCAAGGACCTTGTGAAAAGCAAGGCGGCGCTCGTCGAGGCTATGCACAAAGCCACGGAGGCCCTCCAGTCCCTCAAGGCCGAGGCCGAAGCCAACATCTCGGTCGCGTCGGGGGCACTGCAGACCGCGCACTCGGCCAAAGCACGCACGCGTCTGCGTGTCGCGTCCTGGTCGTCGTCGCCGTCGCACGTCGACGCACTCGCCCAAGGGTATCGTCTCCCATCTATCAACCTATCAAGTATGAATCGCACACCTGGGGAGGTAGGTATCTCTTTTGTAAGCACGCAATGCGGCCCACCATGCACAGCAAGTACTTTGTTTTGTATGGCAAAACGCTCTGCTGGTACAAGAACGCCGACGACTTTATCCAGAACGCAAACACGCCGCTCGGAGTGGTCCATGTCGCTGGCGGCGTCAACGAATGGAGCGGACGCGTCGGCTTGACGACGGCGTCGCACCCGTTCTCGATTCCAACGGTCGAAGGCAAGACGCTCCACTGCTCGGCGCCGGTCTCGCACGATGTGGCCATGTGGAATACCGCCTTTCTCATTGGCATGACCATGAACCCGCTGTCGCCGGAGCGCGCGCGGGCTGCCAAGAGTCGGCGCGACTCGTTCGACTTGACGTCGCCGCCCCGCGCTGGCAAGCAACGCGTGAGGTAAGCCATTTCCCATCCGTATTGGTCCTCGCAGCCCGACTCATCGATGGAATGTGCTAGCTTTTTTGCCGCGGATTCGTCGTCGCCCTTGGACACGAGTCCGCATCCAGTGGTCGTCGAGACGGAAGCGGCAACGGTCGAGGGCTACCTCGTCAAGCAAGGGCATTTCGTGCCCACGATGAAGCAAAAGTACGTTGTGCTCCGAGGAAACCACCTTTTTTTCTACGCGTCGTACGACGCCTACATGGCCAAGACTACGGCGGACGTCGGGTGCTCGCAAGTCGCAAGCGTGGGCGACTGGGACGGCCACACGCTGCTCTTGACGTACCCGCACCCGTTCCGCATCGAGACCGTGGCGCACGCGCAAGTGCTTTGCAGTGCGCCGACCGCGAGCGAGAAGGACAAGTGGATGCGCGGCCTCCGCGCCGCGATCGCCAAGCACGCAATCGGGGCCAAGACATCGACAAGCAGCGACGTGGTGCTGGACCCGGCAGTGCAGGCGCTTCAAACGCTCTTGAGCAGCTACTACAACGAGCACAACCCGACCAAGCACGACGATATACCCACGCTTCTCAAGCTCTTTGATGGCCGCGAAAGCCAGCTCTTGTCGCATCTCGATGCGACGTATGGTACCACGCTCGTCCGCGACCATGCCGACTTGCTCGCGACGCTCGAGGCGCGCCACGAACGGCTCGCGGCGCGGGCAGCCGAGTTTGCAATTGTCCCGGACGCCGGCGTGCCCCATCTGGAAGGCGTCGCCGACGTGATTGTACCCAGCGCGCTTGGTAGCAGCGGGAAAGCCGAGGTGTACCTTGTCTTGCTCGGACATCAACTCATGCAGTTTGCATCGCGCACCGCGGCACTGACCGCACCTGAGACGCCGACAAGTGTCGTCGACGTGTGCGAAGCGAGTGCTGGCGTCTCGGCGGCCGACCTGACGGTGCTCGACACGGTAGGTACCAAGCACCTGTATCATCTGCATCTCGAGGCGAGCCGCGACCATTGGCTGCACATGCTGTCGCTCGGTGTCGATCATGCGCGGACCCACGGTCGCATGGCTATCACGCTCTCGGACCACAAGTACGTCATCCTCCTCCACGAACCGAGTCTCATGCGAGAACGACAGGACGGTGCTGCGTGAGATCGTGCCAGGTGCTATCGATGACACCAGTCCAACGGTGGAGGCCACTGCGTTCAAGTCGGCGCTCGTTGCGTTTTATAACGAGCACAATCCCGACGGCCTTTCTAGTGTGGACGCGCTGTTGGTCTACTTTCGAGGCCAAGAACATCTCTTGCTCGAGTCGCTGGATGCCATGTACGGGTCGTCGCTGGCCTCCGACCCGACGCTGCAGGCGCTCTGCATCGAGCTCACGGGTGTCTCGTCGGCCATTGATCGTCGCGGCGGGTCATTTTGGCGCAAGTCCCTCCTCCCCGATGGCTCTCTGCCGGCGCTTCGCAAGAAGGCTGGGTACGTCAAGGTCAAGGCGCCGCCGTCGATTCCGAAGCTCAAGCGCGCGTTCGCAGTTCTTAACGACGACGGCCACCTCGCCTTCTTTGTCGATGCGATGCAAGACGTGGCGCTCATGGCGTCCGCACCCGTGCGCAGTGTCCGCGTCGGTGACGGTCAGTTCAGCCTCTATGTCGACAACACCTTTCTCCAGTGCGAGACCGAGATGGATGCCCACGCGTGGCTCTCAGCGTGCCACGTCACGATTGCATCGCAGCACGTGCACGCGCTCACTGCGTCGCCGCTGGCGCAGTTCCTCGTCGACTACTACCGAGCGCACAACCCGGCCAAGGTCCATGAGGTGCCGTTGCTGCTCGACTCGTTTGCGGGCCGCGAACGCGAGCTTCTAGTCAAGCTCGATGCTGTCTACCACACCAACGTGACCTCCGACGCGCATGCTCTCTCGCTCTTGCCAGCGTCGTCGTCATCCGACGCGTCGCCGAGTACAACCGAGCTCGTGCGGGGCTACTTTCTCATGAAGGGCTACCACCTGCCATCGCTCACGCGCTTCTATGGTGTCCTCCGCGGCAACACGCTGGCGGTGTTCGACACGGAAGACGACGCGGCCCAAGACGACAATCCAACGACAAAGTACGACCGCAAGCGCGTGGCCGCTGTCGTCGCGTGGAGCGGCAGCACGCACGCAGAGTACTCGTTCGGGCTCGAGATCATCACGGACGAGCACAAGACGTTCTTCTGCGCGTTTGCGACGGAAGACGACCAGCTGCACTGGGCGAGTGCGCTCCGACATGGCATTGCAATCGCTCGCATCGAGCACCGGTCGGCCACCGGCGTCCTCGCGTCCGAGGGCACGCAGGCCCTGCGGCGACTCGTGCTGCAGCGTTTTGGCCATATGCACATGTCGCTCGCCGACGATCTGGACGCGCTGCTCGAGTACGCCCACGGCTTTGACATGGACCTGCTCACGCAAATGGACCGGAAATACGGCACCGAGATGGCCCTGGACGAAGACATTGTGTCGCTTTTGGGGACGCTCCCACCCAATGCGACGCTACTTGAGCCACTTAAGGGGATGGAAGGCCCACTGAGCCTCGTGACGGCCGAGGGTCAGGTCAAATCTCAAATCTACGGTGTCCTTGACGGCACGCTCTTGCAGTGCTACGCGTCCCGCGAAAGCTACAAGACGTGCGTGACGCCGCCGACGCTCTCGCTGGCGATTGCGACGATCGGGCCCTTCGAGATGACGGGGTTCGTCATGGACACGCAAGCCGAAGGCATGGTCGTGTACATGCGCGCCGCGTCGAGCGACGACCAAAGTCGATGGCTCGACGCGATTCAGTGCGCCCTCGACAAGGCTGCGCTCGACTCGCTCTTCCACGCGATTCCGACGTACGTACAAGAGGCTCTCTAACGCAATGACGTCGAGGCATGCGATAGGGACACCGCCGGCGTCTTCTCGAGCTTTGTGTTTGTCCATGATCCCGTGGCACATGGCAAGGAAGGCTTGAAGCGGCTCATGCTCAAAACCAAGCCCAAGCGGCCTGTGAAACGCTACGTCGTGCTGGATGGCCTCGAGTTCAAGGTCTACCTCGCGCCCTCCGACGTCGAGCCACATCAGCGCTTGGCGGTCGCGAGCCTTTGTCGCTGGGACGAGTCGCCCAACGGCTTTCTCGTACACTGCCTCGACCACGCGCGGAAGCCATGCGACGTCTACTGCTCGGTCGAGTCGCCCGAGCTACAAACCAAGTGGCTCGACCACTACGCAAGCGTTCAAAAGCAGCAGTTGGGCGACGCACTCCTCGACGACCAAGCATACGAGGCAAGAGAAACGTCTTCCGCCTCGTCTTGAGCGTGATCGTCTAGGTGGCCCACACGACGGCGTCGGCCTTTGATACCTCGCCCATGAAGGGCTACATGATGTACGAGCCCAAGGCCAGCCGCGCCGAGCGGCGTGAAGGGTACCCTGCGATCTCCATATATTTGAGCCAAGACGCATGCTTTGCATAGCTTTTTCCTTGTGCATGAGACGCATTTGTGGGCGTTCAACTCGGAGCTCAGCGCGCGGTCGGGCGACGCGCCGGCATTGGACCTCGAGATGGCCATGCTCCTCGAGCACGACGCTGACAGCAACGACTTTTACATTGAGGCGCGACTCAACGGCGCACTCAAGCCACTGCGCTTCATCACTGCCGACCGCAACGATCGCAACGCGTGGGTGCGAGCGCTTTCGTCCGTGCTGCAAACCGCCCGCGGTCTTGCGCTCCTGCAGACGACGCAGGTATGTCGCTGTCATGGCCATAGGTGCCGATAGCCCAGTTGGATGGTAGCAACTACTGCACGAGAGCTTGACGCCGTCGCAAGCCATCGCGGAGGCCAACCGCGCCACGTTTGTCGTATCGGGGTCATCAATGGAAGGCATGTTGACGCAAGTGCAAACTGCCTACTGGCTCTTCTCCCACGACGAGCCGCGCTACTTTGTGCTCAAGCAAGCGTCGCTCTGGAGCTTCGCGTCATCGGCCGAAGCGAAGCACCTCCACGCTAACAACCATAGCAACAACAATGAGGCAGAGACAAGTGTCCAAATGCACGTCACGTCGGTCAGCGACTGGGTGCTACCGCCAGGCTCGGCGCAGCACGGGTTTCACGTCCACTACCATCTCGGCGAGAGCAGTGAGAGTCTTCTTGCGCAGCTCATGGCGCCATCACTCGAGGAGAAGGAGCGATGGGTGCGTGCAATCAAGGAGGCACAAGAAGACTCGCTGCGAGAAGCCTACTACAACGACCTCTTGGCCCACGAGACCGAGCTCCAAGCGGCGGCGCCGATCGTGTTGGCGTACGAAGGCTTTGTCAAGACGCGCAAGACGCGGCTGACATCGCCATGGCGCGAGCACTATTGCGTGCTCAAGGGTCCGTGGCTGTTGCTCTTTGCCTCCCACGACGCCTGCCTCGAGGCGCCGGACAAGCCGCTGGAGAAGCACGAGATCGTCCTCGTCTCCGACTGGCACGGATCGCTCTCTCTCGCCGTGCGCCACGTGTTTCGAGTCGAGACGCTCGACGACGGCTTCCTCGAGGTACTCTTTGTGTGTGTGTTGATGTTGAACACGTCGATCCGCGCGCGCAGGTCTCGGTGGGCACGGACGGGGAAAAGGTCAAGTGGATGAAGACGCTCGAGGCGGCGGTGGCGGCCGTGCCAGCGCACGACGTCGTCTCTCGCAATGCAGCTCTGAGCAGCTATCCCGGCGCGTCCATGGAAGGCTACCTCATCAAGAAAGGCCATGGTCTCCGCGTGGCGAAGAAGCGGTTTTGTTCCATAAGTCAAAACACATGTCGATATATACGTGTCTTGTTTAGGTACTGCGTCTTGCTCAGCACCGAGTGGCTCTACTTTAACTCGCAAGAAGACGCACTCGCTCAAGCGCAGCCGCTCGGTGTGCTCAAAGTGCTCGGCGCCAAGCCCATGGCCGCCGACACCACGACGTACATCGACTTCAACTCGGTACGGTGGTCTATGTCATGAGTTGAACAGCCAACAAAGCTCCGAGTAGACGGTGCCCGAACATACCTTTGTCTTGGACGTCCAAGGCCACAAGAGCGTGCTTTGCGAAGCCCACAACAGTAGGGTCTTGGCCGCATTCAAACATTGTTGTAATAGCACGTACGGAGTAGGTGCCGAGCAGCACCTTTGGGTCGAGCACATTGCGGCCGAGCTCGAGAAAGAAGCCAGCCTGACCCGAGGTCTCCAAGCATCGAAAGAGTCGGCGCAGAAGAAGGCCGAGGCGATGAAAGCCGCCGTCGCGACGATTGGCGCGGCCCAAGCCCACGCGTCGGCGGAGATGGCGCTCACCGACGACTTGCTCAAGAAATTCCAAGAGGAGGAGGACGACGGGTCGTCGGACAATGACGACAGTGACGGCGCGACGCTGTACGTCGAGTACGTGGATACGAACGGTGGATTTGCGCCCGAAGACTCGCCGATGCGCCGGACGTCCAAGAACAAACTCGCGCAGCACTTTCCCAACGACAAAACGTTGAGCAAAAGCATGGCGTCCCGGCCGTTCTGGCAGCTCTTTTGCAGCTGCTTGTTCCGCCCGCCAAGCACACCGACATTGCACCAAGACGACCCGCTTTTGACCGACGACGAGAAGCGGCTCTACAAGGTCCAGTTCTACGCCAACGGCGCGATCGATTCGTCCTTTTAAGTGCCATTTACTCTCAAGGCCCCGTTCTGTCGCTTGAATACATGTTAAGTACTACATTCACTCGAACCGCTTGCGTTCGGATTGTATCAAGGCTCATAGCGCAGCGCCGCCTGGAGGTAGTCGAGCGACGCGCGCGTCGCCCACGACTTGATTTCGAGGCCGTCGAGCTCGAAAAGCCGCAGTGACTGCCGTACGCTGTCAGCGCCAGCATTGCATTTGGGTTCGAATCAAAGACACCCTGAAAAGGAATCATCCCTAGTCCAAGACAGTATTGTACGACGTGCAATGAAGTAGCAGCGGCGCGTACGGTAGGTGCACACAGGGTCGTCCCGCGCGTTGATGCAGAGCGTCGGGACTGCAATGTTTTCGACTTGGCGCATCGGATTGTTCTTGGCCCAGTACGCTTCGAGGTCGTCGTAGCCGTGCATGGTCATGTACACGTGGCGGTCAAACTCGGGAATCGAACTCGCTTGCAGCGCCGCGTCGACATCGATCGTCGACGACAAGACGTCTTTGTGGCGCTTGAGCAAGCCCTATCCCCACCGAGTCGTCATAATCCCTTCTCTCGTAAGGGTGACAATACTTTCAGCGTAAACGTCATGAGGAAATGGTAGAGCGGGTAAATGCCGCCGTGGCAAAAGAGTCCCAGGGCGTCATAGCCTGCGTCATCCATATATCTCGATGAGCCGAGAGCAACAGCACCGAGAGGTGTACCAGGCGAGACGAGGGCGGCGGCGGCGAGCTGCGACTTGGCGCCTGTCTCGCCCAAGTAGGACGTGACGAGCCCCGACCCGGCCGAGAAGCCAACCCCTAACGAAAGCGATTCTTCCAGACGATAGCGTCATGACCTGCATGTACCTGTAATCTTGGCCGTAGGATACGATGCCTGGATGTGTGCGATGGCGGCCGAGAGGTCCTGCGTGCAGCCAAACGCCTGCAGCTTGGGGCTCGTCAAAGGCGTGTCGCCGTGGCCGCGCTTGTTGAAGGCGACGGGGCGGAAGCCGGCGCGGAGCGCGTCGGCGCAGAACGAGCGCATGTCGTAGCTGCAGCCGGTGAGCCCATGGACGACGAGCACGACGGGTGCATGCGCCGGCAGCGTCTCGGCGCCGGCGCACCAGTCGAGGCCGATCTGGCCGCCGTCGGCCATCGGCAGCAGCTCGCGCGTGTACGCGATCGGCGCCTGCGGCACAAGCAGCGTCATCGCGATCTGGATGTGCGCGTTGATGGCCCACCACGGCGGGTGGTACGGCGCCGAGACCGACGGCGCGTTCTAAAAAACGCGTCAGAGAGGGTCGTTTAGCGTCGACGTACGGCCGCGATAAACTGCTGCAGACGCGAGTCGGTGCGGTAGTGCAGCTCGACCTTGCTGCGGTTGCACGTGAAGACGTGCATGACAAGGTACGTCCCGAGCAAGGCGGCGGCGACGACGGCGGCCACGTAGCCATCGACCGGCAACATGGCGAAATGCTGATTGGCGTTGCGGCGCAGTGTACCGCACGGTGATTGGTCCACAGCTGGTGGTGGATTCGAATTTTGTGATCTTGCGCAAAGTCGATCGGATGATGACGACAGGCGTCATCGAACTTGAAGGCAACGAGCCTCGGCGATACTCCTCTCGTTAGCAAGCTCGTTGGCTGACGCTACCAAGTCCACATCGATCATGATGATGTCTGAGAACACTCTGAGAACACTGTCACGATGCAGAACACGAGCGCAAATCCGAGATTTTGAGCTATTTTACACTGTCGACAGACCAACGGTACTCGAAGCCGCTGGCAGGAGCCGCTGGCGTCGTCGATTCCATAGACGACGCTCTCTGCACTCTGACCGTGTCTTGGCGAGAAAGCCGTCTGCAGCTGGGATAGCAGCTTCTCGTCTGCGTTTAGATGTTGGAAGATGCACGGCTGGCAGCAAGGGAATGTGAATACGAATCCCTTGGGCTTGAAGCATCCCTTTTGCCGGCGCGAAGGCTCGAGTTGTCGATATCTCTTGCATCGCCTTCCCTCTACTCGAACGAACGAGATCCGTCGTGCGTCGGCGGCGCCGAGGTCGGGACAGTCGGGAAGAGGAACACTGCCGGCTCTACCTCGTGGTAAACCAGTTTAAAGGTGACAGCAATCTCCCAACACCAAATAGTACATACTGCGCCACCCGAGGTCATAATCCATGAGCAGCCCATGCTTCGACTTCGTTCAAGGGCAATAAGCCCTGAAGCTTGCATTCGTTCCAAGACAGCACCAATTTGCCACTCATCAAATTGGCTCGGGATTATGTAAACAGGAGGCTCGCGACGCTTTGGCAAGGTGGGCAGAGGGGTAGGGCAGTTGGCTTGGCCGTCATCTCCATCCATCGTCAATCACACCTAGTATGACCTTGGACACGTGCGAATGTCGACCGTGTCGTACGCTGGGACAGTCTCTGCGTTGTCGATGCAACGACCTCTTGGCGACTAATACCTCAGCAAAAGTCGACGATTCGCAGTTGTGAGCGCAAGATGTCTTTTAACACTATTTACAATATCACACGATTTCCAGATATCACAAATCGGAGTTTTTCCGGGTTCCAATTATCGAGTGTCGCAATATACCGTGTAGATAGGCGACGATGACGACGATGCGGCGGCTGGCATGGCTCCTCGGCGCGCTGGCGCTGGCCCGCGGCCGACCGCTGCACGAGGCCGCGAATGCGACCAAGGCCGCTGTCTCGGGCACGCCGGGCACGGGCGACTGCGCCTGGAAGCGCGCGTGGGCGGCCAAGCTCGACGCGTTCGAGACGTCCGACGCGGCGACGGCGCATGTCTCGGCCACGCGCGACGCGCTCACGCTCTCGGCGACCACGATTGATGGCGCCGTCGCCTCAGGCTGGGCCACATATCCTGTGCCCCGCGATCACATTCCGATGAGCGGCAAGCTCGTCGTCCAGGCGACGCTGGCCAAGGTGCGTCCTCGCCGTATGATCCAAAGCTGTATGGCGTCTAGGGCCTCGGTCTGCGGCCAACCGTCAAGCTTGTCAAGTCCAAGGACGGCATTCACCGCGACGTCGTCGTGCTCAGCGGTGTTGGCGAGCAACCGGACGGGCTCCAGATCCGCTGGCCGCACGCAACGTCGGCATCCTTGCACATGAAGGCCTTTCCATGCATTGACGTTCGAGACGGAAATTACATGCCATGATGTATTCGCTGATTCTGCTCTTCCTAGGACCTGACACTGGACTCGCATACGTTCCAGGTCACGTGGGACGATGGCTGGTTCCGCTGGTTCGTCGACGACGTCTTCTATCTCGAGCAGCATCGGACGTCGTTCTTCGCCATGACCGCAGGCTACACGTACACGGTGCATGTCGAGCTCGCTTACGACAACGCGACATCGCACCGCAGCAGCAACAGCAACAACGTGACGATCGATGCGTCGATGGTCGTGTCCGACATTAGCCTCTACAAGCAGACGTCGCCAGCCTGCACGCCGTCGACAACCAACCCGAGCGACTGCAGCAACTACATTACGCGGGCCATTTTACGTACCTCCTTCTGCTTGCGCAACATGAGCTCATGCGTCGTTAGCGACGGTGCCTCAAGGCTCGCTGCGCGGATCGCTCTCGTTTTCAGAGGTGCTCGAGTATGTCGAGGCGATTCCGGCGCGGTTGCGGTCCTTCCCGTACCTCTTCCAGCAAGTCGACATTGGCACGTCGCTGGAAGGACGACCGTTGCGGGCGCTCTGCCTCGGCCAGTGCCACCCACAGGGCAAGACACCGCCCCAGACGCTCTACACCGGCTTGCACCACGCTCGCGAGGTAGGACCCTTCCTCGGTATTTCATCTCACACTGTCCCTATAGCCCATGTCCATGATGGTAGTGACCGCCTAGTAGTACATTGGTTGCCTCATTCGGTATGGCGTAGAACCTCGTGTACTTTGTCGAGTACCTCCTTCTCGGCTTCCACCAGCGCGATCCGAACGTGTTGCATCTCCTCCTCACGCGCCAGCTCTGGTTTGTCCTTGTCGTCAACCCGGATGGCTACGTCTACAATGAAAAGCACCTCGAAACGCTGCATTTTGAGAACCCGAGCTACTCGGGGCAGCGCAAGAACCGGCGACCGGCAACGTGTCGGACCAACGCCGACGTTGGCGTCGACCTGAACCGCAACTACGACGTGTGTTTCGACCAAGATACCGTTGGTAGCAGCACCGACGCGTGTGCCGAGGTAGCGGCTCAGTATTCGGTGGGGGCTGATACATTGATACTAGGATTACCGCGGAGAGAAGGCGTTCTCCGAGCCCGAGACGCGCGCGATCCGGGACTTTGTCGCCAACCACTCGGTAGCGACCGCGCTCAACTACCACGCGTTTGGCAAGTACGTCAACATTCCGTTTGCGTGTCAGCCCAAAGGCGCCCCGGCGCCAGCCGACATGGCCATCTTTTCGACGATCGCCTCGGAAATGACCAAGTACAACCACTTCCACTTCGGCCAGTCGTGGCAGACGGTAATCCTCTTGATTCTTAAATCGACAAGTTCGTGTACATGGATGTAGAGCGACCTCTACTCGGTCAACGGCGAAACGAGCGACTGGATGTGGAACGCGCATGGCATCTTTGCCATGTCGCCCGAAACCGGCCCGTCCTTCGACTATGGCGACGTCGATGGCTTTTGGCCGACGAAAGCGTCGATCGTGCACGAGATCTGCGAAGAGCTTTTGTATACCAATTTTCACGCGGCGCGGATCGCAGGTCCTATTTACACGCTCCGCCTTCTCGTACTATACGTCTCGTTGGTACCTTACGTCTCATGCGCACGGGGCTAGGGCTGGGAAAACGACGACGACTACGTCACCTTGTCGCTCGAGGTGCGACACGCCGCTTTTTCTTCAACCGTCTCATGGTCATTTTCTAGCTGCAAAACGTCGGACTAACGTCGGTCGCATCGGCCGAGGTCCTCGGATCGGTCCATCTCAACGGCTCGACGGCCAGTGCACCGACGACCATGGCGCTCGCCGCGCTCTCGAAACCGGACAACCAAGTCCAGACCATGACACTCGACATTCCAAAGCCGACAAAAACAGAGCTTGCGCCCCCCGCTGTGTACGTTCTCTTGCGTGACGCCGACGCCTGCCACCTCTACCGCGTCTGTACGTGTGACGCATCCTTCCCGTTCGTGATATCTCATGAGTGTTCGGTAGCGCTCGGTAAAAAGTCGGATGAATTCGCGCTCTGGGAGCCGCTTTCGCTGCCGCGCTGTGGGACCTGCGCGACGTTTGGCGCACTTAATGCCACGGCCGCCGTCACGTGCGACGGTCTCGAGGACGTGGTTGAGATACTCGAGCTGCCGACGCTGAGCGGCGTCACCAACAAGGCGCTGTACAGCGGCAATCTGACGTTGGCCAAGGACCTTGCCGTGACGTGGGCGCCGCACGCTGAGCCCCTCATGGAGAACAAGTCGTTTTTGCTCGTCTCGCTCATCGTGCTGCTCGGGATGGTCACGGGACTCATGGGCCTGCGCCACTTTAAGGCCATCGAGAACGGCAAGCGCAAGGCGTCCGAAGCATACGAGATGGTCGCGTCGCACGAGCCCGAGCCGCTCGACGATATGCCCGACGACGACGACGAGGCCGAGCCCATGACGCTGCATATTGACACGATGCATGCGTTTGAAGAGCATGAGCTGAGCCCTCGGTCCATGCCACGGGTGCGGTCACCGACGCAAGGCGACCGCGAGTCGTAGATACTACTAGCATAGTCGTGCATTCTATCGATTTCATTGTCGTCGTCGCAGGTTGCTAATCGGTCTTGGCGAGCGGCTTCTTGTTGGCTGGCGTGGCGGCGCCGTCCAGGCTGCTGAGGTCGAGCTTGCCGTCGGCTTGGAGCGCACGGGCCTCGAGGATGAACCAGTTGATCGAGACCGTGAGCCCGATGGCGAGGAAGAGGAAGATGTACATGTGGAACGAGTCCTCCATGCCCGTCCAGATGGTCATCGCGATGACGCCTAGGAGCGCGAGCAGGACGCCATTGAGCGCCAGCACGAACTTGTTGCCGGTCCCAGGCTCGAGCGCCGACTTGAGGGCGGAGGCGAAGACGCTCATTTCGAAAATGACACACCGGATACCGTGCCATTTTTATCCGGACGATCCACGTATCCGTATACATGTCCCTGTATCCGGAGACGTGGCGCCAAACGAGGCCCATGCTACGCGAACAAGGGTGCTTGGAGGTCCTTTGCATGAGCAAGCAGATGGGCTCATAGAGGCCATAGCGCTCTTGGCGGCGGCGATCCTCCTCTTCGAACGACATCTACAACTTGAGATGGGCCGTCACGACTGGTGTTGCCTTGGCACGTTGTAATCCTGGCACCCAATGCGGCGAAAGCACAATGGTTGGCGGCATGTGACCAACCATCGTTCCTTGGTGGCGCCATGAGAGTGAACTGAAAAGGTCATCGTAGAGGCGTAGAGAGGCGGTTAGCGTCGGTGTCATGGAAGTCAAGGGTGTTGCACAGGCATGTAAAGCTCGTCGCTTTCCCGTGTGTTCTACACCATCGGCAACCCAGCTTCAAGTATGATTCCCAATCGAGTTTAAAAGCTCGAGCATGCATCGCGACGATATTACATGTGGAACACGCTTATCACCGTTCAACTCAACGATCCCTCCTACAGCACTTGAGCTCCCGCACGTGGTGGCAGCAGCGGTCGATACTTTGGTGGACCTGGAAGAAACGTCTTCTGGGCTCGATTGAGGAAGAGCCTCTCGTTACAGGCGGAAACGGTTGGGCATGAAGAACGTCTTGCTGCTGGGCATGGACGGCGCGGGGAAGACTGTGCTGCTGCGCCGCATGCGCCACATGTGCGCGGACGAGAAGCCCAAGGGCTCGGCCCTTGCACGACTTCTAATGCGGCGCGACGAGAAGGCGGCGGCGACGCCACAATCGAATTTCCACGTCACGATGCCAACGACAGGTCCGCCATCCGACGCGAGAATCGATCGCACGCTCTCCATTAGGCATTGAGGAAGAGACCTTGTCGCACAGCGGCGCGATGTTTACGGTCAAGGAGGTCGGCGCGCCGATGCTCTCCATGTGGCAAGCGTACTACACCCAGTGCGACCAGTACCTCGTACATTGTCATGCCAGCGTCAAGAAGAAAACTGAGATCCAGACATGTAGTTTGTCATTGACGTCTCGAACGCGCCACAGCTCGCGAGCGCAACGATGGAGCTTTTCAACATCCTCCGCAACGAGACGATGGCCCACAAGCCCGGCTGCATCATCCTCAACAAGATCGACTCGCCGCTCTCACTGCCCACGTCGCTCCTCCGGTCTCTTCTGAGCTTGGACCAGCTCTCGAGCTTGGCCAACATTGAGATTGTGCGCCTCAGTGCGGTCACGGGCGAAAATGTCGGCACGGTCCTTCAGTGGATTTCCGGACGAACCCAAGGCAACTTGCGTCTCAGCGTCTTCGACGCCAACAACAGCCGCGTCCACCCCGCCGCTGTCTAAGCTTTGCATTAAGCCAAGGATAGGAGTGGATAGTTGTAGGAAAGCACCCCGCCGCCGTTGAAGGTAGTATACTAGTAGTATATGACATGAATGGATAGACCGAGGCTAGCACAGTAAAGGTGTTTGTCTGGATCGTATAGCTTGCGCAGTGATAACCAAACGCGCTACATTGTCTTTAAACGACACGGTGTTGTTATTCGTGGCTAACCGTGTCCTCTACTCGTCCTTGGTGGTGTACGCAGGGCCAAGGGACTCGCGGCTCTTGGCGAGCGACGCGTCGGGCGACAGCGCTTTCTCGGTCGTCTCCTGGAGCGCCGAGCCAAAGACCTTGCCGAGCAAGTGCGACACTTCGCCGAAATACGACCGCGACGGCGGCGCGTGCTTGATCAACTCGGCCGTGCTCGGAAACGTCGAGGGTTCTTCGGCGTCGGGCGCCGTAAACTGCCCCATCGGCTGGCCAAAACGAATCTACGATTAGGAGGTTTTGAGATGCCGCATCGTACCAAGTGCTGCTGGTTGCAAGTATGTATTACCTTCTCGCCCGGCTGCACGGTGAACTCAAAGTCGTCGGGGGCCTCAAACACCAAGACGACGGTCGAGCCCAGCTACACATGATATTGTCAAAAGATCGCGTCGCCGTCGCACAAGGACCTTGAACTGCGCAACTTGGTCGCCACGCGACACGAGGTGCTGCGCGTCGTAGACCTTGGACAAGCACGTGCCGCCCAGTCGGTCCTGGCTCCCGAGGTTCGTCACAAGGTCCTATATTTCCAGTCCCGTGAGACACGAAACATCGCAGCTGACGCGTACGGGCTCGAGGTCGATGCCAATCGAGCCCACGTTGGTGGCGCCGACGGCCGTGAGTGAGTAAAACCCGTGCTTCCACTGGCCCAGAAGCGCCTACGCCGCCATACGTGAGCACTTGGAGAGGCCTTGTACGCCACGCACGACGCGTTCGTTGGCCGTGAAGAGGCTCGGGACCAAGTTGACGGCGAATTTGTTGACGGGGAAGAGGTTGCCGGGGAAGTGGCGGCGCTCCTCGACACTCCAGTCGATCGGCGAGTGGATGCGATGGTAGTCGCCCGGCGCCAAGTAGATCACGCAGTGGTACAAGCTATTCGGGAGATGGGAAAGAAATGTCAACAAATAGAATTGTCAAATAAATAGTGGTGTACCGCTTGCCTGGCGTCGGGTTGGTAAAGAAATCGGGAATCGACCCGAGGAACTCGTCCATGCGGTACCGCGCGCCCTTGATCTGCTCGAGGACGGGGATGCCGCTGCTGCCGTCAACCACGCCGATCGTGGCCATGCGGCCGTCGACTGGGCTCGACATGACGCGCGGATCGCGGTCAATGACGCGGGCGCCCTCCTATACGCACGCTATGGACATGCGTTCGAGACGAGGAACAAGTCGACCTTGAGCGGGCGCGAGAAGAACTCGCCGAGGTTGCGGTACTCCTTGAGCGGGTACTTCATCTCGTGGAGCTGGCAGTCGAACGCGTACGTCCACGCCTTGTACACCGGCTCGCGCGCCCACATGGGCCTATACGCCGATACATCGTCAGACGCTGGCAGCGGTTGCTGGAGAGTCGCACAGCTCAATGTCGTTGACAAAGCCCCAGAGGCGCGAGATGCCACGGTACGGAATCACGCTCAGGCCCATGTACTAGACACAGATCTCCGTCGTCATGCTGCAAGACGACATGGGATACTGTGTACTACCTGCAACTCGCTGGCCATGGTCTCCTCGAGCGGAGTCTTGGCGCCCGGCAGGCGCGCAAAGACCGTCGCCGGATTGAAAAGGAGTTCGTTCTCGGTCGGGTTGTTGAGCTGGTAGAGCTGCATGCCAGCCACGAGCAGCACGCCTACAGAAAGCGCAGCATTTGAGCGGCGGCCAGGAATGCAAGGGTAGACGCACCGGCGCCGCCGACGCGGCCGACGAGCTTCCCGAAGGAGGCCTTGGGCGCGGGCGCAGTCGACGTGCTCTGGAGGCGGCAGCCTTGCTTGGCGCGGAGGACGGAGCCGCGGGCCATCGACAAGGACGCGACGCGAAACATGCTGCGGACGATGGCTTTCGATTGTCTGCGGCGTTTTTATTGCAAAAAGCCACGAAGTGTTATAACATTGTTAGATTCGTGTATCGTAATCGCCATGATGCCGGTCGTCATGGCTCTAACAATGAGCCATCATCTCGAGAGCGTCCAAAGCTCCTGCTTCACAACAGCGACAAACGCCTTGGTGCACATTGGTGAGAGGTGCTCGCGCCATCCTCCTCCATCGTTCCGTGTCTACACGTAGAGTGGGCTTGTAAATAGGCCAAGCGTAGGCGACGACAGTAGCTTCTGTGGACACGAAGGCGGCAGTATCGACACCGCGCGTGCCATTGCCGTGGAGACACGTCCATTCAGGCTCAAGGCGATATAGACTACCCTTGTAAGCCGTGTCTTTGGACGATCGCTCGAGACACACGCCGCCTATGGTGCCATGACGATGTTGCAATGTGTTATAATACCTTGTATCCGGACATTATTGTGCTTGTATCGAATTTCGGTACAAGCGTGTTGGGATTTTATGGTTGGTGGTCCATTCGAGATACATCTGAACAGCATGTCGTTGCCGTTCCTCCGCTGCTTGAACCTCGGCCTGCCGTCGCAGGCGCTCGGCCTCGTGCGCCACGCCAGCAAGAAGTCGGGCGGCTCGACCAAGAACGGCCGCGACTCGATGTCCAAGCGTCTCGGCGTCAAGAAGTTTGGCGGCGAAGCCGTCGTCGCCGGCAACATCATCATCCGCCAGCGCGGGACCAAGTACCACCCGTCGACCGGCGTTGGCATGGGCAAGGACCACACCTTGTTCGCGACGCGCGACGGCTACGTGCGCTTCTGGTGGAACACGCCGCTGAAGCGCCAAGAGGTGTCGATCAACCAGAACCGCGAGCGCCAGCGGCGAACGGCGGTCCCGGCCTCGAACGACGCGTGAGCTTGCGTGGTGTATAGTTAGAAGGAGGAAGCGTCCTTTGCCGCGTGACAATACAAGGGTTCCATTATAGAGGTGATGACGTCGTATGCTATGTTGACTACAGACCGCGACGAGCCCAGAACGCGCCTTCCTGCGCGTTGCGGAGGCGCTCGCGCTCTTGCATGCGGCGCTGGCTGATCGAGCGAATCTCCTCGGCCGTCGCTGCGCCGGGCCCACGCTGGGGCTTGGCGTCGACGGGCGCGACTACGAGGGACGTGGCGACGGCGAGCACCATCATGAGGCGGAGCGAGCGCGGAAGGACGATCTGCATGCTGCTGTGTGTGTAGTGGCTGGTGATTCGGATACTGCGTCAGGACGTTGGCACCTCGACAGCGCTATTCTTGCGCAGCTATCTATAGGCGCCCGTGCTCGAATTAGACCCACCAAGCACGCCATGATGGCGCCCCGGGATGTGCAATCAATTCCTCGGCAATTTCTACAACCCTTGCCAAAGATCGAGTGCTATTATATGAGCACGTTGCAGTTTGCCAGGTCCCTCGTTGCACTTCGCCAGGTCCCTCGTTGCACTTCGCCAGGTCCCTCGTTGCAGTTTGCCAAGCAGGGCGATGAGGACGTTCAGGCGTACTAAATAGGTCAGAAGTGGGGGGCTAGACTACAGTACCGAATGTCGCCATTTCGCATGTTGCCTTCTCCGACCCGCAATGCCACTTCAACGGTGGATCATGGTCATTCGGAGCATCGTCGCTTCGTCGACTCGAGCGTAATGCAAGCAGAGAAGTTGTTGCTGTTGTTAGTAGGAACTGGTGAGGGTGCACAACTAAAGCATATTTCTCTTGGTTCCGAGCGCGGTCCCAACGTGATACGAGGTACAGCGTACCCAAGGTGTTGGTCGCATCGAGAGGTCTTGCAATCAAGGGACGTGAGCGCATCCATTGGGCCAAGAGGCGTCTTAAATCATTCTTAATCGGCTGCCAACGCGGTCTAGCTTTGCAGGCTCGACATGATGACGTCGACGAGGACGGCGGTGAGGTTGAAGCCTTGGCTCATCACGCCAAACTTGGACGCTTGGGCCATGTACGGCGCGGCGTTGGAGACGACGGGCGCGGACGGTGCCAAGAGCGCTTCGTCGAGGTCGCTCCGGCGCGCGCGGATGTCGTGGAGCTTGCGCTTCAGCTTCGCGCGCACCCAGCCTTGGACGCGCAAGACGGTGTGGAACCAGCTCTTGAACTCGAGCGTGCGCATCGACTTGAGGATGAAGAACGTCCGTCGGAGACTCTCTTCTTCGTGCGAGATGAACATGCCGAGGACGACGACGACGACAATGTACGTCGTGTACTGCACCCAGAGCACGTGGAGCGCATGGTCGGCGTCGGCCGGCGCGAGGACGCACGCAAAGATCGCGATGAACGTGACTGCCAGCGCCAACGTCGTCGACGAAGCGTACACGAACCGGATGCGAAAGCCCGACCGGTGCGGAAACAGAAGCGAGTTGAGGAAGCCCATAAAGTAGACGTTCTGCGGCGCATGCGTGTTGCGCGTGAGCCAAATGAGCAGCGCCGCCATGCAGCTCACATGCAGGAAAATGACCACCGCCGAGTACCACTGCGCGTACTTGACGTAGCCGCCTTTGGCCGCGAGCATCTCGGTGAGCTTCTCGTCGCGCCAATGCTTCCAGCGCGAGACGTTCAACGCGACTTTGGACACTTGCTCGAGCGTGCTCAGTTTCGCGACCGGCGACGTGTCGTCGGCGTTGTGGGTCGCCTCGTTGAGGTTGTCGTCGTCGTGCTTTTGGAGCCACTTGGCGTAGAACGCAGTGCCGAGCCAGTGCATGAAGAGCACCATCGAGAGGTAGCAGGGCACGATGACACCGTAGCGCGCAATGAGAGCTCCAACGTACGCATACTCAGACTCGGCGGCGGAGAAGAGGCTTTTGGGCTTGACGGGATGCCCGGGCAGCCATAGGAGCTTGTAATCTTGGACGCCAAGAATGACTTGGTCGATGACGAGACCCATGACCGCAAACCGAAGCACGCGGAAGACGCCAAGGTGGAGCGACGCGGCGTTCGGGTTCTCGAACGGGAACGGGTCAATGAGGTACCAATGCCGGTAAAAGAGGTCTTCGACTTGGTCGTTCTTGAAGCTCAGCGTCGTCCGGCGCATGAGCGACCGCTTCCGGAATTTGTCCATCTGCATGGGCTCGAGGTCATCGTCCGTGAGGCCCGTGAACGGTAATTTGAGTGCAAAGTTGCGGCGTCGAAGCAGCTCCTAAAAGGCTTTCGTTTGGCATTGCGTCGGGTATTCCATAATGGCACCTGGCGGTAGTGGGACACCATGCCGCCAATGACACTAATGCCATAGTTGATGGTTTGGTAAATAATGTCCGACTGCGAATCCCACTTCTTGGCGGTCGCGTCGTCGAGCTGCGCGCGCGCAATGGTTTGAATCGTAAAGTAGGTGAGGAAGATGCTCCACCCGAGGATGCAGCTGAGGCGGAAGCGCATGCGAGTCATGCCAAAGATCGGGATCATCAAAATCACGAGCGGGAGCACCGGACCCTTGTAGCGCCCGACGGGCTTGCGCAGAATGAGCGTGAGTGCCACCGTGCCAAAGATGCCGAACGTCAGGCGCTCGAGCCGGAAGCGCGAGACGAGGCACGGTAGAATCGTGAGGCAAATCCCACAGAGAAAGGCCGCGGGCCCGAGGATGCTGAGGACGTCCAGCATGTCTTTCCGCGTGACGTTGCCCGACTCGAACGTCCAGAAATGCATATTGGCCGTCGCTTGGTACGACGGCTGCTGCGCATCGTACCTATGTCCAGTTTGTTGGTGTTTTCAATGCGCGGAAAGGATGCGTACCAGAGGTAAAAGCTGAGGGCGGCGGCGCCCATGAAGAAGCAAAAGCGGGTCCGATGCAGCGAGTCGCGCTGAATGTACGCGGCGTAAGCGGCTTCGTAGGACGGACGGAACTTGAGCGTGCGCGGGTTCATGCCGGCTTGGCCTTGGATGTTGGCAAATTGCTCTTGGTAGTACCGGCGCTCCTTGATGTTCTTCATGATCTCTAGGACGCAAGACGACCATGGGTGATTCGCACTTCATGCGAGAGATACTACCGTCAAAGGAGAGGTTGGACTCGTCCGGCACGCGGTTGGCTTCAAGGATGAGCTCGTTGGCGTCGTCGTCTGAGACGAGCGGGTCGTTGAGGAGCACCGACTCGCCGCGGGCCCTCGCTCGCGAGTCGGCGCGCACGTCGATGGCGATCGTCGCGCTCTTCTTGTGGTCTTCCGGGTACTCGCTGAGCATGCACACGTCGTCGTAGATGTCGCTGCTCGCATCGTCGAACGGCGGCAGCGCGTCCTCCATTTTGGCTGCCATCCTCAAGTGCAATTGGATTCTGCACACGGAGACAAGGTCGTTGGAAGCAGGTGTCTCGCGAGTACTTTGCGACAATCGCGCGGGAATTCGTTACAGGTTCGATGGTCGAATTCGCCCGCTCTTTTTTAATTGTCTTGGGGAATGTATAGTTGATGGAAATAATTGGACGATGCAGGCATAGAAATATACACTTCAACTGGTGCTGCTTCAACAGGTGATGTACCGACGCGATGAACGACGTCGTTCGCGCGCGTTCGATGCGTCTCCTCATCTTGCGAGATGCTGCTTGCCGCTTCCTGCTCAGCAATAGAAATAGGCTCTACGTGTACTCTACTCTTGCCGGTCCAAGGGGACAAAAGGCGAACGCGACCTGAGAGCGGAGAGAGTCGCTTGATCCGTTCGGCCACGCATTCAGCCCATGTATCCCTTGCGAAACAACCCATACAGAGACGAGACGCATGGCGTACGTGCGAGTTGCCGTTGGAACGACGATGGCAAGCCCACTCATGCTCATGCCGCGAAAGTTTGGCGAAAGCACGGGCTCTTGGACACGCCAGAAAGCGCGGAGATATGAAGCGCAGCCGACCGGAGAACGAGGCACGGATTGTCCGACAGTCGACTCGCTGAGAAAGCAGTCCGTCTCGTAGATCGATAGATACATGGGTACCCAAGAAGAGAGTGCAGCAAAGTTGGAAGATACTCAAGTACTGTACCGGTATATGTCAACAGGCAACGACCTTCTGCCAACAGCTTGCTGTCGAGCTCGACCGACAATAGACCAAAAGAGGCTGTCGAAAGCAGCTCTATCGACGGTGTCGTGAAGCCTGCGAGCGAGCCGAGAGATTGAGCTTACAAGAGTCATGACGTCCTGCTACCAAACTCCTCAACTTTTTACGCCTACCGCTTCCGTTGTTGTTGTTGTTGAAGTGGGTCGTCTATTACAATAGATAAAACGATGCCAAAAAAAATTGACGGACTTGTGTGTACTCGGTTGAGGAACTTGATTTACTCGGTTGAGGAACTTGATTTCACTTCCGTTGTTGTTGTTGAAGTGGGTCGTCTATGCTAAATACAAATGTCGGACTTTCTTGGTTGTGTCCACTCGGCTGAGGAACTTGATCTAGGCAGACGGAGACGGAAGCGCGATCCGCGGGACAAGGTGCTGGCGCGACCACTCGTGTTGGGCGAGGAGCCGGAGAAGCCGACGAAGAGCAAGCTGCTCGGGCTTTTGGCCTACCTCTTCCGTTCGGGGTTGAGCAATCGATGGAGATGCGCTTGGAGCTCAGCGTCGTGGACTAAAGCTGTCTGGGATGTGCGTTACTCCAAAGTGGCCGTCGCGTCGGTCGCATCAAGATGGCAAACGACCAGGGCCAGCGCCCAGTCGACAACCTCGCCCGTCTCCAGTAGCGTTGTCACTCGAGCTGCCACGCTGGGCGGCTACTCGATGTTTTTGTTGGCCTTTTGTCCCTCGTCGTTGAGCTCCAATGTGATCAATTGAAGCAGCGGTCGGGCAGCGCGACGCGGTCGAGAAGAAAGAGAACGTTGCCAAGATGGTTGGTCGGGTTCATGGGACAAGGCGTGGCGCTCCCAACGCCGGTCTCATTGGAATACAGTCTTTATTCTAGTGCAGGTGTAGGTATGACATGTATACGCCCGTGATGCGTAGCGTGGGCTTGTCGAGACCGCATTGCACATGAGGCCCAAAGCAACACACCGCCTTTCGGTTGTCTAGATACCGGAATGTATGCAGCCTCGGAGCTACTAGCAACTAGCACACTCACGCACACGCAATCATCTTCGTCTCGTGTTCCGTCCGGCTTGGTTCACTGCTAAGCGTAGACTCTCTCCCAGGTGCGCGACCTTCATTTCCAAATATTTTTGAAAACTTTTGGATCATCGGCGACACTTTTCAATTTCCCACCTCGATGGCAGCCAGAGTGCAAGCGACGCTCGCCACTGCGAGAGACGTCAAGGCGTACACGCTGGCCTTTGTCCTTCGTACCAACGCGGAAGGCGTGCGTGAGATTCTCCTCGGCACCAAGAAACGCGGTTTTGGCCTTGGCAAAACGATTGGTTTTGGCGGCAAAATCGAGCCTTCGGACAAGAGCATTCCCGACGCGGCCGCACGCGAGCTCATGGAAGAAGCCAACATCGTCGTGTCGGGCGAGAACATGCAATCGACGGGCACGCTCCTCTACACGTTTACGGACCGCCCCCAAATCATGGTACTACACTATTGTCCATTGCAATCGAGACGACTCTATTTGATACTAGCACATGCACGTATATACTGTGACGACGTTTGAAGGCGAGCCCTCCGAGTCGGACGAGATGCGCCCGGCGTGGTTTCCCTGTCATGCGATCCCGTACGACGACATGTGGGCCGACGAGCGGTTCTGGCTCCCGTCCGTGCTCGCGGGTCATCGCGTCTTTGGGCAGTTTGACTTTGCCGATGACGAAGTGACCATTCTCGACTCGACTTTAGATATTGTTGGTGACAACGAATAGAACGAAAAGATTCTACAGTCTACAGTGTCATGAGCTTACTGTATAATGATGAATGTCAATCGTCTTGACACAATAGCACTAATGGGTAGCAGGCTGACTGGGTAGTAGAGTCACTCTACCTACATTTGGTGGTCCAAAGACAAGTCATTCCAGAACATTGCACTGTGGGCAAGGCCGTGATCGTGATCATTGGCGTTCAGAGGCAATCCGGGACCGTCCAATATGTATACTGATCATGCACATCCCTCATAGTTATATTGGTTCAAGAAGTGCGGGCCATCCGGGTGCGGAATGGATGAAGTTGAAACGTGCGGCTCTCCGTGTCCCAGACCCCGGCGTTCGCAGCCGTCCATTGCTTGCGAAACGCCGCCGAACGACAAGCATTGTGTGTTGACGACCTGCATTGTCAAGGCGCGCGCAACCAGCTGGCACGTCCTCGCTGTCGTCTCCCATTTAAATTTACAATATGAGAATCATTTTCCGATTCATCCGATCACACACATGTCAAGCGCTGCCCTTCGAGTGACCGAGACGTTGCAAAACGCCGCCAAGATCAAGCACTACACGCTTGCCTTCCTCCTCCGCACGCGTGAAAATGGCGCGAACGAGGTGCTCCTCGGGATGAAGAAGCGCGGGTTTGGCCAAGGCAAGTGGAACGGCTTTGGCGGCAAGGTTGAACCGACCGACGCAACGGTCGCCGACGCTGCCGCGCGCGAAATGAACGAAGAGGCCAACGTCCTCGTGCACGGAAGAGACATGGAGAAGAAGGGCACCCTCCTCTTTACGTTCACCAACAAGCCCGAAGTGCTGGTACGACGACAACATGGACACATTCCCATGGACTTATGTGATCTGTAGCACGTCCACGTCTACCAAGTGACCAAGTTCGAAGGCGCGCCGACCGAGTCGGAGGAAATGCGCCCGCAATGGTACACGTACGATGCGATCCCGTACGACGACATGTGGGCCGACGACAAGTTTTGGCTCCCGTCCGTCCTCGCGGGGCGCAACATCATTGGTCAGTTTGATTTTGCGGCCGATGAAACCAAGATCCACGACTACGTCCTTGACACGGACGCCTCGCTCTTGGATTTTTGAGTGGATTGACGGCTATAAGAGATAACATTGCATACGATTATGACAGTATTTGGAGGCATTATGCACCATAGAGCGTGGCGCCGACTCTAACTGCAGTGTACTAGTAGACGAGTAGTAGGTAGCCTTACTGGAATGTGCCCATCGTGCTGCGGTGGTCGCTGGCGGTCTGATTATCGTAGGCCTCGGTGTCGATGCGCAGATCGCGCTCGACTTCGACACGAAGCGCTAGGCGTCCCCATGGCTCTTTGTGAGCCAGCTGATCAACAAGGGCTGGCACGCCCGACAGTTTAGCTCAAAGCGCGTGGCCTCGTTGTGTCGTTTGCGAAAAATAACACTGTGGCGTTGTGGGCGCTCTGCAGTCGCACGATGAGCGTGGTCAAGGCGCTCAATGCGAACGGCCAGTTTGCCGACAAGATGACGTATTACCAAGGCCGGCACGGTCACGGACTCGAAGGAGATGATGAAGCTCATGGTGCAGATCATGCAAAACATCAAGGCCAACATCCAGAACCAGCGCGGCCTGCAGATTATATCCCGTCGATTTGGATCCAGAAGCACCCAAAATCGAGGCTGCGTGCGACGGCCACGCGCTCCCGGCTGGGATCCAGGGCGTCATCGTTTCCAGCAATATTGGCAGCTTCGTACGAACGCTCTTTTATCCTGCAAGTACACATGTGATATTTAGAGCGCTTGCCGACGCGATCGCAGCGTCACCGCGCCCCTTGTCGCTCTCGCTCGCGATCACGGGTGCCCATGCGGACGAAGAAGCCATGCAGGTGGCGCTCAGCACGCGCAACTTGCGTCAAGCGGCCAAGATCGACTCCGAGCACACGTCGGCCGTGCTCGACCCAGCGACTCTCACGTCGCTGTACCTCGGCGACCCTCCGAACGTCTCGCACGACCTCAGCGGCGCGCTCATCCGCTTCTCGTCGCTGCAGCACTTCGACATTCGAATCGGAACTCTTCGCTCGTTCGGCACGGGCCTGCGCTTGGCCGTGCGTCCAGGCAATGCCATGGCACCATTGATGCAACGTCAACGGCCTTGACAGAGCTCAGCCCACATATCGACGGGTGCAACGGGATCGCGTTTCGTGCCGTCGCGTGCTACCGCAGCTCATGTACGACGCCTCATTTGTGTTTCCATGGCTTGGAATGAACTATAGGTGGGAGCCAGCAAGGCCATTTGCCTCGAACCTCTAAGGTAGTCTTTGACAAATTCTATTTAATCCATTACAACAGTCCCGTTTACGGCCAACATCATGTCATTGTACTTCACTTCTTTTTAGCATAAATCATCGCGAGGAGGTATGCAGTAGAGTTTCCTTATCGCGGCTTGAAGGACGTGCTCGAATCGTTCCCTTGTAAAAGTCGAGGGAGGGAGTAGAGTCTACTCAGTAGACGTCCTTTGCTATGCCTGCCCACTACGTGCGACCACCACCACTACGCCGTGGCAGGGTCGTCGTTCACGTTCTATAGACTCGTGCAAGCCGTCCAAACATCTGCGACGAATCTCGCGTCACGTCTGTCGCCTGTCCGTCGTCGCCGAGTTCGAGCTTGTATCATTCCTTCCATCCATATCTTTGCACCGTCGTCTTCGTGTCAAGGCGAGCGTTGCTGCGAGCCCCCGACTACGCTCGTTCCAAGCTACAGCGGGATTGCTCGAGTACCCACAGCCGATCCCGTCGTCAGCTCCCTTTCGTTGCTCATCGCCGTCGCCCGTCCGACGTTGAACAGACCAAGACGCGCACCCAAGACCTTGGTCGGGATCTGCAGCGGTGCGCGTTTCCGGTGCGCCGCTGCGCCCATTCTTGTGGCCATCGATGGCAGGCGTAGCGGTCATCGCCAGGCAGGATGGCCACACCTACGAGGGCACCTCGGCGTCGGGCCTCCATGGGCAGAGGCATGCAGCTTGGCACAGCTGCTCGCAGCGGCTGGGTCACCGACGACCATGGGCGGCCGTCTTTGCCCCGCGCTGTCGCACAAGTACCTTGGCCTGCCGGTTCGTTTGGGATTGCATCCCGTTATGGCCAATCATACGACGCGCGATGTGTAACGCCCGATGCCATTGGCTAAAATCCGGCATCCCTCAGTAGTAGTCGTTGCCCACACGACGAAGATGCTGCGATGGACGTCATCGGTCGTGGCCATGGCCCGTGCTGCGCCGCGCCGTAGCTTCCGCCGCTATGGCACCATGTCGGCCTCGGACCTGCTCAAGGTCGCCGTCAACTCGCGCAACCAGGCGACGAGCATCATCACGAAGAACGCGACGCTGCAGACCGCCGTCGACAAGATGGCGTCGCACGCCAACTCGACGACGCTCATCGTCGTCGACGAAGAGAAGAAAGTCGTGGGCCTCTTGACCCAAAACAACATCATCTCGAGCATTGCCAAGCAAGGCGCCGCGTGGAAAGACCTCCAGGTACCAACGATTGTGGCAACGAATCGATCCCACGCATTCGACTCGTAGGTCAAGGACGCGGCGATGCCGACCAAGGATATCATTCACGTCACGCCCGAAGACCCGCTCACGGTGGTACGATCTATCTTCTACAAGCCATCAACGATCACGACAATGACCGTCTGCGTCTAGTGCCGGGCAGTCATGACACAGTCCGGGCGCAGCGAGCTGCCCGTCATCTCCGGCGACAGCCTTCTCGGCATCATCTCCCTCACAGGTATGCACACCATGATCTTATCACATTGTGAACCAATTCCATGGAATAGACATTGCTGCGCTCATCTCCAGCACCGACTCGCAAGCTGACGGCGAAGCCCATAGGTGCAACCTCGTCGTCGCATCGCACGGGATGAAAAAGCATGGTCGTGTCTAGTGCCAAGTCGGACTACATTCACTTGATTCTGCCGCGCAAGGGCCTCCCGAAGAACACGTCGGTCGCGAGCTCGGCCATGTACTACACCAAACTCTCTTCGTCACTCATCTTGAGCAATTCATTGCCTAGCGTCAAGCCGACGCCGTGCACGCAGTACTACTTGAACGCGTTTGCGATGTCGATTCCGCACCCGCAAAAAGTGGCCACAGGCGGCGAAGACGCCTACTTCATCGGCACCGAGCCGACGGCGGCGCCAGCGACTGCGCCGCAGGACGTGCTCTGCTTTGGTGTCGCGGACGGCGTCGGGTCATGGTTCGAGCAAGGCATTTCCGCTGGCAAGGTAAATGATTCGGGCAGGAATCGGACTCTAATATGGTCTAGTACTCACGCGAGCTCATGAAGGCGGCGCAGGCCGCCGCGCACGTCTCCGAAGCCAAAGACGCCCTCGTGCATCCGTCCGAAGTGCTGCACGCCGCATGGCTAAGCGTCAACCAAGTACGTGTACCTATTTGGCGGCATTGATCGCTGACTGGATTCCAACTAGCATGCGATCGTTGGGAGTGCGACGGCCTGCGTTGTGAGCCTCGACCCGAGCCAGTGCGAGCTCTACGCCGTCAACCTCGGCGACTCGGGTATCCTACTATATCCTATCCTATCTGATCGATAGCTTGTCGCATGTAGGGTTTCTCATCATTCGCGACAAGGTAGACGACACGAGCAGCCACAAAATCTCGATCCTCGCACTCTATACCATTTAGAAATCGGATCTCAAGTCGGCTGAGATGCGCGGTACGCTCGATGGCTCGCTCATGCGCAAGCTCGAGAACCGGGAGACGGACTTGACGCCTGCTGGGCGGCGCAAGGGCGCCCACGTCTCGTACCGGTCGCCGCAGCAGCTCCACTACTTCAACTGCCCGTTCCAGGTACAGACGACATTCTTTCAGTGTATCAACTTGAACGCTTGAAATGTAGCTTGGGTTCTATGAGCCCGGACCTGATATGCCGTCGGGGTCGGGTCCGCTGTTCGAGACGCCGGCCGAGGCCGTCAACCTGCGCGTGCCGGTGATGGAAGGCGACCTCATTGTGCTGGCCACGGACGGTCTCTTTGACAATGTTGTACGTGTCTTATAGTCTGGAATCTCAGTTATGCACAATATTGTCGTGTAGAACGAAGACCAGTTGCTCGAGATCGTCGCGTCCGAGCCGGAAGGTATGACGTTTTTCAGCATTTTTTATTGCGGCAAAATGAACGCGGGCGGGCGTAGTCGAAGCGATGACCAAGAAGCTCGTCAAGCGCGCCTACGATCTCTCGCTTGACCGCACGATCGACTCGCCGTTTGCACGCCTCGCCAAGGAGAACGACAAGATGTGGGGCGGCGGCATGCCGGACGACATCACCATCATCGTCGCCCGCGTCCTCAAGCGCGACATTTGCTGAGTGTAGCTGCTTGTCCCTCTTTGTCTTGACAGCTAAAGTGGCAATACATGCAGTGTCAATATCCTGTCGCTTCCGTCTCGTCCTCATCTACATGAAGAAGTCGTCTGGCCTTGAAGTCTACTAGGGTTGAAGCATCTTTTGAGGAGGACCCATTTTTCGGGGAACCGTTCCAGCTATTCTTGGGTCATCCTCCTACTACATCGATTCAACATCGATGAGCATCCGCGTCTACCACAAAGAGTTCTTTGAGGACCTCCAGCAAGATGCGCTCAAGAACAGCCGGAGGTACGTTCTCTCTCGACTCTTTAGTAGCGATCGTAGTAACACGCCAGCCTAGTCCCTCGTCGCGCCCTCCGGAGAAGACCAAGTCGACCTCGGTACAAGCATCGTCTCGGGCCGTCATTGGTCATGCGATATGATAACAGGCGAGCGGGCTCGGCTCGACCAACACGTCCGACCTCTCGACCGCGACACGTCAAGTACCCGTGCTAGCATTTGCATCTTGACGACGGCATGCTGCTGCTGTAGAAGCGACTGCAAATGAAGCACGAAATGTACCAACGAGAACAGGACGAGCTCCAGCGAAAGCTGCTGCTCACCATCTCGGACAACTTGGCCAAGGACCGCAACCGGCGCGAAGTCAAGTACCTGCGTCTGCGCAGCGAGATCGACGTCCGTCCATTGTAGCAGCCGCCACAGCGTCTGACGTTCGAGGTGTAGGAAGGGAAGGCCCTCGCGTCCGAGCTCGAGGAGCGACTCGTGCTCAAGGAAGAGTCGGAGAAGCGCCAGAAGCTCCGCCTCTACGACGAGTGGACCGAGAAGGTGTACAACAAACTCAACGGTCCCATCAACGCAAAGTGCGGGCCATGGTACATGACCCATCACGCTTCTTCTCGTAGCAGCAACGTCGCAAATTAGGATCCAAAGGCGCTCAACCAGCACAAGCAAGAGGCGTATCAGCGCTTCTTGGACGCGGCCAACAAGAAGGGCTGTCTCTTCCGCGACATCATTATCGAGAGCGACTACGACCCGCTGCATGACCACACGTACATCAAGCACGTGGCCAAGATCGACGACCCAAGTCTCCGCGTCATTCGCAACCGCGACGAAGAGGTATATCATCGAGCTCCGAAAGTCGACGAGCCGCATGGGAAAAATATGGACATAGGAAGCCATCGCGAACGAGGGCCGACACGACGGCAGCGATGCGCTCGAGGGCGTCAAGCACAGGGCGCAGAGCTTGGGTCGCGCCGACAACCTCGATACAAAGCTCTATGCGAGCGGCACGTTTGAGAGCACGCCGTACGGCTACTTTAACAAGATGATGAGCAGCACGCTCAGCGACCAAGGCTCCAAGACGTACGAGTCGCGCGTCCAGCTCGACCACTACCACATCGACAAGGTCGATCTTCGTGTCGACAACTCCTCACGACAACAATATTGTCGTAGACGGTGGAGACGCTCAATGGCGAATTCCCACGTGGCAAGCGCACGACCTTTGACCACGTCGATCGAAAAGACAAGGTGTACTTGGGCTAACAGACAACGGCAGCACCACGCAAACTTTTCCTCACCGTATATATATATGTATATATACGACAGCGCTTGCTTTTAAAATCTACAATGGCTATCCAAAAGGTATTCAAAAGTCGATTCAAACGTCTATCCAAATTCTATCCAAATTCTATCCAAATTCTATCCAGATTCTATCCAAATGCTATACAGGTGCTATTTAGGGGCTCTTCCGGTCACTTTAGGGCCTACGTAGAGGTCCTCAGACGCTATCCAGACGCTATCCAGAGTCTATCCAGAGGCTATCCAGAGGCCATCGTCCAAAGGCAAAGGCTCTTCAGAGGCTGTCCATGTGCAGGACGTGGTGGCTGCGATGGTCCATTACCTTCGTCCTCGGGATGCAAACCATTACCATTACCTTCGTCCTCGGGATGCGAAGAAGAGGCTAGGGCACTTGAGTTGGCGTCCGACTCGGTCGAAGCGGCCAAGTAGGATTTACCAGCTGCGATTGCTGCTCATTCCTGGCTGTCCTCAGACTACATGACACTTTTGTCTTCGTGTTGGACAAGTGTGGCTGCAGGGTTGTGCCCCGGGGCACCTCGCGACGAGGCGACTGCAGAGATATAAGCTTTCAAGGGCGAAAATTATAAAAATGAAAAAGACAATAAAAATAGATGGTGCCCACCACCGCAGGCGGGTTGCCGGTCGCGGCGCCGTCGTCGACGGGTTCGCCGCCATCGCCACCGTCGCCGCCGCCCGAGGGCGACGTCTCGATGGACGACAAGGGCTCGGACGACGAGAGCTACCACAGTGGCAGCATGAGCACGTCCAACGACGAGAAGGCGCAAGGAAGCGGCAGCGGCTCGGATGATGATGGAAGCGAGCAAGAGATCGACTACAAGAACTTTACCGGATCAGCGACGAGCCCGACGGCGCTGCACGCGCCCATAAAGCGCGAGGTTCTCCCCGAGCACCTCGGCCCGCTCGAGATCCTGCGGTCCATGGTCGAAGTCGCGCAAGCCTGCAGCTTTCTCCGTGTCTTTGGCGCGGTCCTCAAGATCCCGCCGATCTCGCGCACGGTAGGTCGCCGCTTCTGACCGCGCGTCGCCCAGCCGTCGCGATCCCCTCTCTACCGTCGACGCTGTGGCTTGCCCACGACCCGCGTCGTTTGGGTGGACGGGAAGACACGATGGCAGCAGCGACGCCCTGCCTGACCATCGGTGCTCATGCGTGTCAAAATGCATCTAGGACCTCGAAATGGCGCTCATCCATGGCGAAGACGTGACGTCGGGCGCGGCGAATGCGATCCTTGCCGAGGTGCACTACCGGCTCTGTCGTGACGCGGGGCAGAAGATCGAAAAGGCCAAAATGTACCCCACGCGTGGACGCACACATGTCTCATGATGCGAGCATAGGTGCCACGAGTGGGAGCGCATCCTCCAGCGCAAGCTCGGCGACGGCAACAACTGGCAGCGCCACTTTGCCGTCAACCCGATGCCCGGCGAGTACAAGGACGTCGGCCTCCGCGAACGCGTACGGTCCATGTCCATACCACGCTCCATCTCATGCATGCATGCATCTAGGCGCTCATCTTGCAGTGGCTCTGCGAAGGCCGGTTGCAATCGTGCAGCGACATTCGCAAGCACGTGGCCGCGCTCTCGGCGCCGAGCAAGGACAAAGACGACGATGAAAAGTTCAACCAGCTCGTACAAACCCCCTCCTCCTCCTCTAGAATGTCCATGTCTGACGTGGCGCCCGTAGCGGCCCGAGGCCCTCGGCGAGGACGACAACGGGTCTATTTATTGGTTCTTTCACGACGGCTGCTGGGTCTACGCCGAAGACAAACCGCTCTGGCAGCGAAAGCCTGCGTACGCCTTCTATCGTTGCGTCGAGGTAGACGATGCGGATGCTGTGTAGACCGGTCAATTGCCACGTGCGGTACGCGACGCCGCACAAGCTGCGCATCTCGATGCAGTATGCAATCGAAAACAACGAGGGCATGGCGGCGATCCCGCTGCCGACAGACGATGTCGTCATGATGGGCGACGACGGCGGCAGCCTCAAGCGCAAGCGTGACTCGTCTCGGAAAAAGAAGGACAAGAAAAAGAAGAAAAAGAAGAAGAAATCGTCGACGTCCGAGTCGTCGGGTCGCAAGGCATCGAGCCGCAAGTCGTCCAAGAAGCCACGACTTGATGACGACGACGAAAAGGACGAGCAGGAAGCGATCAAGCCACCGCTCCCGTCAATCCAAGAAGAGATCACGACCAAATCGAAACCCCATGGCGATGACGACGCGCCAGAGACCCATGTGCTCTGCCACCTCTGCAACAAGCTGTACGACATGGCACTTTTGGACCCGCCGCTGCTCAAGAAGCCGCATGGCGACTGGAAGTGCTTCGAGTGCCTCGTCAACGACGCCCGCGGGTGGCCTCGCCGCCGGCAACCACGTCAAGCGCCACCGCCGCCGACGGTCGTCGACCGGAAAAAGCCCAAGTCGTCATCGTCGACCAAGTCGTCGTCGTCGTCGTCCAAGACGAAGAAGAAGAGCAGCAGCTCGTCGTCGTCGGTCAAGAAATCGAACGCGACCAGCAGCAGCAGCTCCAAGAAGAAGAGCAGCTTCAAGAAGAAACACCACTCGTCGTACCCGCCCGAGTACAAGTACCTCCTCGAGATGTACAATACGCGCAAGCGTCAGCGCGACGCCCAAGAGGCCGAGAACCTCGCGATGGGTCTGCCCGATCCGCCGTCGGGCCCGAGCAACTGGCGCGTTCTCAGCATGACCGTGGACGGCCTGCGTCACGTGCTCGACACGCAGTTTGCTCGTGATGGCTCGGTCGCCCAGCAGCGGTACAGCCACCATGGTGCCCGGATGCAAACACGACGTATCGCCGCATTGTAGACTCAAGGGCCGATTGATTCAGATCCTCAAGGCGGGCGAGGCCGCGCAGGAAGCGATGGAGAAGAAGCAGCACCAGCAGCACTTGCTGTGGCAGATGCAAAGCCTTCCGCGCCGGGCGTCGTCGCGCATCGCAACCACGCGCATCAAATCACAAACGAGCGAGCACGACGACTCGGCCGTACGTGCCGCTACGTATGTCTCTACGATCTGATTCTTACATAGGACGAGTCGTGGGACGAGAAGCCGTCGGAGCGCCTCGTGCGGCTCGCACGTCGCACGAGCAACAGCTCGGACAGCAACCTCACGCCCGCCCAGCGCGAAGAGCAGGCGAAGCGCAAGCTGGCCATGGAGCGGTAGGCTTTTGCGATGCGATCGCGTTTGTTATATACTTTTTGCAGGGCGCACCGCGCGTCCCGGCGGCAGCGCGAGTGGGACGACGACGACCAAAACGGGTCGTCGGCCGATGAGTCGCGGCGCCACCGACGGACGCGAAGCACGCGCAGCCACTCGAACGCGTCGTCGTCGTCGTCCTCGACGTGGGTCGACTGGTCGCACGTCCAAGCGTCCGTGTACCCGCTGCGCACGGTCTGCCTCGCGCTCGTTGACGCCATCATCAAGGAAGAGAAAGCGGTACCGCGACCTCCGCCGGCCGTCCGATCTAATGATCGCCTTGTCTGTAGCCGCTCTTCTCACGCCCGGTCGACCCGATCGCGGATGGATGTCCCGACTACCTGCGCATCATCCACCACCCAATGGACCTCGGCACGGTCAAAGCACGGACCAAGTCGGGCTACTACACTGTACGTTGCTGAGTCTCGTAGAAGTGCAGCAAATCACACACGACGGCACGGTGTAGACGTGGACCAGCTTCAAGCACGACATGGACCTCATCTGGAGCAACTGCCGCATGTACAACTCGGAGGGCGCGCTGATCGTCGAGTATGCGAATGCTCTCGAACGCGTCTGCGCCGGCTACGTCCTCGAGGCCGAGAAGCACGGCGTCGAGACCATGGCGGAGGACGATGCGACGCGCAGCAAAAGCGCGGGCAAGAGCGACGAAGACGAGGAAGAGTACGACGCCAAGTCGGAGGCGTCGAGCGACAATGATGACGACGACGACTCGAGTGACGACGACTCGAGCGAGTCGAGTTCGAGCGATGCACCGCCGCGTCGGCCAAAGCGTGCGGCCGTGCCCAAGCCGACGCCCAAGCCGACGCGGTCGATGGTGCGCCGCGCGCCGCCCAAACCCAAGGCCAAGCCGGACGTCTGGGAGAGCGACGAGTCGGACAAGCCCGCAAAGAAACCCGTGGCGCGCCAACCCAAGGCGCCGCTGATAACGCCGTTGCCACCGCCCATCACGTCGAAGACCAAGGCGGCGGCCGTCGTCACGCGGCCGCGCAAGACCAAGACGATCAGCAGTAGCAGCAGCAGTAGCTCGAGCAGTAGTAGCTCGAGTTCGAGCGACTCGGACGCCAAGAAGCCGGCAAGTAGTCCCGTGCCGCCGCCGCCGATGACGCCGCCGCCACCACCGAAAGCGCCGTCGCCGCCGCCGCCGCCCGCCTCCTCGACGACGCACCACCGCAACGGTGCCCTCTCGGGGCACTCGGAAACCTTGTACCAGTCGTCGTCGTCGTCGTCGTACTTTTCGTCGTCAAGCAGCGACGACGACGACAACGACGACAGCAGCGATAGCAACGACAGCGATTAGGAAGCGTGCCCGTGTAATTTTGCTCTCGACTTGTTTCGACCCCGTGTACAACGCCGAGAGATATAGATGTATTACTGTTGCGATGGGATCCTTACCACAGCAGCAGATAGGTCCCGAGAAGGAAGAGAAGCAGCCACGCGACGTTGGTCTTGGCTGCGAGAAAGCGGAGGTTGACGCGGAAGCACTCGGTCGTTGGCGTCTGCAGCTTCTCGTCGAGCGTCACCTTGCCTTCGTACGGATTCGGCAAGCCCAAGAGCACGTTGATCGCCATCGAGACCCGGTACAAAAGACGGACGAGGCACGGGATCTCATACGACGAGATTGGCTTGAGCATCGGGTCGCCCACATACGTCACCGCGTCGGTCGTGCAGAGGCGAAGACCGTTGGCGACTTGACGACGCCCGGCGGCCGAGAGGAGCGCGAGGCCGTCCCGCGCCGGGTTGAGCGACGCCAGCGAAAAGGTGGTGAGCGGCGCAGTTGTGACGACCGAGACAGGCACATACGTCTCGGGAATGCTCAAGACGACGCGAAGCCGCGCGCCGACGCTGTCGATTTGTGTCTCGAGCGACGCGGTGGCGGCCGTGGTGGTAAACACCGCGTTCAAAAACGTACTCGAGCTGCTCTGGCGCGGATGCACATCCTTCATGTACTGCATCTTGTCAAGAAGGTGCTCGCCGTTGCGGCGAAACGCGGTGAGGGACGGCGGCGTCGACCCAAACTCGGCCACGTGGCGCTGAAGCACGTGAGCTTCGGCCACCGACAACTTGTCGCTGGCGGCCCGTTCCAGCAGCGCAAGCAGGTCGGGCGAGAAGAGGCTCAGCGCGCGGCCCAGCAAGTCGAGACTCGTGGCGTCCCACTCCAAGTCCCGGGCTGCCGTGACAAAGACGCCAAAGAGGCCCGTATAAAAATGCAGGTTCGCGAGCACGAAGGGCGTGTACGGCGCCGAGAACGTCGCAAGCGACGGCGTCGAGGAGGCCCACTGCACGCACTGCCACGGCGAGAGGTACGCGAGGAAGACGTCGGCCAGCATGTAGAACGACGTCGGGTTGGTGGACGGCGTCGCGCGGCAAAAGCCGATTTGGAAAAAGTCGTACAGTGGCTTTTGGAGCGTCTTGAGGACGACGTGTGTGCTCGGATGCAGAAGCAGCGGGATGTGGCTGTCCGAGAGCACGTGGAGAAGCGTGAGGAGGAGTGCGCTGAGGACATCGTCGGTCGGCGGTGTGTACTGGTCGACGACCTTGGCGACGTCGCCTTCGTACACGACGTGGTTTTGGCGCAACCAGAGCTCGATGAGCAGCGATAAGAAGAGCTCCATGCTCTGCTTTTGGCTGCTCTTGAAGCCGAGCTTCTCGGGTCCGTGCGGCAAGAACGTCGAGAGGTAGTACTGCAAGAGGACGTTGTACGGGTGGCGCTCCGTCAGGGTCGAGAGTCCGTTCGTGGAGAAGGACCGCCACGCGTAGTTGGACGTCGTCGACGACAAGGACGACGAGGCGGATGGCGTTGCGATCGGCCGCTTGAGCTTGGACGTCGAGACGGGGTACCGGAGGAGGCTAAAGAGGAAATACGTCTGGATCGGGACCATGAGGCACTGCGTTTTCCCGTTCATGCTGAGCGTCGACGTCGAGTAGAGCTTGGCCTGCATCGGCGGGATCTACAGGAGATATGAGGATGGTACGGCGAATAGTGGTGGACGTACGCCGCCGCTGTTGCGAATCTCGACCTGCGCCGGGTTGGGCAAGCACGTCAAGTCGAGGCGGAAGCGCACGGCGTGGGAGATGTTGAAGACGAACTCGTACAGTGCAGTCTCAAAGAGCTGGACCAGCGCTTGGCCATGCTCGCCGAGATGGGCGTTCGGGCCCGTCGCGGGCTTGGCAACCGCCGAGGTCGACGGCGACGGCTCGTGCAGCGCGCCGTACGACTGTGTCATCCATGCGCTTACCTTGGAAGACGATGCTTGCTTCTCTTGCTCTTCGCCAAAGACGCGATCCAGGAAGCGCGGCAGGAACGCAAAGAACTTGCGCCGGCTCTCGACCGAGTGCAGATGCAGCGGCGTCGAGAGCTCCGTCGAGAGCAGCTTCTGCAGGCGCAAGCAGGCGGCCGCGATCGTCATGGCGCCGGGCTCGCCCGCGCGGAGGAGCTCGTCGTACTTGAGCGTCTCCATCTCGGCCCTCCGGACGTCGCAAACTTTATGTGGGCGCTGGTCGACCAATATTACAGGCGATAATGTCCGGATAGAAGTCCCCTATCCGGAGGATACCAATGATAAACGCGGCACATGCCGATTTCAAAGCGATCCAATCCGACGACCGCCTCGACTGTATTCGAGCCAATGGCATCGCAGTAATTCTCTTGACTTTTGACCAATCCACGACGCGCAATTCAAATCCCAAAGCAAATTCAAATGGCATGCATTCCGGAAAAGGCGATGGAGACGCCGAGCGGGAAGACGGTGCCAAGCCCCACCGAGGCGCAGCGCGTCTTCGAGCTAACGCCCGTGTGCATCGGCCGCAGTCGTGACTGCGAGCTCTCGTTCTCGTCCGAGGCCGCGCTCTCGCGCAGCGTGAGCAAGAAGCACGCCAAGATATACCCATGCCTATTTGACAGCAACGAACAAGTCCGCTGGTTCATCAAGGACCTCGAGAGCAAGCATGGCACGTACGTCAATGGCGATGAGCTCACGCGCGGTACGTCGATTGAGATCTTCCACGGCGACGTCATCGTGCTCGCCAAGCACCTCAGCGACAGCTTTGAAATCAAGTGCTTCCTCGAAGGCCGTGGCAACGCCAAGATCGTCCTCGTGACCAAGAACCCGCTCAACCGGCAGCCCATGATCGCGCCCACGAGCCCGCTCTCGTCGGCCGAGAAGCGCAAGCTGGCCAAAGACCCGCGCGAGCTCTCGGTGCAGAAGCGATTCCGAACGCTCGAGCGCGAAGAGGCGGCCAAGCCAGGCCTTGGCCAGTCGCCGCTCAAGTGCCCCGTGTGCTTCGAGTACTTTATCGAGTCGATGACGCTCTCGTGCTCGCACTCGTTTTGCGGCAGCTGCCTCCAGCACTGGCTCCTCAAGTCCTTGTCATGCCCCACCTGCCGTGTCGCCGTGGCCTTGCTGCCTGTCCGGACACGGACGCTCGACGACCTCTGCCTCCAGCTCATCGACCCTTCAAGCGAAGCATGGATCGCGCGTCAGAAGGCGCACAAGGCCGAGCTCGATGCGCATCTCCGCAAGGCGCGCAAGATCCGCAAACATTTCCTCGAGCTCCAAGGCCAGCCGTGGCCGACCATCTGGAGCATTTGGCACTCGGCGCGCGACCGCGACGCCTTTGTACACAAGCTGGCGACCGCAACCGGCGTCGTCCGCGTCGCGTGGTGCGAAGCCGTCGGGCTCACCGACGACGCGATTGGCACCCAGTCGCCAATCAAGCTCCTCAACGCGCTCTGCAACGTTTTGCCCGAAGCGTGCTTTTCATCGATGGAGAGCTCCGAGATGCGCAGTCGACTACGCCTCTTCCTCCACTACGGCTAACGCGCCGTCCCTCTAGACCCACCTCAATAGACTCGTTGTTTTGTTTGTTTCAACGACCGTTGCTCCAGGACCATCGAAGCCCATGCCCATCGCCCTCCGTTGGCAGGTGCACCAGTATGTATTAGCTACTGCCAGCGAACCGATCCTATTCGCATCTTCCTGCATGGAGTCCATCCTTTCGCTGTCTACTGCATGCGCATCCCCCGTCGACTTGGTGCCAAGCAAGTGTGCTTGGCGCGTCGCCACCGTCTTATCCGGACGCGCGCTTGGGCTGTGTTTGTTTTTGTATTCAGGGGGTGTGGTATCCGGAAGGCGTGGCTGATACAAACACCAAATGCGATTGGGGACAGAAACACGTCCGGATACGGATTCTGTATCCGTATGATATAATAGGAGTGTTTAATGTCGGATACAATTTGGTAGTGTAGTTGCCAGAAAGCGTTTGGAATGCCCGCAGCACGTGCTGCAAAACGCGAATCTCAACCTGGGCCGGATGAGCAGCATGGTGGAGCTCGAGCGTACGATCACGGACGACGACGACGACGTGCATGTGGCGGTCGTGGACGACGGCGCCGAGACCGAGGACGTCGAAGCCGACGACGAGGATCCGCTCTCGGTGCTTGGGAAGCGGCCCCATGAGGACATGTCCGACGCGTCACCGCAGGGCAAGCGCCTGCGCAAGGACGCCGTGGACGTGATCGACCTCGGCGATGAAGACGACGACGACGATGATGACGATGACGATGAAGACGACGAGGATGAAGACCGCCATGTGGTCTCGGTGAGCCCCCACCGCCCGTTCTCGAAAAACGATGCGAAGAACTTCAACATGAAAAACGCCAAGGCCAGTGGCGCTGCGTACGAGCAGGCGCAAGCCCCGCTCAGCACGCATTCGCCGAGCATCCAGCGCTTGCTCGACTCGATTGACAGCAAGACCAAGATGGAGCTCTTCTCGGATGCATTGGAAACGTACGGCAACGACCTCTTCCACGGCCACGAGTCGTGGCGGGACCAGCTCTTGATCAAAGCGTGCCGGCTCGACCCGTCGTTCGTGACAACGATCACGGAACTCGCGCGCCCAAGCGGCGCGTACAACTCGCCACTGGTGCTCAGCGGCGAAGAGGACGAGGCCGACGTGGAAGACGACGACGACGACGACGATACGAGCAGCGTCGAGATCATCGAGCCGCAGGAGCAAGAGATCGCACAGTCGGGCGATGATGAAGACGACGATGAGTTGAACCTCGTGTCGGGGGACGACGAGTTGAACCTGGGCGACTTTTTACAGTAATAAGTTAATGGTCCATGTTGTGCTCCCCATCGAAATACGGGCGTCTCGGCCGTCCATGGCACCAAGAGCTGCGAGCCCACGAGGTCGTCAAAGCAGCGACGCCTTGCAGGTCCATGGGCATCTCACCCCTGCGCCTTGTACACTCGTCTGCCTCGACTGCACCAACCGAGACGAGCGACCTCGTCTTGTGAAAAGCTGACCGACCTTGCCGCCAAGGGCTTGACGCAGCCGCGCGCATCGAGGGCAAGTGGTCCATCGCGAACCCGTTGCATAGCACAGACCCGACGCGTTTCTGCAACTGAAGCGAGAACGTTGCGACCACCAACGCAGCAAGATTGTCCTGATCGTCCTGCACAGCCATGTATACGCTTGCACGCGATCCAGCCACCGGTGTGCTGTGCCCCCCTTACAGCCTTGCACTTTGCCAGGTCGGTCGTTGCACTTTGCCAGGTCAGTCGTTGCACATTCCCAGGTACTGACGCTCTTCATCGCTAGTGAGGACGCTATTGCTTTCGGCGGCGTCAACCAAGACCTTGTCGACGAGCTCTTTGACGCGTCGACTCGCGCGACTCTGTCGTATTCGCGTGCCGAGGGTTGGCCTTCTCGATTCCGTCCTGTCGTGTACCTTCCAACCGAGGACACATAAGCGTGCAGGCCTCGCTGCAGCGATCACAGAGGCATGGGCGGCTACAAGGGCACGCCGTCTCGCCCATGCCACGCAGGACCATCGCTCGTCCCACTTGCATGCTACGGCAGACGCGTCGCCCATCCTCATTGCGCGTAATGACTTGGTCCGCTCGAGCCAATCCAAGGCCGCGCAACTGTGTGTCGAGCTTTCTATGCAAGGTTGCGCTGACGATTTGAGTTTTTCATCCAGTCTTGTTTCTCAATTGAGTTTGATCGTGACGTGGCAAATTGACGAACGCCCACATGCTGCACGGAAAACACGCTGCTGTCCATGGCTGCTGTCGGTGCTGTCTGCACCTATTTCTCTCTAGTGCACAAGGAGATGCACTCAACGATGGGAACGTGGCTCCTGGCTGCAACCTTCTACAGAGACGACGTCGCTGCGCACAGGGTTGATGACTGTCCGACATCCTCTACAATCCTCTGGCTCGCCCGTGAATGATCAATGATCAGCGGTGTACAGAGCGTAGAACTGGGACGTTCGTTCGGTCCTGCAATTGGGCGAAGCGCGTCGACGCTATCAGTCACTGCAAGTATTACTACTACTGCATGCAGTCTAGGATTGACTAGGCACCTGCCCGCACCCACGGTTCAGCGCGCGCCTGGATGTCGAGTTCGCGTGCCCTGCATGGGTACCCGCGCCTATGTGGCACCGCACAGGTGCTCCAGGTATTAGTGAATTCCATGTGAGCAAAGATACAAAGCAATGTAGTGCAGGTTCATGGCCGCATCTCCTCTGTGTTCATGGTTGATGTAGGGTGCCTGTGTAGCTTGCCCTGAAACTCAAACTCAAGTGATTTTGAGCGGGATACGATGGGTGGGACATTAAACTTAATTTTTTGGCGGCCAATACAAACCCCAAGTGCTTTCGTCGACCCAGAGCCAGTCGCAGTAACAAACACATGCACTAGCAGCGCTCTGGATCAACGCAGCATGTCCAGAAGCCAAACCCCATCGATGCCGGAGCGCTTCACCTTCTCGATGCTGCCGCGCCTAGGTCGGCGCCGGCCCTCGGACGGCGCGTCGGTCGAGCCCTCCGATGCGTCGCACACGGCCGAGCACGACGGCGACGACGACGACGAGGGCGAGTTTGAGGACCTCGAGACGCCGCCGCCTCTGCCACCCGCTTTCCACAGCAACAACGCCAACGCGCGCTTCGCAGCGCAGCCGCCGAGCTGGGACGTCCGGCGCAAGACGCTCGTCACAGACATTGGCGACCATGGCGTCACGTCGCTTCGGTACACGTCGATGAAGCACATGGGCGCGACGTCGACGGCGCGTGAGACCGAGCCGTTCTCGTTTCGCAAGTTTCTACATGCGCGTGGCAACGAAGAGCACCTGCAGGAGCTTTCGACCGCGCGCCGGCGCCACGTGCACCCGATCGACGAGGCGAGCGACGAGCCGATCGCGCGGTACCTCCAAGAGCAGCAGCGCTACACGTTTGCGCTCATCCTTCGCAACACGTGCCAAGTCAAAGACCACTTGCAGCGGACGCGGCCCGCGTACCGGTCGCAGCCGTACGACGACTTGACGCGGCAGGTAAGCGCGCTGCACGAGAAGATTTGCCGGCGGCTCGTGCAAGCCGGGCTCGGCGTCATCCTCCTCGACAATGACTCGCGCTTCGAGGACGTCGACTTCAACATGACGCCGCAGATGCGCCACTTTGCGCACACGGACAACATTTGCATTCTCCTCGACCCGTACAAGGACAAGGACCTCCTCGCCGAAGAGTTTAAGCGCGAGAAGGACGAGTGGGCCATCAAGCAGGGCAAAGCGTCGTCGCGGCTCAGCGAAAACTCGCACTTGACGACCGACCTCTCGTTTTCGCCGGCGCTCGAGCTCCAACTGACGCAGAACATCATCCAGAACGCGCTGCGGGAGTACGACACGGAGGCGTGGGTGCTCGACATGCAGAACGCGCTCTCGGTGCACGACGTCATCGAGTCGATCTTCCCGCTGCACGACCGCGTCTTCAACGAAGAGTTCTTCGCCGAGTACCGGAAGCGGACGTTTGCCTTCTCGGTGACGAAAGCCACGCGCGGCAACTCGGAGCGCTGGGCGATCGAGGAGCTCCGGTTCCACTTTGGCGAGCGCGTCGCGTTCCTCTTCGCGTTCATGCACATCTACTCGAAGCTCTTGTGGCCGCTCATGATGGTCTTCGTCGTCTACTACTTGGCGCTTCGGTTCCTCTCGGGCGCTGTGTGGCAAGCGTACGTCCAAGGCCTCGCAGTGCTCGCGTTCCTCGCGTCGGCGATCTGGGCGCCGACGTTCCTCGTCATGTGGCAGCGCGAGACGCGGCTCCTCGTCGAGAAGTGGAACATTGGCAACGACATCAAGAACAAAGAGTCGGCGTTCGATGTCAACGACGAGAACCCGCTCTTCCAGTACAAGTGGCAGCGCAACCCGCTCACCAACAAGATGGACAAGATGCCGATCTCGCGCAAGAAGACGGTCATCCAAGCCGTCATGTTTGGGTTCGTCGGCGCGTCGGTCGTGCTCCAGTGCCTCTTCACGCTGCCGTTCATCCAGTGGTACGTCTTCGCCAAGACGGTCGCCACCTGCGACGAGTGCAACACGGCCGCGCTCACGTCGTCGACTCCGTCCGTGTGCGTCGCGATGATCAACTGCTTCAACTCGCCGACGTCGGCGCTCGGGACAGACCGCTGGCTGTACATTCTCCTCCAAGGCGCGGCGCTTGGGCTCCTCATTGATATCGTCTTCTTCGAGCTCTTCAATTGGCTCTCGGCCAAGTTTGTCGAGTGGGAAAACTATGCGTGGAAGTCCGAGTACGAAGCGCGCCTGATTCAACGGCGCTTCCTCTTTGTGTGGATGAACTGGTTCTTCTGGTTCCTATTCCTCGCGTTCGTGTACCTTCCGTTTGGCGAGCAAGCCATCAAGTACCTCTCGTCCGACGCGCCGTCCGTCCCGGACGCGGTTCGCAGCGTCTTCAAGCTCATCCAATGGAACGCATCGGTGCTGACGCTCGACACGCTCTTTGTGACGCCGCTCGTCATCACCCAAGTGCTCAACATGCTCATGGAAACCATCATCCCGTACCTCGTGCGGAAATGCCGGGGCAAGCCGATCCACTTTCGCAACACGTGTCTGCGGGGCATGACGCACCAGACCGCCAACTGGTTCTGCACGCGCGCGCTCACGTCCAGCACCGTGACGACCAACAAGAGCGCCAAGGCCCTCGCGACCGCGATCTCGTCCTCGACGCGCTTCTTCATCCCGACCATGTTCTTCTCGGACGACTCGAACGGGTACACGGCGTACAACATCGTCGCCGAGTCCAAGCTCACGGAATTCGACCCGACGTTCGACTACCTCGACGCGGCGATCCAGTTTTCGTATGTGGTCATGTTTACGGTGGTCTGGCCGCTCTTGCCCTTCCCCGCGTTCCTCAACAACGTGCTCGAAGTGCGCGGCGACGCGTTCCGCCTCTTGTTTGTGAACCGCCGGCCGATGCCGCGCCGGGACACGTCGATCGGCGAGTGGGCGACCGTCCTCTCGTACGCCAACATCATTGGCATCACGGTCGTCGCCGGGCTCATTGCGGTCTACCACTTTCCGTACTTTGTGACGTCGTGCAACTTTGCCTTTGACAGTGCGGTCATGGTGCCAATGCAGTCGATCCCGTTCGAGCTCAGCACGAACGCGACGGCGTGTGGGGCCGAGATGCGGTCGCAGAGCTGGGTTATGCCCCAAGTGATCGTGTTTGTACTACTGGAGCACCTCGCGTTCTGCCTCCGGTACCTCGTGCTGCAGTTTGATCGGATGCCGTCCCGGATTGGCAATGCGAGCTACCAGCGGCTCAAGCAGATCGAGACGCTCGGCGTGTCCAAGTCGGCGTACGCCGAACAGTTTGAGTGTCTGCGCCAAATGCGCCTCGTCTTCGACAAGTACGACGTGCACGGCGCCGACCAGCTCCGGTCGCCCGAGGTCCTCCAGCTCTTTGTCGCCGAGTGGGTTGCCAAGCCGCCGTCGCAGATGCTCTCGGCCAACCTTCTCTTTCAGTACATGGACAAGAACGAGCTCGGCTACGTGAGCTTCTCGACCGTCTGCCTCCTGCTCATGCACGTGCACCACGACCGGTTCCTCTCGCGCCTCCTTGGCATTTCCGACTGGATGGAAGACTTTCAGAGCGCCGGGATCCAAGCCGCCGACTATGACGCCAAGCTCTCGAGCGACGAGTGGGATCCGACTGTGCATGGCCACGACGGCGCTGCGTAACGATCAAAGAATACAAGGCCGTATATATGTAGTCGTCGGTGGCGTCGGTGGATATTAGTGCGAAGCCGCGGCCAGCGCGGCCTGGGCAGTCGCGGCGCGAGACGCCGTCGTCGCGACCTGCGTCAGCGCTAATCGTATGGTATTGCATGCGTTAGATCACTCTCGAATCTGCTGGAATGGAAATGAAGAAGCACCTTTGAGGAATTGCTGCTGGGCAGAGCGGAGCTCGTGCGACGGCAATGGCGCAAACCAAAAGATTGGCGTCGGCATGGTCGTCACTGTCGACGCAGGTGGCGTGGCCGCCGGCGTGGCGTGTGCATGGCGGTGTCGCAGCGTCGGCTCCGCGACAGGCGCCTCGGTTGCTGTCCACGATACGTTCTTTTGGATGCTGTAGTCAGCAGTGTCCGACACGAGGACAGCCGTGTCGGCGGTGAAGAGCTCACGGAACGCTACCGACGAGAGCGTCTCAGGCGGAAGGCTTCGCCGGGCGAACGAGAGCTTAAAGAAGGCCTGGCGAAGCGCCTCGGCCGACGCCGCAGCGGCCTCTTCGTAGTCGGCCGCAGCTTCGATCGCAGCCAAGAGCCGCTCGTCCTCGTCGGCCATGCTGGTGCTGCCAACCGCGAACCAAACCGCAAATCGTTTGCAGCACGGTTGGGTGGCACTAAAAACACCCAATTGTACATACTCAACGAGACGACTGTCGCCCTGGCACCTAGGATTGTATGGGGTGTTTTTATCCAGACTCTACAGCGCACTTTATCGGATACCACCTATTACCCAGGTGACTAATACGTACTTAGACGAGTGCCTCTCGCAGCCATGCAACGCTGGCAGTATAAAAGTGGTCGCCGACTCGAATAAGTACGGCTTCTCTCCCGTATACGCACGGACAAAGTACGCCTTTCAAGTTTGTCGACTTGTGTTTACCAGTCAGTTTGCAATCGCCGAGTTCCTCCTCAAGCAGTAAAAATGGCCCACCGCGCTAAAGCCACGACGTTCGCCCAGGCCTGGCTCCGTGACACGGCCGCGTGGCCCGTCATCGGCGTCATCGTCGGCGCCTGCGCCCTCGCCGGCGGCGCCTCGGTCCGCTACCTCACCAGCTGCCCGCACGTGCACTGGAGCAAGGAGAACCGCGGCAGCCCGATCCGTGACAACGTCAACGAGACGAGCTGGAACTCGCACCGCAACCCGATCCGCCTCATGAGCGACAACCGCATCAACACCTTCCAGGAGCAGTCGCGCCAGTAGAGTGTTTTTGATCGCCACGCCGAGTCGTCCGCCCACGAGTGCGACGGACGCCATTGGTGTGGCCGATTGCGTATTTTAAAAAGCCCTAATCGAGTTGTATTGGATCCTAGTATGCCGATAGTGTTGCGTCATCGCAAGCAGAGTGATGCAGACCAAGCAAGTTGAAAAATGAACGAGGCCGAAGCTTTCGGTGGACATACAAAATGCTTGTCGGTTTGTCTATGCAGCAATGGCCCGTGTCTCTGCCGCACGCACGCGGCTATGCAGCAACCAGCGTTGATGGTGGCTCTTGGTGCTGCCAGCGAGCGAATCCACTCGACGGTTCATCCTGGCTACTCTGTAGTCTACCGACGTTGCGGGCCACAGCACCTTGGTAGACCGTGCGACGGGCAAGCGCAAGTCCATGCTGTCCTTGTTCGCTTCAGATGGAGGAGGACGCGAAGCGCAGCATCATGACGAAGGGAGGTTGGCAAGTTGGCTCTTCTGGCAAAAGCGTAGACGAGCCTGCAATCCCCAACGGGATACTCATAGTGCCGTTTCGAGAAGGTCTCTTGGTGGAAACGGCGCAGGCGGAGATGTACTAGTTGGCGCTTCGGACAGAGTCTTGCTCGGACGTGTTGGCGAGACTAGTCGACGAATAGAAATTACAAATGACGGAATGCTTGATCGAACAAGTATACCTGGAGAAGCAGCCAGGTAGAGAGCGAGCGCTCCCATCGAGGTCGTGCACCGACGGTCTCGTCCGGCACGAGTACATCAATTCAATCTTGACATGGAATGTATGTGCTCGTGCGTCCAGGGACCTCCTACGCGCATACTATGAGAGCTTTGGGCTTGATCCCGAGGGTGCACTGGTACTCCACACTCGTGCTTGCTCGTGTTTGTCGCATTTTGGGATTTCCTCGCTATCTAGAAGCGCCATCGCTGCACCATTGCCTGCAATGTGCATTTCACTACACATAGCGTTGGGCTTGTTGAAGGGCATTGTAGCTTGGTTTGGATGCATCCTAGCGTACGGGTGCAGCAAACTGAAGACGACGATGTACGAAGGTGAACTCGAGTGAGTTCGTCGCTCGACTCGGCAGTCGCTCGTTCTTTGTCTTGCCCACAAGCGGTATCATCAGATACCAACCCAATGGACTCGATACCTCGGACGAAGCGATGCCGCAGGTAGCCCGATGCAAAACACGTCTGATAATATACCTGAACTAGTCTCTTTTCAGTGATCTTGATTCGAGCAACGAGCACAAGGACATTGTTGCCTCCTCGGTTTGACCAACCACATCGACGCAGGTGCACTTGATAAAGCAGCTCGACAACGTCCCATGCATGAAGTACCCGCCGCCCTACTTGTGATGCGTGCCCACTCTCCTGCCACCGCTCGCTTTTCGTGTTGGCCCAATGCGGTGCCATGACTTGATACTTTGATACAAACTTGATAGTGTCCGCGCACAATTGTGAAAAATGAGGTTGATTGCCACGTATCAAACGACTATCAAGTCACTCGCTGATGCGCCAGTCATGCGGTGGTGCCACGTGGGATCGCACTCTGCAACTCATGAGCAACAGCACTCAACCCGTCTCCGCGCCGAGCGCCGTCCTGCAGCCTGGCATCGTCGAAGCCATCTCGCAATACATTCCAAGGTCGTCGGACGTACTGAACTTCCTCGACGCAGTCCCTCCGGCCCTCATGACACCAACAACCGTCGCGACCGCCGCCTTTTGGCGCAACCCGCCAGTGGGCATGACCCTCGCGTGGCCCGTACTGAGGTGCGGCAACGGCGCATCGACCAACCCGCTTGCCGTGCTCCAGGGGCTCCGAGCGCTTCTGGAGCGCGGGCTGCGCGTCGAGCTCCACCACCGCGCGACGCGACGCCACCACCTTGCGCTCTTCCACGCGCTGTACGCACGCAACGTTACCCTCGTGACGCTTCAGCTCGCGCGCGACCGTGAATTCGAGCTCGGCGATCGCGAGACGCTCGTGGACCTCGTGCTCTCGCTATCAGCGCTCATGTCCCTTGTCGTCCATGTGCCCAACGCCGACGGGACGTCGACAATGATGCTGCACGAGTTGCACCGCCTTGTCGCCAGCACCCGTGCCGCCTCGTTAACGCTCACGATCGAGCCCAACGCCATTGCGCCGCTGCCGTTCGCGCCGGCGCTCGCAACGTGGCTGCGCCAGGAGAAGAACAATGACCCCGGTTGCTATCATCGCCTCGCGCTGGATGCACCGCTCTTGCACGCGCGATCGACCGCCCACGAGGTAAGCGCCGTCCACGAGCTGCTCGACGCGCTGGGCGCTTCGTCGCTGCAAGAGCTCGACGTGCACCAGCGGTGTGGCCTCGGCACGCTGCCGCACCTTGTGCTTCCGAGAAGTCTGCGCCGCCTCCGATGGCACGTCGCTACCAACGACGCCGCCGCGCTCAATGCCTTCGCACGCGCCCTTGAAGACCTTGAGTTTCTTGAATCCCTCGACACCAACGGCCTCGACGCTCTCCAGGAAGACCCGCGCCTGCAGCGTATCTTGGCCCGCGTGGCGATCCCGAGACGAAGGAGCCGAAGACGGTAGAACGTGGTGGACAAGGCTAATCTTTTCTATATTAATATGGCAATCACAACTCGACACAACGGACGACGACAGTGCAGGCACGCAGCTTACATCATGCCGCCCATGCCGCCCATGCCGCCCATACCGCCCATGCCGCCCATGGCCGGAGCACCGCCCTCGGCCGGCAAGTCGGCGATAAGGGCCTCGGCCGTCATCATGAGCGAGGCGACCGACGACGCATCGACGAGACCCGTGCGGACGACCTTGGTCGGGTCAATGATACCGGCCTCGACCATGTCGACATACTCGCTCGTCTGCGCGTTGAAGCCAAACGTGGGCGACGACTGCTCGAGGAGCTTGCCGACAATCACGGCGCCTTCCTCGCCAGCGTTCTTGGCGATCTGCGTGACCGTGGCGCGGCAAGCACGCTCAATGATCTGGACGCCGACCTTCTGGTCCATGTTGGCGCACTTCTCGTAGAGCGACGGCAGCTTGCGCGACGACCAGAGGAGCGCGGTACCGCCGCCCGGGACGATGCCTTCTTCGACGGCAGCGCGCGTGGCGTTGAGCGCATCGACGACGCGGTCCTTCTTCTCGCCGACCTCGACTTCGCTGGCACCGCCGACCTTGATGACGGCAATACCGCCACCGAGCTTGGCAAGGCGCTCCTGGAGCTTCTCCTTCTCGTAGTCCGACGTCGTCGAGGCGATCGAGTCCTTGAGGAGGAGGCAGCGCTCTTCAATGGCTTCCTTGGAGCCTTCGCCGTGCAAGATCAACGTATCGTCCTTCGTGATCGTGATCTTCTTGGCGCAACCGAGGAGGTCCGGCGTCGCGTTGTCGAGGCGGATGCCGACGTCCTCCGAGACAACCTTGGCGCCCGTGAGGACGGCCATGTCCTGAAGGCCGGCCTTGCGGTTGTCGCCGAAGCCCGGGGCCTTGACGGCGCAGACCTTGATGCCGGCACGGATGCGGTTGAGGATCAAGGCGGCGAGGGCCTCCGACTCGACGTCTTCGGCGATGATGAGAAGCGGGCGCGACTGCTTGTAGACGAATTCGAGCAACGGCGCAATGGCAGCGGCCGACGACACCTTCTTCTCGACGAGGAGGATGTACGGGTTCTCGAGCTCGCACGCCTGCGTCTTGGTGTTGGTGACAAAGTAGGGCGAGATGTAACCACGGTCAAACTTCATGCCCTCGACGACCTCAAGCTCGTTGTAGAGCGTCTTGCCGTCCTGGACCGTGATGACACCTTCGCGGCCAACACGCTCCATGGCGTCCGAGATCAAGTCACCAATCTCCTTCTCGCTGTTGGCCGAGATCGTGGCAACCTGGGCGACCTTCTCCTTGTCGTCAATGTCCTGCGAGAGCGTGGCGAGCTCGGCGACGACAAAGTCAACGGCCATCTGGATACCGCGGCGGAGATCCTGGGGGTTCATGCCGGCAGCGACCGACTTGCAGCCCTCGCTATAGATGGCGCGCGTGAGGACCGTGGCCGACGTGGTACCGTCACCGGCCGCGTCGTTCGTGTTGTTGGCGACCTGGCGGAGGAGCTGGGCACCCATGTTCTCGAACTTGTCCTTGAACTCAATGTTCTTGGCGACCGTCACACCATCCTTGGTGATCTTCGGGGCACCGTACGCCTGGTCAATGACCACGTTGCGGCCCTTGGGGCCGAGCGTGACCTGGACGGCGTCCGCGAGCTGGTCGGCACCCTTGAGCATCAAGGCGCGACCCTCGACGCCGAAGCGGATGTCCTTGCCCGATGAGAAGAAGCGCTTGGAGGCGGCGCGGGACATTTGCTTGGAGAGCATCTTTGTGGTTGAGTGATCCGGTGGAGGAAAATTGCAAACTGCGCTGCAAGTTGCGGCTTGAAACCCTGTTGACGTAGCATACAAAACCCAAGACAAATGGCAGCTGGACTTCTAGAAAAGTCACTTGGCCGGCGGCAACTCCGCGATCGAGATGACAAGGTTCGCCGGCCGTGGCCCCATCGAGGCCTTCACCAGAGATGCGTACAATGTATTGGAAGGGCTTGACGAAGCGGCGTCCCGTGCAATAGACGCCAAGCATGTCGTCGGCGAGGGACCGCCGGGCCACTCGTTCCTTGTCGCGGGCCGCACATGAATTCCTGGCACGCCATTGGCTGATATTGCAGATGCGCCACCACGTAGACGCGATGCCATTGGTCAAAATGCGAGACAGTCTAGAAAATCCGCAGTTGAACTTGACGTTCGTGAAGATTCTTGGAGAAGATTTGCCCTTGGCTGCATCTTGCGGCAGATGCATTTGCTCGACACGACGATCGTCCCCACATCCCCAGAGCACCGCAACAACGACGACCATCACTGACAGATCGGGCGCTTGACAAGGATCGAAGCCTCGCCTATTTGCTGTCGCCGGCAGCCTGGTCATGCGCCCAAGCAAGCAATGAATGATATGTGGCCGCAGCTTCAACTGGGCAATGCAAGCGCGCCGCGGAGCACCGCCGAGGCAGCGTTCCGACGAGGGCGGTGCAGAACATTGATGGCACTCGCAGCAGCGATAACTGCACGTCTAGCTCACGTTGCCAAGCCGGCAGATTCCGACGAGAGCTGTACAGGTGGACGTCGCGACACAGCTTCAAGTGACGTGGCTGCCGCACGAGGGAGTACCGTCGTTCGATGAAGGAGGCACTCGGAGACGTGCTCTGAGGAGCCGAGCAATGAAGTGGAGCAGAGTAGACTAGCTAGCTGGCAGGGATCCTGGGCGCACAATCGTTGAAACCCACAACTCCAATCGGACGAGTCCGGTCAAGAAAGGCTGATGAAGGCGACGACGCCTGCCTTGCAGGGAAACAAAACGCGTGGAGGAATAATTAGTTCATTAGAGAAGACCGACGATGGCTTAATACGGTACTGCGTTCCAAGCTTTGTAGAGAATTACATGGACGTAAGGAGCTTCTCGACGGCCGCATTCTCGTCGCCCTTGGTCTCTGCGAGCGCTCGCTTGACGAGGTCCTAGCGAAGACGCCACCGAATGAGCGCCATTGCATCTCTGATCAGGATGAACCTTGGGAAACCCCATATCGCAGAGGCGCGTGACAGCTTCCGACTCCGAGTCCTTGCCCATAGCATAGGACTCTGTCCAGAAGGCCGCGGTCGAGTCGAAGCGCGCCTTGTCGTTGATGTACATCTTGGCCACTTCGGCGTCCTGAATGCACCACGTGAAATAAGCCATCATGATAGTACGAAAGGAAGGCCGTCGACAAACCTGCGGGTCCGTGGGCTCGGCCGCCGACAAGAGCGCTTGGATCGACAAGAGCGTCGTCTTGATCGTCAGCGCGGGCGACCATGCGTCCTTGAGCACGTCCTACCAAGGGCGCATCTTTGAGCACGAGATCGTCATGGCCTTGCAGGCGTACCAAGCAGATGGCGCCCGTCTGCGACGACACGTTGGGATGCCAGACCTTGGTCTCGAAGCGGACCTTCGGCGGCTCGAATGGGTATGTCTTGGGGATATTGATCTCGAGGACGAACGTGCCGTTGGCGTACGGCGTGCCCTCGGGGCCGCGGATCGTACCCACGAGCGCGTCCAAGACGCCGGGCTGGCGCGCATGCGCCGAGACGCCCGAGGTCTCGACGTCCTTCTGGCACTCTTCCAGCTCCTTGCGGATACGTCCGGGTCCTACGCAGCGTCATAAGCCTCGGGTGATGGGCCAAGGTCTTGCGTCTACCTGCCATCCTTGCTGACTTCGTTCTTTTGGCGATTGGGCTTTTGCGTGTATTTTTTATCCGTTGAAAGCATTTAAAAAAACTTGGTGTTTGTATGGTATACCAACCGACGTTGGATCAAAATGGCGTCGTTGGTCGGGGATAAAAACACGCCATTTTACCACCGACCCGCCAGCATCCTGGGTGCACAACCACATGCAGAGTGTGCTATCACGTCCAGCGCTGTCGACCATCTACTTATTCGCAGTGGCTTGTAAAGCACCGTTGCGTGTACGAAACATCGGCGGGCAGCCGCTCTGGCGCAGCTAACGTTGCGTCAAAATAGACCGCCTCTGCTCGGTCCTCCGGTAGGGATCCATCTCGTCCCGTCAGTTCGACGAGAGGCTCAGGCCATGTCGCTAGTGTACTTTGTTCACGCGCCTCCTTCGAGGACACCCCAGAGACGATCCGACGACACCTCATTTCTTATTCTTAGTTGCGCTCCCCGGCTTGGCAGAAGGGAAATTTCTCGGCGCCGTTGACAAACTCGCGGTGGTGGACGGGCGCAAAGAGGTGGAACGTTGCCATCGTGTTGTGAATGTTGCCGATCGCATGGATCGTTGCGTAGACGCTGAGGAGCGCGCTCGAGAGAATGACGACAAGTGTGAAGGCGCGCGTGCACCCGCTCAGGTAGCTGCCGTCGTGGGGCACCATGCGGAGGTAGCACACGCACGGCATGATCATGCACGGCAGCGTCACTGTCGTCGCGCCAATGAGCGACAGGATGTCGGCAAACGAGCCCTGGAGCATGACGGCGACAAAGCACTGGCCGGCCACAATTAGCGTTCGCAGCACGAAGCGACAGGCGATTTCGCGCTTTGTAAAGACCACGAGCTCGCTTGCCATCGTCGCCTCCTTCTAATACATCGTATCAACCATATATCGCATGCGATGTCTACCTCGTCCACCGGCTTGTAGACGTGCGTCGACGTCATGTCGCCGTCGTTTCGCACCGGCGACAATGGCGCGCTCTGCCCAAGGAGCGCAATCGAATCTTCCGAGGCGAGAAGAACCCCCGTTGCGTCGCTGTCCTTGCCAAAGACCTTGCGCTCGATCACAAACAGCGTTGGCGTCAAAATGACGGGGTACGCGACCATGATATGCAGCAGCATCGCGCTGGTCGCGAGCGTCTTGGCGAGACCCCGGGGCATGCTCTCGAGGAGCGTCGCAGGCGCCGTGCAGCCCAATTGAAAGTACGTGGCCGACCCAATGCCAATGTAGAGACACGTGATCGCAATCAGCGTCGCACTTAGAACGAGCACAAAGCGACCCACGTCCTTGTCCCTGCGCTGGCGGTGCAATGGCGGCACGAGCAGCGCCGTGCCAAAGGCAAACATGATCGTGCCGTACGCTGAGAGGACGCCAGAGAAGGTCACGGCCGTCGCACGCGGCGCCATCGGATGCAGCGTCAGGTTGACGTACAGCGCAGCGCTATCGGCGAAGAAGGTCGCGAGGCCGCCAAGCACGCAGAGCGCGAACGTCTCTTTGAGGCTTGGGAGAAAGACGATTGGGAGCATCGCGGTCGCCAACAAGAGGATCCACGCCGTCGACGAGAACTCGAGCCACGGTGCATGGATGTACTGAGCGATGGATGGAAGCAGCTCCGTGCCGCCCAGTACAAGGAACGCAATCGGGGTCAGAAGACACGAGAGCGACTCGGAAATGAGGATGATGTACCTAGCGCAACATGACGCTCGATGGACGAGACGCGTTGTCGTACTGTCCGAGCGGACCGCAGGCGTGCAGCCCCAAGTCGCCGTAGGTGCGCACAGACGGTGGCGCCAAGGACATGCACTTGGCGAGCAAGGCGCTAGGATAGGCCATAGGAAGCGCATGCTCAGCCGTGTGCGTAGTACCTGGCATGGAGGTTGCTGGCGGACAAGAGGTAGAGCAGGATGGACCCCATGAGCGGTCCCGTCGACGCAAAGACGTGGCCCATGCTCAGCGACGCGACGCCAAACGTATACGTGAAGAGCACGGCGATGCTGTGGAGGTCATCGTCCGCGTTGTCGTCGGCCATGACCCTTCGCGTGCGAGTGATCTTGCGTAAAACGCGTTTAAAGCGTTGGAGGGTTAAACGACACTTCAACTGCCGGGCCGCCTTGTTATCCGGAAGATAAACACTATGCGGATACAATTCAGATCGGCCGACAGCACAAGACGATGGACGTCGGGCGCAAGCTGTGGCATGGCTGCATCCCGGTCTGCTTCTCGATCGACGCGTCCGAGATCACGACGCTCCAGGTCCCGCGCCCCTACTACGTACGTCTATGCCCTATTGCATGGGCCTCATGGCGGCTAGGCCATGGTGCCCCGCGTGAGCTCGCTCTTCACCGCGACCGAGCTCGTCATTGAGCACTTCAAGGACGTCGCGCCACCCATGCTCTCGGCGCGCACTGTGTGGTTCTCCAGCAGCGATCGGCCGCTCAAGTGGTACGCACCTAAGGCCACTGCGATGGCAGCAACGAACCTTTGCCTTCGCCTGTCTCTAGGCAGCTCCCGTTTGGCGTGCTCTACGACCTGTACGCCGACGCGACGCTGCCCTGGGACATTACCGTACACTTTCAGCGGTACCCCACAGAGGTACGCATCGCCTGCACGCGTGGATCTCGTGAACACGCATGTCTAGCTCTTGCCGTGCGAAGACATGGGTGCCGTCGAAGCCCATTTTATGAACAGCTACAAGCAGGTAACGCCGCATGCCATCGACATGAGCATGGGCATGGAGCAGCTATTGTGCATACGGACGTAGGCGATGTACCTCTTGTACGGCTCGACCAAGTGGATCATGAACCTACCCCAACAAAAGCACGCGCAGCTCTGGGAGGCCGTCAGGAAGAGTGCTATTGGCAGCATATCAACTTGATACTAAAAGGTTTTGGGTAGACAACTATAACCTCTACCAAGACGTGCACAACGAACTCGTGCCGCGAAACGAACCTCGACGCCATGTGCCACTGCGTCTCGTGCTTCCGACGGAGCCGATGGTGCAGCTTCCGATTCCTGCCCACCGAGAAGGCCCGCTATTTCTTGCAACTCGATCGTTGTATTGATTGCGTGCGTAGATTTGGTCACGGTCGCCGACGTCCTCGCGTATCTGGTGCCCGACTTGGCGCTGGCGACCCACAAGGTGCTTTTGCACGGCATTCCGGTCGCGACCGACGTGGCGCTCGCCGAGATTTACGCGTCGTTTGTGTACCCCGACGGCTTTGTGTACATCACGATGACGCGCGACTTGATATAAATAGTCGATACCTTGATACAAAAACAACAACAGCACCAAACAATAGACACCTTGTTGCGATGGGTTAGTTGTTGATGCCTTCGTACGTCGGCACCATGTACTTGATATTCACATACGCATCGGGGCCACCGATGCGCTCCATCTTCTCGAGGGTCGCTTGGATGAGCGCGCCAACATCTATGACGTGGCGCCGCTGAGGATGCCGAATGCATAAAAACTCGAAACGAAGAGACCTGTGTCTCGTCGCTGGCTAAAGTCGATCGCGTCACCAATGTTATGCCGCTTGTTCTTGAACGTGTTGAGTCCGGGCAGCAGTTGCCTATTCACGCAATTCAGCGTTTGACGCTCCAATACGAAGATATGAACCGGTAGTAGGGCACGAGGGCCGGTCCAATCCCTTCGACATCCAGGAGCAGCTGGATGTTCTTGAGCGTCTCGCAAATCAAAGGCATGTCGCGCGTGTTCAAAGCGACGCGGATCGGCGCAATGAGCTTGTGAAGACACGCGTGGACCTTCTCGGGGAACATACGGCCGTGCTGGAGCAGCTCAATCGTCCCTGTCGAGGCGAGGAAGTGGTACGGCTCTTCCTTCTCGCGTGTGCCTACGCCATGTGCGTGAGCCAACGCACGTGGCATTGCACAGAAGTACCTTCAATGAAGAGCGGCAAGAAGACCGAGTAGTCGATTTCTTCAAAGCGCTTGGTCCATTTGAGGTGGTTGCCGCCGGTGCGCGGCTCGACGCAGACGGGTACGTGGCCTACGAGTGGCCGTAAGACGTCGAGCGATCCTAATATCGGAAGTACGCACCGCGGTTGTACGAGCTTGGGAAGTTGGACGTCGGGATTTGGCGCTTCTTGAACGCGCCCGCCACCTACGCGGTTATTGAGGTCGAGATTCAGGTTGAGATACGATGGGCAACCGGTGGCAACGCGTCGACAGCTTGCTTTTGCTTGTGTTTTTCAAGCCGACTTGCTTCTCGAGGAGCTGGCGCGTCGGCGACGGAAACGAGAGCTTCTCCATGATCTCGCCGCGCTCCTTCTTGAACGAGTGATCGGCCGCGAGGTTCTCCAGCGTGACGTTGACCTTTGGGTTGCGTCGGTGCTTGGGCTGGCGCTTGACGGACGACTTGGGCACGGCGTCGTCCGTCATGCCGCCAAAGCAACGGCTTGCGGGTCCAGCGCCAGCTTTTGCTTGAGCTTGACCTCGAGGACGCCGGCTGTCGCAAGAGATGTGTTGAGTGATTTGGATGCGAAGAGGAGGTAGACGTACTGCCAGCGATGCCCGGGTGGTGGCTCTTCTTGGTCGACGCGAGGCTCAGCACCGACGACGGCATGCTGCCCGCGGTCGTCTCCGGCACCCCGTGACGTGCTTAAAAATAGAGTGTAGCCACATTGTGCAACCGGTTAGTTGGATCAAGTCGGTGAACGCCTCGTCGCAGTTATTACCATGGTCCACCAGGTGTTGGTGTCGATCGAGCAGCGTTCCAACTTGAAACGTTGCGTCGCGCCTTTTCGCTTTGCCGTCGACGCTCCGCAGCGCTGTAAAACGCCAGTCGCCCATCTGTGAACGAGCTAGTACCTCTGGGACTGTGCGACCTGCTTGGTTGGACGCTGGACTACAAGCGTTGGACCAAGCACGCCACGTCCCAGCGTTGCCGCATATATGGTCCATCGGGTCGAATCGCGGTTGCCCACCGATAAGAACTCAGTTGCGCTTTTGAGACCAACGACCAACAACGAGCAGTAGCATGCCGCGCGAACAAGGACAAGGCAACGCGGGCGGATGGCCCAGCACGACCGGCAACCCCTCGGGCGAGAGCCGCTCGAACGCGCCCCCCAAGACCACGGCGCCCCCCACCACATCGCCGGCGACGATGACCTCGGGCAAAAAATCGACGTAAGACCTCGCCGCCCCACTGAATATGGCCTCCAATACACTGCGGGTTTTGGTGCTTTGCAATAGTAGCAACATTGAGCAATCGAGTAGAACGATGGGTGGTCAATGCACGCCCTGTCCATCTCCACGACACGGCGACAAGACGCCTGCGAGCACACGCTCGTCGGACGCGGAGCTTGTGCATCAACGACCTTGTATACCCTGTCGACGACGATGTTGGACTCATGTGGACGGTGGAGGAAAAGCATTGGCGCAGCTTAGTGGCCTTCGAGACGGGCGTCGAGGCGGTGGGTGCTAATGATCTCGGAGAAGCACTGCGTGCGGATGAGACACTCGATGAACGGCGTCTCGTATGCTGGCCGGAGCGCCGTGAACTTGTGCTCGTCAAAGATGATGACCGACTCGGTCGCATCGCCCACGACGAGGCTCGCGGCCGTGTGGTCAAAGAGAAGGTTGGCCACGAGCTTATAAAAGACGCCGCGGACGTCGGCGTTCGGAAATGTCGTTGGGAGCACCGACGACGGCCGCGGCCCGACGGCGTCCAGTTGCAGCGCCGAGGGGCACACGAGCAATGTATCGAGCTGTGCTTTTGCCGTTGCAAACGCATCGACGAGCCGAATCGGACTCGTCGCGTCGTCGAGCAGCCCCATGTTTGGCCACTGGAGCTTGCGCGGACCGAGGTACTCGAGCGTGCCGCGATCGAGATCGACGACGATCGCACACGACGACGGCGACGGCAGCGGGAGGTCGTCCCGCGTCGCGCAGCTCTGGTGGATGCCGACGAGGATCGGCGTCGGGCAGTGGAGGTACGAGAGCAGACTCTTTGGCAGCACAGGGATGTAGATGTGGCACCACGCAAACGGCGCCAGTAGACACCGAATGGCTTCGGCCGAGAGCGTCAGCGCCGACAGCGACGACGAGAGCAAGAGGATGCTGTGCTCGAGCAGCGCGTTTGCGACCACCTCGAGCACGAGCGCATTGCTAAGCGTCGCAAAGAGTGGCGCCAGGCCAAAGTCGATGCGGGGCGGCGCCGGGAGGTCGAGGAGCGTGCCCGAGTGGCGTCGGTGCAAGAGCGCATTGGGCGACGGCGCGGGCAGTGGCGCCGACGTCGGCGACGGCGCCGGCAGCGTGTAGAGCCGCCGGACATGATCCGGCAAGAGCGGTGTCGGCGTATCCAAGAGGTGCCGCGCGACGATCGACCGGAGCCCGTCAATGAGCGGGAACGGCGACGCGACGCAGACCCCTTGGGCGATAAACTCGGCATCGCCGCGAGCCACGTAGGTTGTGTAGCACATACAGTAGAGCGTGCCGAGGTCGCCGTTTTGGAGCACGACAAACGGAAACAGCACGTCGGGCTCGGGCGCCGGACTCACAAGCTTGCCATGGGGCACAAAGTATGGCTGGATGCGCTTGGCGAGGTCCGAGACCTTACGCTGCGACTCGGGCGACGGCGGCAGCGACGGCGACTTGTCCTTGCGCACATACGAGAGCTCGAGGCGCGTGCCCGAAGTCTCCGTCGTGATCGTCTTGAAGAGCACGATCGCATCAATGACGGGCGTCGACACCAAGTCTTCCCGCAGCACCATGGGCGTGAGCGGGTAGTTGGGTCGGTAATGGACTTGGAGCCCGTCCGGTAGCGACGTGCTTCGAATGATGCTCTCGAGGTTGAGCCGCACAGGCGCTTCGTCGTCCGAGTCCGAGTCCTCACTCTCGACGTGGTGGACCAACGGCGGTCGCTCGCTGTTGGGAATGTCCGAGATCGAGTCGTACTCGGAGAACGAGTCGCGCAGCACCGCCGTGGACCGGCGCTTTGTAGCGTTGACGTGCTCGTCGTCGTCGTCACTGTCGCTGTCGCTGTCGAGGAGCGTCTTGGCGGCCTTGTCGCTCAGCGCAAGCGTATACAGCGGGCTCTTGACGAAGCGCTCGTACCACGACGCATTGAGAACGAGGCAGATCTCCGACTGCGCGACGCTAAACGCAGCGAGCGCCGCGTCCTTGGACTGGAGCCGCAAGGCGTCTGCAAGACTGGCTTTTGTGGGCGCTTGGATCGCGCTCGAGTCGACACTGGCCTTCTTGAGCAAGTCGTGCGTGAGGGTCCAGAAGAGCGTCACATCGGAGGTGCATTTCTTTAGAACGTATTCGACGTGGAGCCAAAAGTAGAGCTCGAAATGCTGGCGCTGCTGCATGAGAAAGAGGAGAAAGTAGTGCGCCGCGCGAGGGTTCGTAAGGAACCGATCGAGGGGCACAAAAGCGGCCGTGTGCTCCGAGACCTGCAGCATCTCGAGGTACTCGGTGCTCTTGAGGAACCGCGGCAGCTCTTCGCGCGTGAGCCGCTTGAACGCGAGCCGCTGGATTGACCGAAACCCGATCCAGCCAATGTCGTCGTTCTGGATGCTCGCCAGCACCATCTCCTCCAGCTCTGGCGTGAGCTCGAGCGTCGCCGAGATGCTGCACTCGGACTTGGCCGTAAAGTACTTGTCGAAGAGCTTGAGCAGCGACGGCGTGCCCCGCGCCGCGTCGCGCTCCTGCTCGAGCTCGAGGAGGAAGAGGAGGACGTTGTGGTAGTTGCCATCGTCGGTCGTTTTGCTAAAAGTCGAGAAGGTACGGCAGCTTCTTGGGGTCTTTCACAATCTCGTGCAGCGAGAACGGCGCGTGTGCGCGGAGGCGGCTGACTTCCGAGAGCTGCAAGAGCCGGCGCTGCTTTTCGTCCATGGCCGTCTCGGCGCGCTGCTTGTCGCGGAGGTACTTGCGAAACTTCTTGCTCAGTGGCATCGGATACGTGCTTGAAATCGACTTGTAGTTCATGTTGTTCTTGGCCATCTTCTTGTACTTGTCTTGGATCATCGTCGCGGCCTGCGCGAGCTTGGTGCTGGCCGACGATGGCCTATGGTCGGCTGCCGCTGGCGATGCAGGCGTCGACCGGTTCGCCGTCGGTGCCAATGGCGGGCGCGGGTCCGCGACGTCGTCGCCAAAGAGCCAGCTGTCGAGGTTCTCGGGCTTCTTGATCGCGGTGAGGAAGTTCATCGTCAATTGCCGCCGTCTATCTTGATTTGATGGAACAGCCAGCTCACTTCCGATTGGTGCAAATCCATGCGAAATATTTTGGCGAAGATTGCAATGCGATTTTCCCATTTTTGCCCGCGAGCGTTGGCTGCACGCGTCGTTCGTGCTGTCCAGGAGGGCGCTAGACAGCAGATCAAGCTCGCACACGCGCGCGCGAAGCTACCTGGGCATGGCGCTGCCCCCCAGTACCTGCGCAGCAACACCATAACCGGACGGCGTTTGGTGCGCGTGCTTGATCTGCTGTCGGACGCCCTCCTGGACAGCACGAACGACACGTTTGGCCGCGACCCGACAGTCATACCTGAACTGTAATTAGCGATCGTCTGCATGTGTGCCACATCGACGTAGAAAGTCGAGGCCTGCCGCCCGTACTCGTGGACCGAGGTACCGTTTGGTACATGGCTGGCACCAGCGCATGCTGCACGAGCTGCAACCCCCCACAGTTCTTTGCATATATGGCACAAAGGACGTGGTAAGGCCATAGCATCGCCCGGCGCGGCTAACCTATGACACAGGTTGGATCTTCTGAATTCGTTGCACTTTGCCAGGTCGTGTGCACTTTGCCAGGTCGTGTGCACTTTGCCAGGTCGTTGCAGTTATCGAGGGTCCAAACCGGGCGGTTTCGAAATTTAGAAATGACCTCATTCTTCAATTTGCCAGCAACATGGCACACCTCGAGCTCACGGACCAGCAACCCGCCTCCTCATGGGGCCGACCCCACGGGGGAAGACGCAGCCCCGAGCAGCGGAGACGAGCGAGCCAATCTCATGTACGCTCTCCATTCCTATCGGCATATTGATCTCTTGCCTGTGTGCTCGATAGACTTTATGTGTCCCATGGGGGCAAGGTCGCTGAAGCGCTCGACGCCGTCAAAGCAATGCATGCGCTCATGGAAGATCTGGCCGCAGCCGTCGCGGCACTACCTGCTGCATCCAATGAAGAGGTTGCGGGGCCCAAGACGCCACATCTCTATGCTTGGCAACCTATGACACCTGTAATGCGCTGTTGGAGCTCCTTGCAGAGATGGCGCACCACCAAGCCCAGCTCGAACCCCGGCGCGCGAGCGACCGCACGCTTCTCCGGAGCACCCAAAGCCAGATGGTCGTCGTCCGCTGCACGCTCTGCGTCCTCTATGCGTGGGTCTTTGCCTTCTACCTGCGCGGTTAACCGACGAGTATACCGAGCGTGATTTGCGTCCTCTTGTGTTGCTACAGCCTTTGCATGCGAGCGCAATCTCCGTCACAACCAAAGATCGGCGGCAGTCGTTGCACCGGATACGCGTCCGGATATTTTGGCGGCAACAGGCGACCATATTTTGGAACACTCTCGCAAGTGGACCTCGATGGCCTCGTACAGCAACGTGCCCGGCTTTGCCCGCAACGCGCAGCACGTCATGCCGGGTCTTCCCCGGCCTGGAAACAGCTCGCAGCACGTCATGCCGGGTCTGCCATCGTCGTCGGCCGCGTCGGCGCCCGGTGCGAACAGCGGCAGTACCGGCACCGGCGGCGGCGGCATGGCCATGGCCGGCTTTCCCAACTACCTCGAAGAAAAAGGTACATGGCACCATCTCGCCGCACCATGGTCTCATGGCCGCTGTAGAGAAATGCTTGCACTTTCTGCGCAACTATGTCGACTCGCTCTCGGGCGCGCGCAAGTACGAAGACATGCTCGTACGTACAAGGAGGTCATCTCTCTGCGCTCACGCGTGCGATAGCAAGAGGTCGCCGACCGCCAGCGCACGACCATCACCATCGCGCTCGACGACGTCCTCTCGGTACCATCGCCCAGTGTCCTAGCGGCTCATGACGCCTTCTCTGTAGTTTGAAAACGACGAGGATTTCGTACGCAACGTCATGCGCAACACGCGCCGGTACGTCTCGCTCTTCTCGGACGCGGTCGACGACATCCTCCCGCCGCCGTCGCGCGATATCTCGGAGGCCCACGACGTCCTCGATGTCCTCCGCCTCCACCGCGTCCAAGAGGCGGCGACCGAGAACGATGCGCCCGTCGACCTTGCGACCGTCTTTCCGCCGGCACTCATGCGCCGCTTTGAGCTCCAGTACGCTTTTGCCGGTCGCGTCTTGTACCATGCATCTCTGTAGACTGGTGCCTGGCGTCAAGACCAAGCCGGTGCCGATCCGCGAGGTGAAAGCGTCCAAAGTGGGCAGCCTCGTGCGCATCAAGGGTATGGTGACGCGTGTCTCGAACGTCAAGCCGCTCGTCATCGTGGCCACGTACACGTGCGAAGTGTGTTCGTTCGAAGTGTACCAAGAGGTCAAGTCGCGCAACTTCAACCCGCTCGTGCAGTGTCCGAGTGAAAAGTGCACAGTCAACAAGACCAACGGCCGCCTCCTCATGCAAACCAAAGCCTCCAAGTTTCAAAAGTTTCAAGAAGTCAAATTTCAAGTACACTCACTCGCTTCCATCGCATTACATCGATCGACATGTGTATGCTCGTAGGAACTACCCGACCAAGTGCCCATGGGCCACATTCCCCGGTCGCTCACCGTGTACCTTCGCGGCGAGCTCACGCGGTCGTGCGAACCGGGTGCGATCATTACCATCTGCGGCATCTTCCTCCCGCTGCCGTACAGCCCCCAGCGTCAAATGCAAGTCGGCCTCATCACCGAGACGTACCTTGAAGCCATGCACATCATCAACCACAAGAAGCGGTACAGTGCGATGGATGCATCCGAGGACATGGAGACGGAAGTCGAGCGCCTTCAAGAGTCGCCCGAGCTCTACTCGATCCTCTCGCAGTCGATCGCGCCCGAAATTTACGGCCACGAAGACGTCAAGAAAGCACTGCTGTTGCTTATGATTGGCGGCGTCACCAAGCGTATGGACGAAGGCATGAAGGTCCGCGGCGACATCAACGTACTCCTCATGGGCGACCCTGGTGTGGCCAAGAGTCAGCTCCTCAAGCACATTGCGACCGTGAGCCCCCGAGGCATCTACACGACGGGCAAGGGTAGCAGTGGCGTCGGTCTCACGGCCGCGGTCGTGCGCGACCAGATCACCAAGGAGATGACGCTCGAAGGCGGTGCGCTTGTATTGGCCGACATGGGCATTTGCTGCATCGACGAGTTTGACAAGATGGAGGAGGGCGACCGGACGGCCATCCACGAGGTTGATTCAATGTATCAACTGTACATAATCAAGTGGACGGCGTGTAGGTCATGGAGCAGCAAACCGTGAGCATTGCCAAAGCTGGTATCACGACGACGCTCAATGCGCGGACGTCGGTGCTTGCAGCCGCCAACCCGATTTACGGCCGGTACAACAAGAAGCTGACCGCGTCGCAGAACATCAACCTCCCCAACGCGCTTCTGAGTCGCTTTGATCTGCTCTTTCTGATCCTCGACACGGCACAGTACGACAAGGACGAGGCGCTCGCTCGCCACGTAACCTATGTCCACCGCTTTTGGTATCTCGACGACGTACTTGAAACATTGAAACTCACAAGATCCATGGGTAGCAAGAACCCCGAGATGGCGTTCGACCCCGTCCGCTCGGACGTGCTTCGGTACTTTATCGCGGTCGCCAAGCAATACGTGCCGGCGATCCCCGAGAGTCTCTGCAGCTACATCGTCGAGGCCTATGTCACGCTGCGCCAGCAGCAAGACTCGGCCAACGACGCGCAGACTGCCATGACCGCGCGTCAGCTCCTGAGTATCCTGCGACTCTCGCAAGCGCTGGCCCGCCTTCGCTTCTCGTCCACCGTACGACCTTGCCGTATTCACAAAACGTGCATGCGATGCGTGTTGTCGTAGGTGGTCACGGCCGACGTGGACGAAGCGATTCGACTGGTGTACGTCTCCAAGTCGTCGCTCCAGGACGAAGAGCAGGGCGCGCATGGTCGTCCCAAGAGCTCGATGGACGCCAACTCGAAGATTTACCGCTTGATCCTCGATTTTGCGCGCGATCGCGGCGAGATGAGCGTCAACTACAGCGACATTGAGCCGATCGTGATCCGCAAGGGGTACACGAACGTGCAGCTCAAGGCGTGCATCGAGCAGTACGAGACGCTCCAGGTCCTCCAGTGGAGCGAGAACAAGACGCTGCTACACTTTGTCACCTAGTGCACGACGATGTAATACCTACCTACCTACATGTAATAGCTGCATGTTCCCGCGCTTGGCATGTACCAGCATCGAGATGCGAGAGGACGAGGTAGGAGGATGGCTTGGTATTAATGCATCCATAGCTTGAGGCGGAAGGCGTCGACGCCGTTGAGGTAGTACTTGAGGAGGCGCTCGTCCTTGACAAACCCCAAGTTCTGGTACAATCGGATCGCGGCCACGTTGGTGATCTCGGTCTCGAGCACGACTTCGTCGCAGCGCATGCGCATCATCTGGTCGATGGCCTTCTGCACGAGCGCGGACCCGATACCATGCTTGCGGAAGCTCTTCTCGACGGCCAGCATCGCGATGTAGCCCTTGATGACGCCTTGGGTTTCCTCGAGGCGGCAGACGATCGCGCCGACAATGACGCCTTCGGAGCGCGCGAGGACGCAGAGCTCGGGCCAGCTGTAGAGAAAGTACCGATACGTGTACACCGAGTAGGGTTCCGAGAGGTCCTTCTCGAAGAGGCTCATGATCTCCGGGAGCTCGGCCTCGGTGCCATACTGCGCGTACTCGACGACCGTCATCCTCCACACAGCGCCGGTCCGTATAATTCCCAGGTAGCGTATCCGGACGACATTGCGTCATCTTTGCACTTGATGACGTGGCACGCGGACGTGGCATGTCTCCAAACGAAGCACTGGTTTTTCCCACCAATGATAAAGTAGCACGGAGCGATTGCTTGGCGACTCGTGTGACCGAAACAAGGGTGAATAAGAATCGTTCTTATTCACCCTTGCACCTAAGCTACACTATTCAAGATGGTAAAGCGACGCACGTTGGATGTTGGTATAGCATGAACGCACGATATTGATAATGATGCTGTACCCTTCGTCGCCTAGTGGCTAGTTGGTTTGCTTGCTCTTCATGAGTTGCTCGATGTACTTGTCGTCGATGCCAAGCTCTTGCCGAAATTCCTTTTCCATCTTTTTGAAGAGATCGTCTTCGGCGTCGGCGGTGGCCGGTGGCTTGGTTGTGGACGCCGGCGTCGACGCTCCGTTGTTGTTGTTGTTGTTGGTACTGTTGCCATTGTTGGACGCGGCGTTGGCAATCACGTTGGCGGCACGCATGGCCGTATCGGCGTACTCGGCGACGGCTTTTACCCGAGCAATCTCGCGCTTGAAGTAGCCCTCGATGATCTGGCGCTCGCCCGCCGAGCCGCGCGAAAGCGTTCGCGGAATCTCGAGAATGTGCAAGTTGCCATTGACGTCGCCGACGGCGAGCAGCTGCTGCTTGGGCGCTTGGGTCGCCGCATTCGCAACCGGCGCCGCCTGGGTCTTGCCCATCGCATTGGCGGCGTTGACGGTGGGCGCCGGCGCCGGCGCCGCCACCTGCGTCTGCCGGAACTCGAGCGTTGTGAGCGAGCACGCTGCGATGCTGCACGAGAAGGACGCGCGGTGGGACTGATCCAAGAGGTCCCAGACTTCGAGGACGCCGTCGGCCTTGCCAATGTAGAGAACACCCGGTCGCGTCGGCGAGAAGCAGCCGCACATGAGCGGCGCGAGGGAGAAGGGCGAAATGAAGATAGGCGTGTTGGACGACGAGCCACCCGCAACGTTCCAAATATGAAAGTTGGCCTCGCTAACCGTCAAGAGAATGTGTGGAAAGAACGGCGACCGACTTAGGCTCACGGTGGTCCGAAAGTGGTCATGGCACGCCCATTGAACGTACTCGACGCTGTCCTCGGACAGGTTGTTGCTGCTGCTGGGTCCATCGTCGTCCTTGGAGGCGTGCGGGCGCCAATCTGCAAGTAAAAACTCGCCTTCTTCCGTGCCGCAGTACAGTCGGCTCGATGGCTACAACCGCAGTTTTGTAAAACTATCAAGTTGATACATACGTCGCACCTGGTCGTCCTTGGCTTTTTCCATGACAATGCACTTGAGCCCGAGCTCGCCTGCGCCGTCCACTTTGGTCAGCGCAATCGAGTAGAGCGGCGTGAAGAGCACCTCGACGGGCCCCGTGTCTTTGGCATCTACGCATCTCCAAATATTACGTTTGGGGCTCGAACGAGACTACCTTTGTTGGCTTTTGCTTGGGATTTTTCCGCCTTGATGCGGTTGTGGTTGGCCATGCGGTACTTGGGGTCCTTGAAGCGAAGGTCCCAAAAGCACACTTGCCCATCGCCGGCCACGGTCAGAAACTGGTGCGACACCGTGTCGGGCGTCGATATAAGGTGGCCGCGGTTCGTGATTTCCATGCCCGCGGGCAGCCACACAAGATCCGCGACCGACCGTCGATGGCTCAAGTCAATGTACGAGGTATGGAGCGGCTTGACAGGCGGGATCGCCTTCGTTGTCTCTTCACTGGCGTGGCTGCTCTTTTGCTTCTTCTTGGTCATTTGCGCCTCGGCCTTCGAGATGTCCCAAACGCACACTTGGCCGTTAAAGAGACCGCCCGCGATAATCCCTGGCTGCGTCGGGTTGAAGCGAACGGCCATGACGTCCTGGGGTGCTTCGATCATGAGCTGCGGGTGGATGAGGTCGGCAAAGTTCCAAATGAGCACATACGATCCCTCAACCTAGCACCGCTTCGTCTTCCATCCCAGTACAAAAGTCTCCTACCTTGTCGGTGGCATCTTCACGCTTGGAGAACGATGCATTCGTGGACGCGGCGACCGCGATGACACCCGTTTTCTTGGGATGCCAATCGATCGACGGCAGCATCTTGTTCTTGGAGTAGATGAGATCCGTAAACGTACGTAGCTCTTTGATGCTGTTTTCTGTCTTGTGTTGCCCGCCCGTCTCTTCTTCAAGGATCGTCTGGAGCGGGTCGAGGAAGATGTCGAGCGTCTCGTTCTGCTGAAGCGCCTCTTCCATGTGCGGCAGCACGTTGGCCAGAAACGTCTGCAGCCGCGACGACTGCAGTTCACGCTCGCACGCCTCGCTCGGCGCTTTGATCGGCTCGTACTGCAGCGCCGAGTTGACTGCGCGGAACCACGATGTCTGCGTCGCATTCTCAACGAGGTCGGGAATCCCCTGGAGGCCAATGTCTTGCTCGGCGCGCGAGAGGTCGTAGTTCGGGTCCTTGTGCTGGCGGCACTCGACGAAGCACTGGTCCGCATCCCGATCGCTAAACTTGTAGTCGGCGTTGAACTCTTCGGTGCGGCGCGTGATCGACATGCTAATGACGGGCCGCGCGGCGCGGACCGTCAGCGCGCGCACTTGGTCGTGGGTTTCGTCCGACGTCGACGACACCCAAGGGTGCGCAACGAAGGGCTTGTCCTCGTACTGAATCATCTCGAGGAGCTCGTCTGCACTTGGTTTCTCGTCGACGTCTTTGCTCTCGGCGGCGGCCTCTGCTGCCGCGAGGCGCTCGCTGATGAGCGCCATCTGCGCGTCGTAGGCGGCTTGGCGCACGCAGACGAACCAGTTTTCGCCGTACACTTCGTCACGGTCGGCCACCAGCAGCAACTCGGCGCACTCGAGCTTGGCAATGTCGGCGCGGATCGCATGGAACGGGCACATGAAGCCGACTTGGGCAATTTCGTCCAGAACGGCTTGTTTCTCAAAGAGCTTGAAGTCGATCGTGTCCTTCAGGCCCGGCCCGGTCTTGAGCCCGAGCGTGTCCATCTCGCGCATCGAGATCATGAGCGGCTTCGTGCCCGGCAGCGGCGCCAGCTTCTCGACCATGCTATCTGGCTCGACAATCCGCGATGTCCTTTCTGCCAAATGACGCCTCAAGATCGCGCATCCGGATATCATATCCGGATACCAACATGTCCGGATAGCATGGCTAGACGGACGCCACTTGGCGCCATGGGGATTGCACAAGCGGAAATTGAGCTCTCCTCGCGTGCTGGTAAAGGCTGATGGACGTTTGTGGCTGAGCGTCGCCACGCTGGCTGGTGTGACAGGGTAGTAGTAGGTAGTAGTACCAAGACAGAGAGAGAGGACGACGAGGTGGGTTTACGTTAGGTTTGAAAGACAGTCATACTTACGCAGTCGGGTTGCGGAAGTTCTTGCCAGCGTAGACGGCGCTGCGGCCAAGCATCTCTTCGATGCGGAGGAGCTGGTTGTACTTGGAGAGGCGCTCCGAGCGGCACGGGGCGCCCGTCTTGATCTGGCCCGTCGAGAGACCGACGGCGAGGTCGGCAATGTACGAGTCCTCGGTTTCGCCCGAGCGGTGGCTCGTCATGACGCCCCAGCCCGCCTTCTTGGCATCCGAGACGGCCTGGACACTCTCCGTGACCGTGCCAATCTGGTTGACCTTGAGGAGGAGCGCGTTGCAGGCGCTGAGCTCGACGGCCTTGGCGATGCGCGTCGGGTTGGTGCAGAGCAGATCGTCGCCGACCACCTGGACGTCCTGGCCAATCGCGGCCGTGAACGCCTGGTAGTTCTCCCAGTCGTCCTGGTCAAACGGGTCTTCAATCGACACGATGGGAAACTCGCGCGCCAAGTCCTTGTAGAGCTGGCCAAGGGCGGCGCCCGAGAGCGGCTCGTCCGTGCTCGACTTGTTCTTGAAGTTGAGGTCGTAGCGACCGTCGGCCGTGTAAAACTCGGACGACGCGACGTCCATGCCAATCTCAATCTTGCCGCTGTAGCCCGCCTTCTCGATGGCCGACATGAGGAGCTCGACGCCCTCGCGGTTGCTCTGAATGTTGGGCGCAAAGCCACCTTCGTCGCCGACGTTGGTCGCGTCCTGGCCGTACTTCTTCTTGATGACGCCCTTGAGGTGGTGGTAGACTTCGCAGCCCATGGCCATGGCCTCCGAGAACGACGCCGCGCCCGTCGGGAGGATCATAAACTCCTGGAACGCAAGTGCGTTGCCGGCATGCGACCCGCCGTTGATGACGTTGAAGGCAGGCACGGGCAGTACGAGCTTGTCGTTGCCAATCATGTCGGCAAAGTGCTGGAAGAGCGGGACGCCCTTGGCACGCGCGCCAGCCTTGGCGACCGCGAGCGAGACACCAAGGATCGCATTGGCGCCAAGCTTGCCCTTGTTCTCGGTGCCATCGAGGTCGCGCATGAGCTGATCAATGTCCGCCTGCTTGGTCGGGTCCATGCCCTCGAGCTTGGGGCCAAGGATGTTCTTGACGTTGTTGACGGCCTGCGTCACGCCCTTGCCGAGGTAGCGCTTGCCGCCGTCGCGAAGTTCGCACGCCTCGTGGATGCCCGTCGACGCACCCGACGGAACCGACGCGCGGAAGAGGCCGTGCTCGGTCGTCAAGTCGACTTCGACCGTCGGGTTGCCGCGCGAGTCGATGATCTCACGCGCATGCACCTTCTTGATGGTGCTGGCGAAGCGGCGCTGCAGGGTCGACGCGGTCGGGCGGGCAGCTTGCATGGTCGAGGATGTGGCTGGAAGAAGGCCAAAGAAATTGTGTGTGACTGGATTTCGCCCAAGATATTTCCTTTGACCAGCTGGTTTAAGAAATAAATTCAGAGTCCGATGAAGTGCGCTTTGTAGCATACGAACACCAAGGTATTCTACCGCGCCGTAACGCCTTTTCTCTTTTAAGTGCGCTCCCTTCGCACTTACCGAACTTTAACCCGACCTCAGGTCCAGGTCCAACGGTTCCACCGCCGGATAAGCCTCTCAAAAAGCATAGATTCACGCCATTGAGTTTGAGAATAAAGATCCATTTCTGGATCGCAACAGGCGCATGGAGGCGTGGACCGAGCGCGACCAGCAGCTGCTGCGGCAATGCGTTTTTGAGCACGCGTACGACTTTGAGCTCGCGGCTAAAGCGCTCTGCGCGCGTCTGCCCAAGGCACGCCGGCTAGCCCTGAGCCAAGAAGCCCCGATCGACGCGGCTACCTGCGCTGCCAAATGGCAGGAGCTCGAGAGCTACGCCGACGACGACGACCAAGATGACGAAGACGACTACGATGACACGACACCTATGCGTGTCAAGGAGGCCGCGTCAAGCCCTTTGCTGCGCCTCGAGCTGCCACTCAGCGAAACTGATCTGGATGCGCTTCTGAGCGACATCACCGTCCCACTACCGACGACCAACAGTAGTGAGATGCAATGGGTGCTCTCGTACCTCGATGATCCGACCAATGTCACGAGCGCGCACGACGACGAGGACATGGCCACGTTCGACGCTGAATATGCATCGTACAAGGGCCACGCCGATCAAGACGCGTACTTGGCGAGCTTGGACGAAGCGTTTGCGCGCCTCAAACGTCAGAGCAGCCGCAGCGTGGACAACATTAGTATTGTGGCGCCGCCTCCCGCGCCCAGTGACGCGACAGAGCTTCGGTCGGCGACTTTGCCACCGCCGGTCGCCATGGCATCTCCATTGCGGCCACCGTCGGTCGTCGCCGCACAAGCCCCTGAGCTAGACGCTGACGCAACTTTGACGCCCGCCTTGCCAATCGTGCACATGGAGCAGCGCTTGCCGCCTCCGCGTGGCCCGCTCGATGACGACGACGACGCAGCGTCGAGCATCGAGTCCGATACTGAAGATGAGTGGCAGCGCGCGCGGCAGTCCATGAAACGCCGTGCAGTGCCATTCTTCGATGCCCCTCCTCCGTCCACGACACCCGACAAAAGCGTCGTTGCATCGCCAGACGACAACGATACGGGTGATGCGGTGGACGAGGACGAGCGGCGCGAGCGAGCGCTTATAAAGCAGTGGCAGCAAGAGCTTCAGAGACAGCAAGACGACGACAATGTGTTGCAGCAGCAGATCCGCGACGCCGAGCGAACGCGTCGTCGCCTCGAGTTTGCGGCGCTTTTGCAGTCGACGGCGGCATCGACGCCACAAAAGGATGCGTGCATCTTCACCCTCGCGCCCCCCAACCCATTCGAGCTCAGCACCTCGAGCTTGCATTCGGACGAGCCAGAGATGGTCCTTTGCCCATCCTTGTCGTCGCCTTGCGAGCCAACTCTAGAAGCACCAGCATCCGTGTTTGTCGCACCGACCATTTCGGACGAGGTGCCCAGCGCACTGGCGGTTCTTCGAACGGCCGACGTCCATCGCCGCATTGAGGAGAGCATTGCGGCCAGCGACCTCTGCGAGCCGCTGTACCACCGCCAGCTGTCGCACGGAGCATTTCTACCCACGCTGCCGCCACCCTACTGGGATGCGCTCTTCGCGTACGGGGCACACGATGACGACAGCGTTGCCTTGCAGGACGCACACGTCTTGGTCTGCGGCCTCGAGACCACCGACGCGCGGTTTCCGTTAATCCTACGCCACTTGCTCCAGCTCGAGGCCATGTTTCCATCCACAGTGCTCTTGGGGCTTGTGAGCTCGGTGGCCTCGGACCCTCTTCGCACGCTCTCGTTTGTGTCGCCGAGCCCAGGGCATTCGCTGGCGCGGCGCGTGCTGTACGTTGCCATCTCGACGCCCGACCTTGCGGCGATCACCGCGTCACCCGTACGCCCCTCCTTGTCTCGTCGAAGAAACACATACTTGTTTCCTAGGTGGCGGGCGCCAACGTGCTGCTCGCCGATTGCTGCGAGGTCGTCTGGCCGACGTCAACGGCGCATCCGATCCACCTCTTTACGCGGCTCCCGGCCTTTCAAGTGTTTCCCTTCCAGCTACACGACCTGACGCCGCGCTTAGCACCCGAGACAACTGTCGCCGTGCTCGCAGGTCCAGCGTTCTGTGGCCTCTCTGACTTTTTAGCCCTTCCCGACGTGGACGTCGTCGGCTGCAAGCTTTGCTTTGGCGCACGCTTTGAGGCCAACTTGGCCGTGCCGTCCAGCGTCGCTGGCGCGCGCGTGCATCTCGTGCTGGCGCTGCGTGGACACAGCGCCGTGGCCACACTCCGTGACGCAGCGTTTCTGCATCGCCAGGGCGTGTACGTCTCGCACGGCGTCCTCCAGGCGAAGCGGGATGTCGTGCATTGGCTGGGCGGTCGCGTCGTGGCGACGCATGCGACGCCGCTCCCGACGCACTTGCCCCGTCCGCGACCGCTCTACTCGATTGTGCTCAAGCCCGAGGCGCGCGTGGCGGTGACGTACCCATCGATGCTACCGCCGTCATCGCTGGGTGCAGCCGTCGACGCACTCGCTCGGTGCGGCTACACGCTCACGGGACTCCATCGATGCAGCGCAGGCTGCGTCACCATGATATGCTTCAAGGTACACGCCGGGAGGCTGCTTGGTGCGCACGATCAAAGACTGTCTCTAGGAACACGGAGCGATCCATGCACCGATCTTGCAGCAAGCGTTGTGCGAGAGTACGCGTCTCAATGTACCGGTACTTGTCGCGTCGGAGAGTGTGACGGCGGCCATCGCCCGAGCGACCGAGGTGGCGTTGCCGTTGCCGAAGCCATCGCCGTCGCCTCCGCTCATTGCCGACTCCAATCGAGAGCAAACTCTCTTGGCGGTGCTGTCTCCGGTACACTCGTATCTTTTCCATGTCGCCGAACGCATGCCCACCATTCGTAGGAGGCGTTTTCCGACGCAGGCACCGCATCATTCGAGCTGCCGCCCCTCGGCTCTGCCCTCACATCCCTCTTGGGCAACGCCGAGACGTGGCATCTTCTGGGCCTCAAGCTCGTGACTGCGACGCCCGAGATGGCTACCGCCTTGGCCAAAGACATTCCGGGTCTTCCGGCGCGGCTGCTTTTGGTGGTCTTTCGACAACGGCTTGGCGGCAGCAGCATCAAGAAAGGGCTGGCTCATGTCTGGCTGTACTCGTCGCCAACCATCGTCTATGGGCTTGTGCACCAGTTTTTTGCGGCCTCGGAGCTGCATCAGACGCAGCCTTCGCCGTTGGATAGGTGCTACCCGCCATATGCGCAAGAGCCGTTCTTTCTACTCGACAAGCCGGCACCGCTGCTATCGCTCGTGGTTATCAAGCCACACGCACCGACGTCGCTACTGCCATTGCTCTTCCGGCGCCTCGCACGGGACGGCTACACGCTGCTGGACGTACACATGACGGTATTGTCGCCCCTGCAAGCCCACGCCTTCGCGACCAACGATGACGATCAAGAGGCCTTGCTCACGTCCGCGCCTGTTGTACGTGCCAGTATCGCCGAGCAGCTTGCGATGTGCGTCTAGGTGGTGTGCACCGTGCGTCGACTTGACGCCGTTGCGCGCCTTCAAGAGCTCGTTGGCCCCACCAACCCAGAGGACGCAAGGCGGGTAGCGCGGCACTCGCTTATTGCAGGCTACGGCATCGACGCGGCGCACAACGCGCTATACACTCCGTCGTCGTACGCGGCGGCGCGAAAGGACTTGGGACTGCTCTACCGAGACGTCCTCTCGGATGCCTTGTACGACGACCTCACGCGGTGCGTCACTTGGTCGTAGCACCCGTGGTACCTATGGAATGGTGTAGACGGAACACACCGCCGGCGCTGCAGTGGCGGCTTGCAGAGAAGATCCCATGCGTGGTAGAAATGACGCCAAAGACGCTGGTCGAGACGACGCTTGTCCTTTTGCTTGGACCGCTCGTGGACGTCGCGGGGGCCATTCTTCCGTGGCTTCTCGACGAAGGTGGTTTTTCCCTTGTCAACATCCAACTTGGCCCGGCGCTACGCAGTCACGCCCACCACTTGTACTGGGCGTCGCAGCTATCTACGGCCGCGCTCGAGATGCCCTTCATGGCCTTGGCGTTGGAGCGGGACAACGCCGTGTCTCGGATGCTGGCGCTCCTGGACAACCAAGCAGTGACCAAGTTCCTTCCGTCGAGCTCGGTACCTTCGTGATCGATCGGCAGAGCACTGATGCTGCTGCTAGGAGCGCAACGACGAGTGTCTCTTTGCTTGCTCCAGAACCTCCAAGCACGCACTGCAGGAACTCCCGCTCATTTTTACCGAACTGCACAACAGTGTGCACGCGATTCGGGCGCTCTAACTCTGTATGGTCGTACTTTCTTCCTATTGGAAAACTCTGTTTGATACCTGTGGTGAGGACACAGTGCACCTCGACGCAAGGTCTCACGACTGCACGCGACGACTGCACGCGTTGGGTACGACAACATTAATGTCGTACGTTTACGATGACAATATTGTCTTGCATTCAGAAGTTATACGCGGAACGAGCTGTACGACTTTTGTGGCTCGTTTGTGGAGCGGGGCTTCTCTTGCACGGGCGGTGCGGCGGGCGCGAGGAAGCGAAGAATGTGGCTGCCGCCGACTGCACGTCGCTTGCAGTAGACGCTAATGGCCGCCAGCACCGCGAAAATGCTCAGCGCCGTCGCCACAAGCTTGATGTAGCCTATCGTAATATGAGAAAGGCATTGTGGTGTGTCATCGTGACAGACCGTTTCGGATCATGGTGCGCATCTTGGTTTCAACGTACGTGGCCGAGTAGCAAGACCAGTCGAGGTGCACCATGCGGGCCTTCGCACCGTCGTAGTGAAAGGCCGCCGTGCACGGAACGGGCTCGCCGTCCAAGACGAACTTGACATAGTCCATGTGCCCCGCAACCGAAAGCTCTTGGGTCTCGTACGCCGTCCAAACCGGTTCTTCGTCCGCGTACTGATTGCGCGTCGCCTACCGTTTGATGTTGAGCGATACCTCTCACTCACAAGGTCCTACGAGGTCAATGGACGGCCGAATGTACTCTGGGACGTCCGCGATCGGCTGCGCGACGCGCTTGTTCTCCAGAAACGAGTCGGCTTCGCACGTCTCGTGGTCGTTGGTCCGGTTGAAGCACGTGTACTCGGCGCTCGCGACTGTCACGAAGTCGTTGCCGCCAAACTTTTCCGAGTTGAAGTGGATGCTCATGAGCATATTGACGCGGTACATGGACGCCAGTACAGGCTCAATGGTGGCGTTGGCGTCGCCGCTAGAATTTGGTACCTCCTCGAGCATCGGCAGTGGGAACCGGGCCACCTAAAACAATCGATGGGACTATGTACAAAGCAGGCATGGATGGCATCCACTACCTCGGCTCCGATGATGCGGCTTTCGCTGACGTTGGCGAAGTGGAACGTGAGCTTGAGTCGGTAGTCCCGCAAAAAGCGGCCGCCGACTCGTCCAAGAACGGGTCGTTCACAGGGACAGGAACGAACCCGCGGTCGGTCGCCGCTGCCAACGCGAAACAAAGACCAGCAAGTACGGCCCGCATGAGCAATTCTGGAATGCGCCACGATAGATCAAACCCGCCTCGTTCGAGATATCGCGTGCATGTTCTAATCTTCGTCGCGACCTCAAACCTTCGAGATAAGTGACTTCGAAGCCCTCTTTTCTTCTTCCTTTTTGTTGTTTTTCGATGCGTTAGGACGCAAATTGTTATCCAAAGAGCCTTGCGTCACTGTATATTGTGCAATTGACCATGCAGCTCGTACGCAGCCTCGTCGCCTTTCTCTCGGTCGCGGCGGCGACCTTCGTGCCGGTGGACCCTTCCGATCCGTTTGTTGCTGCCGCCACGGACGAATTTATGAAGACGTACGACCGGTTCCTCTCGGACGTCTTCGCGGTCGTGAGCGACAAGACGGTGCTCAACGCAGAGGTACTGCCGACATGTAGGATAGGAGACTCATCTCCTTGCGTAGGTGTACAAGCACCCGATTTTGCTCGACGATCCGTACTACGAGGACGAGTACGAAGAGTCGTACTACATGGCGGGTGCCACGTACAAGCTCAACGTGCTCCTCAAGCTCCAATTTGACTCGGTTGCGTTCGCAGGCGACCCGTACATGACGGTCGCCAACTGCATCTTTGTGTGCACCAACGACACGGACGGCAACGTCGACTGCACCGGCAAGACGTTTGAGCAGTTCCCTCGCGTTGCGCTGCCGACGGACCGCATTGAGGAAGGCCCGATCCGCGCCTTGGTCAGCGAGGTAGTATGTGTCCTCCTGCTGGCGATCTCCTCACGCTGCGTTGATGCTAGCACCTCAAGCACATGTACGACGACGCGCATTTCGAGCTCACTGCGTACGAGGCGCAGAATGACAGCATTCATAGCGACTTGGTCGAGTACTTTCGCTTCACGGCCGAAGGCGAGCCGGTCGAGTGCGAGTTTGCGGTCTATCGCGACGGGTCCGCGTCGCCGCCGACCCGCCATATGCTCTACTTTGACGACAAGTGCATCGTCGCCAAGTACCATGGACAGAGCCTTGCCGACATTGAGCACGACGAGCGGTTGCACACGACGCTTATGCTCACGACGCTCGCGCTGCTGACCGTCATCGCTGCCTGCGTGTCGCTTCGAAGCCGCGTGCGCCAAGCCAAACGCATGGGCTACCGGCACGTGAGGTTCCAGCCGTCCGAGACGCCTCGTGGTGTCGGGAACGCGCCAGTCGAAGCATAACACGCCCTGTAATGTGAAATGGATCCGTATTACGGTAGCAACTTCAAGCGCCGATAAAGCCAGCGTGTATCATCGTATGCAGCGCCTTGAAAAAGCGTACGCACGCAATACGTACCGTTGAGGCGGCAGGCCAAGGGCTTTGGCTACACCATGGCGCGGCGCATCGTCTATGCTGCGCCGGCGGGACGGGCGAGGCCCTGGCAGCAACCCTCGGCCGCACTGCGCCGGTCGCAAGATCCGGTGTCGTCCCGTGAAACGATGAAATTTTCGAGCACAGTCGCATTTCTCCGACGCGCCGACGCTTTTCATACAAAAACCGAGGTTAAACGAAAAAAGCGTCGGTTTTGTGGCAGCAAAAAGTCCATCTTGCGCTGGCTTGGTCACGTTACTGTATACCAGCATTTGTCACGCGGCGACGTCCAGCCGGCCACCCTCGCCTCTATGCAAGCATCCGCGAAGAAGGGGTCGTACGTCCGCGACAACATCTCCGAGACCTCTTCTCCCTCGTACGACGACAGCGAGGAGGCCATGCACCATGGAGCTCATGCGCATGCATAGGAACGCGCTCTACTACAACCCGTCGTCGACGCCCAAGTCCATGGCGTACCAGCACTCTGAGAGCGACATGCCGAGCACGCTCGCCGGCCGGGCAAGGACACGGACCGCCTCGGCTGGTTCCATGCCAAGATCCGCATCGAGAACTCGATCCACTGGGCCAACAACTTTGCGATTCAGGCGCTCATGCTGCTCTTCTTCCTTTGCGCGCTCGCGGCGACGATTACGATCCCGGCGCTCGGGTACCGTGTCTCGGTCGGGCTCCTCGGCGGTAGTACGGTCACGATCGTGTCGTCGTCGGCCGTCATCTACACGTACTGGCACCTTCCGTCGTGGAAGAAGCACCCGAACCCGCTCATCTTTTACCGGAGTCTCTGCGACGTGGGCTTTGTGCTCATTCTGCTCTTCACCGAGCTCTACAAGTAGAACGACCTCTATCCATGGACGTCGCGAACGTATTGCGCGTAGGTGCGGCAATGGCGGCTGCAACTTTAGCCTCCAAAAGAATGTGACAGACATTGAGACGCTGGAGATTTTGTCCGAGAAGGGCTGCAACGTGGCTGCTGGCTTTACGCAGTTCTTCCTCCTCGGCTCCGAGTGCTGGTTCTGCGTCATGACCTACGACATGTACACTTCCGTGCGCAGTCCGTTCACGGACTTTAAGCGCAACGTGCGCCTCTACCACATTTTTGTCTGGGGCTTTGGTACACCCTCGTGCTTTTGAAGGCATTATTGGCTGATACGACGGCTTTAGCCCTGCTCACATCCATTCTCCTCGTGTCGCTCGACAAGGCCGGGCCGTCCGAGTTCAACTACTGCTGGGCCAAGCCCGTGCACAAGGACACGGGCAGCTCTAGCAGCGGCCAGACCAACCTCCTCTGGTCCATCAACACCACGTACGTTCACGTTTCGAACTCCATTTCTGAGTTTTTTCAACTCTAGGTCGTGGGGTTTTTTCTACATCTGGATCATCCTTTTCTGGGTCGTGGCACTCTGGTACGTCAATATGTGTGATCTAGATGGCCCTTGTGACCAGACGGTGGTAGTGTCATTGTGTTTGCGTGGAAGCGGCTCAAGGCTGGCCTCGCGGAAACCCTTCGCCTCCGTCTTCGAGTCTTGCATTCGGTCACCGTGTACGTTATACCTATCCATCGATCCAAGTATCCTCATCTCCTTGGATAGCTACGTGATTGCAATCATCATCTACTGGGCGATTACATTCGGCGTCTACGTGCCGTACCTCGTGCTGGGCCTCGTCAACAACCCGAATTCGTACACGGCGCTGACCCAAGTCATGATGTTTTCATCACGTGCAAGGGGTACTTTGACTTTATCGTGTGGTTCCAGATCAACGAGCTCTCGTTTGGGTACACTCTCCTCTCCTCTCCTCGAGAGCTCACACGCGTCCTGTAGCGACGGCCTTCTCGTCGGGAACGCGCCCAACTCGAAGAAGGGCCTTCCCGTCGACGTCGACTTGAGCCCGCAAGTGAATCTCGCGTTGCGCTGCGAAGTGCTCTACTACACGACGACCGGCATCATCCAAGCGGCCAAAGAGATTGTGACGCTGCCGGACAATGCGACCGTCAACCAACTCCGGCTGCTGCCCCAAGGCCAGACGACGCTTGACGCGCCGTCGTCGACGACGATCTTTACCGACTTTTGCCCGCACGTGTTTCACGCGATCCGGCACCACTTTGGCGTCTCAACCGAAGCGTACGTGCAGAGTCTGAGCAAGACGACCAAGGAGCGGCTCAGCGAAGGCGCGAGCGGCGCGTTTATGTTCTTCTCGCAAGACCAGCAGCTCATTGTCAAGAGTATGAGCCCCGGCGAAGCGTCGTTTCTGCAGTCGATCGCGCCCGAGTACGGCAGCTACCTCCTCTCGCACCCCGACTCGCTCCTCACGCGCTTCTACGGCTGCCACTCGGTGCAGCTGTACGGCAGCACGTTTTACTTTGTCGTGATGGCCAACTTGTTTTCGGACAACTCCAAGACCATCCATCGGCGCTACGACATCAAGGGCAGTTGGGTCAATCGGTCGGCCAAGCAGCCGACAAAGGGCAAGAGCGTCACGTGCCGGCACTGCAACGGCAAGTTTATCTTTGGCGTCGCGGACGCCGAGTCGAACGCGTGCCCCCTCCGCGTTGGCGGCAACCACGAGCCGAACGTGATCCTCAAGGACAACGACTTGACGCAGAAGGTCCGACTCAACGAGGCGGAAGCCGAAGAGCTCTACGCGCACATTTGCAAGGACGCGTCCTTCCTCGCTAGCCACGGCATCATGGACTACTCGTTGCTCATGGGGGTCCACAACGTCGAGTACCGCGTCACGGACGACATGGAGCTCGAGCTCGAGGAGACGGAGAACTCCAAGAGCCTTTTGCTCAACAACAACATCAAGATGAAGGCGCGGGACGGCAGTGTCGCCAAGATGCGCGACCCGATGGCCGCCGAAGACGAGGACGCGCTGCTGTCCGAGGGCCTTCCCCACCTCTTTAACGGTATGCGCGAGTCGAATGTTGTGTCTGTGGTGTAACATGGATGAGGGGTAGGCACGCGCCGCGCCAACACGGTCGTCGGACCGGCGTGCTATTACTTTGGCATTATCGACATTTTGCAGCTCTGGAACTTTGACAAGAAGCTCGAGCGCGGGTTCAAACTCCACGTCCTCCGAAAGGACCCGGATGGTCTCTCGGCCGTGCCGCCGACCGCGTACAAGGACCGGTTCTGCCTCAAGATGGCCGAAATTCTCAGCATTGGTGTCCACGACGAAGACAGCGTTCCCGTTGACGTCAACGGCGCCAGCAGTCTCGAATCGCCTACAGACGGGCTGCACAAGCGCTACCACCTCTAAGCTCTCAGAGCACCATTCCACATTTCAAAACAAAACCAAAAACCTATACTCCAATGTACTTTCTACTCCCATCCGATCGGGTGTACGTATTCCTTTTGTATATCAATGTATCAATGTATCGATTGTGTCGTCGCTCACACCGCCGGGTGACGCGTGCGCAGCGCCTTGTCGACGCGGCACAAGATGGTCTTGAGCTCGGACGTGAGCGCGACGCTGCGTGCGTGCACCTGCGACGACGGCACGAACGAGCGCGGCGCGGCGACGTGGAGCTGCGACACAAAGTGCTCCTTGATCTCTTTGTCCTTCTTGCGCATGACGCGCTTGACGTCCGACGGCAGGGACGGAATCACGAGGTACAAGGCCGCGTACACCATCACGCACGTGTGCTACGCAATGTGCATACAAAACGCCATATAGACAATAATGATGTGTGTACCTCGAGGATCAGAAAGATCCGGAACCGATCGGCATCCGCAAGGCACGTAAAGTTGGGCACGAGCGGTGGAAGGTGGTCGCCGTATCCGACTTGACCGAGCGCGACGTTGCAGCCAGGATAGAACGACTCGAGAAGTCCACTCGCGTAGCAGACGAGCGCGATGTTGATGAAGATGGCCCACATGTTGTTGAACTTGAGGAAGAGGTTCCAGGACCCAATCGAGCTCGTGCGCTGGGGCACGCGGCGTGCCGACGTGTACGCGAGCTTCATAGTGCCATTTCATAAGCTAGAGTCGATCAAAAGGAAAACGCACGGACCTGAAACGCTGACGAGCGCACTTCAAAGAGGTTGTTGACGACGGCGCAGAGCGGAATAAAGGGCCAAATGCACGTAAACTGCGACACATAGCCGAACTGCACACACGTGTCGGCATAGTCGGCAAAGTTGTCGTGCGGCGACTATAAGACGTCAAGATCTTTTGACCCTAGCCCTATGTCAACGCCTCGTATTACCTGGCGGCCTTGCTCGAGGACGCGGTCCACGAACCGTTTGCGCTGCTCGAGGAACGCCTGCGTCTGCGGACCGGGCACCTTGAGCCCCGCGATGAGGTGCCGGCCTTTCCGAGGCGTTTCGTCGTCCGCGTTGAGCTCAGCCGTGGACTGGGCGCGCTCTTTACGAGGACTGGACGAGAGTTTGCGACCGACCGTGCGAAGCCCCGAGACGAGAAGGTCCGTGACGCGCGGCGACGCGACATTGCTGGGTCCCTTGACCGAGTGCTCGCGATTCAGGGGTTGACAAAGTCCTGCGACACGGCGTGGTGGTACACGTCGTAGTTGTCCTTGGAGCCCAAGGCTTTCTTAGCACCGCGCAAGAGATAGTAGGGAATCATTTTCTCAAAGACGATCTTGAGGCCTAGACATTGTCGATGGACAGATGAGACACATTGACCACATAAGAATCATTTCCGAAAAATGCAACAAAAAAACATGAAAATACCTTGGGTCACGACGAGCGGCGTCACAAAGATATTGCCGAGGACAAGAAGGCCGGGGCGGTAGCTCGAGGGCCACGGCAAAATGTGAGACTCGTTCAAAAGGTCGCTAAACTGCTGGCCGTACGGGATGTAGACGAACGCACACATCCAAAACCACGAGTAAATACCGAAGAAATCCCACAAAAAAATCTTGAGTGCCCGCGAGCTCTCGTAGCGCTTCTCCGTCCGGTGATTTTCCCAGTTGGTGAGCGCGACCGCAATGACGCGGAAGAGTTGGTACTGCACAATGTCGACCACCAAACCGAGCAAAATGCCTTGACAGAGCACGAGAATCCAATTTTCAAAGCCAGTTGTCGAGCACCCCCCGCGCAGCCCGACTTGAAGAAAATACAAGTCGACAAACCCGATGGTAACGACGGTCTCGACAGCGATGAACGCGAGCAAGATGAGGTATCCGACGGCGTACTTGAGGCGGCGCTTGTACTTCGGGTAGTGCAATTTAACGACGCCGGTCGCCGGATCCATACGTGGCACGCCGTGGAACGCGCGGTTCGGAACGTTGACGTGCTCGAGCTGCCCGACGCCCCACTTGAGCCGAATGGCCGCGCGTCGGCGCTTCCAAAAGATCAGAAACAGTGTGCCCCAGAGTGTCGAGACAAAGATACCAGTGACCGCAAGGAGCTGAAAGTACGCGGTCGGCGAGAACGCCGAGACAAGGTAGATGCCGACGCCCCAGAGCGCGAGTGGCACGAGCCACTTGGTGTAAAAGTCCATGTAGGCAAAGTACAAGCCAGTTTTTTCACCGAAATGCAGCCGGATCTTCTCGATATGGCGGTCGTTGTTGCGGAAGTAATCGCGCCACTCGTAAAACCAGCAGCCAAGGACGTCGCGGTTGAACGCATCGTCGTGCAGCGGGAACGCCTTGTAGACGTCGCTGCTGTCGTTGAGGCCGACGCCGCCGTCGCTCACGGGCGTGTACAGCAAGCGATCGACCAGCACGAGACGGTCGGCTGCCGTGAGCGCCGGCGTTGAGAGGTTCAGGATGTGTTCGCCGTACCGCCCGCCTTCGATCCAGCGCTCGATCTCGAGCTTCTTGCGCAGACGCGACAAGAGCGGCTCGGGGGCAAAGACGAGAAGGAGTACTTTGAGGTGGCTGGCCTGCGCCTTCTTCTTCTCACTCCAGCGCGTCTCGAGGCGCACATGAAGCCCGGCAGCGAGCAGTCGCTTCGAAACGTCTTGGACCTTGCTGATGATCTCGACGTCAAAGTGCGTTGCGTGGAGATCCTGGACTTTGACACCGCCAGCGCCTTTCCGACCGACTTTAAAGAGAATTGCGTAATCAAAGAGGAGCTTGGACGGCTCAGGCTCGGCGAATTCGCTTGTTGTCATGGCCGTGTCAAAGCTCGAGCCTCGGCTCGACGCGTCGGGCAACCACGTTTTGGGCATCGATATCGCAATGCGATCGGGGGTCTCCTATGCCAATATCATCTACTAGTATGTGCGATTGCCGACGGAGAGGGGTACATCGAGGATGTCGTGCACGGCTTGGGCGATCGCACCGTCAAAAGCCTCTGCCACGCGCGCTTCGTCCGTCCGCGCCGTCGCCATGTCGCGCTGGCAAGGACCGTTGGGAAGCTGTTGGGAAGATCTAAACTTGGCGCCCAATCTCGACGATTCAAATACTAGGGGGTGTCACGAAACGGCATTTCCATACAAATCGCCTGGTTGGCCAAATCCCGTGTACCAAATCCCATTGGCCAATGGGATAGCAAATTCAAAGATAGTACACTACGCGCCAAAAGTGACTGCCGAGTAAACATCCAGATATAGTGACTACGAGACTCTTGACGCTTCCCATATGACGCTACCCTGCCGCCGTCAGATTTCCGATTTCCTTTCTATCGTTCGTTTCCAAAGCAAACCTTCGTAAACCATATGGTTATTGCCCAAGAGTACATAAAACCTGTTATTCATTTACTAATAGTACCCTTGTTATTGCCTCATCCAATTTGCATCTGGAAAATCAGAAAATTCTAGTGCCGAAAACCTCATCACCAAAGTATCCCATCGCATTTGAAAAACAGTTCGTCTCCGCTCTCGCAGGCTTCGTGTGCGGGAACAAATCGTGCCGTTGTGGCGTTCGCTTTGGCACCTGGCAAACTTAGCGGCTTGTTGCGTCCTCAGCTCCAGCCCACGAATGTCATCTAGAACCATGAGTCTCGGAGCTCTGAGTCCGAGAATAATGCTGCGGCCGACACTGGTGTCGTTTAGGACTGCAGTACGTTCGCGACCAGGTTGTCGCGAACGCGACCAAAGTGACACGATCACAAACACACAACCACACTGCACTGAAAAGCAATTCGGTCGCATCTTCAACCTATCGTGGGTACCGACTGCAAGGGGATTGAGAGCACCAACTTGGCACTGCCACTCATTTTTCATTTGACCCTGTCCTCGATGAAGCCCACGACGTACCTCCTCCCGACGACAGCGACCACTGGCTATGCGATTCCGGACAAGAAGCCGCGCCGCCACATGAAGACGGTCGCCATGGCCGCCGCGGGACTCTGCCTCGGTGGTGTCCTCCTCTCTGGCGCCTCGCACGTTGCCCCGAAGATCATGAACCGCGTCTCGTCGCATCCAGCCCCCGAGGTCAATGTGTGCGAGACGTCGCACATCTTGACGTACGACCAGCTCCACTCGTGCGTGAAGAGCCTTCCGTACAACGCCACCGAGAAGGCCGAGCTTGTCGAATACTACCGCCGCGCGGTACACTTCTGTCTATCTTATCTGTCAGCATCTCACTCCATTCATCTGTAGCTACCGCTCTATGTCTTTGAGAGCATTTCCAAGGACGCGCATGCATTTGGCCCATACGAAACGCCGGCCGTCGATCTGCAAAGCGAGCTCAACGCGATCGAGGCGACCGAGTACGAGAACGACGCGGAAATGCAGACCGCGTTTTTTTCGCTCATCAATAAGCTCAACGACGCCCACACGACGCACGCCAAGCCGTACCCGTACTACAGCTACTATGCGCTGCAGCCCATCTCTCTTCTGAGCGTCGAGCGCCACAACCGTCAAGTCATTCAGCTCCGCGACGTCGATAGCGCCGAGGTCGAGACGTACCGCACACTGTACCCGTCGACGCCAGTGGACTTCGACGTTTCGGGCTGGGACGTGCTGTCCATTGACGGTGTTCCCGCCATCGACGCCCTCAGTAGCTTTGCGGACGGCGTTGGGCTTCTTAAGGATGCAGGTGGCCGCTTCAACTTGGCGGTTTCGGGTTACAAGACGGGTACGCGCATCCTCTCGTGCTGCCACGTCATGAGTTTGACGTTTGTAAACAGGGCGTGGCTGGTTTGTGTTCCGGTCCATGGGCACGTTTGACGTGCCCACGCAGCGCCGCGTGACGTACGAGCTGCGGCACCCGACGACGCGCGCGACCAAGACCGTCGCGTACGACTGGCTGGCGCTCAACATGGCCACAAAGAGTGACGACCGGTCCAAGCACAACAAGAAGTACGACACGCTTTTTGAGAAGCTCAAGGACCACTTCATTTCGCACGAGCTGTTTGAGACGCCGCCCGCCGTCGAGTACATGGACGCAGTCGGCGAGAACGCGGCGGTGCTCAAACTCAACGCGTTCAGTGGCGGGGACGACGATTTGACGTTCGAGGACGTCTTTGCGGCCAACGTCACGTCGGCCTTGGCCCAGTTTACTGCCAGCAAGAAGGAAAACTCATTTTGGACGTCACGGGCAACGGCGGTGGCAGCATTTGCCTCGGGTACGCGACACTGCGGTACCTCTTCCCCAACTTGGACGTGAACGGGCCGCACGAAGCCAAGGGCCCGCACCAGGACGGGGTCTACCGCGCTCGTCGCACCGAGCTTTCCGAGACGATCGCAACGATCCTCGCCACGATGCAGGTCGAGGACCCGACGAGCACGACGTTTTTAGCGCCGACGCAGTTTTACAGCCCGTCGACCCAGCGCCAGTTCCGCGACGCGTCGTGGATGACCAATGGGGTATGTCCGACCTTTCTTGTTTGCGAGACGGCTCATCGTGGTGGGGACAGGAGTCGACGGTGCTGGGTGAAATGAGCCAGGGTGTTTACCGCGGGTGTGCCGATACGTACGTCAAGTACCCCGCGCCCGGCGTCTCGTTTTCAATCGCACCCGAGAACCTTCTCGTCGTCTCGCAAGGCTTTTGCGGCTCAACGTGCGCGGTCTTTACGAGCTACATTCAAGCGTACAACCTCGGCCAAACCGTCGCGCTTGGCGGGTACCTGCACACGCCGCAGCAGCCGTTTGGCTTTCCCGGCGGCCAAGTCGGCCAAGTGGTACGGTCTCATGACCGCACCATCGCGTAGATCTCATATGCGATGGATGTGTAGTCGGCCTTCACCGAGCTCGGCAACGCCATTAGCGGCGCGTCGGAGCTTGGCGTCGACTTGAGCCCCGTGGTGCCGCAACCGCCGACGTCGGGCCGGTTCCCGACTTTGGCTACACGTTCTTGTCGATCTCGCCGTGGAAATCAGACAGCGTCGACACGTTGCCGCTCGAGTACACGTTTGTGCCTGCAACCCACTCGATTTTGTACCCGAGTGACCCGCTCGACTACGATGCGATCTATGCCAAGGTCCTTCAAGTCACATCGTCGTCCCAGCCGTAAGCACCCTCGCCTCCAATCACGGTAATACCAACACTACAAGCACTCGCTTTTGAATACACAAATAAAACCCGGCAGCAACATAAATGATAAGGCAGCTGGTCTTCTTGGACTGTGCACATTTGCATTCTTTGAAAAGTGTAGCACGAGGGTAGATTCGCCAAATGGCACAAACACATCAAACCGCTCTCTGGAAAGATTTAGTGGCCATCTCGACACCAATCTGAAACGCCACCGCTATGTACCTGGTATTTGTATCGAGAGGAGCAGGAATGGGCTTTCAACTCAAGTTCACGATGTCTCCCAACGATAGTACGTCCATGGGGGTCGCTGCGAGTAAAGTATCTGGACCGCGCTGTATCCACGTACCAACCGGATAGAGCAGACGCTGACACGCTGCAGGAGATCAGTTAACATGTAGTAGGCCATAAGGACCCGTTCGCTGTGTTGAGCGCGTGCCATTTGGATATATAGTGCGTTTCAAGGGGGCGTCGTCGTCAAGGCCCAAGTGGACGTGCAAGCACCGCCCGAACGTGTTTGCTTTTGGTGCCCATGCGGTTCCGATGCATCATCTATCGTCGCTCGTGCTCGGTCAACGCCTAGCCTACGAGGCCCTGCGAGTCGATGCCCAATTTGCGGACAAAGACCGTCGCTTGTAACATCCGGAATATAATACATAAGAAAGAAAAACCTTTCTACACGACGTGGAACGACGCATCGAATCGTCGTCCTTCCACAAGATCCACGTCGTTGACGATATATCCATCGGCTATTTCGTCGACGCAAAAGTAGCAAATTGAAACACTGTGACGTGAATTTGAGAGAATGACACATAGCTTAGGACCGCCGTACGCGCTTGGCTGGCGGTGCTGTCGGCTTGGTGGACGCTTCATCGTCCGTTCCACGTTTTTGCCGCGTCAAGGTCTCGACGAAGGCCGCAACATGGGCATGCATCGCCATCATCCTCTCGTCCTCCGAGACCTGACTTGGCTTCCGCACCTTCTCGAGGTGAAGCACGTTTGGAATGTACGCGCCATCTCCAACGACAAAGCGAAGCTGCGACGCCTCGGCGACGATGCGCGCGACGCTCGGACACATGTCGCCCTCGCCCACGGGGTATTGCAACATGGCCTCGTCTGCTTGCGCCAAGAACCAATGCACCAAGGTGCACTGGAGGCAGTGCTCCGGGTGGAGCTCAACCGGTCGAGGCATTGCAAAGTTGGTGACGTAAGGCAGCGCAGACACCGCGGCAAATCGATCAATGGTCGCTGTCACGAGCAGCGCATGGACGCAGCTGTCGCCGTCGAGGCGCATCAAAACAGGCACGAGTCGGTCGTGGATCGTGTCGAGAGTCTTTGGCAGCAGCGCCAAATACCTCGTTGCAAAGGGAACGATAGCGTCCGGCGCAAAGCTCTGGAGCAACTGCACCACGTCGAGGAAGAGGAGAGCGCCGGGCGTGACCGTTGCCTGGTTGTTGATGTGCCCCGAGCGCTGGAGCGAATCGAGCAACTTGAACCTGTCCACAAGCGCGGGGACCGACGCGCGAATGTACGCAGTGACGAGGTGGCCAAAGAGCGCGTCGTCCGCCAGCTGGGATGCGATCGAGGCGGCGATCGGAAGGAGCGCCAGATCGTAGAGCACCACCAGCGTCTCAAAGAGTGCTGCATCCAGACGCTGCGAGCGGCTTGCCAAGACGAGTACCGCGGCGGCGACGTTGGCGTGGTCGTTGGCCAACTTGGCCATCCCACTCACCGTCATGGGCGACTGTAGGGCCATGACAATGCGATCCATGACGGCCGGTGGCAGGGGCAACTCGGGCTGGCAGCGCACGGCCGACGCAAGGCCGACAGCTATGTCAATGAGCGGGTCCAACACCGTCGAAGACGAGAGCACGTCAACGACCGAGGGGAAGTCGAAGAGGAACGCATCGATGGCTGGCACGAGGATGAGAGGCAGACGCTGACTCGCATAGTTGGCGTCTTGGAGCTGCGGCACAATGGTGGTCACGTAGTGGTCGAGCAAGAAGAGGCCCTTGGCAAAGGTAGGACCGTGATAGCACCAGTCGAAGTCACCGATATCAAGATCAGGTGCCGTGAGCACGACGTCGTAGCAGCGCTTGAAGAGCTCGGCTTCAAACGGTTGAGACAGTGGGGGGCACACGGCAGCTTCATCGTCATCCAGCCCCGCCAAGCTCGTAAGCAGCTGCAGCGTCGCATGGGGCTGTCTCTTGATCCAGCGTCGAACCAGTTCGAGCATGGCAGACTCCAGCAGTCCCCAGCCATGCTTGGACAAGAGGCCATGAACGACAAGAGCGACACTGGTCAAGAATAACTCCCCCGAGGTCGCGATCGCGTAGAGAAGAGCGGTCGAGACCTGCACGTCCTCGATCGCCATCACGAGCTGATGCAGCTTCTCGAAGCACGCCAAGTTGCGTGTTTGCTGCTGTAGCCAGTGCATGCGCCCACGCTCGACCTTGATCAAGGAAGACCCATGGGCGCCGGTGAGGGGCATCGCCCCCAGAAAAGCTCTCGCGTGTCCGAGATGCAAAGGTACCCGTCGTCGTCGTCGTCGCCACGCTCCAGTCGCCGCTCCAGAAATGCCCAGAGGTCCGCGATATCGGCAAAGCACACCCGGTGGCGCCTGGGCCAAAAGACGAGCACGTCCGACGGCGACTGAAACCCCACATGCGTCCGAAGCGGCAAGTGCAAAAAGCCTTGAAGCGTGTGGCCAATAACACTCTGAACGACCGCATCTGGGATGTTGCACGCGGGATGCGGCTCGAACGCAACCACGTCGCACGTTCGGTTTCTCGAAAGCGTGGCCAGACCGACGTCAAAATTGCCGGCTGCCAAAAGCACATTCACAAACCCCAACTCGCAGAGCGTGAGCGCTGCAAACGTGAGAGTGGACTCCGGCTCGTCGAGCTCCAGTCCGAGTCGCTGGACCTCTTGCGACGTCGAGTGTCCCAGGGCTTGGAACGCCGCGATAGCAGCGTCCTGCGCCGGCGGCGTCATGCGCATGGGTTCGTCTCCGACGTCGTCATAGCACAAGCGGTAAACAAGCGCAACGCGGCGCCCGGACGTGATGGGCGCCGACGTGATGGTCGTCGAGAGAAAGGCGGCGGTGAACGGTGTCTCGATGAGCGAGACGTCATCGCCGAATGTTTTCAATTGGCCGGCGTGGGCCAACGTGATGACGCCGCCCGTGTGTGCGGACGGAAGTAGCACGATGAGCACACCAAACGTCGTTGCGTTGATGTCGTCGTCGTTGGAAGGCTGCAGGCGAAAGCTGTCGGCGTCGCCAACGTCGTCCACAACCATGTGCGAGAGCACCGTGTACGCGGTGCTGGAGGGTGCCAGGGGCTCGAAATAGGCCCAATTCATGGCCGCAAGCATGTCGTCCTGGCCGTCCATGTACCGCTCTTCGAAGGGGATGTCGGAAGCGGAAATGATCTTGGCGGGGTAGAGCGCGGCGATTTGCGCTGCTTGCGCGGCGCTGAGTGGCCACGCGAGCGGCTCGTCCATGCCCGTGAGGCGGAAGAGCAGCGGCGCCGGATGTGGTAGCGCATGCGTGGTGGCGAAAGCGCTCGGCTCTTTCAGCAGCTTGTACGCGGCCTCGTACGTGGCAACCGCAGGATTCTGCATGACGAAAAATGCAATGAGGTGCTATTTCGGTGGTGCTGGTCAATCATTTTGCTCGTTGGACGGGTGAAACCGGTGGCCGTGACGGCCACTCCTCTTTTGGCGAAGCTGGGTTGGTGCCGTACATCCTACTAGTACTGTGTTACGTAGCATGCTAACAAAGCTATACAACACACACAAAAAGTCTTAGCAGTGTCAATTAGGTACACGGTTACACCGCGCAGTGCTTCGCGCTAAAGCCCTGCCCATGAGCACGACGTTGCCGTGCAACGCTTCGCACAAAATCGATCGGCACACTGCGTGCGCCTTGACTCGCTCCGCTATTGGCGGGGGGACATGACTTAAAATCCACATTAGTTTACAGAAGAGAGAGATTGCAATAAATGTATGTACTACTGCCCTCTCCCGCCGGGAGATTTTTATATTGCACTTCGACTGCTCGTTGCGGCGCGTAAAAGCTATCGAGTGTAGAAGCGATCGAGTACCTTTGTCCGTGTACTTGTTTCTTGTATGCCACGTGTAGAAAATGGGAGCTGAACCAACTATCACCAGGGAGGAACCATTCTCTTCGCATTAAAAACGCCTTCAAAATCGCCGTCACTAAATGTGGCATCTTCGTGTTATTCGTGGCATGTGCCGCAATCCATCTTTGACAAGGCATAATTGTCACTGCATGCCTTGCACGCTGACGTGGAGTAGCATTTCATGACCCCCAAAGTGTCCTCTATCGCTGTGCCAAGTTGGAGCGATTTCATTTTCCAACTCGATTTGGTGCAAGACGCGGCTCGGCGGTCGTGGTGGGCGGTTTACAATCGCGTGGGATTGGTCCAAAATCCAAAAGAAATAGCCAATCGACTCCGTCCAACGCCAAAACAGCACGGCCGATTAAATTCGGGGGAATTTGCAAAATCAGCCCCCTGTTAACCGATGATTTGCAAAATCAGTTTTCGTTTGCAAAGCAGCCCCCATTTTGAATTAGGGGGCTGATATATTGTTCGAATTCCACTATTAAGTACCTGCGGTGCAATCGGAAACTGGTCAATTGTCCATTGTACACAAACACACCACCAAGTCGGTGTAATTAAAATATGTTCAAGACCAGTCAAGCTGCATATCTAGAGGGCGTCATGATACCCCAGGGTCGGCGCGGCCCTGCGGGCCTACACGCCTCCACCTGGGATCTACAATGAAATCCCTGTTAGTGTTGAGACTGGGGCTCGCTCCTCGCCAAGGCGCGGCCTGCACAAAAGTCAACACCCTACCTCCGCTGCGCTGCGGTGGGCAGACTTTTCTGGGCCGATGCTCTGTCGTCGCTCGCTGCCGTAACATACTTTCTAAGGGAATTTGCAGCTTGGTCCCGTTTTGTCACGCATGGGGGCTGATTTTGCAAATCATCGGTCAAAAGGGGGCTGATTTTGCAAATTCCCCCGAATTAAATTCGGGGTGTTGTTGCCGATGCCGAGTTGAACGGTACATTTTGTAGATTATATGCCACCTCGCCCATTTTGTGGCACGACTGCAACCATGGTGCCGACCGATGACGCTGTGCTGCGGTGCGCAGGCTTTTTCGAGCCAATATCTGTTTTATATTACGCGATGATTCCGTGCAAATTGCTCCTGGCACCCTTCATCAATTTATATTCGCCGGCTTTCATCAAGCGGAGGTACACATCGATGGGATCGGGAAGGCCTTACTATGTTTATCCTGAACGCGTTTCGCGGTATAGTCGTTGCCCAAAACACTTTGCTTACGTGGGGGCTAGCAACCTCTTTCTCAGTTTCCGACACACAGGCAAGCCCTCCACTTGAAAAGCTACGAGATAGCAAAAGACTGGAAGGCTTCCAAAAACCTTTATTTGCAAATCCAGTTGAAATCCAGATGGCAACTGAATTGAGAAAAACGTGCGAATTTTTTTCGCCCACATGTGCGAAGACGAAAATATCGTCTTCGCATTCGTGCAATCTGGATGCGCATCTGGAGACCGCCAACCAGATTGGCAGCGCGGCGGATGCGATGCGAAGAGGGCTGCGAAGAGGGGCTGTGATGGCTACGCAATGACACACACGTACATGATACTTATGCAGCAGCCTAACTCGCGCAACAGGCGCGCGCCAATGGACGCATTAAGGGCCCTCGTAGCTTAGCGCAGCACTTGCTGCCCACGGCGCGCAAGCGCCAGAACATCGATTGCTTAATCGATGACGCAAAGGACAAGAAGGAGAAGTCGTCCCGCGATAACGCCTTTATGCTGCGCGTCGAGGACATGAACGCTCGGCGTCAGGAGTGTTGGAAATCGTACAGCAACTACTGATCTAGACCAACCGAACTACACACTATGCACAGATTACCCATGGTCTAGCCTCCATCACGAACAATATCACTGTTATGTTTGCATTCTACTACACACATCTCCGACCGGGCCACGGTGCAGCACACTGCGTGGCTCAGACTTCGTACAAGGAGATGCGCGACAGGAGCGATGCGGTCCACCAGCGAGAACTCGACATACGCGAGCGTGAGGAGAAAGAAGCGCCGCGAGTAGGAAGAGCGCGCGATGCGCGAAGAGACTCGATAGCAGCTCTCAACAGCGCGATCGCGAAGCGCTTAAAAGCGAGTGCGTCGCCGCGACGCTCAATGTCGAGACGTTCCGGATGCTTCTCATAACGCGCAGCTTTATGAGAAGCATAAGGTCTGGAAAAGGCCATGGAGGGGCCTTTACGTTTTCTACGCGCGACAGAAGAATCCCCAAGACTCGACGCCCGGTCCCAGGAAGATTGGCGTCACGAGACCGCGCGGTAGTGTAGCAGTAGATGTAGCGTCAGTTGCCGTTTGGATTTTAACGTCTTAAGCCCACCTCTCGACCACCCGACGAGGTGAATACACGGCGACTGCCTTTCCCCCAAGCAAGTTGACCCATGTCGCCACAAACTTGACACTTTCACTCATAAATTTCGTCCAGTCCGAATTGCGTTTTTACAGGTATCTCCACCATATAGCGACACGACAAACACGCAACTTTCCATTGCACCACCAAGTTTGAATTGCGTTTTCTAGCTCGTTCTCTCTCTCTTCACTTGCACACACCCAACCCAACCCATCCAGCCAAGCGATGTGATGCAAACCGAGCCGGTGCTCGCGCTCCGCCCGCTCCATATTGCCGTTCTTCGATGGGCTGATGATCTCGCTCTCACAGATCCGCCGGTAGGCAACGCAGAGCCCACCGCAACACTACCGGTTCCGGCAAGATTGCCGGATCCACAGTCTCGCATTAAATTTATTGCTCTTGGCTTATCTCGCTGTTGTTTCAGCTTCCCGAGCAGTTGTCCTTGGGCCAGCTGATCGTTCCATCGATCCCAAAGCAGAGCACGCCGGTCACGGAGACGCTATGGGTCCATCCTAACAATACATTGAGCGTGGACTGACACCTTGCGCATTGGAATTACCGTTGTTGTGGGCGTTCTCGTGCTTGTGTAGCCTCAGCCCGTCGTCTTATCGTAGCGGCCGATGGGCACGTGACGGTGGCATCGGGAAGCGCAGCGGGCGTTCGCAGCATCGCAACCTCGGCGCGGGCGACGACGCGGCTGCGCGTCGACGGTACGGTGGCGAAGAAGGCGCGGCCAACGATCTTGCGCTCACTCGTGCTCGTGTTGAAGGCGAGAGGCAGGCTCATGGAGCAGCGCTACGTCCGATGCCACGTGCATGGCGAAATTGAAAATGAACGCCGTCGAAATCTTTTGTCTTTTTCGAGCGCCGTGGGCCAATGACCATACAAACACCAATATAATGCGATCTGGCGATCGGATGCAAACTGGATGACGTTCGCGGGCGTCGCGCGCGTTTTGGAGGCGTACGCGAACTGGATGCATCTGGATAGCGTATTTTTAATCACTTTTTTTGCGCAAAAAACGAAATAAAAAGACAACTGGATTTTGCAAATAAAGGTTTTTTGGAAGCCTTCCACTGGCGAACAGTCGAGTTGGCGTCAGGTACCACTATCACGAGATACGACAATAAGAAAAACGTCGTTTGGACCATAGGAAGCAAAGAGACACGTGTTATAACACCTGTACCGCCAACTCCTAATCGTCTTCTTCGCCGTCATCCGTCGGTGCTGGAACGCGGGGGACTTTGGACGTTGGCTTGGGGGGCAGAGTCGGCCGACCAACGCACTTTGCCGCAGACAAAAGCGCATCAAGCTGACCCTTGTCCTGGAGAGCCTGCAGATCATCGTAGCCGCCGATATGCTTGTTGCCGATCCAGATGTTCGGCAGTGTGTCCTGGTGCGTCGTGCGCACGAGCGAGTAGTAGATCTCCATGCCCAGCGGAGTGGACGAGGTGTCGTCAATGCCGCGGTAGCTATAGGTGGCGTTCTTGGACTTGAAGAGGACCTTGGCTTTGGCGCAGTACTCGCAGCCTTCCTCGCCAAAGAGGACGCAGCCGTGCTCCTTGGTGTACTTGGCGACCCACGCGTCGACGACGGCGGGGTCCGACGTCGGTGCGGGTGTCGGTGTCGATGTCGGCGTGTCGGTGGGACCGTCGGTGGGATCGTCCGTCGGCGTATCGGTCGGCACGGGTGTCGGTGCTTTTGTTGGAATGAAGTCGTAAATGTACGACGTCTTGCCCGTGCACGTGTCGAGCGCCTTGATCGCGGGCGGGCACGTCACAGGCGAGAGCGGCGCAATCTCCTGGTCGTCCTGCGCTTGCTGGTAGATGTGTGGCTTGGACTTGGTCCAGCACGTGATGACGTCGGCGAACGCGCCGTTGGTGCAGAGGAGGACGACGTCGAGCTTTTGTTCCTTCTTGAACGCATCCCGGATTGCCTTTGTGGAGATGTTTTTGCCAATGCTGTTGGGAAGGAGCGCCGGCGTCTTGATGTACTTGGCGACTTGGACCACAGTCTTGAGGTACGCAGCTTCGTGGAGGCCGCCGCAGGGATACCCAAAGCTCGTGACGTCCATGATCGGGTCGATTGCGTTCGGGTCCCACATGTGGTCCAGGTCCCGCGTCATCGTGAGTGGAAAGTACTTGACCAAGTTGTCTCGCCCGGCCGCTCGGATTGCGTCGGGGCTAAAGAGGTTGATGGGCGCGTCGCAGCGCGGTATGGTCCAGTCCTTGTTGCGCGGCACGAGGCCGGACGAGACGAGGTTGCGCTTCAGAAACTCGGTCGGGTGCGAGCAGAGGCGCGCGCAAAAGCACTGGCAGTGCTCGGGCGTCCACGTCGACGTGTGCACCCAGTAGTCTTGGACGCCCCAGTTGGCAATGGTCTCGGCATGCACGAACGCGGCACTCGCCAGCGCAGCAAGCGCCAAGGTAATCATGGTTAGGTAGCTGCAAACGGCAAATTGAATTGTGAAAAGGCTTGGCGATCAACTCCGATCTGAGTCGCGCACGGAACGATCTGAGTCCCGGGCACTCGAGGTTCGTGGAATCTGACTTGGTGGCAGATGCAAAGAAGGAACGGCCGAGTAGCACGAGGTTCGAGACTGTCTGCATCAGATATCGCCGCCAGCATCGTCTTCCTCTCTGTACAGAGAACGTTGGGTACCATAGCGTGGACGTATGACGGCCATTGGGTGCGCGCGAGGCGTGGCCACCGCACACTGCGTATTGAGACGGGGCAGTCATGGGTTAGGGGTGTCATGCGGTCGACGTGTGGCCTTTCGGTGGTAACGTTCGGAGAGTTCGATTTGCTTTGCCCTTCTGGCGCATGCTGGCTCTTTCCTCCGACAGAAATGATCATTGTGGTGCATCGCAGTCGCCATGTGCGGGCTAGGGTTACGGTGTCTTTTAGTGTGTACTGTGCGAGGGATAAATTTTATGAGGATCCCAAGTCGTTGCTCTTCAAATCTTTCACATAATTTGCAACGATTTCCGTGACATCTTGAGCGGAGCAACCGTGACCACTCATCGGGGGCCTCAATGGACGCGTGCGTGCATTATGATAGAGATTTCCTCGTTCAACATGCACCCATCGAGTCAGTTTCCGAACGTTCTTGAACACTTCTAAAACGGCCGTATGTTAAAGGTCGAGAATTGTGTCTATGCGTATATTAGACATGGATAAACTGTGATGACACACGAATTGCGCAATGTTGTTATTGCCAAAACCTGCGGAATAACCGAAAATACAGTTTTATTGTACTAGTACACGCGTTGTACAAAATCCAACGTTTAATCATTCCACGAGCGCCGCTGGTCATTATTTGACAGCAGCCACGACGCATGAAATAGCGCGTGAATAACGAGCTAACATTAGAACTATCACGAGTCCGAGCTCGAATCGGACGGCACATGCACATTCGTCAGCGCCGACGCCTTAGTTGGCTACTTCGTCGCAGCTTTGGTGGACACTGTCGTCGGCTTGGTGCAGTCCGCAGTCGCAAAATGCGCATCGAGCGTCCTGGAGCGCCTGCCGATCATCGTAGCCGCCGATATGCTTGTTGCCGATCCAGATGTTCGGCAGAGTGTCCTGATGTGTCGTGCGCACGAGCGAGTAGTAGATCTCCATGCCCAGAAGAGTGGACGAGGTGCCGTCAATGCCGCGGCAAGGGTGAATTAGATTGCTTTTTTTCACCTTGGCCGCGGTAGCTGTAGTTGGCGTTCTTTGGTCTTGATGAGGCCCTTGGCCTTGGTGCAGTACTCGCAGCCTACCTCGCCAAAGATGACGCAGCCGTGCTCCTTGGTGTAGTACGTGACAACCCACGCTCGGTGTCAGCATTGGCGCACGCACTTGGTGTCGGCGCAGCTGTCGAATTGAAGCCGAAAATGTGCACGGTCGGTGTCGAGCACGTGTCGCGGTGGGCACGCCACGAGCGTCAACGGCGCAATCTATATCAAAGTGCGCGTGTCGGACCGCGTTCGGGGATCAGATCCGAGGAGCTGATATGTCAAACCGTCCGCTCACGATGCAAATTGTACAGACTTGAGTCGTCCGCTTGGTTGATTTTACTCTACATTTGACCTGCCATGCTACTTTTCGCGAGAGTGACAGGTACATTAGATATGTAAATGGTTCAAAAATCCAAGCAAGGAATCGTCGCTTGGTTCCATACTTTGCACAGCGCACCGAGGAGCCACTTGTACTGACATGCGTTTTTCGAAGCATCTGATTCGATGTCATTAGTTCCACGTCGATCGTCCTAGTTTCCGTGGTACGCTTCTGCAATGTCCGTCGCTGGGACAGTTCAAGCTGTCGGCCTCTTCTTGATACTTTTGCCGCAGACTAGACACGGACGACCCAGATATTGCTGGCGTGCATCATGATCTGATTCGGCGCGAATCAGATGCGCATGACGCCACCTGATTTTCACAGACGCCCATCTCTGAGCTCCATCTCTGTGCTCCAGCAGATACAAATCTCCCTCACGTACAGTAAAACGTCGTTTGTGGTATCGCACATTGCGCGGTCACGCACTTGCCGCCAATTGCCAGTGACTCTGATACGCCGAAGCGACACAGGTAGCTACGTTGTGCGCAACTTCCTTGGCACGGCAAACCCCTGTTACAACAAACTACGACCTTGTAAGACCGAAATAAAGAGCATACAAGTACACGCGGTTGTGGTATGTGGTGACAGCATTGAAATTGCGTAAAATTCGAGTTTTGAAGTGGCTCCATTCCGTTGAAAATTGGGTAAATTCATGAAATGGCTCTGTTATTGTACCCCCTTGCGAGGCCAAGTGTTGAAGCATTCTCTTGATATGAACGTGGTCATGGTAAGGGATATTCATCGTTTAACTGCAATCAATTCGCGTTTTGACATGGCTGCATGCAGTTGAAAATCAGGTAAATCCTTCAGACCTATCTTTTTGTACGCCTTTCCGCATCATCTGGATAAGTACATGGTCATATCATGGGGTGGCGTTAGGCGAACTGCAATCTGTTTGAGTTTTGACATGTCGACATGTCGTTGCACTCGAGTATCACAGTGTTCCACTGGCTCGGTTGGTCTACATCGTGCCACGTCATAACCTCTGAGAATGAATATCCAAAGATATGCGCGAAAGGTCGCAAAATCTTGGGGCGACAGGCAGGATGAAGCGTATCCTCCTCGCCGCCCTTGCGGCGGCTTCGATCCACGCGTCGCCGACGGACGTTGGCGCGCCATTGGCGCATGATTCGCTGGCGCAAGATGCGGCGAGCATTCTCGATGATGACGTGGCATCTTCTCCTCGTGTCTCGGTGCCTGGCGTCGTCGACATCGACAAGGAGCTCGAGCGCTGCAGAGCGGAAGGCTACAGCAATCTCAACGCGTACATGGCGTCGGACGACAGTACAGTGGACCCCAAGCTTCTTCACCACTGCAACGAGGTCAAGTACCGCGATGCGCTCCGGACGAGCGTCGCCGCGCCGCTGCCGTCGACGCACCACGTGCATTTCTGGTCGTCAGCCAACGAAACCACGTACCAAGATGTGTTCGAAAAGCACATTTTGATGTCGCACCCCATCCGCTTACCCGGGACGCTCACCTTGTCACCCGCGCTCCTCACCTCGTGTTTTGGGACCCGCTCAGGGCTGCAGACGCCCGACGCGGCCTGCATCGATGCGCTCACGTCGTTTCGCGTGCCGCCATGCATCGTCAACGACTACATGCAGCGTGTCGATGCGATCAAAGAGACGCTCTTGCCAGATATGGTGGCCGAGACGAAGGCGCCGCTGCACTGCCCCTTTGGGCTGCACATGGTTGTCGCGGCGGTGACCGACGCCACGACCGTGTCGCTTCAAGTGCACGTGCCCAGCTACGACGAGTACACGTTTGCCTTGGACGTGTCGGCAGCGGTACGTGTTTTTATGCATTTCTGTCGTTGTAGTATCACCTCGCGTAGGACGAGACGGAGGTGCTGGAAGCCAGCATCGACGCGCTCGGTAGCGTTGACGCAGAAAAGGCCGACGTGGTCCGTCTCGTGCGTGGCAACATGGCGTTCATTCCGAGTGGGTTCGCCGTCGCGGCATCTGCACCGATGCTTCGCTTTTGCTTTGCCGACGCGTCCAATTTAAATCGCGTCAAGAAGCATCTCCGCGTCTCGGGGCTTGTCGACGCGAGAGCGCGCCGGCTTCTTATGGGGCTGCAGGCCCCGACGTTTGACACGTCCATGACGCGTCGTCCGTCACCGGCGTTGGCCACGTGGGCCATGTACCGCACGTGGCCCAAGCCCGAACGCATCGCGAAAGAAAGCGATCAGGACAAGAACGAAGCCGTGTCGCGCAAGGATCGGTACAAGATGTGGCAGGACGACCGCAAGTGGGACAGTATCATCCAGGGCCTTACGCTTCCCGTACGCCGTCGGCTTTTTATCGCGATAACACTTTCCGTAGGTGTCGCGGCCGCCTGTTGTCATCAAAGACGCGGACACGGGGCGCACCGTCGTGCATCTGACGTGGCAAGATCTGCACCAGCCTCGAAAAGGGGATGTGACCACCTACGGCTACGAAGTCCATTGGCTTAGCGAGGCGGCGACACCCGGCGACGATGCATCCTCGGGCATGGCCAACTTGACGCAAACCGAGTTGCTTCGCAGCGCGCTGCCGACAACCGCCTTTGGCGGCGACTTTGACGGCCGCGCCATCACGGGCCTTGTCTCCAACTTGGCGGCCAACACCTCGTACACGTTTACCGTGCGGCTCTTTGTCGGGGCCGCGCTCGGCTTGCTCAGCGAACGGTCGCAGAGCATTCGAACGAAACCTGCGTCCGTGCCGGCGCCCGTGCCGGGGCTTCCCGACACAAGTGCATCGGACGCTGCCAACTGTGTAAAGCTCACATGGCTGCCCGTTGTGGACGACGGCGGGCGGCCGATTTTGGGCTACGCAATCGCGGCGCGGCATGCACCGACCACGAACATATCATCGCATCATCTGCCGTTGAGCTGGCGGCCGTTCAACGACAGCATGCAGTACGACGTCATCACGAATGACGCGCTTGTCGTCACCAAGCACGAGTTGTCGCTCCGTGTGAAAAACATGACGGGCCATCTCTGCAACCTTCGGGCCCAATCGAGTTATCAATTCCAGGTCGCTGCAATCAACGAGCTCGGTGCGAGTGGCTTTAGCGTCTGGTCCAACACGATCGAGGTCGAGCCAAGCACGGACCACGACCGCCGAGGTGCGCGACATGCTGTTGCTCTTTCCTAAGACATCGGTCGCTTGTAGAGGTCGTGCGCGGGCAAGGCGCCCCCCACTTTACAAGAACGTACGACCGAGCGTCTTTGCAGATCGGCGCCGCAGCAAAGCCGTTAACACCGCCTTTGGCAACGGGCCCCGTCCTCGTATTCTCCGATGTCCTGCAGACGGTCGCGCCGTACCAGCTCGTCGGCCTCGTCAACCCTGTGCGCAAGCTCGATGCCAACAACAAGGTGATTTGGTCGACGTGGCGGGCCGATGTGTGGTCGGGACAGCACAGCCTTAAAGCGTACGATATCATCGCGGGTACGACGTCTCTCTCAAATTGGCAAGGACGAGAACGATGCGGCGCCATGTAGAAGCCGTACTGGCAGATCCGATCCTTGGCGATGCCCCCTTGACCAACACCGAGGCTATCCGCGACCGCATTCTCGTCGTGCATCGTGGCACCGTGCCCTTTTATACCAAGGTGGCGCACGCACAAGCAGCCGGCGCCCTTGGCGTCCTCATTCTCGACGTCGAGAACCAGTGTGCAAACGGCTTTGACCAGCACTGCAGTCCTGGCAGTCACTACGCATCGGGCGACGGTGTCGGGGCCAAAGACGACCCATTGTTGTGGACAAGCAACATTCGCATTCCATATGCCCTCGTCAAGTACGAGGATGCGCTGCCGCTGCTCGACAAGATTGCTGCGCTGCACAGCACCGGCGTCAACTAGCGTACGACAGCTAAAGGACACTTGCTATTGCGCTAAATCGTACCTTGCTCCCTGCGTTTTAACACACTTCATGGCAGGCAATCTCAACCTACCGATGAGAAAGGCGCCGTGCAGCGTCATAATCGACGGCGAGGCGAAACGCCCATGACGTGGCACGCGCAGACAACAGGACCGCACCGAGGATTTCTAGGACCCTGGCACACATCGTTCAACCCGACAAAAGAATGCACTTGGTCCACGCCTCTGGTATCTTCTCGGCGGTGACAAGCCTCTAGCAGGCGTACGTCGAGATCTCTGCGGCAGATACCGTGCATCGTGGACAGCGCAGTAATTCGTGCTGCGATTGGCTAAAAATGACATCCGCGCACGATTCGGATTGGACAAGAGATGTTTCAAGCCGTGGCATCGGTTTTACGCTCGATTTAGATCTTCAGAGTCGCGGACGCGCCGGTCCCGCATGAACCTCGACCTGCTGTGGGAGCATGAGAAGCGGCGCGGGCTTGTCGACGAGAGCGCCGAGCCGACGCCCACGGGCAGCAAGGCCGCGAAGCGCGCCAGCAAGTTGGTCATCTCGGCCCGCAGCTTTGCGCTGCCGGACGACAAGATTTTCGAGAAGAGCGGGTTTGCGCTCGACTACGAAGGCCACACGTCCAAGCGCATGAGCATCCCGGCAGCGCAGGTAGCGCCAGCGCCAGAGGCCACGCCCAAGCGCCGAGCCGTCGCGCTACTTGGCGACATCGGTAGCCCCGGCAAGCGGAAGCCGACCACGCCCCACAAGGACGCCAAGCTCGCGCTCACTGCGCTGACGACCAAGCCGCAGCTGACGACGGTACGGAAGGAGCGCGCGAACCGGACGGGACCCGAGGTCACGGACGCGTTCCGACACTACATTGGCGATCACTTTGGCACGCGGGGCGAGTACATTGAGGGCATGCTGTACATGTCGCGCATGAAGAAATCCCATGCGATGCTCTTTGGCCACAAATCGTCCTTTCTCCTCTCGCCTGGGAACGCGCCGATCGCGCAGTCCATCGATGGCAACGCGCTGAAGGAAGCCCTCGCAGACGCCCCGTCCATTCCATCCGTCGAGTCCGAGTCGTCCAATGCCGCCCGCGTCAAGACGCAAGCGCAACGGTGCTCGTCGACGCTTGCCAATTGGAGCTCCAACCCCGCGAACGCGCGGCTCATGGTCGACGAAGGAGTCGTGCAAGCCATCATTCTCCTCTCCAAAACGGACGACCTCGCGACGCGCATTCACTGTGTCACGACCTTTATGAACCTCTCCAACGTCTCGGACCTGCGCCGCGGACTCATCAAGCTCGGGGCCGTCAAGACGATCGTCTCGATCCTCAACGGTGGCGACGACAAGACGCTCCAGACAGCGTGCGCCTTGACGCTATGCAATCTCTGCTGCCTCGAGGGCGACGAGAGCACCTTGGTAGCCGACGGAGCGGTCGGGGCTCTCGCTGGCTTGATCAACGAGACTGCGTCCGTCGCGTCGATCTGCGAACGCGGCATCTTCAACCTCACGTGCGTCAAGGAGCCTTACTATCAGATTGAAGTCGTCATCAAGGCCCTCGTCGCGCTCTCGGCCAGTGGTCACGCTAAGAAGCGCACCATGCACATGTGTGCCACGTCGTTCGTGAACCTCTCCAATATGAAGCGCGTCCGGTCGCGGCTCATGGAAGAAGGCATCGTGTCGGCCATCACGGCGCTGCTTCGATCCCAAGATGCCGAGGTACTTTTTTCTTTTGTTTTCGTCCATGGAACAATGGGGCCATAGGTCAAACACATGCTAGCCTACGTACTCTGCAACATCTCGGCCATGCGCTCGTGCCGCGTCGAGCTCGTCACCAAAGGCTCCATGAACGTCCTCGTCGCGCTCGCCGGGTCGCCGACACTGACGCCGCAGACGCAGTGGATCATCGGCAGCACCTTGAGCAACTTTAGCAAAGAGAGCACGATCCGACTGCGCCTCGTGCTCGAAGGGCTCCTCTCGATCGTGACGTTTCTGCTTCGGTCGCCGACGTACGAAGCCGCGCCGCAAGCCATGGCCGATGACATCCGCAAGGTGTGCGCGACTGCTGTCCACAACTGCTCCTGCAGCGAAGAGACGCGGTCCAAGCTCGTCGAGCGCGACGGTATCGCGATCCTCACCGCGCTCACGGCCAATGCCCCCCACGATGTCAAGCGCATGGGCACGCTGGCACTCTGTAACTTTCTCATGGTCAAGCAAGCCGCCATCGAAATCGCTGCCTCGGGCGCGCTCTCTTCGCTCTTTGAGTTGGCGCAGCTGCCGCACTCGCCGCCGCCAGCGCAGCTCCTCTACGCCGCGGCACTCTACAACCTCTGTCAGAACGCCACGTCACGCGAGTCCATGAGCACGGGCGGCGGCATCGCCGCCATCGTGCACCTCTGCCACGCGAGCTCGCACCCAACGCTGCTGACGCTGTGCACGGCAGCGCTGTGCTACCTCGCGGCAGACGCCCACACGCGACACTTGGTCGCCAACCTCGAAGTCGTCCGCGTCATCACACGCGCGCTCGCGACCGACGTCATGCCGATCCAGCGGTACTGCGTCGCGTGTCTGAGCATGCTCTCGCAGGACGAAGCGTGCGCCGGTCTCATCCTCCACGAAGGCGGTGTCGGCGCCGTTCTGGAGTCGTGCGTCAACAGCCGCGACAGCGAGACGAAGGCGTGCTGCTGCGATCTCCTCGCGTCGCTCTCGTTCCATGAGATTTGCCGCGTTCAATTGGTGCATCTGGGCGTCTTGCCGTCGCTCACGAAACTCGCCAAGCTCCGGGACCCCGAGATTCAGCGCCGGTGCGCCACGACGCTTGGCAACCTCGCAAGTGAAAAGGCGGTGCACGACGTGCTTTTAAGCTCCAACATTGTGAGCGTCCTCTCGATCTTAAGCAACTCGTACAGCGAAGAGAGTCAGAGCGACTGCGCCAAAGCGCTCTGCAACCTCTCGTGCTCACCGGGTTACGAGGCCAAGCTCGTGAGCGAAGGCGCGGTCGGTGTCCTCTTTATGATTTGTGCCGTGCGCTCGGGCAGCGCGTTTACAAAAGAAACATGCGCGCGGGCCCTCGGCAATCTCTTGCTCGACTCGACCATGGTATGTATATTCCAACAGAGACAATGATCGCATCTTACCTTGCTCGTCTAGGCGCCCATTCTCAAAGAAGGACTGGTCAAGCTTCTGCCTGCCATCACCAAGCTCGATCCGTCCGACGCATCCCCCATACCAGCCACGATTTATGCCAAGCTGCTGCGCTCGGAAGACGCTCGCAGCACCCTCTGCCACGAGACACAGTCGCTGCGCACGCTCGTCATGTACATGCAGCTCGATCACCCGCTGGATGCGACGACGGCGCTCCTGGCTTCGATCGCGTGCGAGCTGGCGCTACACGCCAACACACGCATGGCCGCGGTGCGGGAAGGCCTCATTGACGCGATCGTCTATCTCTCGGAGAAGACATCGCACCGCATGGGCCGCCTCGTCTCGGCGCTCCTGCTGCTCGCACTGCACGACGACACGCGCGAGTATGTGAGCGACGCCAAGTGCATCACAGTCTTGCTAGCGTACCTTGAAGCACCGGATCCGGTGACCATCGAGCTCGCGGTCTCGGTGCTCTGCCACGTCTTGTGGCACGACAGCACGCGGCAGAATGTCGACGTGCTCCACGTGTCCCAGGCACTCATCGCCATTGTGCCCCAGTACGCGTCCAACCAAGCGATACTCGACGTGATGCTTCTCGGTCTCTGCTGCCTCTCGTTTGACGAGTCGCACGCGGCCGTGATGATTCAGCACGGTATCTTTGATGCGCTGCTCACGTGTCATGACGACGACCATACAATCAACCGCGCGCTCATGTGCATTCTTGTCCGGCAGCTCAGTCGCACCAAAGACTTTGCGCAGCACGTGCTCTCGAGTCCGATGATCATCGAGCTCGTCTCGAAGCTCGCTTGCAGTCTCGAACACAAGGGCGACGAAGCCGCCGCGCTCGACTGCGCCGACGTGCTCTGTTCCATGAGCTACATCGAGTCGCTGCCGCGCCGCATGGTCGTCAAGGTACGGCCAAGTGGTTGTATAGCGGACCAGAAGAATCATTGGGGTCGATAGGATGTGATTCGGTCGCTTCAAGTACTCTTGACCAACGCCACGCTTGAAACCAAGTGGCGCTGTGCCGCGTGGTATACTTGAACGATACAAGCGTGTCGTCGATGGATGATGAGAATGATTTCCTGACTAGTTTGTGCATGCTATCGGCCGAGGTGTCGGTGCGCCAAGCCATGGTACAGCTTGGCTGCACGCGCCTTCTCGTTCAAGTCGCCATGAGCAAAGCACAGTACGACATTTACCACTGCTGTGCCATGGCGCTTGGGCACCTCTCCAACGACATGGCCAACACGCACCAAATGGTGGTCGAGCAGGCCGTGCCCGCGCTCTTGCACTTGGCCAAAATCGACAACGACGTCGTACGCCGACCTTGATGTTTTTGTGGACAAGTTGTCCATGGTCATTGTAGACACGGGATGCGTGCTCGTTGGCGCTCGCCAACCTCTCGCGCGAGTCGCCCAAAGTCGCGTCTGGCGCCGTCCTCGCCCTCATTAACCTCTCGATGGTCGGGAAAGAGGCCCGGGGAACGAACCCGACGCCGCCGATCGTCCGGCCGCCAACGATTACGCACGAGCATCAGAAGACGCGGACACGCCCGCCACAATACAAGTACCCGCTCGACGACTACACGGAGCTTTGTAGCGCCAAGTTTGTGGCGGAAATCCCGGACCGACAACCGCCGATTCCGCATTTACCGGTGATCGCTGTCGATATGGTGCATCTCGGGTCCGACGCCAGCGGCAACGTGGACGTCGAAGAGATGCCGCAAGGCAATTGGATGCAGTTTTCTAAAGTCGAGCCCATGGACGCCACATGGTCTAGTACAACATTCGATTATATCGTTTCGCCTCACGACGCGGACTAGTCATGTCGATTTGGTCGAAGTCGACGACGACGTCGTCGACGATACGAGTGGGCATCCCGAAGTCGAACCCGCGCCGTCGACAAAAGTCGACTTGGACAAAGTCGACGAAGAACCCGACATGGGTATGTCTTTTGAAGGATGGATACGATGTCATCGGTATGGATATTGTAGTTGTGAGCCCTGCGCCATTGCTGCGAAAGCGGTCGCAACGCGAGAAGCGGCCACCGGCGCGGCTCGGGAAGGAGTTGACGACCAAATCGCTCGTCACGTGTGCGAGCGAAGGAACGTTCTCGGTGGCTGCGATTGCGTCAATCAAGGAAAAGCCGGCTCAAATCAAGAAACGACACATGTCGCTCAAGACGCTCGTGCCACTCAAAGCCGTTGAAAGTACCATCCCAGTCGACGGCCTCAAAGAGCAGGCGCGCAAGCTTGGGCTCTGGAGCTAGAGCATGTTAGTATTATTTAGACTAGGACGACAACTACGCCATGTCTTGTTCTCGGACAACGTGTCGATCCATGCGCCGCACACTTTGGTGGACCTATGCACACAAACGACGACATTTCAGATCGCCAAATTTCGTTTGTTTGTTGATCGAACGAGCTGCGCCACTGTTGCTCATCACCAGCTGGTACGCTGTAGTGTACGTAAGATGATATCGGCGTCACTCGAGCGAGTTCTCAGCCCACGTCACTAGAAGGTCATGTCAATATGGCCAACGCTCTAGTTGCATCCGGAGAGGTAGCCATGGTCTGTCTTGCTCGGTCATGCCACTCATGTATTTATGTCTCTTGCAGAATTCGATTGTAGCGATGAAGATATCCTGCGTCAGTGTACGAGATGCTGGGCGACGAGCCTTTCAATCTTGGGGGCATCCCTGCAAAAGATAATTCGTGGAGTAGAATTGGGGCATGCGTGGCCTCTGTTGGAGAACAAAACAACAACGAACGTAGGCAGTGACAACTTGCTGCGCATTATTCGAGGGTTCGCAGATGCGCATGCACGAGCGACAGCTTGGCTTCGATCGCATCGAGAGACAACAAGCACGCTCGTTCAACGGAGGACACGTGCGGGAGCGCGACAGCTTCGACCTGGGCATGGCAGGCCTCGAGCACATCTTCATGCGACCGCTCTCGCATGCGCCGCCGATACGTCTGGAAGGCGGTCGCCGCCCTAGTCGCCGCATCAACCCAATCGTCGTCATTCAACTCGAGAAGTACTGGATGATGCGATGGCGGCTGCGACGTAAGGTGCACCACGACGCCATGGGCGTGGCTTGACGCAAGAGCACGTCGCGTCCAAATGTCTGGTTCCGTTTTAGTACAAAATCCTGCAGAGAGCTCGTATACCTGCAAGAGACGAATGGCCGCGTGGTGGTGGGCCACATGCAGATCACGCGCATGAATCGTTTGGATGACAGCGTCCTCATGCTCGGTGAGGTGCAACGAGCTGATGAGCACGGTGGTAAGGAGTGCGTTCATGATCGCTCCACCGACGATGCCACCGATGACGATGGCCACCTGGCCTTGCACCGAGATGGGCGGCGCGCTTCCAAGCCCCACCGTTGCCTAGATCAAAGTGATGCATTGCAGAGCCATCGTGACGCACCATCGTCAGCACAGTCAGCCACAGCGCCTCCGAGATCGAGTCGATGTCGGGGTTGATTGCGTGCTCTAGAAACTGAACGACGAGCGCTGTGCAGAGCCATGTTGCGCCAAAGCTCAATGCTGAAAAGAGCACAGGGTGCTTGTGGAACATGTGCTTGATCGTAAACCAGAACGAGCTTGTCTGCACATGCCACTGCGTCCCTAGTTGATACATTGATAGAATAATCGATCGATAGAGCATACTACGTACCTTGCCATTCAATGTCGGGCGACTCGAACCCGAGCTGGTGCCGAAGGAGGCGAAACACCACGTACAGTCGCACGAACACCACCACATCTAGACACGCTCAGAAAGTTGCAATCGAGACAAGCCTACCAAATTGGTCCATGGACCACGGCAGATCGAGGTAGCAGAAACCAGACGCGTCCAGCTGCATGCCCGGTGCACACAGTCGCTGGTGATGCGCCTAGAATCCATGCGGATGGCTGCCAGTGGGGATGACAACGTACACGCTCCGGACTGCCCATGAACCGATGCGAGACAAAGAGACGCGCAAACGTTGGAGGCACGTGCAGTGACAGAATAAAGCACTCGAGAAGCACTTTTCTAGAAAAACAGAGTATAAAACACTGGATCGTAGTGGGTGGATGGATCGTACTGAAGAAGCCCCGCCGACGGATGGTAAAATTTGGCATTCGGATGCAGTCGCGTCGACGCGATGCGCAAGTCACAAACCACGTCTACCACCAATCTATAGCCGCCTCTATATACATGGCGGGGTACCGTAGCGCAGCAGCACGAGGCCGTAGAGAAAGATGGTGGCAGTCGCAATGATCGACCGGAGCACGTCGACAGCAAAGGCCATATCGCTTCTGTCAAGGTCGGCGGCTTGGGTCGTGTAGATGATGGACAACTAGCAGTCAAAGCATGAGATCGCAGTACGTAGTATGGTGCCAATGCACCCACCTGCATCGAGAGGGCGGCCGCGACGACGCTAATGACCGCAAAGGCCGTCATCCACATCTCGATTTGGTATCGCCTCGCTCGCAACTAGCTCAAGACGATGGAGTCTCACTGCTACTAGCTAGGCGATTCAAACTACGTACTTGGCGTAGCGCCTTCACATGGCGCAGCTGCGTAGTCGCTTCTTGCCAGAGCGGGTCGTTGGCCTCGGACCGCCGGTGAATCTACATGGCCACGATGGTGGCATCGCTCGGCAAGAGCGCGCTGGCTGTACCTGCGCCTGGAAAACCTCGGCCACCTTGGGCGATATGGGCGGGCGCGGCGACGGCAGCTTGGTTAGCCCCATCTCGTCACAATCCAAAATCCGAGATCTGCACGACGTGGTTTGTCCCAAGGTCCGTGTTCGACACGCTGTGATTGGCTAAAATGTGTGAAAACGTCTTTTTTCCACATCCTCGATCGCACGTTTGCACTCTCGTCCTCCTCCAACCAAGACGATCGCGATGCATTCGATCCAACAAGAGAGGGCGAGAGGCGCTCGGTGACGCCTTGCAGTGTCGCGTCTCGCTATTGTCCAGGTCCAACCCATCGGATCGGCTCTATCTCCAGTTTTTTCTAGTCTGTGATTCGTCCATTTATAGCCAATCCAATTGGATGTGGGTGAAACCAGTATTGCCCACTTTCACAATCGGTCCAATCACAGCGTCGTTGCCATTCAAAGTACCATGATCGGGACCTTGCTCGCGCGTCGCGGCTTCGCGTCCAGCGCCAAGCTCTCGATGAAGCCCATCAACCTCAAGCTCGTCGCGTCTTCGTTCCTGCTGCAGGTCCATCCAGACGTGCTCCAGTTCGACAGGCGCGGCCTCAAGGACGTGCACGAGTCGATCAAGGACCGCAACGAAGACGCGCTCAAGCATCTCAATGCGTTTCTGGACATGGCCGGCGCCGGCTGCAACGGCAACATGACCAACGACCTCTTGAACACGCGAAGCTTTGCCTTTGACTTTCACGTGCCCGTGCCCAAGAAGCTGGTCAAGCGCCACACCAAGCCGCTCGTCGACGTCGACGGCCAAGCCTATTTGCGCATCCGCGAAAAGGTCATCCTCCCGCCCGAGCTCTATGACATGACACTGCAGTCGATCTCGCCGCTTGGCACCAACATCATCGACAAGACGGCCATGCTGTGGCGGAAGTACACCAATTCGGTGCTCTCGAGTCTGTTTCACCAAGCCGACATCCCCGTCGTCTCGCAGCATGCCAACGGCCAGCTCCTTCCCTGGGTCTTCGTCGCATGGTTGTCCGATCGCTTACTACATTTATGCATAGGACGAAGACCTGACCGAGACCAGTGCCGTCGGTGATGGCAGTGCCCGGTACAATTTATTGTCCTGCATGACAATATTGACATGGAACAATTATTGTAGCGAGGCCGAAGACATTGAAAAGAAATTTCGCAAAATGCTCACGCGGGAGCGCAACATTGTGTTTAAACACACGACGGGCTTTGAAGCCGACGGTAAACGCCCCACGCAAGATGATCCCGACGCATAAAGGTCGACCCTAGTCCAGCGCCATCGCGTGCTCCTCGATCTTCTCAAGCGCGTGCACGTCGGTGACATTGCGACCGCTGACGTACGTTATTTCGACTATGTCAGTTGACGCGTTGATAGACGATCCATGGGTGTAGCAAGAGAGAGCGTTCAATTGGCTCGGCGAAGTGCTTCTTCGCAACTTTATGGAGCTTCGCCTCCACAACTTGATCTGGAACCGCGTCGTGCTCATCCTGACCGAGGACCCAAACCTGCACAAGCACGTGATTGACGATGTCTCTGGCGTCGCGATCGTCCTTGGCTTCACCGACGACCTCGACGACGTCGTTCGCTTCCTCCACGACCAAGTCGAGCAGCTCGAGGCCAAGTTCAAGTCCACCGATATCGTCGTTTCCGAGGCCACCAAACCCAGCAAGTCCAAGCGCCGTCCGTCCAAGCGCTCATAACTTCGATCAGCCTAACACGACGGCTTACCTTTATGACCTAACGTCGTCGTATGCACACGTGGGAACCACTACACAATAGGAACAGGGCAAGGTAGTACGCTGGCTAAGGTGGCGTGCATATAGCCACTGGCTTGATGTGTGTATGCCTATACAAACCACAAGTGCAGCGACCTTTCGAGCCAAAGGGCACATATCTTTATTTTGGCGATGCCTGGCAAGTCGGACGACGAAGAGCTCAGCGGGAGCGAGGAAGAGGAGGAAGTCTCGGGCAGCGAGTCGGGCAGCGAAGAGGAAGACTCGGACGAAGACGACGACGAGCAAGAGTCCAAGAAGGACGCCAAGCCCAAGGCGAAACCCAAGGATGCAAGTGGCGGCAAGGAGCGGGCGCTACAGAACCAACCCTTTGACGCCGCCCTCGATGTGAGCGACAGCGAGAGTATTAACGATCCCAACTCACCCAAGAAGGGCAAGGATGCCAAGCAGCTCAAGAACCAGCCGTTTGACGAAGCCTTGGACCTCTCGGGCAGCCACGACATTGAAAGCAGCATGCCCAAGGACGCGCCCAAGAAGGAGTTGGCCGATCGACGAGACGACAAGGCGTCCGAGCGCCCAGCACCCAAGGAGCGCAAGGAGCCGCCGGCCAAAGCTGCGAGCAAGGCACCGGCAGCAGCCAACAGCGATGGCGGCGAGGTCAAGAACAAGCCGTTCGACGAGCAAATCGACCTCAGCGACTCGGAGGCGAGCGTCGACACGTCCGGAGCGCCATCGCCCGAGAAACCAAAGCTTGAGAAGCGAGTCTCGATGAACCAGACGCTCCAGACGATGCCCAAGTCGGCCACCGACAAGGTCGCGGCTGCCGAAGAAAAAATGGCGGCCAAAGAAGCACCCAAGCCCAGCGCAGCTGCGACCAAGACTCCGCAATCGTCCAAGATCGACCATAAAAGAAAGCGGACGAGAGCTCGTCGGAAGGGTCTGGCTCGGACGAAGAAGAGGACGAAGACGAAGAGGAGGAGGAAGAGGAGGAGGAGGAGCACGCGGCAACGTCGTCCGATGCGGCCGCCGCACCGTCCGCCGCGTCCATCAACGTGCCCGGCGCGTACAAGGAGAGCGACTTTGCGCACCTCAAGGTGACGCAGGACATCAAGGAGCTCTTCCAGTACATCGGGCGGTTCAAAGCCCAGGAAATCGAGCTCGAGACGCGGCTCAAGTGCTTCGTGCCCGAGTACATTCCCGCGATCGGCGAGATGGACACATTCCTCAAGATCCCGCGACCAGACAAAGAGGCCGACAACCTCGGGCTCAAGGTCCTCGACGAGCCGAGCATTGCACAGAGCGACGCCACCGTCCTCGACCTCCAGCTGCGGGCGACCTCGAAGAAGAAGCACGGCGACATCGTCGTCCGAAGCATTGAAAACGCTGAGAAGAACGTTAAGGAGATCGACCGGTGGATCAAGAGCATCGGAGACCTCCACCGCACCAAGCCGCCACCCCAAGTGCACTACTCGAAAAGCATGCCGGACATCGAGACGCTCATGCAGGTACAAGTTTTTGTTGGCGGATTGGTTTTGGAACTTAGATATTCCAACCCATGCGTATTAGGTGTGGCCCGACGAGTTTGAGGACCTCTTGTCCAAGATGCAGCTCCCGAACGCCGACCTTAACGTCTCGTTGGAGCAATTCACGCGCATCATTTGCGCGATCCTCGACATTCCGGTCTACAAGAACGTGTACGAATCGCTCCACGTGCTCTTCACGCTCTTCCTCGAATTCCGAAGCAACCAGCACTTTATGAACTACGAAAACGACGTGCCGCTCACCAACGGTCTCGCGACGACACGTCTCGACATGGGCATGCCCGCCGTGCTCGCTTCGGACCGCAAATGATCATGTCCTTCTATTTGATGTACATAGTGTCTTCTTCTCTCTGCTCAAACACATAAACGGTGCAACGACGAGATTGCCGTTCACTAGAATGTAGAGAAAAGGGTAGCTTATCCAAAGAGAAGACCAAAGCCCGAGTCGAGGCACTTATCCATCTCGGGCTCCTTGTCAAGCTCGGCCGCTTGCTTGCGGTGGCGCCGGTACCACGAGTCAGCCGTCGAGTACGGAATCACCGGGGCATCCGGGGCATCCAAGCGCGCCTTCATTTCAACGACGATCGCCAAGAGCTCGGCGTGGGTCTGGCCCTGGCCAATGGCCTCCCGGAGGTCTGTGAAGACCTTGAGCTCCTGGAAGAGCATCTTGAACAAGTGGGCGCGAAGAAATTTCTCGGGCGGCGGAAACTTAGCCGCCCATGCCATGTACTCGAGCGCGAGGTCGATCTGCGACACGATTTCGCCCGTGGTCGGATCCTTGTTGCCCGTGAAGAGGGCCGGGAACTCGAGGATTCCTTCCGAGCTCATGACGCCCTCGGCTTCGGTCGCAGCGAGACAGGCCGCGACGTCCTCGTCGTTCTCGATGCCGCCGTTGGCAAAGACGGGGATCGGGAGCTCCTTCCGGAGACGCTTGATGCTGTCCCAGTCGCACTCGCGCACGAGCTGCTTGTTCATCTCTTTCGTGCGTCCGTGGATGACGAGCCAGCAGCAGCCCGCGTCGACGAGCATGTTGCAAAAGGCGAGCGTGTCCTCGTAGTCGGGCAAGAGACGGATCTTGCACGAGACCGGCACGGTCAGCTCGCGGCTGAGCGTCGAGACGATCTCGCGTACGACATCGGGCTCGTGCATGAGGAAGGCGCCGTACCGACCCTTGCGCGCGATGCCCTGGGGACACCCGAGGTTGAGGTCGACAGCGTCGCAGCCGTCTTGGACGTGCTTGGCGGCTTCGAGCACGATGGCCGGGTCGTTGCCGCAAAACTGCACAAAGAGCGGCCGGTCCTCGGGCACCACCTGCCACGCCGTCGACCGATACGTGGTGTCGTCGCGGAACATGCGCGCGTGGATCATCGGCGTGTAGCAGAGGTCGACGCCGTACTTGCGCACGAGCATGCGGTACGCGAGCTCGCTCTGGTCGACCATCGGCGCCAAGATCGTCTTGGGCTGCTGCAGATCGTTGTAGAGCTTCCAGCCGCGGGCAGCCGCGCGTTCACGGACCGATGAGGTCGACGAAGACATGGTCGCGGTTGATGGAATCGATTGAAGAAGAGAGCGCGATACGAGGAACCGACCGGCGACTGCGAACATGCAGCGAGCGAAAGGCAATCTCGATGGGCCAGGTGAATGGCACGGGATGCCACCACATGGTGGATCAGCATCCGGATAAATAACCGGATCCTCGCGCCATATTTGGGCTCCATACACCTGCAGCGACCAAGCGCCTCGATGTAAAGAGTAGAAACCTGTCCCATGCAGTGATTTACAGCGTTTGCGAGGGGCTTCGTGTCATCGAGGAGGACAGCATCAGGAACTTGGCATTTATCTCGTCGTCCGGTGGCAGCTTCCATTCGAGTGGATTGCACAGCATTAGTTGTAAAGGCAAGGGAATAAAACTCGCTTTGTTCCCTTGGCCAAAGGTGGCGATGACCGCCGCCAAGGTCGTAGTAGAGCTCAAGTAATTTTGCGTGTGCACAGGGTCAAGGGCACCCATGTCATCCTGGGGCACGCGGTTGCAAGCTGTGGAGGTCGAGCGCGGGTGCAGGTCCTCGATGAAGGACATGCATTGACAGCGACAGGGTGCGTGGGTAGCTATAGCAAGTGTCTTGGCTAACGTGACTTGTGAAGCTAGATCACGCCGCTTTCCTCCACAAATCTAGTAGCGGTACTCCCGAAGCGAGCTCAGACGCGGTATCGAGCGCGTTGTGCTTTTTAACGCAATCGAGCCTATTCCGCGTTATTTAACGGTACCTGGTCCGTGCACAAAACCAACGGCGAAGGGAGCGGGATGTCACGGAGCGCGCTCACCCGCCACGACGCCCAGCAGGCGCCGCCGATGAACTACGCAGCGCATGCGTACGCCATGGCCCAGCAAGTGCAGCATGCTGCCTACATGGAGGGCGAGTACGCAGAGCGCCGCGCCAAGGAGAACGAGCTGCCCGTGTACATGCACCTCGCTACTGCCAGCGTCGTTGTGCGCTCATGGCTTGCCTAGGCATGGCAATGCGACGACGTACAACCTCAACAAGATGCTCTTCGACAACATCATGCAATCGGTCTACTTTGGCCAGCTCTAGTGCGTCGTACCTCATATATCCTCGCATGGAACTCACGGCCTGTTTAGCGCGCTCAAGACGTACCATGAAGTCGTCGACGAGATCTACTACCGTGTCGACCACGCAGGTACATGCCTCTTGCCTGCGTCGTCGAGCTCATGCGCATGGTAGAGCCGCTCTCGCCCGGTACCGCGCGCATTCCGTCGTCTTGCTTTTGCCTCCTCCTCAAGTTTTGCACCATGCGCTTAACGCACAACCAGATGCAAGGGCTCCTCAAACACGTCGTACGTCGATGTCCTCCTTCTTGAAACGGGCGCTGACAGCGCGCGATAGGACTCGCCATACATTCGCTGCGTTGGGTTCCTCTACCTTCGCTACACGATGGATCCCGAGGAGCTCTGGGCGTGGTTTGAGCCGTACTTGGACGACGCCGAGGAGTTTAACGCGTCGGCCAACGACAAGATCATCACGTACGCCCGTCTGCATGTGCATCCTTGAGCTCATGGCGCTAATTAGGACGATTGGCGTCTGGCTGCGCACGCTCCTCGAGGAAATCAACTACTTTGGTACGATTCTTCCGCGCATCCCCAAGAAGATCCTCGATGGCATCAAGATCAAACTGCTTTTGCACGACAAGAAGAAGGAGCGCGCGGCCGCCAACCTCGCCGTTGCCGAGTTGCTTGTGAAGGGCACCAAGGTGCGCGCGCTGTACGCTGACGACGAGAACGAGCCTGCGGTATGTCGTTCTTGCGCGTGGGTTCAAATCTCACACCGGCGTCTAGATGTACGACGCGGTGATTGACGAGGCGGACGAGGCCAACCACGTGTACTGGGTCACGTTTCCGCAGTACGGCAACACCGAAAAGGTCGGCCTTGGCGACATTGAGTTTGAAGCGCCCCGCGCGCCCCAGCGGTCTCGGTCTCGATCGCGGTCGCGGGACCGTCGGCGGCGTCGGTCGGCGTCCCGAGATCGCCGCCGCCGTCGGTCGCCGTCGTACGACCGTCGTCGTCGAAGCCGCAGTCGCAGCCGCGACCGTCGCCCCAAGTACGGCGATGATTCGATTGCGGTGCAGAAACGCTCATGAAAACTAGGGACGACAAGAGCTTGACCGAGGACCTCATGGAAGAAGTTCGGCGCAAGGAGCGCCGCAAGGCCGAAGCGGTCGGGAAAGACTATGCAGCGCGCCCGGCGAGCTACAAGGGGTCGCTTACGCTCAAGCAAGACCGATTCACGACGCGGAAGCGGTCGCGCAGCCCGGCCAAGAAAGAGTACGAGTTTGTCGAGCTCGAGAAGCCAAAGGAGACCAACATCCCGCCGCCGCAAGCGCCCGTGCGCATGTCGCGCGAGGCCGAAGAGCGCCGGCGCAAGCTCCTCGAGACCTACGGCGACGCGGCGGCTAAGCCCAAGAAGACGGCAGACCACTAAGCCCCAACAAATCCATGCACGCTTTGTGTTTCCAGCCTTCTAGTTGCCGAGATTGAGGAGCAAGCAGTCGATTACACGAGAAAAAGTCGTGTTCAAAAGAGGGTGTTGGCAGACGCATTGCTTACTCGACGTCGATGAGGTCGTCGCCGAGGAGCTCGCCCGAGTTGGCGATCGTCACGCGCTCCGACGGCGTGCCCGAGCCCGACCCGATCTTCTCGACGGCCTTGACAACGTCCATGCCGCCAATGACGCGGCCAAACACGACATGGCGCCCGTCCAACCACGAGGTCTTGACCGTGCAGATAAAGAACTGCGAGCCGTTGCTGTTGGGCCGGCGTTGGCCATCGAGAGCGTGCCGGGGCCTTCGTGCTTGAGCTTAAAGTTCTCGTCGTCAAAGCGGTCGCCGTAAATCGATTCGCCGCCCGTGCCTGTGCCATGCGTAAAGTCGCCGCCTTGGATCATAAAGTCCGGGATGATGCGGTGGAACGCGCTGTCCTTGTACCACAGCGGCTTGCCCTTCGTGCCCGTGCCCTTCTCGCCCGTGCAGAGCGCGCGGAAGTTCTCGACCGTCTTGGGCGTCGTCTTGCCGTAGAGGCCCATGACGATGCGGCCCGCATCGCGGTTGCCGATCTTGATGTCAAAGTAGACTTGGTTGGTGATCTTGGGCGACTTGGCGCCGACGGCCATGCCCACGAGCGCGAGCGCCACGAGCGTCAAGAGCTTGAGCGACATGGTGAAACTTGAGCAATGCGACTGCGGGCCCCACACCGACTAAGATCCCATGGCAGTCGCTGATTGGCTGGAATTTCGAAGCCACGCACTTTGGCGGGATTTTACGTACACGTTTAACGCCCAAGTTGAATTTCAGGCCATGTGCTTGCTCGACCTTGGCATACATCTTGAGAATGGCAGCAAGCACACAGCTCCCGTGAAGGATGCGACCAGGGCCTCGATGACTGTTCCATTAAAATGACGGAGCGCGCTGTAGGTGCCCATGTAGCATCGCGGATCCTCGCTTGGCTGGAGGCGGGTGTCTCTTGTTGGAGCACACCAGTCCTTTCAATCAGAAACGTCGCCAGGCATACTCGCACAGGATTGAATCCAGCCCAACGAATCGGACGCTGGCTACGGCTCGTCTGCGATGGCTGCCATCGAAGGCGCTGGCGAAATCTTTGGGTCGATGGAATGGATCTTGATGGCATGTCGAACACGTTTAACGCATATGCGGTAAAAGGACGTTTTGTGTACCGGTGCTGACGCCATGCATTTCGTCAAGTACGTTTTCGGATTAGCTTGATATTTGTATTAGCCGTCGGCGGCGACACCGCACTTAGTCGTGTCAGAGAGTGGTGGGGGAAAGATACAGCGAGGAGGGGAGGATGGCGTCGGTTTTTTTAAAACGACGTCGAAAAAACGATGGGCCTCCACCCCTCTCTCTTGATGTTTGTATGCTTCGGGGCTTTGGGCCATTGAAAGCGATGGCAGAGGGGGAATAAAACTGACACCGTACTTTGACAAGACGTTACGTACTTGATCGAGTTTCCTCGAGAAGACCATAGTAAAACCAAGTCAGATTTCGAGTCGTGGCTTTGGATGGAGAACCTTCCCCCCCTTGGACCCAGCAGTTGGGAGACGACCTACCTACCCAACACGAGCAAGGCGGCAAATCCCGCGATGGACCACCCGCAGCAACAGCAACAGCAGCAGCAGCAGGCCGTGCACCACCACCAAGCCGCGCAAGCCCACCACCAGCACCAAGCGCACCAGGCCGCGCTCTCCCGCGAGTACGAGCAGGCGCTCATGCAGGATGACCCGAGCTCGCTGGACCAAAAGATGGGCTTCAAGGCGTCGCAGCTCAACAACCTCTTCATCTGCGAGTGCGGCAAGCAAATCGTCAACGCCAACGAGTACAACATTGCGCGCCACAAGGCCAGCAAGCGCCACGCCGAAGCGCTCTCGAACAGCGACTCCGAGTTCTTCATGTGCGAGTGCGGGAAGCGGCTGCTGCGGTCGCAGAAGGACAACGAGGACAACATGGCACAGCACCGCGCGAGCCGAAAACACATCCAGGCCATGGCCAAGAAGCAAAAGATGGTACGGCCCATCACGGCCCTCGCAGCTCCCGGAAGCTCACACTTGCGACAGACAGACTTGGGCTTCACCGTGCGCACGGACGACACGGTACGCAGACGCTGCTGCTTGGCGTCGTGCTGACCGCGCGTTTCTTGCGTAGAACTGGGCCACGACGCTCCAGTCGCTCCGAACACAGTACGAGCCATGGTCCCGCGGCTGGCACTGATACCGACATGTAGCGTCGTCAGCCTCGAGCTCATCCGCGAAGCCGAAGACGAACTCATGCGCGGTCTCTCGGCGCTCGAGCAAGAGTACCAGGTACGTACCTGTCGTCGTCGCGATGGCACGGCTCATCCTGCGGCGTTGTAGCGCACGGCGACGCTGCTGACCACCTTGGAGAAGGCGCAATCGCGCATGCAAGTCCGCGCCGAGAAGCTCGCGCTCGAGAATGCGTCCATGAAGGCGTCGGTCGTGTCGATCCTCCAGGCGCGCGAGCAAGAAGTCAAGATCCTCAAGCACATTGCCGAGTCGCCGTCAACGTCGGCCACCAATTGACTCGCGCCCCAAACTGAATTCGAAAACCCCGTTCTCATCTAAGGGACGAGTTGCGCGGTAGGATTTAGTTTGGGCACCATATTGTCATGTAGTAGACAACCCCATTTTTGTCAACGCGCCGTACGCTCGTCTTTTTCCCTTTGTGTATCCAAGGACACTTGGTCCACAGCGAACCAAAATCGGTCGACAGTTGAGTCTACCACGAGTACCAACCTCCGGAAACGCTACGCCTCGCGGAGGACCTGCAAGCGACGCGTCACAAGTGTCCGGACGCACGGACGACAGAGCAGCCACGCCAATGAGAGCACAGCGAGAAACGCAATGGACCACCGAAGTAGCACAGGACGCAGTGGCGTCATCACGGCCAAGACACACGTGTAGGGCATGTAGCGCGGTGGCCAGTCGAGCCAAAAGTACGTGCGCAGCACCGACTTGGTGTAGCTAGCGTTGTGAACGAGTGCTTTCCGTGGTACGTCCCGAGACCCGAGTTGCCAAACGGCAGATTCAAGTTGTCCATCTGCATGACGTGGGTTGATGATACTGCCAAACGACGAGTATCGCAGTGCCACTTGGATACGGTCTTCGTGGCGGCCAAGATAACGTAGAGGGCGAGCGGCTTGGGCGTGGATCGAATGGTCTCCGAGTCCATGTCGCTGCTGGTGATCGCTAGCAGCGGACCAAAGAGCTCGTCGTCCATGAGCGCGCTCGCCTCCAAGGCCGCCATGGCGTCTTTGTAGTTGAAGCGCGTCGTCGCATTGCAGCCGTGCACGAGGTCCGTCTTTCCTTCTCGACAAGCGCCTTCAACTGCTGCGATGTTGGCGACGCGGCCATCGTCTCTGGCGTGTTGGTGAAGAGGCTGACGAGTGCCCTTTGGAGGGCGGCTACCAACGCATTGCCGATCTAGTAGAAGAGAGTATTGCTCCACATAGGCATTCGTCGCCACCCAAAGCGAACCGAGCGCGACGATTTTGGCGCTATTGTTGCACCTGCCCCGCTTCAAAGTTCCACGTCACGTCACTGACACAGCTCACTGCTCGAAGCGTTTTCATGGCTTTTTATTGCTCTTTATGGCTCCTTATGTTTACCATCATTCTGTCCCAGCATCAACTGACTATTCGACGACCTCGGAGCTGGCCACCGCAGCATGAACACGTTCGGCAAGTTCCTCGGGCATGGCTCGTCGAGCAACACGGGCGCAGGCAACGCGCCGAGCGTGACGTCGAGCACGGGCCTGAGCTTCGCGTCGACGATTGGGCCGCCGTCGGGGGCCAGCAGCGCCATGTCGGCCATGTCTCGGCTCGGCGGCTTCATGACCAAGGTTCCGTTTCCGTTGGGCGCAACCGCGGCGCCGACGACCAACAAGATCGAGCGCGCAAGTCACGACGGCGAGCTCACCGAGTACGTGTACGAGCACGACCGCGTCGACGGCGGCGTCTTGCGGCCGAGCGTCGACCCGAAGCGGTACGGCGACGCGTCGGCCGCGATCGGGCTGGGCGACGACGTCTTTCCGACGACGACGCTGCCGGAAGGGTACGAGTGGACGAGCGAGTGGGAGGTCGACCTCTTCTCCAACTGGGCGAGCGTCGACAAGGACGGCTGGACGTACGGCGCCGACTGGACCGACGTGCTCAAGCTCGCGAAAGAGGAGCTGAGCCACGCAACAAAGCACCCGAATGACGCCGTGCGCCGCCGCCGCCACGTGCGCTACTACAAGAAGCAAGACCAAGGCAGCCGCGCCGAGGCCGAGCCCGAGACGACGACGGCGACGACGACGTGGGCGGCCGAGCAAGATTTGCGGTAATACGTCTCCTCCTCCTCCTCCTGCGTCGATGGAGCATCATGACACGGCGCGACAGGATGAGCGACGAAGACGCCGACGACCCGTTCTCGCGCACCGCGCAGAAGAAACAGTCGGGTTTCCGGCCCATGAACTTTGCCACGCGCGCGGGCAAGGATTTTACGAAGGACTACGCCAACATTACCGACCTCGGGTCCTTGCCGTGGCTCGTCAACGCCCAGGACGCGAGCGCCGTTCCGTCGGACGAAGCCATCCGGGAAAAGACCGCCAACCTCGAGGAGCGCATCAAGAAGGCGTCCGAGAAGAGCGCGGCGCAGGAAGAGGCGCTGCGTGCCAAGCACCAAAAAAAGCTCCGCGACGTGGCCCTCCAGCAAAAGAAGCTGTCGCTGCTCGTGGAACAGTACCGCAAGGTCAAGAGCGAGTACGACACGCTGCAGGCCAACGCGACCGAGCTCGCGCGCGTCGTCGACCAGCTGCGCAAGGAAGCGGTGCGTGCTCTGCATCTCGTTTATCTCGTGCTCATGTCCCGAGCGTCTGTAGACGGAGAAGGACAGCTTGGCCGTAGGCATCATTCTGCGCCTCATCCCGCTCCATATCATGCACCATCATGACGTAGAATGAAGACCAGCGCGCGATCAACGCCGAAATGCAGGCCGCCAACCAGGCGCTGGAGGAAAAGCCAAGGCGCTCGTGACCGCGCGCATCCGCTACAAGCGCGACAACAAGGCGCTGAGCGCCGCCATCCAAGCGGCCAAGCAGCGTCTCGAGGCGCAAGAGAAGACCAAAGCCGCGGGCGGCGACGACCCGGTCACGGCCGAGCTCGATGAGATGGTCGAGAAGCTCACCAAGCTCCACAGCAAAGTAGAAGCTGTCAAGCAGCATCGGCTCGCGATCGAGGAAGAGCGGAAAGAGATGTTTAGCCAGGTCGTGGAGAAGAAATCGGACTTGCGGCTACAGTCCAAGATGAAGGTACGGCAGCCTCCAGCGTCTTAGCACCCTACCATGAACGCCTAGCTCGAAGCGACGCTCCACGAGATCGACTCGAAGCTCGAGCACCTCAAGCAAGAGCAAGCCAACCTGCTCAAGGCATACGCCAACAAGCCTGTATACCTACCTACCCGTCTTGTTGCGATTGGCTAACGCCGCTTGGTGCTACAGGAAGGCGAGCTCCTCAAGCAACTCAACAACCGGCGGAGTGACATCCGCAACGAAATGTCGGCACTCAAGAACCGACGCGCGGAGCTCGTCTCGCACAACGCAGCGCCCAGCGCGCCTCGACCGCAAGTCGCAGAGCTTTAACGACAAGCACCCTTCTTTGTCTCTTATCGCTTTCGCCGGCGGTGCGACGACTCGTGAAGTGACGCCAACTGCTCGCGGACGGCTTGGATCTCGTCCGCAACCTTGTCGTCCAGCTAGCACCAGGTAGATGGATGAGTGACCGCCTCGTTCCTTGCATGTACACCTCGCGCCGCTTGGCTTCCATGCGCGCGATGCTCCGGAAAACGCCCGTCTTGCCCGTCCGCGCCATCTCCTTTTGCAGCAGATGCGCGTACGACGCGCTGCGTTGCATGGGCTTCTTGGGCGGTTTGTAGAGCCGCTCGAGCAGTCGGGCTTGAGTCTTGGCATCGAGTTTTGTCCTCTTGGCGGGATCGATCGAGGCGCACGCTTGTTGGTTGCTCGTGTCGGGGGCACTCGCGCTCTTGTGCAAGTGACGCCGTGGCTTGGGCGAGAGTGGCTGCTGCTTGCGGGGCGTCTCGTGCAGGTCCTTCTCGGCCGCCTCGAGACGCTCGAGCATCTCGTGCAGCGCAACCTCATCGCGGGTGACGTGGTCGAGCGTCGCGGCGCTCTGGATCGGCGCGTACGTGTGCGCGATCCGGTGTTCGACCTTGTCCTCAAAGGCTTTCGTGATGAAATTGCTCTCGACGTGCTTGAAGTAGGACAGCGCGCCGGTCTGGTCGTCGTCTTCCTCGTCGTCTTGCGGTACGACTGCCGCTACAGACGCCAACGACGAGTCGTCGTCGTCGTCGTCGTCGTTGAGAAAGTCGTCGGTTGCCGGGTCCACCTCGGTTGCCTGCGGTGGTGGCAACAAGGCAAGTGCATCGATCTCCGCCACGTCTGTTGTGTCTGTTGAGAGACGTCGGGACGACGATTTGCGATGACGAACGCGCGTCGCCGAAAGCGACCCGAGGTCCACCGTGTGTTGCCGAACGAATCGGTGGGCGTTGGTTCGTCTGGCGCGGCTTCGAGCATGATTTGGCTACAAAAGTCACTCGGGTTGAACCGCAGCGAGCGAAGCCGGGGCACGGCCGGTGCATCGTCCTCGTCATTGCCACCGTCTTCGTCATGGGTCTCGGCCACGGGTACATCCGCGGGCCCACTGGCCGCCTCGAGAAAGAAAGGGTCCAAGTACTATGCGGAGCGTTAGAGTCATATCGTGATCACGCCTCGTACGTCAAAGTCGCAGTGAACGCACACAAAGTCGTTGGCGTACATCTCTGTCGGTCCATGTCGGAGGCAAAACCCATCGATGCGCTGCCGGTCGCCGTCTTGCAGCGCGTTCTCGGCCATGAGCCAGAAATCTATCAACTCGTATTTGAAACCTTGATACAAAGAGATGATGGAGGACCGTGGTAGGCGTAGCCGCCCGAGCCAAACTCATCAAAGTGGGCGAACGCGGCTTGAAACTGTGCGCTCTGGACGAGGGACGCGAGCATGGATTCGAACGCTGTGATGACGCTCGAGAAGAGACGGTCGTCCCACGCCTGCAGGAGGGCCATGGACGCCAGCGGCTGACTGGCGTTCTGGAGCTCCGTGTCCGGAAGCTTGGCACTCGATCGGCGCTCAACGGGACTTGTGGATCCGACGACGTCGCCGGGTGCCACTTGGACAAAGTCGACCATCGTGCGCGTGCACCGGCGTTTCTTGAGCAGCCGCGAGTGACTGCCCATGCTCTACATCCTTCTGAATCGCTTCATCCCACACGATGGTTTGTCTACCTGTGGCAAACAGCGAAACTCGCCTATGTCCAGGTAGCCCGAGTCGTTGCTCTCGACGAGCTCAAACATCTGGGCGTACGCCAGTAGTCGCAGCCGCGTGCGGAGGCTTCGTTGTCGGTGCAGCACTTGCGTTGGCGGAATGTGTCCAGGCCACTCGAGCCGCGCCACAAACGCATTGGACGGGTTGCCAAAGCCTGCGAGCTGGCAGCGCCGCACCGCGCGGTTCCAAAGCACGCGCTTCGAGAGCAAGACCGCGTCGTCGGCGTGCGACGGAAGCGGGTCCGTGACGCACGGCGTGCGCTGGAGCCAGTACGGTGAGAACGTCGCTTCGAGTGCTTTCAAGCTCAAGACGCGCGGAATTCGCTTCGACGCGAGCAGGAGCAGAATGAGCTCGCCAAAGACCGCGATCGGCTCGAGCCGCGACGGCTTGGCCTTGACGAGGCCCGCAAAGATGGTGTCGAGCGTGTGGTGGGCCGTTAGACGCAGCGTGGCAGGCGATCGCCACGGTGCGGCCCGGGGCTTGGCGCCCGTGAGCTTGCCAAAGCTCACCGAGCGCAGTAGATGCCCCAGCAGGAGTGCTGGGAAGGTCTCGACGTTGCCAGCGAGCCGGAAAACCACGTGCCGGACCTACTCACACCGTTGTCTCCACCATAAGAAGCGGTGTTTCGACCGTCGCGAGGGGCGGCTGCATGTCGCGGTCGTGGTTGCGGATCTTCTCGGCGGTCTTTTTCTCTTCCTTGGGCGACGGCGGTGCGTGCGGCAACGTGAGGATGTTGAGCGCGACGCTTTCATCGATCGACCTAAACCCATGCGGCCACTTCAGTGATGGGGGTCAAAAATGGATAGAAGTGTCTTGGACAATGCAACGTACGGGGAAAGGTCGGACGCATGACTCACATACTCTGACGACGTGAGGAGCGTCATCCACTCGATCGGAAGCACAACGCTCGGCTTGAAATACGACACTTGGGGCCAGTACACGTTGCTCTCTTGGATGAAATCGAGGTCTTCGAGTGCGCTGCGGTAGTTGGCGAAGTCGTCCTGCGAGGCAATCAAACCCAGTGTCACTTTGAGTTTGAGCAAGCCCAAGTCGTGGGTCTTGAGCGGTACGAGCACGTCGCACGAACAGTTGCGCGGGAACGCACTGGGTCGACGTGGGTTGACGGTCTCGTCACCGTTGGCTTCGTCGGACGTCATGGCCGCGCGCGCCGCCAGCAAGAGCGGCTTGAGCGATACGAACGCGTGGCCGGCAAAGGCGCCGTCGCGGGTTTTGAGTTTCACGTGAATTTTGCTCTCGACGCAGTACTCGGTAAACGCCTCGGGCGCTGCCAGCACATAGTGCAATCTCGCCTACCCAATAAGAAATGGGCGCCAAAATATCAGAAAATCGGTCCGTACTTCGCAGAGTTGCCAGCGGTGGATCGAGTGAAACTTGGGGCCATCAAACGATAATGTGCAGAACGACTGGCCGAGCTGGTACTCGAGCACATAGTCGGTGGCGACCGCGGTGCGCAGCGCGACGTCCTGCACTTCGTGGAAAAGAAGCACACGCAAAAATGGTCGCAGCTCGGGTCGACGTCGGTTCCGCGAAGAGCGCTCAAACGTGTCTTGGCCAGTGCTTGCTCGGCGTAGGTAAAGTCGCGCACGTCGTGCTCGGCCCGGGCCTCGAGGATGCGAGCGAGGATGCCATCAATGCGGACGACGGTCAGCGGCGGGTGCGTCGGGTCGGCGTGGAAGAACGCATGAATCGTCTTGGCCGTTGTCGTCACGCGCACTTGATGCTTGTAGATCTGATAGCACACAAAGCAGACGCGGCACTCGTTGGAAAGCACGAGCTGCTGGTTCAGGCCGCGCTGGAGCGCGACGCTCGCTTCCCATACGTGCATGTAGACGCCGCGCTGGCGCAAGCCGCAGATCGTGTCGAGCACCATCTTGAACGTCATGATGTAGCCCGAAACGTTGGTCGCCAGCTTCATATGGTCGTCGTCGTCCAGCACCAAGCCCAATGACGCGACGTCGTTGAGCGAAAGCGCCAAGCTTTCGTGGCAGAGAAAGCAGAGCATCGAGGGCGGCAACGACACGACGGCCTTGGGTGCCTTGGCGCACGCTTCCTTCGTGCGCAGCGAGAGACGCTTGGGAATCGACACGAGCGACTCGTAGACGTCGCTGACGTCCGGCGGCGTCGCCGTCCGGAGCTTGTAGTGGAAAGATTGGACTTGGAGAAACCACCACTTTCCGTCAATGTCCTTGATAAAATCGACCGTCATTTCGTCAAAAATGACACATGGGATATGGTGCTGGACGTGCTGCACGATGCGGGCGACGGCGTCGAGCGCCGGTTGAATCGGTGGACCTAACCGGTTGGCTACACCCGACGGACGCGGTGGTTAGGACCATGTAATACCTCGTAGCTTGGAGGCGTGGAGGTCCGGTACAAAGGGTGCACCGCCGTTCATCTCGCTCGGCTCGAGTGCGGTGCTGGATGCACAGTAAAACTTGGCGACTTCGGTCGCGACCTCGAGCGACGTGTCGTACACCTCGAGCTCATGCGCTTTCTCGGCCGCTACAGTAGTAGAGTGTACATACAATCGCCGCCTTGTGCACGGCTGGATAACGTACACGGCCGGGCATAGTCGGAAAATTTCTTGCTAAACAGAACGATAGACAAAGTGTCCACAACTCTGAAGACACGGTCGTACTTGTTGAGGATGTAGAGAGCGTACGGATTCTGGCTGCCGTGCACCCACACAGCGCGGTAAAAGGCTGCGTTGATGCCTCGACATCGAATGTACTTTTGCACGGCGAACCCGAGCTTCTTGGTGTCGCTCTGCAGAATGCGGTCCAGGTGGCGCTTGGGGATGGCAATCGTCGTCGTTGACGGAGGCGAGTACGGCTTGGTGCTGCACATCTTGCGCACGGCAAGGACGTCTTCGCTCGTCGGCTTGGGGATGTAGTGGGCGTGGTAGTCGCTTGGGTCGACCACAACAGGTGTCGACGTTGGCATGGTGATGTCGGCGATGAACTTGCGCTTCCAGTTCATCGGGCGGTCGACGCAGCCAATGTGACCGGACGCGTCGGTCACGAGCCACAGTACGTCTTCCTTGCTGCTCTCGCTGCTCTCGCAGAGGACTGTGTCGGGGATGTTGAGCTCGAGGCGCCGGCCCCCCACAGGCTGCAGAAACTTGTAAAAGTACAGGCCTGGCTAGACATGGCTCACCAGCATGAGCCATTCGACACGAAGATTGGCGGCATGCGAACCTTGATGTGCTTGGCGAGCTCGTCCTCGTCCTAATGCAGATGATGATAGTCATTGCAGCATGATCACGCGTACGCTGTGCATGGCCGCCATGCTCAGCGCGGAGCGGAATCGGTGGGGCAGCGCGGCCTTGGCGGTCGGCTTGACGCTCGTGCTGCGGCGGACGTCAGGAGGGTGGTCGAAGGACCGGCGGTTGGCCTCCATCCTGCGCGACCTTTCGCAGCCTCGGCAACGTTAGTCGATGCCACGACTATGACAGGCAAGGCGTTTTAGTCGTTTAACCGCTCGACATCGCACCGTCCGCCCTTAAAATTCACTTAAACAAGTACACTTACGAAACACAAAGTAGCCATCGCAACGTGCCAGCCCACAGGGCGCCGATTCGCGTGGCTCTTGCGCACTACCTGAGCAGGCTGGAACGTTCTCGTGGCGGTCGTTGCCGTGGTTGGCCCCACATCGATGCGACGCTGCCCCTGATGTGTCTGCCACAACCTTGCACGTGTCAAGGAGGATCGCCTTGCGGTGCTGGGCGATGGATCGAGAAGCCCTGATGTCATGTTTCTTGTCTTGCAGTGGTATTAAGGACCGCCATGAGGGACCGCCTCGTTGGTGCGCCATGGCCTTGGATTCCGCATACGCGTGCTTCCGGTATGCATTTTTTAAGGTAATTTGTCCATGACCTCTTCATCGTTTTAGTCGACTAGAAGAAAAACGCACGTGGCGGTTTGCAACCTCCAGAAGACAAAGCACATGGACTTGGTCTCGACGTCCAACTTCCATGCGACGCTGCTGCCAGGTACATGGCCAGCGCGATGAGCCTGCTCCATGGAGCTGCATGTAGGTGCACTCTCGGTTCTCTTGATCCCGCCCGAGCGCATCCATGCGTGCAGCTGGGCGCTCCTCACGTACGTCGATCAGGCGACTAGCGATCGTCCTTCCTGACCTTTCTCTGCGTAGCCTGCTCCTCTACGGCGGCTGCAGCGTCGTGTGCCGAGAAGGCGATGCGAATGTTAGCGCGTCGCACATTTGCCGGTCCAAGGAAGCCGAGGTCTTCTCGATGGTCGCCGACAAGGACGGGATCACACTCTTCATGGACCCGAACGGTGTCAAGGTCTTCGAGTTTGCGGTACTTCTCTTCGCCATGGCTGTGGCGGCAACGGAGTGGGTGCTGTAGAAGGTGCTGGACGACATTCACCTTGCGCCCCAGCAGTGGCGGGCGATCCAGGTAGAGAATAACGCTCGTCAGGGTCTTCATCCACTTGTCGGCAGATCCACTTGGGCCCGATGGTCGCCGAGTTTCCCGGCGTCATACGGTACATGGTATGCAGTCGCATGCGTGGGGGCTCATGCGCGTTGCGTAGCTTTCTCTCGCAGCTGCTCGCCGAGGACAAGATCAGCATTCTCAACATGAGGTAATATGTACCATGGCCACCGCGTGTACTGATGCGTCATGACAGCACCTACGATACCGACATCATTTACGTCCAAGTACGTTATGAGTTGCATTGCGCGGAATTCGCGAGACGCTTCTGCCTAGGAATGCAACTTGGAGAAGGCGATTCACTGCCTTCAGAGCAAGTTATCCCGCGGCGTCCACGGTCTCAAAGAGGTCACTCTTTGGCTGCAAGACGGTGCTGACGAATTTCCATAGGTCAAGGACGAAGAGAACAGTCGGCGACTTAGCAGCGAAGGGTCCGAGTCACCCAGCCATGACTCGAGCCCCTCGTCGCCGCTGGCATTGTCACCCGTCAGCGTTGCACCTGCGTCGTCCTCCCAGTACCTCGCCGGTGCGTTCATGTTTGTACAATACACAATCTGAGAGCAGCACGTAGTGTACCCTGCCTCCATGGTGCTCGTTCGCTTGAAGAAGGACGCGATTCGTGACAGCGCCTTTGGGCTCACGCAGTTGCTCCTGACGACCAACGCGGCGGGCGTTGCCACGACGGCACGCCAGCACGCCAGCGCATTCTGGTGCTACTGCGAGACGGCCGAGGAGATTTGCTTGATTTTGGACGAAGACTGCCTCAGCGACTTTTCCGAGAGTGCGGTCATCGTGTCGCCGGACCGATGGCGGGTCATTACGCTCTGCGGGCGCAAGTATGGCTTTGAGGAGACGGGTATTGTTGCCGCCATGTCGGGGCTCGACTCGGTGCACACGCAAGTGCTCAACATTAGCTCGTTTGGCTCGAACGTCACCCTCGTTCTCGAAGACGCGCTGGACGAAGCCGTCGCGAGCCTCGCGGCGTCGCTGCGTCTCGATCGTGTCGAACGTCTTTAAGAACCCCATCGCTATCCGTGCTATACTAACACATGTCTGCAGACAGAAATGTCTTGGCTTCTACCTGCTCTCTCTCGCACAGATTTTAGTGGACCAAAGGTTGTCAAGTCCTTGGTGAGACCCACGCGACCCGACGTTGACGGTCCTCCAGCATGCAAGCCGGTATACAACAGCCAGCCTCCTGCACCCAGACGCCCTGCGTTCACCCATCGTGGGGCTTGACACTGTTGGCTAGAAGAAGAGTCGATATTAAAAATGGGTGGGTGTTCTGAAGCTCCTCTATCGCGCCGCGGCACTGCTCGAGCGATGACGCAGGACAGACTCGAGCATCTTGATGCGGCGTTGGTACATGGCCGTCAGAAGACGACCCTGTTTCTCACCACCGTAGTACGACGCGCCGTGTCGGAGGACCTCCAGAGCTGACGGCAACGCGACGTGCACGAGGTCCTTTGCAAGGTAGAACGCCGCTGCTGCCACGCACGGTGTCGGGATGTCGGGCCAAATGTTGCTGAGAGCGACGACGGACGCAAAGCACTGCAGCGCGTCGCTTCGCGTCAAAGGGTCTTGCAACAGCAGTAGACCGTAGAGCGTCCACGCATCCAGCTGCAGATGCACGTCGTCTGGAGTCTCCAAGCAGTGATCGACCGACCACATTGCCACGTCTGTCTCGAGCGCGATGCGTGACGCAGGGCGACTCGCGACCGCCGGACACGTGCGCGTCATCCACGTCTGTGCCGTCTCCGATCCCGTGGGTCGCTTGTCCGAGGTAAGAAAGAGCAAGTCGAAGGCCAGTAGCGGCAAATGGGCGTCCGGGAGGCGTTCATAATACGCCGCGCGGTCGAGTAGCAACGCCAGGTCGTCGTCGATCGGCTCCTTCTTCCTACAATAGGTCCGTGATGCAACACGTACAGGAGGCGGTGCTTACAAGAAGAGCGCATGGCGAAGCAGCGACCGCATCGTCTTGACAGCTACCGGGTCGTCGAGACCGATGCACGCTGCGAGGTGCACACACGCATCGAGCTGCGTCTGCGTCGGCGCCATGGCCTTGGTGCGCGCGTGCTGGGTGATGATCGTCTGGAAATACGAGGTGGCGCGCTCGATCGCAAGGACACGAAAGCTCAAGTGCCCATTGTGGAGCTGCAATTGGTACTTGCGCTCCTTCGCACCGACGGCTGTCTCGGCGCGGACAGCGAGGACGAGCGCGCGGGATGGGTCTTGCCACTGGGCCGCGACGCTCGCACTCCAGAGGTAGACGACCCACGTTGGATGTCGTCGCAAGCACTCGGCCTCGACCCGCTCCAGCGTTTTCTGCTGGACATTTGGGTCGTGCCAGTGCATAGTTGCTGTATATGCATCGCCTTCGTCGTCGGACGAAGCCGGTGATGCGGACGACGACGACAGCTCGTCATCGGTCCACGCCAGTGCCGCCGTCTTTGATGCTGTTGAAGTAGCTGTCGACTTGGTGCGAAGCCGGTGTTGCAACAGCGCGGGCGATGCGTTCATCAGTGCGAGGCCGGCCCACGGCGCACGCAAGTTGGGCGTCGACCACGCCGCGTGGAGAGCCTTTATACCTTCTGGAATGTCGACGCGGACTTGGAGCAGCTGCAGAATCCATTGGAACTCGGACGGCACAACAGCGCTAAAGAGGTGGAAGACACCAAGACCAAAGCGTGCGCGGCCGAGAAGATCGGTGTACGTGCTGCGAGGCAGGCGCGCCGACGCGGTCGTCAGCGCATGGCGCAGCGACGTATAGAGAGTGAGGCTCTTGCGCAGCGCCGTCACGGCCGGGTTGACGTCGTGCTGGAGCAGGTGCGCGATGCCGGTCAGCGCATACGCTTCTGCCAGCGCCGCGTCGCAGCAAAGTTTGCGCGCAATCGAGCGCTGCGGCAGCTCTGTGAACTGGGCGGCGATCGCAACGGCCTTCGCAGCGTCTTCAATGGCTTTCTAGCCGCAACGATGAGGATGTGCGTGGAGAAACGAGCGAGTGGACCTGTGTACAGAGTGCATCTTGAGACACGAGTGCGCGTACGAATTGGAGCTCGGCCTTGAGGACGCTCACGAGGACGTCGGCGCCAGGCGGGATCTCGGAGAGAAGGACAAAGGCCATGTCGAGCTTGTTCGTTAGCAACAAATTCACTGCACGCTGCATGCGCTCGTGCAGCTCGACGGCCGACGTAAAGTGCACTGACCCACGCACGCTAAGCATGAGCTCGCGCTCGAGCTGGCCGCGCTTTTCGTTCAAGAGAGTAAGCTCCGTTGCCTACGCAGACAATCCAGACGCTTTGACGCAACATCACAAAACGTACATCGAGCAAGAGGCGCGCAAGCTCCGAGGATGAAAGGTGGTCAACGCTCTTGCCGTCGACGGCCACGAGCTGGTGGCCCACGTGCAGCTCGTCCCAGCCACTGGCCATATCGCTCAGACCAATGTTGGCCTCGACCTTGGCCATGACCAAGCTCTTGATCGCGTGGCGCTTGGAAAAGACGCCCTTGGCGAAGGCGACGCCGTCCCATGCGCCGGCTACCGATATGCGCCGGCACGTGTACTCGCCAGGACCGAGGATCGCGTCGCGCATGCCGACGATGGACGTGCTGCAATGTCAAATGACATCGATGGCATGTCGTATCCGGATGACATATCCGGTCCATCCGGTTGTGTGGGACATGTCTGCTTGGCATTTTTCACACCAGAATTGCAATTCAAACTTCAAATTGTCTGAATTTCTCGATTCGAGTTGTATTGTCGTCGACTAGAACTCCCTTGTCAATCTCAACGATTGTTTTTCCATCTCTCGGTACGCCTGTCGCCTCTCGGTGTGGAGCAGTACAGTATTAGCGTTTTAAAAGTGGTTGAATGGTCTCGACCACAAGAGCTTGCCACAAGCGATGTGTTCACCCCGTGCTTCCTTGGGCCAGGACGGCAGGACTCGCCGTCGAATTCCTTTACAGGTAGTCCTCCCAATAGCAGCTAATGTACCGACGGACCACGGGACGATGTACATACGTAAAAGGAATCCTTAAGTCAGGGTTGGTTCGCTGCGCCAGGGTACAAGCAGGGGTACAAGTACAAGGTAGAATGCAAGTGGGTTTCAGACCTCTCATACCTTATAAGATACAGGTCATTGACACCTGCAACACTGTATCGGATTGATATCAAGTTCGAAAGGGTGTCGCTTCGCCAGTTTCGAATGCTCGACGAACGCAAGGGTCGTCGGCGCCTCCATGGCTTGGAGCGCCCGTGGCACCCGCGCCAAGTCGTCGTCGTATGCATCTTTGGCCTCTCGGTGGTCTGCTCTGGCCTCTCGACCGCGTTGCTGGTGCCAGAAGCCCGCGGCTTCTGCGATCTCGTCGTCCTCGCCAGCGTCGACGCGTCGATTGCAGTACTCTTTGGCATCATGGTCGCCTTGTTCATCGCGGTGTCGACGGCCGACACGCTCGCCACCAAGTACCCGCGAAGCTTGTACCCAGGCGAGAAGATCGCGCGCTGCCGGTCCTGCGACGTTACGGTCAACTCGCGTACCAAGCACTGTCTCTGCTGCGCCAAGTGCGTCGAGGGGTTTGACCACCACTGCGACTACCTCAACACGTGCATTGGCACGGCGAACGTTCGGCAGTTCCGCCTCCTCATTGCCGCGAGCATCGCGTACCTCATCGTCCAGACAGCGCTCGCCATCTTTACGCTCCTCGTTACCTCGGCGTCGTTCGGGTAGAGCGATAGACTACACTCGGTGACATCCAGTGACCGTAGGGTGCAGACGCTCGTGGCTCTGCTTGCAGTCTTGCCAGCGATCGGCCTCGTGGGCCTCTTTGTCCTCGCGGCCTTCCAGGCGTACATCTATCGCTCGGGTACGAGCCTGCCATCCCTCCACTAGTGTCACGCATGATGATGAAGGTATGACGACGTTTGAGTTTGCCGTGCACATGAGTCGCGCCAAGCGCAAGAAGCAGGTCGTCCAGCAGCACCCTGCTGCTGCACACAACAAGGCGATGGCACCATCGGTGACGGCGCTTCATTATCTGTTTGCATTGGGCGCTCACAAAGCGCGCCTAGGTGCACCTCGTCAAGCTTTCGTCGTCGACATCCGGGCCCGCGCCGCCGCTCGTGCTGCAGTTTGTCTAGACGCTCGCAACTGGAAAGATTGTCATCGGAGAGGTCTTCGTATTAAATATAGATACAGGGGGTCGACTACTACGCTCCGCAGGCAGGTACTGCGTCGTACCGGCACACGAGGCCGTTGAGTTCCGAGATGAGTGCGTCAAACTCAAACGCAGCATCGTCGTCCGTCTTGACTTCGGACAGGGCGCACGTTGGCTCCTCGATCGGTTCATCGAGGACGTGGTAGTACTGCTCACAGGCCTCTTCCATGGCCATTTCAATGTTGGCGACCTCCGAGACGCTCGCCTTTTGGTGCTCAACGCAGCGCGCGAGGAGGTTCTCGACGTCCTCGAGCTGCGACACGAGCTTCTGCTGCGCCTTGGCGCTCGGCGACCGCAGGAGCGGCGTCGCGATCGACGTGAACGATGAGGCCCACGGCGTAGCGACCAGCGACGCGGAGGCTTCAATCACATCCACGCGCAGCGTGTTCGGGTCGTCCCACGACGCGGGCTTGGGCACATTGTCGTCGACGCAGCCCGTAAAGTACTGGTTGAGGATCCACGCTTTGCTCTCTTCGATCTCGCGGGCTTGGCGGCGCAGCGCGATTTCCTGGTCGTGGGCCACCTTTTGCGCATACTCGCACTGCGCCGAGAGCTTGGCGATGAGGTCGTCCGTCTTGAGCGTTGTCTGGTGCTGCATGCGCCGAAGGTACTGGTTCTCCGAGTTGAGCCCGAGGATCTCGAATTCTTTGACCGCCAAGTCGCAGCGCATCGTCACGAGTTGGCTCTCGAGGCGGAGCACCTCTTCCTGGAGCAGCTTGTTTTCGTGCTCAAAGTCGGGCTTGAGCGGAACGGGCGCGGTCGGAAAGTCGGCAAAGAGGTCGCTGTGCAGCCCATGGGTCGCATGGCGCCCGACTACAACAAGCCCGTCATCGTCAAAGGACGAGGCGGCGTCATTACCGCGGAAGGCGCTCTCAAGGCTGAGGGGTCCGCGCGTAAAGCACACGTTGGGCGCATTCTTCTTGGTCATGAAGAAGGGCATGTGCGCCGACGCCTCGGGCTTGGCGCCGCGCGGCTTCTTGCTCGTCGTCGTCATGGTCGTCGTCGCCGTCATGGTCGTCTCTGCCTCGACGAAGAGGATGGCCAAGTACTGTGTACGTAACCCTTGCGCTGGCAAAAAAGCCGATGGCAGATCCCACGCTGGCGATGCTTCTATCCAGACTGTCTCAATCCCACGCACCCAACACACGTGGCCACCACGCGATGGGCTGGCGCGACGATCGCCACGCGCGAGAAACTTTGTGGCGCCGCCGATCGCGCCGTGACGCAGTGAGTAATAACTGCACGTACGAGCCAGTGCGGTGCGGTAATAATGGCGCTATATTACATACACGACACCAGTGCCAAGGTGGGTATTGAAGCAGCGTGTTGAAGGTCAATTCGCACGGTCTATCGAGACGGACAGGCGCTGCGACGCCGTCGTCTCGGATCTTGCTGGAAGAGACCCATGGGAGCGGACTATGTTCTTAGTCGTCACAACTCGTTGGCGAACAGGATGTGGTGCATCTCGTGATAGACCACGACGAGGTGGCCAGCGCCACCGTTCGCATTTGGCTACTGGACGCCGGAGACGCGTAATGATCGACCGACCATTGTTGTCATCGCAAGACCCTGGTATCTGGCAATCGCCGTGATGTCAATGCAGCGTTGCAAGGCGGCGGATGCATGGTGGTGGTCGACGGGATGCCGCCGCGATCCTACGACGCTACCTGATCAAAGACAGAGTTGGTGCTGGCTGCGCAATTGAGACGACCTTGAAATGCGAGAGAGTCGGCCAGCTGCTGACTCTTGACGTCCAGCGTATACAAACCGCAAGTGATAAAATGCCGTGGAAGCTTGGGAACTTTGACGTGGCGCAGCTGGCGACCAGCGACCGCAGGTTCCATCGACGCGGTAGGTACTCCTTCTACCAGTACTCGATCGCAGCGTCCTGGTTGGCCACGCAGCTGGTCAACGACATGGTGCCATCGCTCTCTGCGATGCCCCTTGATGTGCGCTACCTCGTCCCTCCACGGTACCGCGCTATCGGCCCTCGCACCAACCTGCCTCACGAGCGCACTAGCACGCCCACCATCTATGTTAGGCCAAGACGTCATTTCAGCAACGCGGCTGGCGCGAGGGAGCTGTGCGAGGGTAGGTGCGGTTGGCTGCAAAGAACGTGGTTGGCGACATGCGCGCTGTTGATGGAAACAGGGAGACCGAGGCGACGATGGGTATTAGGGACGGAGGATGATTCGATTCTTCTTACTAACGTACTACTACACATGCTTACGCTTCGTTGAGCGAGATGGTCTTCATGATGCGGCCTGTGACGACGTACGGGTCCATGTTGGAGGCCGGGCGGCGGTCCTCAAAGTAGCCCTTGCCGTCGGACTCGGCCTGGCGCGGAATGCGGATCGACGCGCCGCGGTTGGCGACACCGTACGAGAACTGGTCGATCGACGCGGTCTCGTGGCGGCCCGTGAGGCGGCGCTCGTTGCCTGTGCCGTACGCGGCAATGTGCACCTTGTGCTTCAACTTGAGCTTCTCGAGCGCTTCGATGATCTTGACCATGCCGCCGTCTTCGCGCATCGCCTTAGTCGACACGTTGGTGTGGCAGCCGGCGCCGTTCCAGTCGCCCGGAATCGGCTTCGGGTCAAACGACACGATGACGCCAAAGTCTTCGCAGACGCGGAGGAGGATGTAGCGCGAGATCCACATCTGGTCACCGGCCTCAATGCCCGTGCAGGGACCGACCTGGTACTCCCACTGACCGGGCATGACCTCGGCGTTGATGCCCGAGACGCGAATGCCAGCGTACAAGCACGCGCGGTAGTGCGCGTCGGCGATGAGGCGGCCAAACGCCGAGTGCGCGCCGGCGCCGCAGTAGTACGGACCCTGGGGACCCGGGAAGCCGCCGACGGGCCAGCCGTACGGCGTGACCTTGTCGGCCTCAAAGAGCGTGTACTCCTGCTCGATGCCGAACCACGGGACCTCCTTCTCGCACGCCTTCATGACGCGGGCGGCGTCAAAGCGCGTGTTGGACGGGATCGGCGTCATGTCGGGCTTGTAGCAGTCGCACATGACGAGGATGTGGTTGCCGCGGCGGAACGGGTCCTTGTAGATGGCGGCGGGCTTGAGCATGACTTCCGAGTCCGCACCCGGCGCCTGGCCCGTGCTCGAGCCGTCAAAGTTCCAGATCGGGAGGTCGGCGACCGAGGCCGGGTACTTTTCGAGCGTGCGCGTCTTGCAGCGGAGGTCTTCGCCGGAGCCGCCGACCCAGACGTACTCGGCCTGGATGAAGCTGCCCGTGTCGAGCTCCATGTACTTGTCGTAGACCGCGCGATCGAGCTTGCTCATGTTCGTTGTGCTACCTTGGAGGCAAAATGCAAAATGCTCATGGAAACAGCCAAGGAAGATGCTCGGCGTCCTTGGTCGGATCCACATCATTGGTCCGATTTATTGTATTATCGCATTGTTTGTATGCATGGGCGCCAAATATAATGCATCTTGACTTGTAATCACGGTCAGATCTTGATCTCTAATCCTCTCTTCTGATTGGTCGAATCCCCGACCACAAACGGAACTTTTCTGTGGTCCAACTCGCCAGCGCCGGATAACCGCCGACGCGCGCCCGGAATTGTCCGGATAAACGGATGGCCTCCGGCTCGATGCGCACTCCGACCCCGGAGTGGGCCCCGGCTGGCGAAGTTGGGCTGCGATTGCACGAAGTTCGAAGACGATGCGCACGCGCCACGTCAGAGGTACATCCACGTACAATACGGTTGGACCATTTCTCTTGCAGTTTGTATAGGAATGTACATACCGTTCGGATTCAGTATGTACGGAACGGTCGGACAGAGCATTCTTGTGGTCGCGCGACTGGCCGGCAGCGCCTGCGCAGGCCGAGCGTGTCCAGCGCATGGTGCATGCCCGCCGACATGTCGCCAGATGCAAGGCTTGAACTCGGGCATCTGACGTGGCAGCAGCGTGAGCGCGCGTCGATTTGGCGACAATGGAACGAGCGAACGAGTGCAAATTGTACCTTGCGAGGCCATGGATGTTTACACGACACGAATGCTTGGTCCGTCTTGCCTAGCTAGGCACGACACACAACACAAGACAGACGACGTGATAGAAAGCCTCGATGAACGGGTTAACGACGACGACGCTTGCCTGCGCAGCTGCTCACTTGGCCGCCTAGAAGAGCCAGGCACGAGAGGTTGGTGACGACCATTCGAGCAGAAGAAGAGAGAGAGAACAAGTGGAGAGATAAGTAGTAGAGAGGAAGATCCCATGAGTCCACGGCCATGGCGACACCAAAGGGTTTCATGCAAGTATAAAGGACGGTACCTCGTCAGCCTTCTTGGGCTCGTCCGAGGAGCCCTCGGCGGCGGGAGGCGCCGTTGTCGACCCGTCGGCCGCCGCGGTCACGCCCCACGCAGCGTTCGCCGCGTCCACGCCATAGTACGCAGCGTATTCGTAGTAGCCATTCCAGTAGGCGTTCGGGTCGTTGGGATCTGCCGTCGCCGTCGCCGCCGTCGCGTCGGTGGCCGCAGCCTCCGAGGTCGCGTCACCGGCGGCTGCCGTCGTCGTCGTCGCGGCTGTTGCGTCGGCGCCCGGGCCGTAGTACGACTGGTACGACTGGTACTGCTGCTGCTGTTGTTGCTGCTGGTAGTACTGTTGCTGATAATGCGGGGCATACGGGTCAACCGTGCCGTACGTGCCGCTGCCGCGCGACTGCTCGCCATAGCTACGCAGCAAGGTTCAACCAGGTCGACAAGGCACATGGCAGCGTACTGCGAGTTGCTGTTGTAGTTGCGCGCCGAGTCGTTGAGCAGGATCGCGTCAATCTCGGCCTTGGCCATCTGCACTGCGTGCTGCGTCGGGCCCGCAATCGAGATCGTGCGCACTTCCGGCATCGAGCCCGGGTCCGGCACGTTGGGAATTTGAATGCGGCAATCGTGGCGCTCTTGGATCGCGCGGACGTTGGCACCTTGGCGGCCAATGACAATCCCAACCTACGATGCTGTGAGCCACTGGTCGGCGCTTCGATCCTCTTCGTACCCGATCGTTTGGCAGTTGCATGTAGATGGTGTTGGCGCCCTGCGGCAGCAAGTTTTGCTGGTCGTTGACAAGCATCTGAATTTCGACGCGCGCCGCCTCCTTCGCCTCCGACGTGCCCGTAATGATGAGCGTACGCAGGCTCGGGTTCTCGCTGTCGGGCGCCGACGGCACAACAACGTTGGCCCCCGTGCGCTGCTGGACGCCCTTGACGGTGACGCCTTGGCGGCCAATGATCAGGCCGACCTTGTCGTTCGGTACGACGAGCTTGAGCGCGTCCGGCGGCGGCTCGTTGCGGTCCCGGCGCCCGCCCTCGACGCGATCGCCCAAGATACCGTTGATCATGTTGCGCGCAATCTCGACCTGCGCCGGCGTGCCTGCAATCTGCACAATGCGCTCCGTGGGCGGACCGCCGTCGTCCTCGCGCCCGACTTGAATGTGACTCCCGCTCTTGTTCTGCAAGTCGCGAATGGTTTCGCCACCGCGGCCAATGATCAAGCCGACCAGCGCACGGGGCACCGACATCTTGAACATGGTTTCGCCGCCGATACCGCCGCCGAGCGGGCCATAGTGCGTAATCTCGGTGGACCCGTTGTTCTCGGCGACCCTGCGTACATGTGGTTAGCAAGCACGTGGGTATGGTTCGATAAGCATACTGGCGAAGCTGCTCCTGCTTCAACTTCATGGCCTTCTCGGGGTTAAAGAGAATGTCTTCGACCAGCTCTTGGGCCTTGGCAATCTGGTCGTCCGTATCGGCCGTGATGAGCACGTGCATATCATCGTTTTCATCGGGATCGCCAAAGGATTCCTGCAATGATGTCATCGTGAGGCAGCAGCAGCACGTATGACATTCGTACCTTGACCGAGCCGCGGCCACGGATAAGAATGCGCGAGCCCGAGAGGTCTTCCATGCGCTTCTGGTTCGATCCGCGAGGGCCAATGAGGAGACCCATGAAGTTGATGTCAGGGTACTTTTCAACGGGGATGTACACCTTCTTCTTCTTCCGGCCGTCCATGTCGTCCTAGACCTTATCATTAGCCCATGGCTCATGCAGTGATGGGCGTACCTCGAAGCGGTTCTTGCGCTTCCCGAGCACGCTGTTGTCCGAAGGAACGGTCATGGCGAGACGCGCGGCAATCGCGCGGGCCTTGGCGACCGGATCGTTGTCGGCCATGGAATCACTGCTCTCGACGTGCGATGGCAAATTACAAACTGGGACGCCGTTGGCATTAAAAATCCAAGTCTTTTTAATCATACTCTTTTTGTCCACACAGAATAAGTATCGCTTTGGAATAAAAATACAGAAAGATCGTTTAAAAGTATTCTTCCGGATAGGCATCGATCTTCCGGAAGATGCGATCGACGTGGCCAGCAGCAAGCGCGTACTTGGTGGGACTCGGCAATAAGCCTCTCATAAGCCTCTCATAAGACTCGCATAAGACTCGCATAAGACTCGCATAAGACTCGCGAGGTCGGTGACCTGGTAGACTTTAAGGCAATATCTGGGACCGAGGCTTGACGAAGTCCCCATGCGCACTTTGCTGTGTTGCTAGCGCCGACGGTGACCACCGAACGTGCTTTGTCTTAGTAGAGGGGTATACCATGTTAGTGGTAGGTTCTTGGCAGGAATGATAGCTATGCGTTGTGGTTGCCAGAGATCTTGGCAGTGGAAGCAGCCTCATCACCCGCTACACGGTACGCGCGGTATATATCGCACGTGAATTTGAGAGATTCAAAAGTCCCTTGACCGTCGGTCGTTGAGATTCATACTACAGTCATGACTGCATTGGGCAGAGCGTCAACTGCCTGCTGAGCGTTGCTATTTTGCTCGTCATCAAACTCTCATGTCATCGAGCAGCGCCGTTATGCAAGTTTAAAACTGCGGGAGTGACGGAGCGCCTCTCCCACGCTGCTCGCGGCTACTGTCGTAATAGCGAGGAAGAGCGCAGTCGAAGAGGACGCATTACGCTAGCGCTATTGTACCAACGTGCATTGACGTGCACCAGAAGGACAAGGCCATGGTCAAGCCTTGCTCGTCGTTGACGAGGAGGTGGCGTTGGCGCGGTGATTTTGAACCGAATTCGGACCGCCAATCAGATGCCGCCCTGACTTTTAGCCAATGGTAACCCGAGACCACCAATCGGGAGCAAGGCCCGAGCATGGCATCGTCCCAGCGCGTCCCGCTCTTGAAGCCCAAGGGCGCGCGCAAGCCGACGCGCGTCTCGATCGGGCCTCGGCCCAAGTCGTCCCAGGGTACGTCCACGTATTCGCCGGCGCCATCGTTGCAGCGTTATCGTAGCACCGGCGTCGCAGCCCAAGCCGGCAAAACCAGCGTCCGCCACGGACTCGCCCGTGCCCGAGACGCGGTCGCGGTCCAACTCGATCGCAAAGGCTGCTACCGAGGCGTCGCCCGAGAAGAAAGCCCCGGCTGCTACGTCTGTGCCACCGCCTGTTGCACCGACGCCTTTGGTCCCGCCGCCAGCCGCGAAAGCTCCAACGCGCATCCTCGCCGGCGGCGCCTTCACGCCCGGTGGCTCGTTTGGTGTTGGCAGTAGCCCCAAAGGACCTGCCCGCACGGCTGCGCTACGCCGGCCGGTAAGATCTGCGCTAGTAAGCACAGGTGCTCACACGTCTGCGGCGTTAGGTCCCGATTGCGATCCCGTCGGCGGGATCCGAGCCTCCCCGAGTCGTACCTGCGAAATCGGTACATCTTTCTCCATTTGGTCTCAAATTAACAATGACTGTAGCCCACGTCTGCAACGCCTGAGTTGGCACCGGGAACACCAGTGCAGAAGCCAGGGACTCCTGTGCAGAAACCAGGAACTCCTGTGCAGAAGCCAGGAACTCCTGTGCAGAAGCCCACGCCAGTGCAGAAGCCTGGGACACGGGTGCAAAAGCCAACACCTGTGCAGAAGCCAACGCCAGTCTTGAAGCCCGGAACCCCAGTGCAGAAGCTTGGAACCCCAATCTTAAAGCCTGGAACACCCATGTCCAAACCGTCGACGCCCGTGTCCAAACCATCAACGCCTGTCGCCAAGCCTGTAGCTCTCGAGTTGCCCGCTAGCACCTCGGACGCCAGCACGAAATCGCCAACAACCAAGACGACCAAGACGACCAAGAAGGCCAAGTCGGCCAAGAAGGTCAAGGCCTCCAAGAAGACCAAGGCTACCGAGACGGTAGCCAAAGCAGCGGCACCGACGGGCGCCGTGGCGTCGCCAAAAGCACCCGCGTCCATGCGCCTCCGAAGCTTGACCAAGCCGATGGTGGCGGCGCCAGAGCCCGTGCGCGTCACGCCCGCTCGTGCTGAGAAGCAAAAAAAGGCCAAGAAGGCGAAAGCACAACCCTCGTCGGACGAGCCCAAGGTAGGTACCCATGCCGTTTCTCATTCTAAAAGACGAGCGCTGAGCAGCATTGCGATTAGGCCAAGCGACAGAAGCGCCCGGTGACGCCCGTCGTGGACGAGGTCATTGACGACGACCATAGCGACGGCGGCTATGCCCATTTCTTTGAAGTCGTCGACGATGACGACGATATGGATTTCAACGACGACGACGACGACGACGACGAAGATGCGCCGATCGCCGTACGTTTCTATCGATCTCTCGAGTCCAGGCATCTTCTGACTCTATGGATGTAGATGTCGATCGCGCGCCGGGGGAACAAAAAGTTGAGAAAAGGGCCCAAACCATTGGCCATCGTACGTCTTTGTCTGCCGCGTCGACATGAGATCTTAGCGTTGTGCTAGTTACCTGCGTCCCAGCGAGTGCTCGACTATGCGCGGCCGCTCCTCGAAGACGACGAGGTCCAGGTAGGACGTCTTCTAGTCCATGGCACCCGCATTGACGCCATCGAATTAGCCAAAGAAGAAGGCCAAGCGCAAGAAACTCGCCAAGATGTCGGAGGACGATGTGCTCGAGTCGGAAGACGAGCTCGCGGCGGAAGCAGCATTGGCAAAGATGACCATGGGCGAGCTCGCGATGACCGTGCCCCGGGGTGTGCGCGACGACGCCGACGACGAGGTACCGCCTTGCGACGGCCGCCGCCTCATGCCCGTGTAGGGCAGCGAGAACGACGACGACGAGACGAGCCGCCCTGCGCGTGACGAGGCCCGCCCCGCCCCCGCGTACGTCTTTGCTGTATCTACTTTCAGATCGTTATTCGGGTCTAGAAGTGGTCCGCGAGTCGAGTTTGTGGACGGCCGCATCGTCGTGGTCGAAAGCAGTTTGACGATCCACGAAGACGAGCTCAATGTCAACCACGACAGCGAGCAGGACGACGACGACGAGAAAAAGAAGCGGCGTCAATCCGGCGGCGGTATCTCGCCTCTTGTTACAGGAAAAGACGGGGAACGCATTGCTTTTCGTAGGCTACTTGGTGGGGCGGCGCACGTCCAAGCGCTGGGCGCACTCGGAGACGGCGCAGTTTTACTATGCGCTGAGCCAAGTCGGCGTCGATTTCACGCTCATGGCGACGCTCTTCCCGAGCCGGACGCGGCAAGAGCTCAAGATCAAGTTTAAAAACGAGGAAAAGGTGCGGCGACACCTCGTGGACCTCGCGCTCTCGTCCGCGGCGCGCCCCCTCAGTACGTACTATGCCTGCCTCTTCATTCGGTGGTGGTACTAATGCATGCCATTTGTAGACACCAGCATTGCCGAGATGGTCGAAGCCATCTTGGCCAAGGAAGCGGAGAGGAAGAAGAAGGCCAAGCGCGGCGACGTCGACGACGACGACGAAGCCGAGGCCGAAGCCGAGGAAATGCCTCTTCTCTTCTAACGTGTAATGCACCGAGACTCTTGCATGCGCCTGGGGTTCATTCATTGCACAGTCCATGCTTGGCCTCCACACCAAGCGCCCCGAGTGTGAGTGCGCTTACACCCAAGAAATCGAATGAACTGCAAACACTGGGCAGAGCTTAAGCCTGTACGTAGCATCGACGAGGTACGGGCGTTGGAAAAGAGCGAGCCTATTATTGTTATTGCTCTTTGGCCTCGGGCACGACTTCGGACCGAAAGTACTGCGTCGGGCGCTTCTCTTCCGGGAGGTTCATCGTGTCGAGGATGCGCTGCTGCTGCTTGAGCTTCTCAGCCTGCGCGGCGCGGCACACGACCCTAGGATGGCAGCCGCGTGAGAACGGCAAAGTGAGATCATGATGACGCACCACGACGCGCCGGCGACGCCGACAAACGAGTAGAGCGCATAGTCGCAGGCCGTCTTGATCTGCTTGGTGATGCGGAAGCGGTGGAAGCCGATGCCGGCGCCCGTCGCGATGCCCCACAGCAGCGCCGACCGGAAGCACGGCTCCGATCGAATGTCCGTCATACCGGTATAATCGGATGGCGTCGAGTTTTGCGTTGTGGCGGTGTCAAAACAACGTAAAACGCCATGCCCGCTCGGACGTTAAAATAGTTTAACGTCTTGTGGACGCGGTATTTGCTGCGATGGATCGTCTGCCGCCTTCATGCCCCGCCGACGGCCATGCCTTGACCTATTATGACACGTGCGTGCGGAGTGTGCAAGTGGCGAGCTCAGTTCTTATTTGTAGTTTGTTTTTATATTTACGTCGACTTCTTCGGGCGCTTGGCAGGGGCCGCCTACAGAGCGTTGGGACATTAGACCTTGGTCGTTGAATCCGATCCACATCATACCTTCTTGGGCGCAGGCTTGGTCGTGACCTTCTGGAAGCCCTTGGCAGGCGATGCATTGGCCTTGGCCGACGGCTTCTTGGCCTTGGCGTCTTCAACTTCGTCCTCATCCTCATCATCTTCTTCTTCGTCATCGCTGACGGGCGGCAGACCTTCGTAAAACTCTTCGCCAATGCCTTCGTCTGCGGCCTTGCGCTTCTTCGACGCGCCCTCGTCGTCGTCGTCGTCCGCGTCCGAGTCGACGATTTGGCGGTTGAAAAACTCAAACTTGTTGGCGTCAAAGTCGTCCTACCGCGTGGCATGAGCAAGCCGTGACAGCGCAAGCAAGATGCAACGTACATCGCCCTTGTCGGCCTCGGCGTCGTCCAAGAACTTGACCTCTTCCTTGAGGCGGAGGAACTTCTTGCCCTTCATGTGCTTTTCGATCTCGGACGGGATCTTGTTGAGGACGAGGCCCGTCACGTTGCAGTAGAGGCACTTGGGCTTGCGCCGGTGGCTCACAATGTACGGCTCGTACTGCGAAAAGTCAAAGCTGTACCACTCGGTCGCCTTCTTGTAGCGCTTCGAGTTGAGGTGCGCGGTGATGACGTCAACGCGCGGCGGCATCTCGTGGCCCGTTGCCGAGCACTTGACGCGCACGAGCTTGGCGTCGTTGGCGCCATCAATCGTCACGAGCTCCAGCGTCTCCGTCGTCTCCACGAGCGTCTTGACGTCGTCGGCCACCTCCATCGTTGTCATCTTGTCCCAAAGGCAGAGTGATTGGATGGACCGTTTCGGATAATGCTGCCGGATACGGATATATTGGTTTGGAGTGGCCGAGGATTTGGGCCAATCATCGACCGCCGCCAAGATCGCCACCCGTCGTGACTTCTTGACGTGGCATCGGGAGAGCCACGATTAGCGTTCTCGCGCTGCCTGTTACATCTTATTTCATCTCTGTTTCTGAGTGCGTCCCTGGGTGATATGGCCAGCGCCCGAGCTCCAATGCTGCTGATCCGAGCGCTCTTCGTTCGGTCTCGTGACCTTTTCTGCGCTCGCGTAGTCGAGACGTCGCATGAAGCGCTGCTGCAGCGCGATCTCGCTCTAGATGGGCTTTAGGGGCGGTTGATGTGCGCTCCAAGAAGTAGGAGTGCGTAGAAGCACTTTCCTCCGTCGTAGCGGCTGTCTAGCGTCGAGAATCCATTGGCGAATCTCTCGTCTCCAAGCCTGCACGGGTGATCAGGGATGATAAGGAAACCAATGGCGCGAGACTGACCGATACACAGCGCTGAGGAGATCTCTCTTCTGTTGGTACTCGGGTAGGGCTGAGCCCGCGAGTGCACGCTGCCTCTAGCATTGGCTGGCGCGTACGAGGTTCTAATGCGCAGAATACAAATGTCGTTTATATATTACGAGCTGGTGGCGTTAGTCGAGCGGGACCTTGCTCAGCGTGAGCACCGCGAGGCTCTCGCTGTAGTTGCCCTCGGCGACGCGGGCCTGGAGGACATTGGCTGCACCGATAAGGAGGTCGCTGCAATCGTCGTCAACGACCAGTGCGCTCTTCTTCATTCCGTCGAGCTCGACCAACTGCCCGCGGCTGTTGCGTACGAACGCGATGAAGTGGTGCTTGACATCGTCGCCATTGGCCGCCTGGTCCGTCTGGCCTTCGTTCGCGTGCGCCTTGTGGACGTCTTGGAACTCGCGCATCGTCTCGAGCGTGAGCGCGCGGTCCGCCGGCGTCTGCGCCTTGGTCGCGTCGTAGAACTTGGCCAGGATCGAGTTTTCGACCAGCTGCACCTTGTCGAGATTGTTCAGCACGGCGTGGATGCACGCGATGACGCCGCACGCGTAGTCGAGCTTGGGCGTCTGCTTCATGTAGTAGTCGGTCACCGCTTCCGGCGCGTCGGTCTCGAGCTTCTTGAGCGACTCGAAGGTCACAATGACGGCGGCGACGGGCCGCGGGACAAAGCCGAGGCAGTCCTCGTCGAGGCCAAAGACTTCGCTCACAAACCAGTCGCCGGGCAGGCCGAGCTCAAGGAGGTACTTGGTAAAGACCTCCGGGTTGCTTTCGAGCGGCGGCCAGTTGAACGCAGCGTCGGTCGCCATCGCTTTGCCGTGAGGAGGAAAAATGGAAAATGCAAAGTCGGATGATCCTGGATTCCGCGCCTCGAATATCATTGCATAGAAAGACCAAGATCGACGTATTATATTTCAAGCGTGGATGATGGTCTTCGTTCATATCCACCTTCGTGGTCGCTTCCTGTGACCTTGACGCAGCGATGATGCAGCATCAAGTTGGCGGAGAGCTCTCGGGCAGCACTGACTACGTTACGATGCTGCGGGCTGCGATCCTATCCGTCTACCTGCCTCTGCCACGTGACGGCCTCGGCAACGACTTGCGATCTTCCCGACACTAATTGCACACAACTTTTTTTACACGCGTCGGGGAGCGAACCGGCGGGTGGTCGACCAGAATCAAATGCGTACATCAAGGGAATCGTTGACCGCGTCAAAAGGGCGATGCCTGCGCAGAGGTCGAGGAGCTTGCGATCGGGTCGATGCGATTCTGTGCGCGGCGTGGCATCGAACGTGCGCGACTTCGGGGAAAAGTGGGTGTTTTTAGCACCTGCGTCATCCGGATAACATGGGGCAAGGTATACAAAGTTCAAGATACCGCAAAGCTGTGTAGTCGCCATTCATCGTTTTTCAAAGTCGGTAAGCTCGCGATGAACTCGGACAAGGCCTTCCAAGACGCGTCGCATGAGTACCTCCTCGCGCGCCAGCGCATGAACGAGAAGGTCAACCGCTGCAAGGAGATCGAGCTCAAGATGCAGCAGACGCTGCGCGAGATCCAGGCGGCCTACTCGGAGAACAATGGCGAGAGCCTCGCCAAGACGGTGGGCACGCTGCACCTCTCGATCCACGAGGTGGCCGGCGAGACCATCGAGAACGCGGTCGTCAAGGTCCACGTCGAGCCCGAGTCGATCCCGGACTTTGAGGAGCTCGACGAGTCCGCGGACGAGGTCAAGAACCAGGTCGCATGGACCGGCGAGTTCCCGGCCAACTTTGTCTTTGATGGCATTCAGTCCCGCGAAGCCGTCGTGCACATCACGGTCGGCGAAGACGACGAAGAGAAGGAGCCTATCAAGGTCATCACGTTCCCGATCGCGGCCTTGTTCCGTGACGACATGAAGAAGTGGTTCCACCTGGTCGACGAAGTCGTCGCTGCCGTCGAGGAGGCCGCTGTTGTTGAAGAGGTTGAAGCGGCCGAAGAAGTTGCTGCCGAGGAACCTGCGACCGCCGAAGCCACCGTACAAGTCGCCTCGGAGGACGAGCACGTCACGGAAGCCGGCGAGCCGTCGTCGGACAAGGTTGACGCCACCGATGCCGAGGCCACGGAAGAGGTTGCCGATGCTGAGGTTGCCGAGGAGGCTACGACCGAAGCTGGTGAGACGACGGAGAAGGAAACCACGAACGAAGAAGTGGTTGAAGAGGCCGCGGCCGGCGAGCAGGAAGCCAACGTCCAGGCTGCCTCGGAAGAGGTCGTCGCGGAAGAAGCCGCTGTCGTCGTTGAAGCTGCGGAGGAAGCTGCCGTTGTCGCTGCCGACGTCGCCGAAGAAGAAGCGTCGCCGTCGGAGGAAACCCACGAAGCTGCTGCCGACGTCGTCGAAGCCGTCGCGGTTGTCGAAGAGGTCGTCGTTGTTGAAGACACGTCGGCCCGCGTCCACGTCCACGCGTCGTTTGTCCTGTCGGAGATTGAGGCGCTCGCCCAAAAGGCGATCGCGCTCTCCAAGGAGAAGAACGAGATGGACATTGAGATCCGCATGTGCGACCAGGAGCTCTCGAGTGCTCGCATCCGCTACGAACGCCTCAAGGCGAGCCAGAAGGCCGCCTTGGGCTCGAGCGCGGCGACGATGAAGAACAAGCTGAGCATCCAGCGCGCGCCGCCCAAGCCCAAGTCGCTCTACGAGCGCGCGACGGCGGCGGTCGGCTCGACGTTCACGCCCCAGCGGCGATCGCTCGCATGGAGCGTCACCTTCTTCGTCGTTGTCTCGGCTTTCTTCCACACCAACGGCGACGAACTCATCATCTAAGCACAAGGAAACTATTGGAAGGAAGCAAGGGAAATATAGATTGTTTATATTGCTAGCGTCGTCAACTGTCCTGCTTCTTCTACACGACGTTGCTGCTGGGTTGCACGACCGCGGTCGGCGAGCCCGGGCGAAATGGGAGCTTGGGCAGCGTCGTGGGCTGGTACTCGGGGGGCGCGTCGCCCGAAAACGCGGGGTGCTATGACGAAGCACCTGCGTTGGTTCAAGCCTGAGATGGACGACGTCTTACATGATAGACGACGAAGAAGTTGAAGAAGGCGTTCAGGAAGAGCAAGACCGCGTCCAGAATCGTCAGCCAGTACCCGCCCATGGAGAGGGGCCAAATGGCAATGCTATTACATGATGATGACATGAGCTTTCTGTGGATCCACATCGAGTGCAGTATGTACAAGAGGAGGAAGATCGTGCGCGTCTTGTAGCCGTACATAAAGCCGAAGTTGTGACGCATGATCTCATCGAGGCGGTCCGTGCGGAGCTCAAACCCGAGCAAGAGAAATCCAAAGAGACTAGGACAGGCATGAGATACATAGGGAAGGCCAGCGTCCTTACATGATGTACGTGCTGGCAATAAAGGTCTGGAAGTCCGTCACGTGGCCTGCGACCCAGGACATGACACCGGCCGTGATGGTTCCGGCCGCGAGGATCACGTTGCCGAGCTGCATGACGCGCAAGATGGTCGACGAATTGGTCTGCTTGATGCTACGCATGGGCGTATGAGCACCAGCCTCGCCATCGACCACGTACGAGGAGCCCATTTCTTCCATGAGGTTCTCGTGGGGCGCCGGCGAATCCGCGACAGGAATCGCGATTTGGTTTGTTGGCGGCAGGCTCGTCGGCGGAATCGAGCCTCTCGCCGGCGAGGCAGCGACGACGGGGGTCGCCAGCGGGACCTATCGCATATAGATGCAGTCGCCACGTCTTGGTCGTCCTCGATGGCGCTACCGAGGTCGCAGGCTCGAAGGACGCGGCCTTCACTGACGGGTCCTCGAACGGGTTGCTCATGCTGCTGGTACCGTAGTAACTCGAGTGCGGAAATGAGCTCCTTCTTCGATATCGTGCAAGTCGCCGCCCCAACGTACGAGCTCTATTTTTATCGCCAAGATCCACGGCTCGCGTCGTTGATTGGTCAAATAGATGGTCTTTTGCTGCCATGGCGACGTTGGATTGGTCATAATTCCGATGATCCAAGATGTGATTGGGTAGTATTCTAGCGAGTGGGTTGGGACGAATTAGAAATATAAAATTCGACGCGTCAAAGATCGCGGCCACCTGAAACGTCAACTGCAAAGACGCCGGAAGACCACACGCCATGTTCCATGAAGATCAAGGAGCTTGCTGCAGCATGCAAGCAACGCATGCAGGAAGAGATCAAATGTATTACACGGAGGAGGAGAAGAGAAGGGAGCGACAACGAATCCATCGATAGTATGATCATCTACGCCATCACCGACCGCGACGAACAAAATGGGCCCGCGAGGATAACTTAGCAACAACCGCCCTTGTTGGCGTTGTTGGCGCCCGCTGCGCCAAAGCCCGACGGCGCGGCCGACCCCGTCATACCCACCTTGATGCCATGTGCCTAGGCAAACGCAAAATTCATGCAAGCGGCGTCCTTATAGCCGCTCTGTACCTCGTTGGTCACGTCGCAAATGCCAGCCTGGATGTTGGCATGGATCTTCTGCGCCGTCTTGATAAAGGCCTAAGCGATCAATGGGCGTGAGCTGCAGCATGCAGAGGAGCCCGTACGTCTTCGACGTTGGCGGCCGTCTTGGCCGAGGTTTCCAAGAAGATGAGGCCGTTTTCCTTGGCAAACTGCTCGCCTTCCTTGTAGCTCACCGCACGCCGGTGTTCCAAGTCGGACTTGTTGCCAATGAGCATGATGGCCATGTTCGAGTTGGAGTTCTGACGCGCCTCTTCGAGCCAGCGCGTGAGGTGGTTAAACGTCTCTCGGCGCGTAATGTCATAGACGAGGAGCGCGCCGGCCGCGCCGCGGTAATACGACCGCGTGATCGAGCGGAAGCTCTCTTGGCCGGCCGTGTCCCAGATCTGCAGTTTGATCTGCTTGTTGTCGATGCTGATCATGCGGGCCCCAAACTCGACGCCAATCGTCAGGTCATGCACGGGTTGGAAGCGCTTGTCCGTGAACTGCAGGAGGAGGCAGGACTTGCCGACGCCCGTGTCGCCAATGATGATGTACTTGAAGAGGTACGCGTACGACATCTAGTCAGGATCGCATGAGCAAACTCAAGGCCATGATGGCGTCTACCTTGGCCGCTGTGGAAGTTTTGGGTTGTATGGGAAATGAAGTATTCTGACTGTATCCGGATACGCGCGTCCCTGCGCGCAACCGACAACGGCGCGATCCAAGGACATATCGCCATGGTCCTGTCGTCCGCGCCCATAAAATCCCTCGCTTTAAGGTTGCCGTGTCGTTCGGTTGAAGAACAACCCGGTGTCGTATCCGGACAGATACGCTGGTCTCTTCTCTTGGTCGCTTGGTCCACCAGAGAGAAGCTACCCACGACGCTACATTTTATTTTCTGGTCGCCTTGCCAGATTTCAGATTTCCGAGTCTGGTCCAATCGCCCATCCAGAACAAGACTACGACGCGCACGGCCGCAATGTTGAAGCAACCGATCCCAGTCGTTGACGAAGCAGCTGCGAAAAAACCCAATTCCCCAAATTGCCGTCTTTTCCTTGAAATCACGGTAGCGCTTTGTACCTGGCCTGCTACGTCCAACCAGGCACGTGGCCCCGCTTCACGTTCTACAAGAGATACGAGGGCCTATAGCCAGCTCGCTTCAAGGCGTCGCGAACGGTCGACGGCGAGTGCTGTCTGGACTTGTATCCACCGGCAAGCACTGGAGAAAAGACGGTAAATTGCCAGCTTACACCGTGTTTTCATCCGGTTGTGCCGGATAAAGGAATGCATGTCTTTCTCGCCAGCTCGTCCACAGAGCGCATTTTGCCATCGACCTCCCAGCCATGTCGCTTGCCCGCGCCGTTCGCCTCGCCCGCGTACGAGCCTCTTGGCCACATGGCATCGAAGGCTCATGGAACATGGTAGCAGCCCTTGAAGCGCGCCTTCTCGACGTCCCCGCCGCCGGGTGCTAGCGCGGCCGACAACTCGTCTTTCTTCCAGATCCTCGGCATGGCCAGCGTCATCGGGTACTCTGTCTTGGCCCGCCACGAGCCTCATACTCATCACGCCCTATTGTAGTGGCGTCGCTTACGTCTACCGTGACCCGGATGTCCTTCCGCACGCCGTCAAGCAGTTCCTTCCCATCCAAGAGCCGCAGGGCAAGAGCATGACGCTCGAGGAGTACGAGGTGTGGCGCGCCAAGCAGGGCGTCCCCAGCGGCGCGACGGTCATCACATCGACGAAGAAGTACGCACCCTTGATCTCATGATGAGTCAAATGTCGATGGTTCTACCTAGGCAATCGGTCATTGACGACGAGCCGGTCGCGGCGGCAGCCGAAGACGTACCCGTCGTGGCCGCGGAGCCCGCCGTGAACCGCGAGTCGCTCCTCAAGGCGCTGGACGAGGCGCGTGAACAAGAGGCGAGCTTCCTCTCCGAGCTCAAGGCCAACCGCACCAAGCCCACGGACGAAGAGCGCGAGATGCTCCAGGTCTTCAAGTCGGAGAAGGCTCGTCTCAAGAAGCAGCTCAAGGCCTTCCCGCCGCAAAAGTAAGCAGTCGTTGCCGCTGCTAAACGTACAATCGTCTTGTGTGAACCTATCTCCTTGATGGTGCTCGAGCAACGTCCCAAGCCGGGGGGCCAAAGGCTGCTGTGCTTCTTGGGATGAGAATGCGAACGATACAGAGATGGTCCAAGTCCGTGCACTTCCATGCCTAGGTGGCTTCCATCGCCGTCAGTGACGCCGTTGTGAAGTAGCTTCCCCACGATCCCGACGTCGCTCTACACTCTTGAACCAGTGATTTGCCGAGACTGGCGCTCGCTGGGCCACGTCCTGAGCCTGCTACCAACGTCGCCGTCGTCTGCTGTTCCAACCTCTTGGAGCCCAATAAAGTGTCGGCCGCGCCAAGTTCACACTACTGCTCGTCGTGCTCGGCGACCTCCAATCCTCGACGATCTCGCGAGTCTCGGAAAGCTTTACGAAAGGCGATGACGCTTGAAAGCAAATTGTACCGAGCTTGACTTGTCCCAGAGCCGCCCAACGGCCTCCTTCAGCATGCAAGCCGACACCCTCTCCTTCATCTGACAATGACGGGGATTACAATGACGGATACTCTGTCGGCTTGGTCCAAGTGGCAATTTAGATAGAAGACGGCGCATAGGATAGCCTGAGAGAGGCCATGACGAAGATACAGAGTCGAGTGCAGTCCACCGACGAGCCGTGTGAGTGCGTCCGCGGTGCAAACACAAACAGCAGCGAGGGGAAGCCGTCTCCCGTGAAGCAGGCAGATGTATGGGGCTTCACACCGCAGCGGCAAAAAATGCTATTGAGCGTAGACGAGGCAGAAAACGTAGACGAGGCGGGATGAGCAATCTGGCGTGGCAAGAAGGCAACGCGGGAGCCAAGAAAACGTCCCGGTGCATTCCACGAAGAGAGCATAGCGCACGTGGTCCGAGTAGGAGACCTTGCGCCTTGCGCGGGCGTTCGTCCATGTGAATGCGGTCGTCGGTACGTCGAAGCAGTTCTACGCCCGTGTCCATGCGGCGATTACAGAGAGACAGTCGCTAGACTCGCTGATACGAACGTACTCGTTGACGGCGTCGGACGCACAGCCGTTCGCCAAAATGTGGACAGCCGCGACGACTTTTTGCAGAGTTGGAAGCCCAACACAACACTGCAATGAGTCACTCCAGTCTTGGCGTTGGGCTCAGCGCTACAGACATGTTCTACGAGAACACGCCGCCCGGCAACAGTGTCGTGGGCATCCATGAGCGCGCCTCTTGGACGGCACTGCGTCCTCTCGTCAAAATCAATGACGCCCAAAGACATGCCTCGGCTAGCTGCCTTGGCTCCAAGTACACTGCGTGCTAAATGCCAGAGTTGGACTCGCTGACGACGAGTAACTTTATCCGTTCTGGTCGGCGGCCATCGTAGCGCCTCGTTCCTCTGTCGCGACGTTGCACGGTCTGCTCACGGGTGCTGCGGACGTCATTGGCTCGAGCTGGCGGTGCTGCTACAAAGTGTCTTGTGTGTGCTCATACAGTAGCCCAATAGGTAGCCCTGGAATGCAACGCAGAGCTCATGTCGATATAGCAATACTGGCGATATGACAGTCGACGAGGGCGGGAGGTGCGCTGCATAAGATGGCACCTCGGGCCGAGGCGAGCAGCCGAATCGGCCGCAGTAGCCTTACGGCATCGCCCTGCGACCTGGTCCAAGGACGGCCACGACAACCGTCCTTGGACTCGGACTACGGCGCTCGACCCGCGAAACTCGTAAATAAGCATTGTGCTGACGTGGCTTTACAAGGGAAAGGATGTGGAAATGGTAAAAGCTCTGTCGATGCTTCTCCACCGCACTGGCTAGACTGTCTCTTCTAGGTTGTATTTTGCTGCTGTGTACGAGCAGTAAACAAGCAAAGATATCGATGCAGCCGCGTGGCGAGCGGCTCGAGAACATTACGACTGCGGAGCCGCCAAGCACCTGGCATACCAGAAGAGTAGTGTTATCGGAGCGCATGGCCAGATCAACAATCAGCACCTGTCGGCAGACGAAGATCCAGTGTGAAGTTGCAGGTCGATATGCGACTTTGGCAGAGGCACAAGGCCGATTGATGGCTGTGTCGCTCCACTTAAGGTCGACATCTCTCGGCTTCGAGCATTGCCACGCATCATTGCCCTCACATCATCATCTGAGCGCACCTATGTGATCGATATGCATGGAGCATACGGTGGCACCGTCCAACCATGCGTGCGACGACGACCGAGCGTGGACGGCGCTTCGACCTTGCCCACCCACGTGGACTGTCGAGGGCAACATCGAGACCTCCACGCACGTGCTCTTCGCCTCATTCGCGACAACTCTGCTCTGCGTTTCTAGTCGCTCTATAGTTTCTTGCATGACATCTTGTGCACAAGTGTACACGCTCGAATCCATTTCGCAACGAGCGCGATCTTTCGAGGTCATGGCGCACTGTGATTGGCGGTTGTGGAGAGCCGCGCGCGTTCGGATTGGCCGAGGTGTCCCGAATTTAAGCGAGCCATTGGTTGGTGCGCGTCTCATAGATTCGGCATGTGCCGAATACAGCCCCCGGCCACTGCAAGGTCGCAGCTTTGATTCTCCACCGCAGCAAGCAGAAGCACAAGTATGGACAGCCAAGCAGCCAGCACCAAGCCGAAGCGCAACCGCAACCACTGGAAGCGCAAGAACAAGTCCGCGACGGACGAAGCCACGCCCGCGGCCTCGCCCGCGCCGGCCAAGGTCCCGATGCCCAAGAAGCTCAAGGCCACGCCGGCTCCCGAGATCCTGCCGGCTTCGGAGGCCGTGGGCCCGCCGCCGGCGCCTGCCCGCGAAAGCACCGCCAAGTCCATCGTCCACTTGAGTGACGTCTCGTTCAAGTCGCTGAGCATCTCGAAGGAGTCGGCGCAAGCGCTCTCGGACGTCATGAAGTACGACAAGATGACCAAGGTCCAGAACGAGACGCTGCCGATCGTGATGCAAGGCAAGGATGTGCTCGCCAAGTCCAAGACGGGTACGGGCAAGACGATGGCGTTTCTCCTGCCGACGATCGAGACCCTCGCCAAGACGCCGCGCCATGGCAACGAGATCTTGGCGCTCATCCTCTCGCCGACGCGTGAATTGGCCTCGCAGATTGACGTCGAGGCGAAGAAGCTCACGACGTTCCACAAGAACATTCCGGTGGCCTGCATGGTCGGTGGCACGAGCATGTCCAAGGACCTTCGCAAGTTGCAGCAGCCCCAAGGGTTTGCCATCCTCGTAGCCACGCCCGGCCGCCTCCATGACCACATCAAGAACGACACGGGTGGGATGCAAGGCCGCTTGCGCCATGTCCAAGTGCTCGTCCTCGACGAGGCGGACCGCCTTCTCGACATGGGCTTCCGCGATGAAATCGAGCGCATCTTGTCGTATTTGCCGTCGGCGCGCCAGACGCTCCTCTTCTCGGCGACGCTGCCGTCGTCGCTCGAAGACATGAAGCGTCTCGCGCTCAAGAAGAACTACGAGTACGTTGATACGGTCGGCGAGGAAGACCAGACGAACGCGCAGGTCAACCAGTCGGTCATCGTGTGCACGCTGGAAGAGCACATCGTTGCGCTCGAGTCGCTCCTCCTCGAGCACATTGCGGCGTCGCCGGACGGGTACAAGATCATGGCCTTCTTCCCGACCGCGCGCGCGGCCGGCTACATGGCCGCTGTCTTTGAAAAGGCGGGCTTTCCGATCATCGAGATGCACTCGCGCAAGTCGCAGAGCCACCGCACCAAGGTGGCCGAGACCTTCCGGCAGCGCGACAACCTCATCATGTTCTCGTCCGACGTGTCGGCGCGTGGTGTCGACTACCCCGGCGTCAGCTTCATTGTGCAAGTGGGCTTGACGGACCGCGAGCAGTACATCCATCGCCTTGGCCGCACGGGTCGTGCCGGCCGCGACGGCGAAGGCATTCTTCTCCTCTCGGAGTTTGAGAAGCGATTCCTCAAGGACCTTGTCGATATGCCGATGACGACGCGGCCCGTGCCGCCGACGAGCGCGACGAGCCGCGTCGCGTCGGTCGTGCAGCGCTGCGCCGTAGACAAGGCGCTCACGCAGGCCGCCGAGCAGGCGTACCAGGCGTGGCTCGGCTACTACAACTCGAACTTGAAGCGCCTCGGCCTGACGAAGGACCGCCTCGTGAGCATGGCGGCCGAGTACAGCGTCGTCGTTGGTCTCGCCGAAGTGCCCGCGCTCCAGAAGAAGACGATTGGCAAGATGGGACTCCAGAACATGGGTCTGCGCGTCGCCGACTATGCGCCGCCCGCCCAGAACCGCGGCCAGAACCAGAACCGCGGTCCGAGCCAGGGCCCGCCCCGCAGCCAACAAGGCCCGCCCCGCAGCCAACCAGGCCAGGGCAACAAGGCGGCGGCGCACAAGCCGCAGGGCCACCTCAACCAGCCGCCGTCGCACAAGCGGCGGAACTAAACACGGTGGTCTCGACCCTCGACCGACCAACCGACAACTCGTTCCACTCGCATTACTATAAACTATCCTTGACCTAATGTATTTCGACGCCGTCGTTTGGTGAGGAGGCCGTGGCGTCATCCTCGTGGGCCTTATGACGACCGCTGGAACATGATGTCGGTCCGGAGCACGTACTTTTCACCGCGCTCGACGCGCTGGCCTTCGTGCTCGAGGCAGTGCTCGCCGTGGCCGTGCAGGAGCGCCTTGCCCGTGTCGGGACCGACGTCAAGAACGGGCGTCGGGCCCTCGTCCTTCGCTTTGCCCTTCCGCTTCTTCGACTTCTGGCTCGTCGTGCTCGTGTAGAAAAGCGTGTGGCCGCCGACCAAGTCCGAGTCCTTGTGGTCGTTGAGGTAGATGAGCAGCGTGTACTCGCTGCGCCAGCCCGTGACCGGGTCGAGAACGCTCTCATCGACGTGGCACCCGAAGGCTTGGCCCGGCTTGTACCGGTAAAAGCGCATCGCGGGGTTGCACCCGACGGCGTTGGTCATGTCGAAGGACGAGTCGGCAAGCAGCGGCGCGAGCCGCGCCCAGAGCTGGCCCGCGAGGTCCGTCGACTGGAAGAGGAGCCGGTCGTTGTCCCGAAAGGCGTACTCGCTGTTCGCCGCCTGCGTCACCCGGACGTACCCGAGCTTCTTGGAGAACGCGATTGCGTCTTGGCACTCGGCCTTGGTCAAGAGGTTGGCCAGGCTCTGGATCGACCCGTCGTAGAGCGACGTGAACGTTGGCAGCGCGAGGTACGCGGCCCGGTTTGCCTCGAGGAAGGAGGATGCGTACGAGGCCTTCTTCTCATGCTCGTAGGCAAAGGCGCCGGCGGGCGCGGGCGCGGCTGGCGCGGCCACGGGCGCTTCCTTGCTGCTGGCCTGCTTGCGCTTGGCCGCTTTCGGTGCCATTCTTCACTCCTGCATGTCGCACCGTAAAAAGTTGCGTGTTTCTAATCGCGATTCGGGTTTCAGACGACGATGGACCATGAGGTCGACCCGGGCGTGGCCGTGACCCCGACGTCGCCAATGGCCGTGCATCCGACCGACAGGCCATCGAGCGCCGTGGCCTCGACTGGCGCTGGCAGCCGGCGCGACCTCTTTCGGACCTTGTCGTCGCCGCTGTCGCTCTTGTTTCCGGCTGGCGTCGTGCCACCGCCCAACAGCCCCGTGGCATCGACCCAGACTTCGCCGACCGACGACGTTGGCGATGCTGCATCTCTCTTGCGAGACCACGAAGACGTGCCGGAGCCGCTGCGCGCAGCGAACGCCGGCGACGAGTCGTCGTCCGGTACGCTTGCATCCCGTGTGAACCAGCTCACCTCTATGTAGACGAGCAGCTGCGGTCCGAGATGCGGCAGCTCTTCCGGCGCTTCCAGAACGTGCTGCCCTTCTCGATCTTGCTGCTCTTGTACCTCTCGTACCAGCACACGAAGGGCATTGCCGGCTTTGTCATTGGCACGATCGCGATAATTACGCTCGACATTCGGTTCCGCGAGCAAGTCGCGCTCAAAGACAAGTCGAGCGTCTGCTCGCTTCTAGGCATCATCCTCGTGTGCCTCATTGACCTCTTCGCGATCGCGTCCCTCAACGGCGACATCACGCCAAACGACACGTTCCTCAAAAAGCTCGACGACACCCAAGCGGGCAGCCTCGGCGACGTGCTCTGGGCCGTCATGGCCAACGGTATGTCCACATGAGGATGCAAGTCGATCCTCATTCTTGCGTAGACTACATCTTGCGCTTCACGGGCATGACGTGCAAGGCCCTCGTGGCGGTCACCAAGCTCGAGAAGATCGCGCCAGTCTGCGGCCGCGGCCCCACCGTCAACGTCGCCTCCATGTACCGGCGCAAGGTAGTACACCGCCGCATGCGCCAAGATGACCTTCGCCACGTCCTCTCATGCAAGATGCTAGCGGAAACTCTACGCGCTCATTGAGTTCACCACGCTCTTTCTCCGCACGATGGTCGCGGCCATTCCATGGTGCTCCTACTACCAGGTAGACAGTATCGCTTTATTGTGGCGACGACGACCTCAACGACGCTCTGCATGGCTAGTCGTGCGCCTCGAAAGTCGTGGCCGACGTCTTTGCCCTCACGTATCTCGGCTTCAAGGTATCAATCCCTCGTGGAATCCGACGAGGATGCATGGCTGGACTAGGGTTATGTGCTTGGCGGCCAAGCCCAAAAGATCTACGATATGCTCAAGTCGCTCGTGACCTTCTCGCTCGAGTTTGGCGCGTACGTGACGCCCGCGGCGCTCGCGGAGGCCGGCAACCCCGAGTGTTCGATCTGCTACGACGCCATGCACACACCGGTCCAGCTCCGCTGCTCGCACATGTTTTGCGAAGAGTGCGTCTGCGAGTGGTTTGACCGCGAGCGCAATTGCCCGCTGTGCCGCGCCGACGTCGCATCGCCCGCCATTTCGTCGTCGTCTGTATCCGAGACCAAGCCGCTGTACCTCGATGGCGGCACGCCGTTGATTCCGCAGTTTTTATAACCAATTGCAACAAACACTGTCATCTAGTCTTGCATCTCGATCGTGACGACGCCGGGCTGCGCAATGCCGCCGTAGGTAAAGGACCGCGTCAGCGCTCCGTGGAGGCGCGCCCAGTCGCCGGTGGCGTCGGGCGCCATGACGCGAAAGGCCATTTGCACGGACGCGTGCACGGTCAAGACGTTTGTCACGTCCACCGTGAGCGTCACGGGCGAGGCGTCTGCCGAGACGGGGCACACGACCACGTGCGCGTTGGCGCAGAGAATCGAGATGGCGTCGTAGATGTCACCGCCGCTCTGCGTGCGCGTGCTGCCGCGAAGGACGCGCTCGACAAACGACAGCGCCTTGGCCTCGCTAGGTATCAAGTATTACTATCAAGTACGATATCAACGTATCAAGGACGGACGTCGACTTGGCCATGCGCGCGGCCGGCGACGCGACACTTGGCATCGAGTCGTCGTCGGCGTGGAGAAAGGCCATGATGCGCGTCAAGAGGTGGCTGATGACGTGATGGATGCCGTCGGCGGTCGAGAGGGGGCGGCCGTCGACGACGTACGTGTCCCGCTCAACGTCCTTGAGCACTTGGAGCATCGGCATGTTCTTGCTGTCGCGGCGAGTGAGGCCCGACTGCTTCTCGTCGCGCGCGATGCGGTGGCGCTGCCACGCGAGCGGCACCGAGATCGGGCAAAACGACCGCAGGACGCAGACATAGTCTTCTATACGCTCCACAAAGATGAGACATGACCAATGGCATATCGGATGACGTACGCGGATCCGAGATGCGGCGCATGGACGCTTGGAGTTGGAAGAGGTCGTAGCGCGCAATGGCCTCGAGAGCGACCATCCAGCCAATGTACTCGTCGTCCGTCTCGGCCCGCAGATAAAAGCTCCGCGTCGCGATCGCATCCGACGTCGACGACCGGTGCAGCACGTCGAGACGAAACTCCAGCGCCTCGGCCGACGTCGCATGCACCTGCGCGCCATACAACGGTACGTGCAAGCAGTCGGGGTCGTCCTAAGGTATTCGTTTGAGCGTTCGTTGTCGTGTCGGTGAGAGCGATGACGTGGCGCACCGGGTCATCGTGGAGCAGCCACGCGAGCGACGACGAGAGCTTCGAGAGGCTCGTGAACGAATCCCGCAACGAGCTGCTACCGCTCGGCGTCGTCGAAACGCGCGGCAGCACGAGCTCGAGCTTGCTCTCGTCTTCGTAGAGCGTGCAGTAGACGCGCGGTGGCGGGCCCGCGCGTACGCTGGGCTCGAGAAGCACGAGGTGACCGGTCTTGCGCACCTAAGGCCATCGATCTACATGAAGGACCACATGGACGAGACGACTCTACACGATCGCCATCTTGCTTTTCAATGCCGAGGCTCTTCATCGTCTGGACAAGGTCGGCGCGGAGATGCTCCATCGCGTGGGCGTCCATGTGGTTGTCCCAGCGCAGGCGCTGCGCGAGGAACCAGAGCCCTCGAATGCGCTGGCGCATGTCGCTCTGCTGATGAAGGAGCTGCAGCGACGCGTTCAGGTATACGTCCCGGGGTGCTACGAGGCGTGAGACAAAACGTGCGAGGGACAGGCCTACGCGGTGGTGGCACCAACGCCGGACGGCCCGCGTGGATGTCGATGTAGAGCTCCTACAGATAGATGAGCTGCGTCATTCTGGATCCGCCCGACGTACTACCTGCAGCTTGACGGCGGCTCGGGTGGCCTGCTCGAGCTCGTCGTCCAGCGCGTCGCCCGCCGGGTCGCTCTCGTCGACGGCTGTGCTCTTGATCGTCGCCGGTGCGAGGTCCATGGCGTCGTTGGCGCGCTCGGGGCGAGAGAGCTCGGTCGCACCGTCGTCGTCCACGTAGTTACGGCTCATCTCGCTTGCCGACTTCGTCGAGAATATGCAATTTCGAGCTCGTTGAGAAAGATTGCAACGAAACCGACGCGTCGTGCAAACTCAAACTCAAAAACGGAGATTTTGAAATGATAGCACGTGGAGACGGCGTTTCGTGGCTCGTGATAGAGTAGTATATAGATCCACGTGCTTTGTTGTACAAGGACTACGCTGCAACGGCTGCGACCGCGTAGCTCGGAGCACGTAAATGCCCAAACTCAAAATTCAAAATGGTTGATTTTGAAGCTGGTGTCGCGGGTCGTTGGGATTCCCATTGGGGTGCACTTACACCTGCTCTCTTGCACTGCGTATTTACAACGAGACAGCACCGCACTCGACACTCCTGCCGCTCTCCCTCCTTCCTCCCAAGCTGCCACGAGGGGCGGCGCCAAATTTGAAATGCCACAGCCGAGCGCGCGGATTGGTTGAAATGCATGCCTTTATTTTTATCCCTGCCTGTCAGATTCGACCCTGATTCGACTGTGTGTTTGTATGTGGCTGGAAAAAAGGCGTGCACGACCAATACCAAATTCGGTGCGCTGTGATTGGTCAAAAGTAGGCAAATTAGTGTGATTTTCCGGGCCTTGGATAGAATTCATCAGCGCCAGGCTGTTCAGCATCGGGATCCCTTGGGCCCGGACCTTGTACCAGCGATGAGCGCGCAGCAACCCCACGGAGGAGGACAGGCGCTCGCCTCGATGGGCGCCGTCTCGGGCGCCATCACCCCCAAGCTCTCTGCCATCGGCAAGGCCTTCTTTCAGAACTCGCTCGACGCCAGCAACGAGCCCGGCAGCCTCAAGCGCGAACGCGCCGATAGCCTCAAGCAGCTCTTACCGCCGCCCCCAGCCCGTCGAACCAAGTCCAAGGAAGCGCCAAAGCCAGCGCCGATTGTCACGTCGGGTCTGGACCGTACTGCCGAGTCCGCCCCAAGTTCTCTGTCCTCAGCGCGAGGCGGCGAGAAGAGTAACCCGCGCCGGTGGTCCAAGGCAGAAGACGAGTCGCTCCGTCTGGCTGTCGAGCGAAGTGGTGAGCGCAACTGGAAAGCCATCGCCGATCAAGTCGCAGGACGCAACCACACGCAGTGCTTGCAGCGATGGACCAAGGTTCTCAAGCCAGGGTTGATCAAGGTAGTACCACCGCAATATGGCCTGTCCTACCCACATACCTTGTAGGGCCACTGGACACCGGACGAAGATGCGAAACTCAAGAGCCTGGTCGCCGAAGGGCGCAAGAACTGGGGCCAAGTCGCTGCTCAGATTGCAGGCCGAACGTACAGTCCATATCTACCGAGAGGTACCTTATTTCCCATTCTTATAGGTCCAAGCAGTGTCGCGAGCGCTGGTGCAACCACTTGGACCCGAACATCAACAAAGGGTATCTCTACGTTGACGCCGGCGCGTTCAAGTCGTTGCTTCGTATAGCAACTACACGAAGGAAGAGGATGACCTCATCATCGACATGCAAGCCAAGCTCGGGAACCGCTGGTCAGTGATTGCACAGCGCCTTGTGGTACGACGCATCGAATCGGTATGGGATCGTCACAAGGACGTACAGGGGCGCACGGAAGATGCCGTCAAGATTCGATGGAAATCGCTCATGCGCAGCCGCCGGCCCAAGGACGTCAAGGACGAAAAGCACGACGAAAACAGCGACTCGAGCGACGAGAGTGAGCGACGGACGCGCTCCTCTAGCGCTGCGACACCGATCGCGACGCCGCATAGCAGGGCCAAGGGCCTGGCCAAGAAGCCCGACCTCATGGCACCTCCCGAGCCAAAGACCGCCGCGCGCGCACCGACGAATCACAAGGCGATGCCTGCCAACAGCTTTCTACCGTCGCGGCCGCTGCCAGCGCATGCAGCGTACCCGCACCACAGTGCCCCGCCGCCGCCCCGGCCGGCTTCGTTCTTTCTCCCAGGGCAGTCGACGCAGCCGCCGCCATCCGCCATGAACGCGCGCCACGCCGAGCACGACACGTCGCGGCCACCGTACCCACAGCCGTCGTCAGCGCCCTACTACCAGCGACACCCGGACGTGCATCGCCACGCGTCGTCGTCGTCGTCGTCGGGTCAAGGGTATCCGCCACAGATGCTCCATGCGTACATGCAGCCGCCGCCACACCACCACCACCACCACAACCAAGCGCCTCCGCTGCAAGCGGCGTACCCGTCAAGTGCCAAGGCGGCTGCCATGTACCGTGCGTACGCCCCGTACGGGCCGGGTGCACCACCACCACCACCGTCGTCGTCGTCGTCGTACGGCTATGACCAGCAACCGCACCCGCCGCTGCACCACCCGCAGGCCTTTTACGCGCCGCACGCGCCACCGCTGCTACCGAGTCGGCTGAATACCCCGCGCGAAGAGTGGGGCACGTCCAACACGCCGCGGTCGCAGCTCATTTTGAACGAGGGCCAAGCGTCCGACTACGAGCTCTTCCACCAGCAACGCCTTCGGCTCATGGTGCAGGAACGCGAGCGGCACGGACCCGCGCTGTCGCCGGCCGCGTCGCCGGGTCAAGCGATGCTCACGAAAGAGCTCGAGGCCAACAAGGAGCGCAAAAGCGGCAAGCCATCATGCAGAACGGCTGGAAGCACGCTGTCGTTGCGTCGTCCGAAGCCGCGGTAGAAGTCGAGACGCCGAGGCTGTTACCTTTACACCCGTCGCGCGTAGGACCTGAGTAAACCGCCGAGCGAGTTTGAGGAGCGCTACGAAGGCTTCTTAGAGAAGGCGCCCAACCTCGCCGAGATAGACCCGACAGACGAAGAGTACAGTGTGCCGCTGCCGGCCGTCGAGTAACGAGCAAGTATACATGGATGGATGCAGTATCGTCGTCGTCGTCTTACGCGTCATCCTCGTCATATCCGTCCTCGAACTCGTCATACTCGTCGTCATCGTACGCGTCCGCAAAGCTCTCAATGCTGAACGAGAGCTGCGAGAGGCCGTAGAGGACGATCGCTAGCAGACCGCCAAAGAGCACATTGCGCGAGCTCTTGTCGTAGACCACGTGCTGGGCAGGGTCGTCGTGCGGGACCTCGTGCACCACTTCTTCTTTGGCGACCTCGCTACTCGTGCCATGATGATGAGACGAGGCGAGTTGATAGAATCTTGATAGTTTTACCGCTTGCTCCAGCTCAGACTCTGGTACGGCTGCACGTACGCCGCGAGCGGCACGGTCGCAAAGTCGCCCATAAAGGCCGTCGCAAGGGTCAAGAACGGGCTCGGAACGTTCTCGGTCCAGAGACTGCCCATGGCTTTCGAGCCAAAGTACGTCGACCGGACCGTCTCAGCGAACGAGAGGAGGCGCGGGCCATGAATGTGCACCACGTCCCGGAGCTGGACGTCGCTGAGCGCGTCGACGAGGTGGCCAAACACAATCGCATCGAGCGACGTGGGCCTACACTTGGATGTGAGATTGAGATTGAGATTGATGCGTACGCTGCGCCATAGAAGAAGGGGCCGTCGCCGAGACGTGCGTTGAGGGCGGCGTAGCAGTCGCGCGCGGCGACGTAGACCTGCTCTTGGCTCGCATACCCCGCGGTCGCGAGCTCGGACGTCATCGCGTGATGCATCTTCTTGGGCAAGACCCGGTTGAGCGGGAACGGCAGCACGCGCTGCACCGCCGGCCGCGTCACCTCCTTGTACGTGATCGGGTCGACCCATCGGCAGTAGTGCTATTGGTCAGAGCATGCTTGGACGATGGAAGGATAGACGGAGGGCGAGGAGTACCAGGACACGCTGGAGTTTCTCCTGGACCATGCTCTTGAACGCAAGCGACTCGCCCTTCTGGACGGCGCTGAGGTGCCCGTCAATGTCGGTGTGGTACTAGGATGGAAAAGGGTCCTATGGGAGGCACGAAGAGAATGAATGGCGGGATACCGTTTGGAGGTGCATGATGATGTCGTCCTTGGCGAGAAGATAATGACCATCGCGCAGCTGGGGCAGCTCGCCCGTGGCCTCGAAGCTCGGGTACTTGGCGTTCTTGATATGCAGCGGGATCTTGGCAAAGCGCACGTAGGCCTGCACATCGTACGCCGGCAGGAACTGGTGCAGCGTGGGCTGGCACCCGGGCCCGAGCTCGGCCGACGTCTTGGGCGGAACCCGGAGGCTCTCCATGTTGGCCTTGCGGTCCGCGATGAGGCTGCGCTCCGTGGGCACGAGCGTGCTGTTGCGGTTCGGGAAGCTCAGGTCGAGGTCGCCATGGTCCATCATCTTCGTCGTCGATCGATGTGGGAAGCAATTGGACGAGTGGCTTTTTCACGTGAAAATATGTTTCGCACCGATTCCACACCGTGCATTCGAAGCAATCGCTTCTTAACTTCGATCCAATACGTGCATCATGTTGTTTAATTGGCTAAAAAGTCGCATTTGCAGCGATACGATTGGCTTGTTCGACTCGAATTCGCACACTGCTCGTGGGAATCCCGAGACCAGCAGCAGCAGCATGCGCTTCCGCGGCAACTTGACCGCGGCCTCGTTCCCGGTCCTCATGGAGATCTCGCAGTACATGGCGCGGCTCTCAAGCTCGGACGCATGCTTCGTCGTCGTGACGCCCGAGCGCATGAGCTTCGTCATGAAGACGGGCGGCGAAGACGTCCAAACGTTCGTGCATCTGACCATGGCCAAGCTCTTTGAGGACGTCGTGCTCGAGAGTCGGTCCGAGAACCAGATCGCGTTCACGCTCAGCATCGCCAACTTCTCGCGCGCGCTGCAGTCTGGCAAGGAGGCCAGCGGGATTCTTCTGCGGCTGCTCAAGCGCGACGGCCGCTCGTTCCTCGCGCTGCGTGCCCGGGTACGCCTCCGCGTCCTCCTCCTCCGTAGTCGTATGTCTTGCTGTGGTAGACGGTCGATATTGACATCATCCAAAACATCCCGATCGACGTCGTCTCGATGGCGAGCGCCGAGAACTACAAGGAGCCGCGCGTCCCGTCGCCGACCGTCGCGGTGGAGATCCCGACGCTGCGCTCGCTGCGCACGGTCACGGACCGCCTCAAGGCCATGCACAAGTACCTGACTGTACCTGGCATCTATGTATCGTTAGGAGGTATCGCTCATGCATGGCTTGGTAGATCGAGGCCAAGATGGACGGCTCGCTGCGGCTGCGCGTGCAGAGTGACACGTTCGCCCTCCAGACACAGCACGTGAGCTTCAAGCCTCGCTTCGACCTCGTCGAGGAAGCTTCCGACGACGACGCGCATGAAGACATTGCCAGCCGCGTCTCGACCGTGCGGGTCGACGGCCGCCACTTTTCCAAGATGCTCTCGGTCGATGGGAACGCCGTCGTCACGATCCTCTGCTGTACACATCCTTGGCCAGGAGAATGCTTTTAACAGGGACGTAGGCTTGATCGACAACCGCGCCTTGGTGCTGCACTCGATCTTGTGCGAGGGCTTTGGGTCCTTTACGTGCTATAGCCCTGTGATCGCGCCCGAATAATGTTATCGTTTCCTAGTCTTTCTTGTCGTTTAGTAACGTTCTGGTCTACGGCAGTCACGGGGCCGTCGCCGGCGTCATCAAGTCCCGCTGCTGGCTCAAGCGTCGCCGCAGCATGCACCCGAGCACGATGGCCCAGGCAAGAAGCACGACCGCGATGCACACGTACACGATCGTGGTGGCGCTGCTCGATCCGTCGCTCGAGGCGTTCGACATGGGCACCGCCGTCGCCTCATTCTTGTCGGGGGCTACGGTCGTGGCTGTTGTCGGTGTCGTCGTCGGTGTCGTCGTCGGTGTCGTCGTCGGTGTCGTCGTCGGTGTCGTCGTTGTCGGTGTCGTCGTTGTCGGTGTCGTCGTCTTGATGCTCTGCAGCCACGAGAGGTGGGCGTTGGCCGCCGCGACGATACTTCCGATCCGGTTGCTACTACCGCTGTCGCCGACGAGGTGCATGCCTAGGACGCACGTCGTCGAGGTTGTGGCGTTGCGCAGTGTATAGAGCAGGGGTGCGCCGGGCGACCCGACGGTCGACGTGTCGCAGTCGTGGGCGCAGCGCGACGTCGAGAGCACCTTCATCGTGCACTGCACCTGGACGCCCGGGTCGTAGCCTGGCGCAAACTGCACCGTCGAGACCGAGACCGACGTGTACACTAGATCCGACGAGATCAATGCCAAGCTCGACGAGAAAGACAAGCAAGAGAATCGAACCGGCGACGAGCGTGATGGCGCAGGGCGGCGCGCCCACGAGCGGCAGCGTCCCAAAGAGGTCGCCGACCGGCGTGTCCAGATCCAGGAGCGCATAGTCGCCGCCGTCGGTTGCGTCGGGCCAAAACTCGCTCTGGCGATGGACGCCAACCACGTTCGCGATGACGTGGTTGATCTCGTACGTCATAAAGCCGGCATGGACACAGGCCGCGGGCGTGAGCACCATCTAAACATGCATGAGCCTCGCCGAGATCGCAGTGCGCTTGGAGACAGACGCGGGGGCCGACGGTGATGCCGGTGCAGTACATGGCTGCGTTGCCGACCTTGCCGACCATGCGTGCGACCGCCGGCGGCACGGGCAGCGCGTCGAGGCGGAGACGCATCTCGGCCACGCAGGCGCCCGCGAGCAGCAGCAAGAGACGGTGCATGGGAGATTTCTCGACTGCGTTCTCGCGTCCAGCGCGATCCAACGGTTCGGGCGAGATGCCCCTCAACGCTGCGGCAGAATCTTCTTCTTCGCACGAGATGAACAAAAAGCCAGATCCATGTGTCTAATCTCAAATGTAGTCTTATCGGCATCGACGGGCCATGTCGCATAGCCCTTCTTAGCTGCTAATGGCCTCGACAAACTCGGTGCCTTGCGCGTTCGTCGCTTCCATGAGCTTTTGCTGGCGCTCAATCTCGTCATAGTCAATGTTGGCGACCACGTAGATGACACCGAGCGCAATCACGAGCATCTTGAGCAGTTGGCGAATGTCCGACTTGTTGATGGCCTTGAGCGACGCCATAAAGATGTGCGGTGCGAAGAGGAGGAGGCAGAGCTGGTCCCACACGAAGGCGCCGACCACATCGAGCGTCAGAATGCCCGTGAGGATCTGCGCAAAGCGCGGGTCGGGCATCGGCACAATCTCCAGCACCTTGTTGAAGAGCGGCATGGCTTCCGTGCAGAGGAGGAAGACGCCGACGAGCGAGATGCCGAGCGAGTAGAGCAGACCCGGGTTGTCCGTCATGCTCTTCATGAACGGACGGCCCTTGTAGTTGACGGCGCAGACGCTGATCGTCTGGACGCCGTTGACGAGGAAGATGACCGTGCTCATGACGTTGGGTTCAAACACGAGCGGCTTGATGTCGGTCAAGTGACGCGTGTCGTCGACCGGCGTGTACTCCTTTGCGAGGTTGGTCGAGTAGACCATGACGGCCAGATGCAAGGCAAACTGCCCGATGAGCGACGAGAAGAGCGCCGGGTGGAAGATCGACGAGATCGGACGCACGGGCGAAAGCTCCGGCAGCGGCGTCGCCCGCGACAGAGTCACCGACGCGATCGTCGACATCATGCCGAGCGCGATCATCTGCGAGTTGGCGTACTTGACCTTGTCGAGGTACAGCACCGAGAGCGAATACGACGAGATGAGGCAGTTGATGGCCAAAATCTGGTACATTTGGACCGTTGTCACGAGCGCGCACCGGCCTTGGCGGATGATGTCGACGCAGCCCTTGATCGACGGCGCGCGCGACGTGAACGGCGACGCGATCGATGCGTCACCGAGCTTGACCATGGGCAGCTCGCCGTCCTCAAAGTCGTCCATGTACTGCGTCATGACCTGGTTGTTGGTCCAGTTGGCAAAGCCGCCGTTGCCGCCCTTTTGCTGCGCCTGGAACGCGGCGGCTTGGTCCTTCTGGCGCTTGGCGAACGCCGCCAGCGCCTTGAAGCGCGCAAACGACTCGCCGCGCGCCTCGCGTTCGGCGACGTCGGCTTCAATCTCCTCTTGTTGCTTCTTCTGGAGCTCCTTGCGCTGCTCGGGCGTCATTGGGCCAAACGGGTTGAGAATCTTCTTGGGCTTGGCCGCTTCTTTCGCCGCCTGGTCGGCGAGGAGGAGGTCGATCAAGCCCGACTTCTCCGTCACGTTCTCGTGTGCAATCTGGAGCGCGACCAGCTTCTTCTTGAGCACGGACGCGTGCAGCTTCAAAAGCCCTTCGCGCGACAGCGTCTCGACCTCGACGACCTTCTTGCTCTTCTTCAACGCGTCGGCGCCCGTGATGCTCTTGTCGGCGTTGGCCGAGCCAAAGCCAGAGAGCAAGGCAACACCGACGTGCGCCTGCTTGAGCGCACCGACGTCGTTGGCGCCGTCACCGCACATGAGCGTAAAGTGACCGCACGTCTTGAGCGACGTGAGCACGCGCTCCTTGAGCTCGGGCGTCATGCGCGCGTACACGCGGATGAGCTCGAGGTGGTTCCACACACCGCCGTCGACGTCGTCGGCCCGCGACAAGGCCGCGCCGTCCATGCACAGATCGTAGGTCTTGCTCAAGTGGACAATCGCGTTCTTGGAGTAGGCCGCGACCGCCTTGTCGTCGTCGGCCGACTTCCACTCAAACGTCACGTCGCCACCCGAGAGGAGGAGCGCCGGGCGCGTGAGGATGCCGACTTCCTTGGCCACGTGGACCGCCGTCAAGGTCGCATCGCCCGTGATCATGCCGACCGCGTGCGAGCTGTCCTTGAGCTGTTGGAGGATCTCCGCCGAGTCGCGGCGCACGAGGCACTGGTAAGCGGCAAAGCCGGCAAAGTGGAGGTTGCTCTCGGCCCACTCGCGAGTCTTGTGGCCGACGTCGGCCTCCGAGAGCCCTTTCTCGCAGTCCTTGTAGGCCAGCGCAAGCACACGCATGCCACGGCGGGCCATGTCTTGGTACGTGGGCCAAAACCAGTCGGGGACATTGGTCGAGAGCTTGGCGATCGCTTCCGGACTGCCCTTGACGAGCACGCGAAGCCGCGAGTGGCCGCCAAACTGGCAGCGCGCCACCACGCTCATGCGCTGGAGTTTCGAGGCAAAGTGGTTGCGGTGCAGAATCTGGACGCGCGCGCCCTTCAACTCTGCGCGCTCGGCGCTCGTCGCGTTGGGCGCACACGTCTTGCTCTTGACGTCGTACGTAAAGTCGATCGCACGCAGCGAAGCTTCTTCGACCGGGTCGCCAATCATCTTGCCGTCAATCTCGACGAGCGAGTGACACCCCTACCCCCGATCCATGAGATTTCCTCCTGTCGATGATCCATATATCGATGGAAAAATACCGCGAGGACGAGGCACGCGTTGAGGTGCGACTGCAGCATGGGTTGGTGCGGCTGGATCGCGGCCGTCATGGGCACATTCTCGTCGTACGAGACGACACCGACGGCCGTGAGCTGGTCGGTCGTGATCGTGCCCGTCTTGTCAAAGAGGCAAATATCCACCTTGCCCGCGAGCGAGATGCGGAACGGCTCGGTGCAAAAGATCGAGAGCCGGACGAGCGCCAGGAGCGCCGTGTTGACCGCCATCGCGGTCTGCATCGGGAGCTCGGCGGGCACGACCGACGTGATGATGAGAACGCAGCGCAGCACGAGCTCAAACGTCACACGGCCCTTGCGTGCAATGCCTTCGCGCAGCACGTAGCCCGACGAGAGGATCGCAAAGAAGAGCAAGAGCACCGCGAGGCCCACCGCGTCCCACGTCGAGCCCGTGACCTTGCCCGACGAGAACTCAATCATGCGCACGAGCTTGCCCTGCGACGCGCTAAAGCCCGTACGCAGCACGTACGCGAGGCAGCCCTTGTCGGGCGTGGCCGGGATGGCCGTGACCGAAGAGCCCGCGTCGTGCTGCATGATCGTGGTCCCGCCAAAGAGAATGTGCACCTTGTGGCCCGACTTCATGTCGAGCGGCGCGGCGAGGTCGTCGGCGTTGGCCTTGAGCCCGATCGCTTCCTTCATCTGCGGCACGCTCTCGCCCGTCAGCGTCGCTTCGTTCGCGACCGCGTTGCCCTGGAGGAGGAGACAGTCGCACGGGACCGTCGAGTCGCCTTCGACGATGCGCTTGACCGAGATGATGTCACCCGGCACGATCGCCGACGAGCTCACGGTGCTCCACTTGCCCGAGCGGAAGACGTAAATGTCCCGGGCGACGTTGCCCATGCCCCGGAGCGTCTGGAGGTTCTTGAGGCGGCTAAAGACCGTGACGCCTTCAAACATGAGGATCATGACGAGCGTGAAGAGCGAGTACTGCCAGTACTCGTCGAGCATGTAGAGGCAGACCGAGAAGATCTGGAAGACAGTGAGCGGCTCCACGAGCTGCTCCTGGAACATCTTGACAAACGTCGGCTGCGGAATGCTAAACTCGTTGTGCCCGTAGAGGTCCAAGGCGCGCGTGTACTGCGCACCCGCGTCGACACCCTTGGCTTTGACGTACGACTCGACCGCGTTCGTGACCGGCGCCTTGAGCTTGCGAAAGCACACCGAGCCGTCGTCCTTGTTGACCTCGCCGACGTACTTGCGCTTCTGAAACATAAAGAACGGCGCGCTCTTCTCGCCGTTCGAGAGCGTATGCTGCTCGAGCTCGACCATGACGCTCTTCCCGCGGTACGCGCGGGGCACGACCTTGACAAAGGTCGCGTCCGTCAAGTTGGCCACGCTGTTGTACTTGATAAAGGTCAAGACGCGCGTCGACCAGATCTGGAGGAGGCGCATGAGGATGTGCAAGCAGACAACGGTCACGCAAAAGAGAAGCGGGATGATTGCCGGCAAGAACGGGTTCGGGAGCGGCGGAATGCTCTTGTCGTCGGTCGGGTTCTTGGGCGCATCGCCGGCGCCGGCCTGGAGCAATGCCGAGGCAGCGAGGCCCGCGAGGTCGTCGTCCGAGGGCGGGTTCAAGATGCGGTCCATGTTGAAGCCTTGCTCCTCGAGCTCGGCCAAGGCAATGCGGTACGGATCGCCGGCCGTCTGGAAGCACCAGTAGAGGTTGTACGCATGGAGCAGCAGGAACGGGATGTGCTCGAGGCCATAGCCCAAGCCGCCGGGGTTGGCGCGCCGGCGGTGGAGCGACAGCTGCGTGATGGACCGCCCAGTCCACGTCACCGTCATCCTGCACTTCCACAAATACGCAGTTGACTGGACCGGGCTATCGTATCCGGACACGTTCTTTTATCCCGCTGCGTTATCCGGACAATAACCCATCGCCCCTCGTTAAAGACACTGCTTGCGCCACGCGTCGCCTCGGAGCTCGTGACGACGACCACGAGGATGGCGAGGAAGATGCTCATGAGGAGGAGGACGAGGAGGAGGATGGCAAAGAAGACGTGGGCGATGAACGTCATGCATGCCAAGAGCAAGCTAGCGCATGCTACGACTGCAACGACGAGGCCGCGGCCATGGCATGAGGCAGCCGCGAGGATTGTTGAAGTTGATGCAAGGAGGTTTCCGTCGACGCGACCAGAAGGTGCACCCATGACGTCTCGAGACAGCGTAGACAGGATGAGCGTAGCGTGTCCGTGGCTCGCGTGGGCTGCATGCAGTGCCTCACTGCTGCTGCTATCAAGATAGAGAAGCAGAGCTTTCAATCGACATTGTGGTGTTCCTCCAGCAACAAGGCTGGGACGTCGATTATTCAATCACGAGCGAGTGCACACGCCGCCGTTCCTTGTCATGATGGCAGTTGACGTTGGGTCGCCACGCCGGGTACTTGGCAGCGCCATGACCTTTTGCCATCGTTGCAGACCAGCCATAGATTAATACCAGCCGGCGCGGGAGGGCGTAAGGGATTTCTCGGTCTCCAGTCCACCGCTGTGAGTCTATACGTGTGGTACCAGCCCAAGGCGAGCTCCTCCGCGACGGTCGGTCCGTCACGCTTGTGTGTACGACGAGGGGTGCTTCGGAACACGACTCCACCGCTGCACGCGAGAACGAAAAGGTCATTGCTCCAGCTAGACATAACTGAGCTTTGGAAACTGGAGCTGGCAGCGCCAGAGCCGTACTGGGAGCAAGCTCGTTGCATTGCATCCATAGATATTAGGTATTGGCCTCTGGCAACGGCTCGGGCTTGACCTCGGACGCGACATGTTGGGCTACCTCTTGCGTGGGCTTTCCTGGCACTGCATGGGCTGTGCTCGAGGCAGCGTGGGGCTCCGGCTTGGGCGTTGTCAAGGGTGCGTGGGGCTACTCGTGCATGAGCGATCGCCATCGTTCGGCCTAGGTACCTCGTCGTTGTCATCGCCGTCGTCCGAGTCCGAGTCAAAGTCGCTCGCGGGGTACCGGCAGAGCTCATCGACGAGCAGCCTACATAAGTGCGTCGTGGTCGTCGAGGTCGCAACGCGAGGACGTGGCCTACGCCTTCTCGGCCTGCGCCACAGCGATCCGGGCCTTGGTCATGGCGTAGCGCCGGGCGAGCTCCACGTGGTCCTGCGCCAGCTTGAGCCATCGATCTCCATGCTCCGCGTCGTCCACCTACCTGCTCGAGGGCCGCGTAGAGCCGCCGGAGCGTCGCAAGCTCGCTGCTGGCCATGCTCTTTCGTTTTCGCCAGCCAATCAGCATCCGCGCTCGATTTCTAGCCAATCCGGTGCGGTGCGAACGTCAAGTGCGCGCACTTGAAAATGTATCTTGCCCACCCGAAGCATCATTCCTCGCCCAAAGCCGATGGCATATTCATTCATGGCTACGCTATCGGCGATGCAAGCACACGCATAGTCGCCGCATATCGCGACGCATTCCTTCCTGCTTACTTGGCCGTCATGCTCTGGCGGCTCTGGAGCAGCTCCGACGTCCGCCTACGCGCCACATATACCATGCGTCTCCGATCGGGTTGCCTCCATGTACCTCCGCATGGCTTCTTGCCGGGAGAGACGGCCCGACGACGCCTCCGAGAAGCGGGGCGGACCCGCGGCCAAGAAGCTATTGTGGCGCGACAAGGACGCGATCCGGTTCACACTACGTCACTTGATACAAACTTGATACGAACGTGATAGAGTGTGGTACCTTCCCCAGACGCCTGTCGCAGCGTTGCGCTTCAGCTCGAGCTTGCCGTTGCTGTGGCAAAGCATGCGCATCCATTGCAAGCAGTGATCTACATACGCCCATATCGAACTTGACGACCATCCACACCTTTCGTACCAAAGGTCTCGCATTTCAGCACGAGCGGGTCGGGCACGGTCGAGAGCTGGATCAAAAACGCGCAAGCCGAGTTCGACCCACTGCGCTCGGCTTCTTCGTCCATCGTCAGCGACCGCACTTGCACAATGTGCTTGGTCTCCAACGTCGAGAGCAAGTCCGGGTCTTCGTCGTACAAGTGGACCGCCAGCGAAAAGACCAGGAGACGCGCCGCCGTCATCACATAGTACTAAAGCAACTTCCAGAGAGACACGAAGAGAGCGACACGACGTACGTTGGCAACCCATTTCGACCCGTCGTACGCGAGGAGGTTGGCGGCGAAGCTCACGAGCGTCTCAATCTGCGTCCGCAGCAACTCTTCGTTTTCTTTTTGCAGCGCAAACGTGCTGCTGCGGCTGATGAGGACGCCGCTTGTCGCGTCGTGGTTGGTCACGACCGACCGCTTCACGGTAAGAAAGGCGCTGCGCCACGCCACCTACAATCAGCACGGAGGTCCGACCCGTTTCCTGCGGCGTGCGTCGTACCGCGGCCGCGTCCGAAGGCGGGATCAACGTCAGCGTTTTCGTGCTGAACGCGAGCTCGATCGCGTTCTCGGGGCAGTTGCGGCTCACAAACTGCACGTCGACGACCGACCGGACGTCGACAACGCCATACCGAATCGCAATTTCGTCGGCGCCCAAGTCGTGCTTGTAGATCGAGAGTTCAAATCCGCGCAAGACAAAGTAGCGCCGGCGGTAGCGCTCGTTGACGCCGGACCGGTAGAAGAGCCAGCCCGCGTTCGACGGCTGCTCGTCACTCTCGTCCTATACACGCCTCTATGTAGTGGTTGTTGGTGACGAAGACGATGGTACCGTGGTCGCGTCAAGGAACGCCGTCGTCTTCATGAGCGCCTGCGGGAACGTTTCGATGGTCGATGGCAGCTGCAGGTTGGCGCCCGCATGGTTGATCATGGCGTTCGTGCAGCAGTGGTACACGGCGAGCGCCCACTCGCGCATCTCGGCTTCGTCAAAGAGGAGACGGAGATCGTCTGGAACGAGGCCGAGTCCATGTCCTCGTCCGACTCGACGAGCGCTGTCACCGTCAACGTCGGGTCTGGCTCCGCGTCGTGGACGCAGTGCAAGTGCATCTGGAAGTAGTCCTTGTCGCCTGCAATCTGCACAAATGGCTTTCTCATCTTGGCGTTTTTAAGAAAAGGACTAGGTACCTTGGAGAGGAAGATGCCCGCGACCGCGTCCAGCGCAATGACGTTGAGGACGCGACCATTTGGCGCTGTCGAGACCACGAGCTCGTGGTTCTGGAGGCAGAAGAACCGCTTCCGATGCACTTGGTAGAGCCGGTCGAGCTTCCAGAGATACCCTTCTTTCGGCGCCGCGCTAAACAGCTTTGCCTCGTCCTGGAGCAGCACGAGACGGCTGCACGAGCACATGGCGAGCATCCACTTTTTGCCCAGACCGCGTTCATGGCCTCGAGGTGCACCGTTACGTCCGTGCCATTGCCCAGCGAGAGCTCGACGGCGAAGCGCGCGTCGCCGTCACTCGAGACGGACGTGACGCGCGAGAGCTCGATCGCGTCCAGCGCGTCACCCCACTCGTTGTCGAGATCGTCCTCCACTTCATAGTAGCTGAGCACACCGTTGAGGATCGCCGCGTAGACGCGCTGGTCGGCGAGTGTGAGCCAGCCGCGGATCTGCGCAATGCTTTCAACGGCCCACAGCGACGCCTAGTCAGCTTCCGAAATCAGAAGACAAGAAGCACCGTAGCGAGCTGCGCACCCGACTCGTGGTCGCGAGCGCCGTGTTCTGAACGACTTCGATGCTGAGCCGGTTCGTCACGTGCTCGGCCGACGACGTGGACGAGACGAGCTTGGGCGGCGGCAGCAGCGACGTCAGCGGCGTCTCTTGGAAGTAGTAGTCGGATGCCCAGAGCAGCAGCATGAACCACGCGTCTCTTTGGGCTTGCGTCAGAGCTGCGAGCTAGTGCGATCGTTCAAGATTCGACATGAGGATGGACAATACTGTCTGTTACCGTAAAGACGAGGTTGGACGACGTTTTGAGCTGAATCGAAAAGTCGAAGGCTTCCATCGAGTCGCCCTTGACGACGCGCACCGTGCGGATCTCGGCCAAGTCGACGCGACCCGCAAAGACGTCAGCGCTCTACGCAGCATTAGGACTCGGTGCACCACTTGGTCTCTGATCAAAAACTATACCGTTGTCTCGTACTTGTGCAGGAGCAAGTAATGGTCCTTTAGCACCACAAAGCGGGGATGGTAGGCATCTGCACCGACTGCACCGGGCTTCTTGACGTAGAACCAGCCTAACCATCGCCGTCCACACTCGACTCGAACGCGAGATTGACATACCTTGGGCCATCGGGCCTTCAATGCGTAGCTGGCCAAAGTGGCGGCAGCCGCGGCTCGACGCGACCCAGCGCACGTACTCGTCTTGGGGCTCGTACCGGGCGACGCGCGGCCCGGACGACGTCAAGAGCAAGCTCTCCACGCTGGTTTCAAGCAGCGTGACGTCGAGTTCGCGCCCCGCGCTGTGGCGCACTTCCCGCTCCAGGTACCGCGCCCACTTCATGAGCACGTGGATGGACTCGAACCGAAGCGTGTACGTTCGGCGCCAATGCACATTGTTGGAGGCAATCACGACGCCAATCTCGAGCTGGTACGCGGCTTCGTCGCCGCCCAGCGCCAGCTCGGACGGCGTGAGCGCGACGATCGCGTCACAGCGCAGCGTCCCGAGCAGCACCGTCTGTGAGGCATCGAGGAAGATCTGGAGCTTGCCGCCACTACGGAGCACGAGGTGCCGCCCTTCAAAGACGTGCGTGAGCTCGCCCCACTTGAGCGCGTCACTAGCGAGCAGCGTCGACGCGACCGTCGTCGTGTCGGCCGCCTTTTCAATCACCATCATTGGGTGCACGGGAATCGTGCTCCCGATCGCGCGCGGTTTCTCAAACACAATGGCGTTTTTGAGCACGTCGACCCACGTTTTGAGTTCGTCGAGCGACAGGACGTAGCACGTAAACATAAAGTGGCCGGCCTCGAGCGTCAAGCCAAACGTTTTGGGGAAGCCTTGGACGCATGTGACACTCGACCGTTTGTCTGATGATGGCGAGATCATCGATTGATACGTTGAAACAAAAAACACAACATGCAACGCACCGTGGAGCGGACGGAGGTCGGTCACGTCGTCGAGCGAAAGCGTCAGCACCGGTCGATCTTGCCGACCAATGTGCAGGCCCGACTTGAAGAGATGCAGCTTGGAGCCTTGGAGCTGCAAGAGCCGGATGCGCACGCGGTTCGTCGCTACCGTGCGTGAGCCAACAACCTTCCTCACGTCGTCCTACCGGGCTCTTTGGCGAGCACCCAGCCCTGCGCGAGGCGCGACGCTTGCTTGATCGGCGCGGCTTCGAGGCGGGAGAAGCGGAGTGTAAGGGGTCGGGCCGCGCGCTGGATCTCTTCGATCGCGGTCGTAAACGGCAAAGTCGAGAACGTATGGTCCTGGATCGCAACGAGGATGTCGCCCAGCATGATGATGCCCGTGGCTTCGGCGAGGCCGACGCCGCCCTCGGCCGGCTCCTGGAACCCCCGCACCATGATCGTGTCCTCCATCGTGCCTACATGGGATGATGAGCTTGGAGGGCAGACATGGCGGTGGCGTAGTACTCTGGAGCAAGAGGTGCAGTGGGCCCGGGGTGTCGAAGGTGACAGTGATGATCTTCTCGCGCACACTCATCGCGCGCAGCTTGGCGTCCATCTCCCGCTCCTTGTCCTCGGGCTCTTCGTCGAACGGCGTGAGCGTCGGCTGGAAGGTCGGCGCTGCCGCGAGTACCTGGGACGCCTGGCGCATGACGGCGCTGCCCCGGCCATTGTGCGGCGGTATCACCGAGCTGCCGCGAATGACGGCCGACTCGCGCCGTTGCATGAGCTTGGGCTGGTACTCGCCGCGCAGCTACATCGTTTTCCATCCTGCCAAAGTGTCCGAGAAGGTAGGTGGAACGTACCACGAGCGTGAGCACCGTGGCCCAGCGCACCATGTCTTCGCGCGTCGCGGCGGCGACCGTGTAGATGCGGTCGGCGCACACGAGGTCGAGAGCGTGGTCGGGCGCGTCGGCCATGCTCGACGGCAAGACCGCATTGACGCTCGTGAGGTGGATCGCACCGAGCTCTTGCTCATCGTTCTTGGAGCGAAAGTAGCGCAGCATCATGCCATCGAGGACGAACCACCGGCTGCGGTACGAGCTCCCGGGCAAATGCAGCCGCAGGCCGCGGATACTCGTCTGGAGCTTCTTACCGCCGGCGCCCATGTGCTGCATCTTGCGCTTGAAGTCGGGCTTGAGGAGGAAGCCGCATGGGTTCTCGAGCCAGTCGGGGTGGATCGCGCCCGTCGTCTGCGCCTGGTGCACCTCGCGCGACAGCTTCTCGTACGCGTTCTCGTCCTCGCGCTCGGCCATCGTCGGCGTAGTGTCTGCACAGTGGCACCAGATTGCCGGTTCACACTCGAATCCGGATGGCGTCCGGATGACATCGCCACCACCACGCGGTATCTTTGCCCAATATGCCAGTAGTCCTCGGCATGCCGGCGAGCCTCAACGACGACGACGACGACAATCGCATGGCCACCTCGAGGCGAGCCTCGTGCGTAGGCTGTCTCCATCCATCGACAAGGCTCGCGCTGCATGCTAGGCGTGGCCAAGCAGCTTGTTGTATTTGTATAGGCGTGGTGGCTCTATGCAGCTACAGCTCCTCGAGCATGCCTCTTCGCGGCTGCGACCGCACACTCGAGTAGGCTTCGAGTTCTTGGCATAGCGAGTTAAGCCACCTATTGGCGTGGGTGAGCGGCTGGCCATGCGAAACAACGATGATCGACGTACGTGGCGTGCTGCTGCGCGGCAACTTGCACCTTGTGACGCCCGATGGCCCAGCTCGTAATCTGCTTGTCGTAGATCGAAGCGCACTGCCACTGCTCGTTCATTTGCCGTCGATCCGTGGGCGCAAACGGTCGCATTGCACTGTACGCACACTCAGCGTCTGCCGAGCAAGAGAGAGAAAACACTCTAGTACCGTGGTGGTCGCCGGTGCAGTGGGTCGGTCAAGCCTACGTAAGGGTCGTGGAGGTGCCTCGTCTCGGCCATCGGTGGCAAATGCCAGTCCTTATGCACTGGCGGGAAGCTCGGGCACTCGTTCTGGGCGATGTCGCTATGAAGCCGATAGAGCTCGTCGAGCAGCGAAGGCGCGTCCGACTCGCACAGCGACGAGACGGCATCGCTACTCTCGCTACAAATGTCGTCGCAAAGCGAGCTACGAGAATGCGCGAGCGAAGGAATAGCACTCGAGATGCTGCTCGCGTCGTCGGACAGCTCGGACGACGCTGGGCGGGCGTGCATGTGGCGGCGCCGTGCAAGGATGCGCTCTTCGGTCGCCCGCAGCTGACGCATGTTGCGGTTCAGCGATTGCACGCTCTACTTCCCAAAGCGATCTGGCTTTGCTGATTCGAGTAGGCCAAGCGCATGCGTACCGTGTCAAGGACGCGCTTCATCTCGCTGACGACAGCGGCGCTTCGGCCCCGGGCATGCTCGAGCCGCCACGCCTCCTTTTCGTGCTTGAGCTTGTGCGCCTGGGCCTTCAAGTCGACCTTTTGCCGCGTCACGAGCGCGCTCGCCCGTTCCAGTAGCTGGCGCTCGTGCTCTAGCCGCGTCGAGAAGCTCTCACTATCACCGCCGTCATCGGACGTGGTGTCTTGGCCATTCGCCACCGCGTTCTCATCGCCGCCGTGCAATCGCTGCTCGAGGCGCGAGATCTGCTGCTTGAGCAAGTGTATTTCATCCTGTTGCTGCTGGCAGCGGTGCTCCCAGTCGAGCGCCGTCTCCATCTCGGCGCGTGGCGGGACCGCAGGTTCAAACTGGTTGCGATCTTTTTGACACGGTGAATCTTTCGTTCGCTTCGGCACATGCCGAATATAAGAAAGATCGCTCGCCTCTTCTCTAAAAAGCTTACAGCTGCGCCCACCACTTGTCGGGCCACTCGTGTGCACTGGGACGAGATGCCTTGAGGTGCCCTGAGGCCCATCGACCTCCGCGACACACGCCGGCTTATTTTCGGCACTGCCACCTTCTGGCGTATTGGGTGCAATGTATGGGATTGCAGAGGTTAGCTTGCCTGCCCTGTGGCATTCGATGGCTCCGCCCCTTGAAGTAGACTTCGCAACGTATGGATTCTAACAGTATGTAGGTTGTCTAATATTAAGTGTCATGTTATATTGGAGGATGCGATATAGCAATATATCGGTTCTTAAAGGTCAAGTCGTTTCTGTTCTATTTTGACGCATGGGCGGCGCAAAAACGACGCTGCCAGCATACAAATACAAAGGTAATACAATAAATTGGGTTTAAAGCCGGCGGTACCTCGGAAGGGAGTCCCATTTTCGCCATGGTGCAGTCAACCGGAGACATCACGACCTTTAACATTCAGCACGGCTTCGTGGAGGGCTTGATCCGCGGCTATCGCAGCGGCTTCCTCGACGACGTCGACTACCACCACCTCACGCAATGTGAGACGCTCGAAGGTACATGCGCCCTCGAAGAGCGCGTCCGCTGAAGCGAAGGCTGCGTGTAGATATCAAGCTCAACCTCCAAGAGACCGACTACGACCAGTTCCTCCAGGACAACAGCGGTACGGTCACGCCGTCGATCATCCAGACGGCAACGACCAAGAAGTTTGTCGACGAGTTTGTCTTCTTGCGTGCGCAGGCCATGGAGCCGCTCGGCGAATTCCTCGACTTCATCACGTACGGCGATTGACGCTTGCTGCACCTTTCATGCAGCCCACGATGGCAACTAGATACGAGTACATGATCGACAACTTGATGCTCCTTCTCAAGGGCACGATGAACGGCCGTGACGTGAACGAACTCATTGGCCAGTTGCACCCGCTCGGCAAGTTTGACGACTCGATCATGCGCAGCATCTGCACGTTCGAGGCCAACTCGAAGGGCTACGCCGACTTGTACGAGTGCGTCCTCATCGACACGCCGATCGGTACGTCAACCACTGCCGGCGCCATGGCACTTTACATCGTTTCTCTCCAGGCAAGTACTTCCAGCAGTTTCTCCAAGAGAACGCCGAAGACCGCCTTGGCGAAGCGTCGGAAGTCCGCAACATCCTCGAGGAGGTCCAGATGGAGATCATCAAGAACTCGTTGCTCAAGCTCTGGCTCGAAGACTTTCACGAGTTTTGCATGGTAGACACGCATGCCGTTGGAGTCTGTCAGCTCATGCGATTAATTAGAACCTCGGTGGCGAGACGGCCGTCATGATGGGCGTCATCCTCCGTGCGCGCGCCGATCGCATTGCGATCAACATCACGCTCAACTCGTTTGGCACACCGTTGAACGAGCCGAGCCTGCGCATCTCGGACCGCAAGCCGCTCTACCCGTCGATTGGCGAGCTCTACCCCGCGGGCACGGAGGCGCTCTCGGAGGTGTCGGACGAAGGGTCGCTCGGCATTGTGCTCGACCCGTTCCCGGTCTACCGCAAGATTTGGGAGATCCACCAGAGCGAAGGCGTCGACAACAAGTCGATCGACGACGCGTTTTACGAGCGCGACGTCATGATGTGCGAGCTCGCGTTCGGCAGCCAAATGCACTTTGCGTGCTTCTACGCGTACGTCAAGTTGAAGGAGCAGGAAGTGCGCAACCTCGTCTGGATATGCGAGTGCATCATCCAGAACCAGCGCGACGCGATCCACAACTTTATCCCGATCTTCAGCGAGAACGCGCCGTGGCGCCTCAACACCAAGGGCCCTGGCCACCACTAAGCACGAACGTCGCCGTCATGCCCGCCGTGGCCAAGTCGGACCGCGCAGGAAGGCTAATAAGCCATGGCAGGCAGGAATATGCTGAGTACAATTAAACGGGGCCTGGATCACAAAGCTCTTTGAGCGATGGCATGCGTATGGATGGCATGTGTGTGCAATGAGTTATAGGAACTCGATGAGTCGAGCGGTTGGGTGCTTGGAAATCTTCGCTCCATCCAGCTGAGAGGACAGAAGAAGAATGTGATGAAGTCGCCAGGCTTCCTGCGGCCAAGGTGCGCGCCCGGGTGAAGTTCGAATCGCACTTAGTGCGGGTCCAATCATCGTCGCCTCTTGATTTCCAGCCATGCTGCAAGCCGTCCGCAGCGCCATGGGGCGCCGGAGCATGTCGATGCAAGTCTTCAACCGAGGTACATGCTGCATGGTCGACCCACGCCTCCTGATGGCGCCTAGCGATGAAGCGGCAGCAGCGCAACAATGCGGCTCAGCTCGCCAACAGCACCGAGTACGAGTACCTCCGCGAAGAGGTTGCTCGGCGCCTCGTGGACCGCCTCGAGGTACGCTGGTCCATGGACGAGATGACGCGTCAAACCAAGTGTGCAGGACATTGACCGCGAGTTCCCGCTCGCTCTCGACCTCGGCGCGGGCAGCGGCCACATCTACAAGTCGCTCGCGCCCGACGCCGGCCTCGGTGGCATCAAGAAGCTGCTCCAGTTTGAGTTTGCCGGTGCGCAAGATAGGACGGATCACGGAGTCTTTGACACTGCTAATGGTAGAGAACTTGCTGCTGCGCGACGTTCAGACGCCCGAGGAGGTGGCGCGCAATGCCAAGCGTACGTCCTCGAGCCTGGCAAACTATGGTCGCTGACACTGCGTCTCCTAGTGCCCACCGAGTACATTTGCGGCGACGAAGAGTTTCTGCCATTCCCGCCGCACCACTTCGACCTCGTCATCAGCTCGTGCAACTTGCATTGGGTCAACGACCTTCCGAGCACGTTTACGCAGGTGCTCGAGACGCTCAAGCCGGACGGTGTCTTCCTCGGCGCCGTCCTCGGTGGCGACAGTCTCTGCGAACTTCGGTATCCGCATGCTCGTGGGATACGTCATCTCGGATGCTGGCCGTAGGAGCTCGTTCATTCTGGCCGACCAAGAGCGCAAGGGCGGCATCCTTCCGCACATTTCGCCGTTCGTCAACGTCGCCGATGCTGGCAACTTGCTCCAAAGCGCGGGCTTTACGCTGCCGACAGGTACACAGGGCACGGACGACGGAGTGTCTTAGATGACAAATCCTAGTCGACACGGACTACATCACGGTCGAGTACCCGGACGCGTTTGTGTTGATGGAGCATCTCCAGGGCATGGCCGAGAACAACGCGCCGTTCTCGTCGTCCGCGATCGCGCCGTCGCGCGACACGCTCCTCGCCGCGGCCTCCATCTACCAGACCATGTACGGCAACGAAGATGGCTCGATTCCTGTGACCTTCCAGGTGCGTCCATGGCCGTCGTCTTGGCCACACGGACATGACTCGTCTAGGTCATCTACTTTATCGGGTGGAGCCCGCACAGTAGCCAGCAGCAGCCCAAGAAGCGCGGATCCGCGACCAAGTCGCTGCGCGATCTGCCGACGATCCACCACTCGGACGCAGAGTAGACGCGAGATAGTATCCACACGGAATATGATGCATCGTGCGGCCACGAAGGGCCGATCCGTTTGGGCGTTCATTAGATTCAAATAAGTTGAGATAGCGATATGTAACATGTAGCGAGGTGGATGGACGACGAGGAGGCTTAGCGCGAGTTGGGCACAAACTCGTGGGCGTGGATGCTCAGCTTTTGGCTGCGGCTGTAAAACCCACGCGTGCCATCGGGGCCCTTGGCCAATAAATAGGTTGCGTTCGCCGCGCGCGCCGAGGGCGCGAGCTGCAGCGGCGTGCGCTTCGGGGTTGCGTCGCGTCGCTGCGCCGAGAGGTGGCCTAGGCGCTCGACGCGCTTCGGGCGCGCTTGGCTCTTGGCGCTGCTCGGCTTCTTCATCATGGTGCTGGACCGTGGGAAGATGCAAACTGCAGCCTCGGATAGAATTTTAAACCGCCGGCGACCATTTAATTTCGACCGACACTCTCCACTGCACCAATGTGTGTAATAAAATGCAACGTTCTCGAATTTCGACAAGTCGCCAATTTAAATACCTCCCATATTGCGCGTTTTATTCCGAACGATCGAAAAAACCGACGTCGAATCTCGACGCGCCTGTTTTCTAACCAATCAGATTGCGACCGAAGATTCCCTGTCTTTGCAGCAAAATAATATGCCATTTGTCCAATCCCGAGTGAAAGACCTCTTGTACGGAATGTGGTTGCCATCAACCGGAATATTAATAAAACATATCTTTAAAGGCGAAGGGACGCCTAGATTCGACCGAGCGACTCGATGGCGCCGAACTAGGATATTGTTCGATGCCCTTGGCGCTGCAGCAGCAAGGTACTGGGCCACCCATTCTTTATTCTTCTCAACTTGAACATGCTGCAGTAAGAGAAGTGCATCTGATATGACCTCGTGGACGAATGACAAGTCGATCGCTCAAGTCTTCTGCTGTTACAATGGCAGGTGACGACGACCAGGCAAGAAACGCCGTCTGAGACTGAAGAGACCCGCGTGGCACCCCGCGCCGCCTTGAGTTACTCACTGAAAGCGACAAAGCGCGGCTTCACCCTGCGTTCTTCACGTGCTTCACCAAATTCTGCACGTGGCAAATGCGAAAGCGGCATGAAATAGTGTACGCTTTGAAGGTGCTGCCTTCGTGCGTTCAGGAGCTCTGCTCCACGGCTTGCCGCAGTGCAAGTGCGTGCAAGTGACACGAACACTCGGGACGTTTTGTCGCTTGCGCAGCTGAGAGAATGCCATCAAGCCAGCGCGGTAGCGAGTACCTGTTTCTGCCGCTGTGCTTTCAATCCATGGTGCCCAATGTCCTGATGCAAGCAGACTCGGCTCGTTGCGCTACTTCGGCGCGTCGGTAGCGTGCAAGGCGGCGCATGGGTATCTCGCTGGCGGCGACGATCTTCGAGCCGTTTCGAGATGGTGCCAACATTCGAAACCTTTGACGAAGCGATTCTGCGGACCCAACTGCAGTGAATCTCCTCACCGTGTCATGTTGCGTTGCCGACACACAGCAGCAAATGTCGGCGGCTCTCCTACTATAATACCGGTACCAGCTATAATGGTAGACCGCAACGACCCGAGGCCGCCGATCGCTCGGCGTGCGCGGTGCTTCGATGTGCTTGCATGTGTTTTCGCACCACGACGGATCGCACCCACTTGGCTGCAACTGCGTCGCTTTGCCTGCACGACAATCGGGCCAGTCAAAGCGGGAGATGGCGCCAGCTCCGATCACTTGCTGCTTAGTGCCACCACGCCATGTTGTCCTTGTTGACGCTATCGGTTGCAACCTCTCTTGTTTGTGGCAAGCCGCGTCGCCAACACTACTTGACATCAAGCAGCGCGATATAGTGTCGTCTTCAACGTGGCGCATCCTTGTGATGTGCGAAATGCGTCATTTCCCACAGCCCAAAGTCCTAATTAGGCAGAACCGACCATGGATATCTTGGTCTTTCTATGGGCCCTCTGACGCGACGTGAGACACAATGGCCAATCAGGACACGATGTAACGGAAAGCAGCGCTTTGATTGGTGCGAAACCAGAGTGGGAGCCAGGTTGCACTTGGGTTACTCACCAAGCGGGAAAGATTGTGGGCCTATTTTCTGGGCGCCTGCCACTTTGGCAGATTACCTCGGCAGGAGCATGTTCGCAGCTGGCGACGTCCGGGCGCCGATGACGAGCCTCATCGCGCTCACGCCGACGAGCATTGACGTCCCGGTCCGGCGCGGGAAGCAGCCCAAGGCGGCGACGCGGTCGCACTCGGAGCCCTCGTCGGCGGAGAAGGCGTCCCCGAAGCTTGACACGCTCACGATTCCGTATGACGACTGGTTCATCATGCCACTCTATGTCTGTCCAACGCACGCGACCAAAGATGGCCTCTCTGGTACGCGCGTCCGAGGCCATTGCGCCGCGCTCATACGACGGCCTTATAGAGAGCTACCGCCACAAGGGCTCGTGGACCAAGCCCGAGCCGATCCGGATTGAGCAAAAGCAAATGCGCGCAGCGCCGTCGTCGTCGACGATGTGGGCCGTGCCGTTCACGTACATCATCACCGTGAACAACGTGTCGCACCAGTTCAAGTGCGCGTGGAACGAGTACCGCGCGTACCAGAAGGCGCTCCTCGCCGACGAGAAGCTCGGTCCGCTCTACACCGACGCAGTGCACTCGAGATACGTCGAAGAGTCCTTCAAAGGGTATGCGTCGACGTCACATCATGTGCGCTTCTCTCACTTCCTTCGTCTAGCTCCATGCGGCGTGCGATTGCATCCCTCGAGCGCATGTCGGAGGAGGTCATGGGCTGCCTCCACGCCATTTCGCAAATTCCAGAAATCGCGACCCAGCGCGCGTACCAAGACTTGGTCGGGTGCCAGACCAACACCCTTCTCCACGAAGAGCTCGTCACGGTCCTCGCCAAGGACCACGAGGCCGCCGCGTCGCCGAAGAAGACGAAGACGGCGTCGTTTGATGACGATGACGCGTCCGTCGCGACCGACACGTTTGACGAGCTCCAAGAGTGCTTGTGCGACGTGTACGTCGAGGCCATTGCGCTCTTTGGCGCGCACGTGCACGGCCGGCCGCGCCAGATCGCAACGAGCGACGACGAAGAGCACGACGCCAAGGTCGAGGAGGTCGTGTGCATGGACATGCTTCGCATCCACTGCATGCTGGCCTTGTACACGGACTGTCTCTTCACGCTCGACAAGGAGCAGCTCACGTCCAGCACCAACTATGCACTGTGCACCGTCCTCGGGTTTGGCTGCCGACCGCTCTTCACGGTGAAGCGGTCCACTAAGACCAAGTGGATCTTATCCGATGCGTCGCAGCGCGGCCTGATGACCATGACGCTCAAGCGGTACGGCGCCAACCAGCCCATGATCGTCGTCGCCCGCGTCGTTTCGTCTGGCGCCGAAGAAGTCGTCGGTATGTTCCGCAAGTCGTGGCGAAGGGGCTACCAGTTCCTCCTCATGTCCGAGCTCGTGACCCAAGGGAAGCTCACGACATCCTTTGCGTTCTCCAACATGGTCATCCACGGCCAGCACCGGTACCTCGTCGGGTCGGTCGTGAGCGGCAGCGACCAACGCGACCTCCTCGTCACCGCGACGCTCTCTGTCTCGGACGCCGCCTTCCACACGCAGCGCCTGCACGTCACGGACAGCAGTGACGTGCTCCTCCAGATCGCGCTTGCGTGCTCGTACGATTTCCTCGCCAGCGCTCGACCCTTTTACCGCATGGACTATCATTATTAAGACGCAAGAAGCCGTGTATTTGTGTACATTGTGCGTCATGGCGTTAGGTGACCAACAACGACATGACACGAGACCATTGTAAGCGAACAAACGCTTAGAGACGCTCGAGCTTGTAGAGGTCCGAGCGCGTCTGCAGCGCCGTCGGGATGTTGCGGCGCATCTCGTCGGCCTGCTCAATGTCAATGTCGGCATACACGATGGCTTCGCCGTGCTCGGTCGTCGCAACGACGTCGCCCCACGGCGACACCACAGACGAGTGGCCCCACGCCTGGTAGCCACCCTCGGGCCCGCGCGCCGGCGATGTGGCCGCCACGTACAGCTGGTTGTCGACCTAGAAGCGCATTCTATGAGCACCATGCGCAGGAAGTTGGGATGTCCTACGGCGCGCGCGCGCTGGAGGAGCTCCCAGTGCGCGGGTCCCGTCGTGAGGTTGAACGCGCCGGGAAACATGAGGAACTTGGCGCCAGCGCTCTTCATGAGCATGCTAAGCTCGGGGAAGCGAATGTCGTAGCAGATGCCGACGCCAATCTTGCACCACGGCGTGTCAAAGACCGTCACTTGGCTGCCGGCCGAGAGCGTGTCCGACTCTTTGAACGTGATCTTGCCGGGCACGTCAATGTCAAAGAGGTGCACCTTGCGGTGCTTGGTGAGGAGCGCGCCGTCCGGACCTGCGATCACGCAGGTGTTGTAGACCTTGCCATTCTCGCGCTCGGGAATCGAGCCGCCCACGAGGTAGACGCCCAGGCGCTTCGCCAGCGAGAGCACCATGTGCGTCGACGGGTGGTCGGCCTCGGTCACGAGCGCCGTCGCCGGGATCTCCTCGGCGTACTGCGGAAAGGACGACGTCGCGTACGGCGAGTTCCAGCACTCGGGCAGCGAGATGACCTGCGCGCCCTGCCGCGCCGCCTCCTCGACCGCCGCCGTCGCGCGCGCGATGTTGATCGCCTTCTTGTCGCCGACTGCGAGCTGGCACAGCGCCACCTTGAAGCGTCCGGCCATCCTGCTCGCTGCTCTTTCGAAAATACGCATCGAAGTCGACGATCGTCGTCTTCGTCGAAGTTTGTGGCGCATACAAAGCGCAAGATCTTTCGTGGCGCCTTCCGCAAGCACCACGAGAATCTTGTCGGCGCAAGTCGGCGGCGCAGGTGGCAGGATGCAGTTGGTCGACCACCTTTTGTCCCGTCGGTGGAGTCCTGCTTCACACGCAGGAGCTAAGGGGTTCTATAACACCCGTACGTGCTGACCCTCTCTTCTCTTTCCCAGTGGCGTTGGCATCTGGCCCATCAAGGTAGGTGGTTCTTGACAGCAGGCAACATGTTGAGCGAGGCGGTGAAGGAAGGCCCATCTGCAAGGACATGCTTGCTGGACACCACAGTGCCAACGTGCGCGGCTCGTTTTCGACAATACTGTGCGCTCTTCGCCCAGTGCATACAGCCCACGACGAGACGCCGCTGGCTCAATGTACTGCGATCAGTGGACGATGGCTTTACGTAGGCCATCGACTGTAAACTTGTGGCTCTAGGTCGTGCTCTTGCAGTGCGACGACCCGCCACGGATTGCTCGAGAGCGACACTCTAACGGAACGCTGCGTTCACTATTAATCTACCAGTCCTCCGCGGGTTAGAACGTGGCGCTGACGCGCTGCACGGAGAAGCCGGGGCCGCGCTTGAGCTTGAGGAGCGCGGTCTTACTGCACGTTTTCACAAAGCTGATCGTCTTCTTGACACCCATCATGGCCGTGTCGCGACCGTTGATCTCGAGGAGGACGTCGCCGACGCTCACGTGCCGGAGCGACTCGCAGCATGGCTCTCGGCAGACAAGGACGACCATCGGGTAGACGCCTTTGCTGAGCCGGCACTCGCGCAGCTGGAGGCCAATGCTGCGGTTTTCTTTCCACTTGAGGAGGTACAGCGAGCTGTCGGGCGTGTCCATCTTGCTCACGCGCTGGCTCTTGAGTTTCCCGCGAACGTTGAGCTTCATGTTGACCGAGTTGGGCTCGAGCAGCGGGATCGTCTGCTCGTCGTTCTCTGTAATCTTGGCCAGCTTGGCCGCCCCGCTGGCACTGCTGCGCTTGTTCTTGCCGCGGCCGCGCGCTTTCCCCGAACGCTCACCGCCACCGCGGGACGGCAATGGCTTTGGCACGCTCGAGACCCGCGGACCATCGTCGACGGCGGCCTCGGACGACCGCTCCTTCCGCACCGGGTAGTCGAGCTTCGGCATCGGCTCGTTCTCCACCGTGCCCTCTTCTTCCTCCTCTTCGAGATCCAAGTCCATGTCCGAGTCAACCTCGGACGCACTGTCGTCGTCGTGACTGGTTGATGCGAACAGCGCATCGTGCTGGGCAACGACGACGACCGGCGGCGGGTCGGCCACCGCGGGCGGCAAGTCGTCGTCCAAGTACTCGGACCCAAATGCCTTGCGGTCGCCTTCCTCGTCGTCCGAGTCACTGTCCTCAAAGACAGGCGTCTTGGCATCGGCCGGATTCGGCGACGAGACAGGCGGTGGCGGTGGCGATGTGACAGGCGTCGGACTCGGTGACGTCACCGGTGTCGGTGCCGGCGGAGAGGTCGACCGCGCGACTGGCATCGGCGGCGACAGCGACGCTTTTGTCTGCGGTGACGCAGTGTGTGTCAGGGTGGACGGTGGCGACGGCTCGCTCGTCACAGGCGACGACGCTTTGGCCTTGCCTTTGCCGGCGACCCTCGGCGGGGATGGCGCCGGTGCATGCAGCAGCGATGCTGTCGTGTCTCGGGGCGGTGTCGTCACAATGGGCTTGGGCGCCGCCTTCTCGCGTCCCGGTGGTGTCGACGTCGTTGTTGTCAGATTGGGCGACACGGTCGTCGGCTTGAGTGCCTTGTGGCCAAACGACATGATCTTCATCTTGGTCGACTCGCGCACCGGCTCTTGGACGTGGTCTGGCGGTGGGCTCGGCACGCGGTTGATCGGGTCGTGGGGCGGACTCGATGGCGGCGCGCCTTTCGGCGTTGACGGGCTTGGCGGACGCGCTGTCTGGAACACGAGGTGGATCGGCTTGGGCCAGTGCTGGAGCTGTGTGAAAAAGTCTGCAAAGGACACGTCGTAGGACGAGAGGCCGTTGGCCGAGACGAGAATGTCGTTGGGTGCTACGTTCGTGAGCAGCTCCGGACTCGCATGCGGCAGCGTGCGTGTGATCACGGGCATATTCAGGCTCTCATCCTCGCCAAAGTACAAGCCGAGTGCACCGTCGACCCACTCAAACTCGTACCGGTACTTGCGGTACGGGTCCATCGCCAGGAGGTCGCGCGGCGAGACGGGCTTGGGCTCCTCCGGGCTCTCGATCCGTACTGTCGGCACGTCGAGCTTGCGCGACGAGCGCGAGGGCGCGCGGTTGCGAAAGAGACTGTCGCTGCTCAGGCTTGGCTTCAAGCTTGGCTTTTCGCCATTGGGCTTGGTCTCGCCCTTGAACGACTTGGACCGCGGCAAGGGCGGCTCCGGCTGTGTGTCGTCGCGTGGTCGCGCCCGGCGAAAGCGAAGTAGTACCGGCTTTTGCTTGGTCGTGAGAAGCTGGAGAAAGCTGTGGAACGTATTGTCTTCGGCGCGGAGCTCGTTGACGCAGAGGAGGTAGTCGCCCACCTCCATCGCGGCCGCGAGTGGGCTCGATGGATCAATGATCGTCCAGACGATCGGCAGCTCCGACTCCTTGTCCTCCATGATGTTGACGCCGAGCCGGCCCGTCTCCCACTGCACAAAGTACTCGTCGTCCTTGAGCGGTGGCAGCTGGAAGGCCGCGATCATCTGCTCTGCCCACGGGTTGAGCTTGCGGGACTTGGCCATGCTGCTGCCGTCGTCGTCGCAAAGGAATAAAATGAGCCCCCACTCTGCACATCATACAAACTCCAAGTCGTTCAACTGCGTTACACGCGCCGTTCTTTTTGGTTTTAAACGCGTTTAAGCCCCTTTACCCGCGGTTAAACAGCTAAAACGCAACGCGTTTTTTAGCACCCACATTCGATCCACCATGGAGCCAACCAGCCGGCGCCGATCCGACCAGCGACGAGCGACGCGGCCATGGCGGGACCGCGCCGCCAGCCTGCAGCTTGTCGATCCCGGCAAAAGGTGCATGGGCGTGCGGCCGTTGCATTTTTGAAACGGTGCCATGCGACCAGCCTACGCCATCGTCCTCCTCGCTGCGGTCGCCGATGGCCGGCAGCCGCCCGCCGCCGACGTCTATGCGTGGGACCCATTGCGCAGCGTGCACACGCCTGTCTTTGCCTTCAGCCACGCCGCGTACGAGGTGCGATAGCGCAACGCTCGTCGCAACGTCATGCTGCGCTATGGTAGATGGCACTGGCCAACGACCCGCGCCACGCCAAGTACGTGCAGCGACACACGAGCGCGGCCGAGCCGGCCAAGAAGCCGCACATCAAGGTGCTCGAGCGCAAGCACAAGTACCCGACGCTCGCTGTCGTCATCTCGATGACCGTCCTCCTCACCAGTATGTACATCATCATGCAGTTCTTTAGTTAGTCGATCATCGATCCATCAATTCAATACACGACGACAGTTCGATCGAGCGCTTTCGCCGCGAGAAGGCACCTGCGCGTTGGCGTCGCGACCCACGCCGCGACCGAAATCGCATGCGACGAGTGCTCGCCGAGGCGCGCCGCGTCAATGACCAGTGGCACGTGGCTGCTACAGCTGCCGTCGCCATGCGCCAGCAACGGCGCCTCAAACACTGTCGTCGCGCCGTCCGACGAGAGGGTCACTTCGAGTTGCAACGTTCCGCGTCCGCTAAGGTCGCGCAAAGGACTCGACGCCGACACGGTCGCATCGAGCTGCAGCGAGACGTGTATGGTGGCAGCCAAGTCGACGGCCGTCGTAACGCCGAGCACCGTGCGCGAAATCTGCTTGACGCTGGGGCCTGGCGCGAGCGTCATGTCCAGAGACAGCGCCGGCGCGTCACTGCGCATGAGCGGTCGCGGCACCGCGCACGGAAGCGTACACACGGCTTGGAGGAGCGCCACGAGCGACTCCATTTGCGTGGCTTCCGTCGCCGCGAGGTGGGCGGCATAGTCGGCAACAAACTGCCAGGACGGGTGCCGGGGTAGCACCGTCGGCGTCGCCACCGTCGCCGTCCGTCCGTGCACCGTCTTGTCAATGGCCACGGCCACCAGCTCGCAGAGGCTAATGTGACTGGCGAGGGCATCGAGGTCGGTCGTCGACCACGCGGCGTGGCTGAGGAGAGCAAACGCCCGGGCGTGGCGCTGCAGCTGGTGCTGGAGGTCAGTCCACTTGGTCGAGGAGAAGATGTGGCCGGACGCGATGATACTCTCAAAGGCGTACTACACAGCGAAGACCGAATCTGAGCACCAAGAGCATCAAGACAGCGAGGACGAGACCTGCAGCGCCGACTGGAGCGTGTTGAGAAACCCCAGGCGCGCCGACACAAAGCTATACAGTGTCTCGAAGGCAACGTCGCTGGACGCCGCGAGCTGCAGCGTGGCGAGGGCCTCGTGCAGCGCATCAAACGCACGCAAAGGTACGGCCGACGTCGTGGCACAGACGAGCGCTTCGCCGTCGACCCACAAGGCGACAGCTTTCGTCCAGTGGTGCGTCATCGACGACAAGGTGCTTGCAAGGACCGTCGGCAGCAGTTGCGCCGCCGTGGCAAACGCGCCGTGCAAGACACACTCGCGCGCGAGCTTGAACGACATGTACGCCGATCGGTGGACCGCATGCGCGCGCAAGACGAGCGCCTCCGCGTCGCCTCCGCTGCGTAAAAGCGACACGACGATCGCGAGCGACCGCGACGACGACGGCAACGCCAGGGCCGACGCTGCAACCTCGTTCGGCACGGCCATGTACCAGGCCAGATGCGACATGGCCACCCAGAGCGCGTCCGTGTGCGGCGTCGACGTCGACAGTAGCTGCAGCAGCACCGGCCCGATGGTTGGCACGACCGCGGCTGGCATCTCGCGGACCAGCGCCTCGACAAGCTGCAGCGCTTTGCGGACAATTGTGGTCGATCCGACGGACACGGGGTGCGTTGCCGTGACGGCGAGGACGCGGAGGAGCTCGAGGAGTGCGCCGGGAACGCTCCGCCGACTCGCGTGGTACGCCATGTGGAGGAAGAGGCTTGTGCGCTTGGGGTCGGTCTCCGCCGTGAGCCATCGAAGCGACGCGAGTGGGATGTCCACCGAGCGCGCCGCCACCTCGAGCTGCGAGACGATGCACAGCAGCAAGGCCGAGTCAATCGAGACGTCGGCAGCGGCGTTAAGCAGCGTGGGCACGACGCCGGTGGGACGGGGCGCGCTGCGTCCAGCATCTTGGCGATGCCAGCAACGGCGATCCGCCGAAGCGATGCCGATGATGCTGTTACAAGCGTCTGGAGCACGCCAAGCTACAAGAAAACCTTGAAAACTAAAACGTCTTGGCTTCGTACCTGTCGGTCGACAGCATCGGGCGGTAGCTGCAGCGAGAGCGCCGTCATGGTGAGCACGAGTGGTCGCAGATATGGCGAGCGGATGTACGAGAGATCGCCATTCGGGCTCTGCACCATCGCGTCCTAGAGCGAGAGCAGAGAGCAGACGCATGAGCAGAAATGCCATATATCATTGCCGTACGTTGCGCAGCGCGTCGCACTTGGTGAGGGCCTACGAGAAGACGGCGTGAGGCGCCATGAAGACGACAGAGACGGTGTACGAGAGCGGCTTCGGCCGACGACGCGGTTGTCAGAGGCAAAAGCGCCACTTGCGCAAGGAACTTGTCAGTCGACGTCGCCTCTGCAAGCAGATGCGTGAGCAGCGTGCGCTGAAAGACCGGCGAGTGGGCCAGCATGGCGCGCGCAGTGTCCTGCGCAGCTGCGGCTTCGTCGCTGTGGGTCGCGACGCAGCGGGCGAGGACGCTACAGTGACCGCGTGTGATGAACGAGCATCGACAGCACGGGTCTGCGTACACTTGGTGCACAGAGACGTCGTCTCGAACCAATGTGGCGAGGAGCGCGAGCAGCTGCAGCGCCACAATGCGGGTTTGAACGTCGTCGCTCGTCTGCAACACCTGGTAGATCGGGCCTACAATCTATCGCCGGGCGATGCAGCCTCGCCGATGGACGACCTGTCATCCTACCTTGGTCGCATCGGAAACGTCCTTGTGCTTGAACTGGCCTTGGATGCGCCGGACCATCTCCAAGATCGCGAGGCGAAAGCCCAGCTGGTTGCTACTCGGTGGGATGAGCAGGACGAAAAGGGTGCGTCTATCTATGTACATGGCCTGGAACTGCTCGGCGAGTCGGGCGAGCACGAGTTCGAGCTCGAGCTGCGTGAGAAACGGAGCGTGGCTGTAGAAGAGCAGCGTCTCGGCCTTGTTGGCGTGCGTCGTGCCCTTGAGCTTGAGCTGCTGTTCGAGCGCCTGAAGCAGCTTCGCGTGGTCCTTCTCCAACACGCGGCTCTGGCGCCCACCGAGGCTCATGTCCTTCCCGTAGGCGTAGACGAGCGGGAAGGCCGACGACGCGACGCAGGCCCAAGCCGGTTCCGACGCCATCTCGTCGCTTGGTCACGAAAATGGGCCGCAACGCTCGTTTGCTCGATACGGATACCAGCACGTATCCGGTCCTGGCCATCCAATTCCCTTATCAAGTACACTGCAACCGGCTGGCAACCCTAATCGCCCAAAACCATCGCGATCTTCCCACGCTATCACCACACATCCGCCCGGATGGTCGACCCGAGGATGCCCACGTCCCATGGATTCAGCGGACACCAAAGATGACGCATGGCTGCATATAAAATGACTTGGGCAACCGAAGCTGGTCGCGCTTCTCACTCAGATTTCAGAGAGTGTGGAGGCGTCGTTGTACCACGACGTCGACGAGCCAGGTTGCAGTAGGTAATGTGGAAGGGCCAAAGGTGTCGGAACACGAGCTCCACCGTTGACGAGTCGTCCATCACTCGCCCGCTTGCGTCGAAAGCGCATCATTACCTCGCGGAGAAGCACCTTGGTCGAGCTTGCTGTCGCACGCAAGGTACTCGCCGGTCGTGGCCGAGATTCGTCGCACTTGTTTCGTGAGCATGCGTTAATACCGTACGGTGAGCTGTGCTGGTACATCCCTTTGAATCGCCGTGGCGACGGCGAAAGGCCGTGATTTTGCAGCTGTGCATGTACAGACTGTCTATCATCGAGCAAGAGGCGATGACGCGTGGGGACACCCTTGCCGCCTCGCAGCCAAGTGGGCAGTCGGGGGCTGGCGACAGAAACGTGGGTGGGCGCGAGCGAGTTCCGGGACTTGGCCACGATGCTTGCAACGCATTTGATTGGCTACATTTATCTGATTCGAGCGAATCAAACGCCGGGAATGAGAAAGTGCAATCCAATCCTCCTCCATGTCAATTGCCAAAACCATGGCCGCCCAGCAGACCATCATGCACGTGTGGCAGCAGCCCGCGGTCGCGCTCGAGGTGACGCGCTACATGACGTCGCCCGACGACGTCCTCAACTTCCTCCACGCGCTGCCCCACTCGGCCCTGGACGACGTGCTCTGGGCGCTCCTGCGGCTCTTCGACGTCGTGCGTCACGACGCCGTGTGGCCCGAGGTCGACCTCGCCGCCGTCCCCGCCGTCGCGCGCGGCGTGTTGCAGCGAGCGCTGCCGGCGATTCCGGTGATTCGCGTGAGCAAGTACGTCGACAGCTGCGGCCTCGTGCTGCCGCCGACCGTGTCCGTGGTCGTCGACCATGCCAGCCGCGCCCAAGATGCCCGCGCGAGCCCGCGGCCGCGCACCGTGATCATGCTCCCGAGTGCGTTCTACGACTGCCCGACCAAGGTCGTCGACGTCACCCTCGACCTCTTGCCTGAGAACAACGAGGCCATGTGCCGCGCGCTCACCTTTTGCACCAACGTCCGCACGGCCAAGGTGACATGGGACGAGGTCGACCAGCCGGCGATCGACGACTTTCTGGGCATGATGAGAGGTGACTGACCGCGTGCAGCACGTGCACTTCCGCTCGACGCAGTATGAAGCGCCGCTGCTCGATGACATTCGCGGCTTCTACACGTGGCTCAGCGCGTCCCACGTCACGTCCGTGGTATTTGAGGGCATTGATTTCTCGCCGCGCGGCGCCGTCTTCCTTGCGTACGCGCTCCTGCAGTCGCCTACCGTAAAGCGCTTGGACCTGCGGGACGTGCCGAACCTCACGCGCGCCTTTGTGGCCGCGAACCTGCCCTCGCTGCCTGCGTTGCCGCCCTTGCCGTCGCACCTCACGACGCTCCGCCTCCGGCTCCAGCACTGGGACGCAGACCTCGTCGACGCGTGGGCCAAGAAGCTGGAGAAGGCGCATCTCACCGTGCTCGAGATGGACGCGGCGTCCATGACCGGCGCGACCAGTCTTGTGGCCGCGGCCGCCACGATGCCGCGCCTCACCGACCTCCTGGTGGCGGGCGACCATGTGCAGGAGCTCCCACGGCTCTCGCACTTGCGCCACCTTGATCTAAGTCGCTGCTCGTTTTCGAGCCACGCGTTCCATGGCCTGACGCAGCTCCTCGAGACGACGACGAGTCTGCAGACGCTGAGCTTGCGACGCGCGACGCTGACCACGTGCCAGATCTCGGCGCTCGCCGACGTCCTTCCATCGTGGCTGAGTCGGTGCGGCACGTTTCTGGACCTCTCGCATCTCGAGTTGGGCCAGCTCGACCGGCTGCGGTCATGTCTGTACATGCTTTCGGGGATGAAGAGCCCGTTGCGGCCGACGTTGCTGGCACTTGGGCATATTCGGGCCATGGTGCTCGCCTCGGCGCTGGCGCAGCTCCGGCCGTCGCATGCCGTTGTCCTGGATCTCAGCCACAATAAGCTGCCAGAGCTCGCGCTGCGCGCGTGCATTCTAGCACTAGCGACGTGCGAGCGCGTGACGCTCGATTTGCGCGCGAACGAAGCGCGCTGGGACGACGTCAAGGCCAAGGCCAAGCTCCTGAGCGTCCGCGCAGTCGCCAACGGCGTGTTTGCGTCGCCCGAGACGACGCACGCGTACTTTACCTCGCCGCGCCGCCCGAGCTCGTACACGTAGATTCACGAGTGGTACTATATAAGGTTGGGTAATTATGTCGTATGAGAAAAGCACTGGCACTGACCCAGTTTGGACGCCGGTCGAACGACGTCGGCGAGGTCCTCGCGCAGTGGTCCCTTCAAGTCGAGTCGGGCACCGCAGGCTCACGTGGCAGTGCCGTGTCGTCAGGAGAACCGGCAGCGCTGCGTGGGACGGTGCGATGACCGTAGTCCCGAGTTCTTGAATCGAGCCGTTGGCTCCGCATTTTGTGTTTTGCGGTCTCTACGCCATGCCGCTCGATTGGACGATCGACGCTGAGCAGCGCGGTCTGGCCGCGTGGCTCCGCCAGCGCGACGACAATGCGCACCGGAATCTGCTGACGTATACAGATCGCCTGCTGCTCAACCAGGTCATCCACGCCAACTCGCTTCGTGGAGGCTCCACGTACTACGAGCACGGCTGCGACGCGCGTCGGAAACGGAGGAGGCAACACCTTGCAACGAGATACGGCGGTGTATCTGCGTCAGCGCGACACTAATTCGTGTTCGCGATGGCTGACGCTGGACGATCGCCAGTTCCTCGATCGCGTCGTTCTCGATGCGTCGCTGAGCCAGAGTCCGCACTACGACGCCCGCCTCTCGGTCCTTGCAACGCGTCTTGGTGTCCGCGACCCAGTTGTCTTCTACGTGCCCACACACAGAGCTATCCAGCGGCAAGACCGAGAGCGGGAAGAACGAAAGCTTTTCGACCTCGAGTGGCGGCGCCAACAAGCGCAGCACCAGACGTTCGTCGCCGCCGCCGCCGATCCTTCGCCCGCATGGTGCTCACTGCTCTAGGTCCGAGACGCTACGGGCTCCTCTCTTTTGTTTGTTTTCGTAGTGGGCAGGCCACAGTTTGGTACTATAAGCATACATCTATGACGCGACTGTTGCAAACTGGGATCGTGTGTCAGTCGTCGTCAGAACGCGGTGACCTCGCTTGACCTGTCGTGCTGCCAACAACAAGGTATCTGAACTTGCTGCGATCCATGGCTGCATGCATTTGCCAACGACCAGCCCCTGGTGACTGAGTTTCCTGTGCATACATCGGGGTGTCTGCGCGGCTATAGTCGACGCGCTGCGCCTTGTGAGCGAGTGCTGTCGCCATGGGGGCCCGAGCGCTGGTCTGTGGGCCTTGTCGATCTCGACTCGAAAGATGGCGATGGTTTCTATAGCAAAGAGTCTAGCGTAGCTTAAGGAATGTGGTCCATCTGGGGTGGTCACAGCTGTTTTGCGGACCCGACAACAATCCGGCAACACGTGAGGTGTGTTGGATTGTTACGTTGATGGGGACCAGGGTCAATTCCCATCCCTTGATGCACGTCAGCCAGCAGCCCGTGATCGCGTTTCAGGTGACGCGCTGCCTGGCGTCGGCATACGATGTTCGCCACTTCTTGCTTGCGCTCTCCGCCACGGCCTTGGACGACTCTCTCCGCGCGCTCCTTCAGCTCTTGGAGACGGTCGCGCCATCGCTCGTCTGGCCCCAAGTCCATTGCGGCGCTCTGCCTGCCTCTGCGCGCGGGCTTCTTCAAACGGCGCTGCCAGTCATCTCCATACTCCGCATTCCCCAATTCTGGCCGCACCGTCTCTTGTTGCCACCGACCATGTTGGTTGTCGTCGACGACACATCCCACGGCTCGCCTCTGGCAAACCACGTTGGACATGACGCAAGCCGACTTGGCAGCTCGCTCACCGAGTATGCAGCCTACATCATTGACGTGACGCTCTTCATGCCACTTGGAGAAACCACCGCCTTGTGTGCTGCGCTCCGTGCCTGCTGCAACGTTCGGCGCGCCAACTTACTGTGGGAAGAAGTCGACCAAGCCGCGCTCGATGCGCTAATGGCCATGATGACTTTGTCGTGGCCTCACCTGAAGACCCTGCAGCTCGGTTCCGAACGCCGCTCGGAGCGTTCGTGGATTGATGACGCCGGCAGCGTCTGCCGATGGCTCGCGGTTGCGCGCGTGTCGTCGATCACGTTTCAGGCGATCGAGTTTCTTTCCCGAACGGCCTCTATCGTTGTGGATGCGCTGCTGACATCGCCGACGCTCGTCGCACTGCAGCTTATGAACGCTGTGTCGCTGACCATTCTGTTGGCGAACGGCCGCGCGACGCCCGACCGACTGACGACGCTGCAGATTCGCCTCCCACGCTATCCGGTCGGGGGCTTTGTCGCCAAGTGGGCGGCCAAGCTCCGAGGCGCGCGGGCGCTTCGCGAGCTCGTGATCGAAGGCGAGATGCCGAGCATGTTACAAGCGCTGGCGACCGTGGACAGCTTGCGATGCCTCCAACATCTGACGATCAGCAGCGACGTCGATGACCTGCCATCGTCCCTCGATCGACTGCGCCACCTCCGTTTTGTGAACTGCACGTTGGCACCGATGGCCTTGACATCACTCGTGACGATCTTGCAATCGACGAGCTCGCTGCAGACGCTCGGCCTCGATCACGCGAGCCTGACGCCGAGTCAACTCGATGCGCTGTGCAGCGTCCTGCCCCAGTGGCTCGGTCGCTGCGGGACGGTGTTGGACCTCACTGGCAACGATGTTGGCGAAGCAGCCAGCTGGCGCCGCTCGAGCCACTATGCGCTTTCCGGCTCCAAAAGTCCGTTGCGGTGGAAACTACTGGCGCGTGGACTTGTCCGAGTGCTATCGCTGGCGTCGACGATCACCCAAATGCATTGTCCGCACGCGGTGACAATACATCTACGCAGCAACGGACTCTCGCACCTCGCTCGACGCGCCTGTGTCATGGCCTTGGCGTTGAGTAAGAACGTGATGCTCGACCTGCAAGACAACAAGGACGCTACGTCTCGAGGTGACGAGACCAGTGGAGACGACGACGATCAAGACATTACAGCACTGGCCACGTCGCTGGGTCTGCAGTCGCTGGCGCCAGACGTCTTCACGTCCTGATGACGACGCTTGGTGACGCTCACATTCTTGACAGCGCCTCGGCTCGTTTTGGACAATATTTGTGTGATGCACACAATAGAAGCGTGTGCTTGGTTCTACAACCATGTTGCCCCGTTTACGGCGCAGGGTTGTTAACGACGCTGCCATTGCACGTGGGTACCAAATGATGAGCTCGGTGCCGGGTGACGTAGACGCAGAGCAACCTAGAAATGGGATGCTGCTAAACTGGACCATGGCTTGTCCACACGTCAGGGTTATGTTTGCTGTAGCGGCATGTATATTTTGTTGTTTGGTTTAAAGATACCTCGTTGCTGTCTGGTTCGAGCGGCCGTTGCATGGTCAGCGCAGTGCTGAGGGTGCGCTGCTAGAGCCATCCAAAGTACCACAGGACGAGAGTGCATGCAGCCATGGGCATGGCATGGTCCGCGTACGACGGGGCCAGAAGACTGCAGACGATGCTGCCGACAAGCACGCAGGTCACACAGCTAAGGCTCAAGAACCAGTACCCGAGCACGTAAAGCACGGCGAGTGCAACCATTCGCAGTGCTTGAAGTTGTTGACGTTTAAGCTCGCGCTGCCGTTCAAGCTCGCGCTGCCGTTCAAGCTCTCGCTGTCGTTCAAGCTCGCGCTGCCGTTCAAGCTCGCGCTGCCGTTCAAGCTCGCGTTGGCGCTTTGCTTCTCGATACGAGTTGTAGGTCCTATATGCGGCAGAGCCGAGAGCGCCGATGGCACCGACGACCGCGACCATGGCACCGAGGTTGTCTAATGCCGCGCTGTTGCCCGCGTCCGATCTGGACCGATGGCGACGAGCGTTAGGATAGTCGGACGCAACGCCGTAGCGCGTCGCCAGTGACAGCAGACGGGCTTTCACAGCTGGGCTGTACTCCAACGACTCGTCGTGAATGACTTGGTTGAGAAACTGTCGGTCGCTTAGCGCCAAGAGCGGTTGGCCACATTTTTTCTCGCGTTGTCGTCGAGCTGGCGAAGTTGAGCCGCAAGGCCGCGTAGATGGACGCTGGATTGCATCTCCTTGCGGTCCGCGTGCTCGAGGTCGAGGTCTGCCCCAAAACCTGCAATAGTGTATGAGTCTGCGTCAAATTATAATAATTCGCCGGTTTTTTACCAATGACAAGGAAGCACTCGACTGGATATATATACGTACCTTGACGACCAATCAGAAGAAACCGCCCATCGCCATCAGCAATGCGTATCCTCGAGGATGACAGCACCGACGTGGTTGGTCGCATCCGAGATGAGCAACGCCATCCTCATGGTAGTTGGTCCCTCTCGGGAGATTCCGGATGCTGACAACGGCGTCGATGCGGCTCAAGCAGGCGGTCGCGGCGCTGGTGGTCGAGGTGCTCACGGTCGAGGAACTCATGGGTGTGCGGCTACGGGTCGTACGGCTGATCGCGGAGAAGCCGTGCACCGTGTCGCCGGAGGCGGGGCTGGTCGCGGTGCCAGCGGGCGCAGGACTTTCTAACTGCGTCCAAGCGAGTCGAATTCGACGACGTTGCAAAGATGCGTGGAAGCATTGGATTGTTGGTGCGTACTTGAGTCTTGTCTTCTTCATCCATCCAAGCAAGTGTAGAGCGTGTAGTTCAAGCTGCTCAACGACGACTTTGCTGCAATGTTTGAAACGCGATACATGGAATGTTGTTCCAATTATGTTGACAATTTCCCCCCGTTCAGCTTTGCATCGGTCAAGATACAGACAATCATCATGACCTTCCATACCATGAAGGGGAAAATCACGTTGTGAGGGCTTAAGGAAGCCATCGGCATCTTCCACAAGCGCCCGGACGACTGCACCCTCCTCACGGCACGGCGATCCCGCTCCAGGCGTGGCTCACGATCTCGCTTCGTCCCGAGTTCAAGTTCATCCAGCGGACCGTGCTCGATGGACCATCGACCCAACCGACGTGTACATCGACAAGATGGTGGAAGGTCCTACGCTCCGTTGTCGACGAGGTGAATTGACAGATCGGCAACTGCTCCGACGGGCTTTTGTCACGCGCCAGGAGGGCCGCTGCCGGGAGATACGCGAGCATAGTTTGTTAAATACAAATCCCATGACAGAGTATCCATCGAGAGTACTTTTCCTTTGATGCGCGTCGAAGGTCATCGTTCTCGACAGCTCTTCAAGCGCAACGACGACCATCACTTAACCGCAGGTTCCCGTGTCAGGTCGACCACCATTCCAAAATGAGAATGTGTGCGATCTTTGCGCTCGTCGCATGTCCACCAGCACCCCAAATCCCCAAGGTAGCGTTCCCAGCATCTTCGCGGGTCCGTCACATACGACAGCGCAAGGTCACAAAACCTGTCTTCGACATCCTCACTTTTCCATTTCCCGAAAACAAACAAACCACCTCCCGCATCTCGCAAGCCCTCTCATCGCATCATGGTACAAGCCGATCAACAGCAACCCATGTCCTATGAACCTCGTGTCTAGGTCAATTTCACGATTGCCCAGCTCCACGCCCTCATGTCGACGCCGGCCAACGTCCGCAACATCTCTGTGATTGCGCACGTCGACCACGGCAAGTCCACGCTGACCGACGCCTTGGTGGCCAAGGCCGGCATCATCTCGCACGGTGCAGCCGGCGGGGCGCGCTACACCGACACGCGCGACGACGAGAAGGACCGCGGCATCACCATCAAGTCGACGGGTCTCTCCATGTACTTTGAGACGGCCAAGGGCGACCCGCTCCTTGTCAACCTGATCGACTCGCCCGGTCACGTCGACTTTTCGTCGGAAGTCACGGCGGCGCTTCGTGTCACGGACGGTGCGCTCGTCGTCGTCGACGCAATCGACGGTGTGTGCGTCCAGACCGAGACGGTTCTTCGCCAAGCCATGGCGGAGCGCGTCAAGCCCGTGCTCATGGTCAACAAGGTCGATCGGGCGCTTCTCGAACTCCAGCTCGAGCCGGAGGAGTGCTACCAGTCGCTTCGCCGCGCCGTTGAAAGCGTCAACGTCGTCCTTTCAACGTGCGCGGACGCAGCCCTCGGCGACGTTCAAGTGTATCCGGATGTTGGCAACGTTGCCTTCGGGTCGGGTCTCCACCAGTGGGGCTTCACCCTCGCGACGTTCGCCAACATGTACGCGGCCAAGTTTGGCATGGACGCCGCCAAGCTCGCGCCCAAGCTCTGGGGCGACTGGGGCTACGACCAGGTGCGCAAGGTCTGGACCACGCGGCGCGATCCGTCGTTCCCGCGCGCCTTCGTGCAATTTGTGCTCAACCCGATCTACCAGCTCGTCGACGCCGTCATGAAGCAGCAGCCAAAGAAGCTGGCCAAAATCCTTGCCTCCATCGGTGTGTCCCCGAGTGTGCTCGTGGATGCGGACGGCAACGCGCTTCTCGAGCGCAAGCTGCTCAAGCGCATCATGCAAACGTGGCTGCCGGCGAGCGATGCGCTCTTGAGCATGCTCGAGACGCACCTTCCGTCGCCGGTCGTCGCCCAGCGCTACCGTGTCGACACGCTCTACGACGGTCCCCTCGACGACGAATGCGCCGAGGGCATTCGCAACTGCGACGTCAACGGTCCGCTCGTCATGTACGTCTCCAAGATGGTGCCGACGTCGGCGGATCGCACGCGCTTCTACGCGTTCGGCCGTGTCTTCTCGGGCAAGATCGCCACGGGCCAAAAAGTGCGGCTCCTCGGGCCCAACTATGTGCCTGGCAGCAGCACCGATCTCTGGGTCAACAAGACGATCCAGCGCACGGTCGTCATGATGGGTCGGTCCGTCGAAGCGATGCCGGATGTCCCTGCGGGCAGCACGTGCGGCCTCGTCGGCGTCGACCAGTACCTCCTCAAGACCGGTACGATCACGACGTCCGAGACGGCCAGTACGATTCGCACCATGAAGTTTTCAGTCTCGCCCGTCGTGCGCGTCGCGGTCGAGCCCGAGTCGCCGGCCGATCTCCCCAAGCTGCTCGAAGGCATGAAGCGCCTCGCCAAGTCGGACCCGATGGTGCTCTGCTACACGGAGACGACCGGCGAGCACATCATCGCGGGCGCGGGCGAGCTCCACCTCGAGATTTGCCTCCACGATCTCCAAGAGGACTTTATGGGCCGCACGCCGCTGCGAGTGAGCAACCCGGTGGTCACGTACCGTGAAACCATCACCGCACCGAGCGCGACCCTTTGCTTGGCCAAGTCGAGCAACAAACACAACCGACTCTTTTGCGTTGCCGAGCCGCTGAGTGGCGCGCTCGTCGCCGCGATTGAGGCGCGCGAGATCGTCATGGCCGACCACACGGACCCCAAGATACGCGCGCGGTACCTCGCCGACGAGCACGGGTGGGACGTGCTCGATGGCCGCAAGATATGGGGCTACGGCCCCGACCACCTCGGGGCCAACATCTTTGTGGACCAGACCAAAGGCGTCGCTAATACGCTCGACATCCGCGACGGCGTCGTACGTGGCTTCCAGTGGGCAACGTCCCAAGGTGTCCTCTGCGACGAAGTGGTCTCGGGCGCCCGTGTCAACCTCGTCGACGTTCTCTTCCACTCGAGCGCCGCGCACCGCGGGACGGCCCAGATCCTCCCGGCTGCGCGGCGCGTCGTGCACGCGTGCCAGCTCGCGTCGTCGCCGGCGTTGCTCGAGCCTGTCTTTATGGTCGAGGTACAGTGCCCGCAAGACGTCATTGGCGGCGTCTACTCGGTGCTGCACCTTCGCCGCGGTGTCGTGATTGGCGAGGAGCCCAAAGCCAACGGCATGCTCCACCTGCGCGCACACGTGCCGGTCGTCGAGTCGTTCGGGATCACCGAGGCGCTCCGAGCCAAGACGGGCGGGAAGGCCTTCCCGCAGTGCTGGTTTGACCACTACAAGGTCGTTGAGGGCGACCCGCTTAGCCCCGCAACCTTGGCCGGCAAGCTTGTCGCGGCCACGCGTCTCCGAAAAGGCCTTCAGCCAGACATGGCGAGCTTCGACCAGCTCAACGACCGATTGTAGGTCGACGAGCTAGCTCCCTTCACACGCGTATCAGTAATCTAAAATCTTACTTTATTCTATCCATATAGCGTTCGGTGCCAACCCAGGGATATCAATTGATCGATCGATCGATCGATCGATCGATGGATAGATAGATTCAAGTTCGAGCTACAAGAAACGGTGGACAAGGCAGGCTACATGACAAGTCGACTCTATTTTAGATCTTTACTATTTGATCAGAACCTTCTCCATGGCTTCGTGGGGAATCCCGACCTCGTCAAAGGGCTCGCCGAATGTCGTGTACCCAAGCTTCTTGTAGAACGGGACGGCGGAGGCGCGCGAGTGGAGCTTGATGTGCGAAAAGCTTTTTTGCAGCGCGATAGACTCGAGAGCTTCGATGAGGATGCGCCCGAGGCCCTTCCCGTGCATGTTTGGCTGCACTGCGACTTGCTTCATCCACGCGATGCCGTCGACGCCAGGACGCAGCATGGCGGTCGCGAGAAGGGCCTCTCCGTCAAAGAGCCCCACGTGAATGTCCGAGCCTTCCTTGGCCAGGACGTTTGGATCAAACTGCATACCCAGCGGCTTTCGCAGCACCTCGTAGCGCAGCGCCACCGCTGCATCGTACTGCGGCGATCCGAACGTGATCTCGACACCTTGCATCTCGACTAGTGAAGATGCGAGAGGAACAGGGGCCGAAAACCATCTGCGTGGCTGAAGACACGCAACCTCCCGTCTCTCCCAGCGCTGCCGACGGCGACTTTCGGAACGAAGCAACCTTTTTGACAGTATTCCCAACACCACGATCATGTCTGTAGTCGACATGAGCACTAGCCTATTCTAGCCCAGGGGTGTACCCCTGGTCTAGCCTCACTTGACGTGTTCAAATGACCTTGATGTGGCTGCTCACGTTGCCTTTCTCCAACGTATCTTGTTCAACGCTCTTCAAAGCACGTCAACACCTCGGTAGCCTTCAGATTGACAGCGCAACTCTTTCGACTTTTGGCGGGAAGCGTTTGTGGATTGCCTATCCCGCGCTTTTCACCGACGATAAGTTTGTCCGCGAGCCTCGCACCAGCCTCTCACCGTCGTACATTGAAACTGCATTCTTAATGGAGTCGCTCGTGAGCTCTCTACGCTGTCGTTACCCTACGAAGCTTGACAGGACGGAACCAAGGACATTCAATACGCTCTGATTTGACTTCCATACGTGGCGCCTCCACGTTGATTGGGTCAACGGCAAACGGCAAAGCGGTGCCGATCTTTCCTTATCCGGATATACGGATAAGCAACACCGGTGGTTCGAGAGAGCGTGGATTTTGGCGCGCGCCAACACCAGGTGCATCCGAGATTTAATTGCGCGCGTGCAACTGTATCTTGTATTTGGTATTCTTGGTCTGTCCCAATAAAAGGACCGGTATTAAAATACCATCGCGCAGTTCCTCATCAAACCTGAATTCCGACGCTGCCCATGGCGCCGACGGCCGAGACCAAGATGGAGCTCATCACGCCCGAGGTAGACGGCCGCGTGGAGGAGACGAGCATGGACGCGAGCCTCGAGCTGACGGTCGATGCCAAGCTCAAGCAGGTCGAGGACGAGCTCGCCAGCGCGCGCGAGGCGGAGGACGACGCGACGGCGCCCGCGGATGGCCTCGACGGGCTCTCGTACAGCAAGCGCGTCCAGAAGCTCGACTCGCTCCTCGAGAAGGCCGGTGCGTACTCCAAGTTCCTCCTCGCCAACATGGACGCGCCGCTGCCCGAGACGACGCCCAAGAAGGACTCGAAGAAGCGGCGCAAGACTGAAAAGCAAGGCGCGACCAAGCTCCAGAAGATCAACGAAGCGTCGGCTGCGCACACCGTCGCCGAGATGAACTTTAAGCAGCCGAGCTTGCTCACGGGCGGAACGCTGCGCTCGTACCAGCTCGAGGGCATCCAGTGGATGTGCAACCTCTTTGAGAACGGGCTCAACGGCATCCTCGCCGACGAGATGGGTCTCGGCAAGACGGTCCAAGTCATTGGCATGGTCGCGCAGCTCAAGGCCAAAGGCGTGACCGGGCCGTTTTTGGTGGTCTCGCCGCTCTCGACGCTCGCCAACTGGGAAAACGAGTTCAAGCGCTTCACGCCGTCGATCCCGTGCTTGGTGTACCACGGCAACGGCGCCGAGCGCCTCGAAATGCGCAAGAAGGTGCTTGGTGGCCGTGGGAAGCAAGCGAATTCTGACTTTCCAGTCATCATCACGTCGTACGAAGTCATCATCCGTGACGCTAGCGCGTTCACGGCCCTTGGGTACGTCTGGAAGTACATCATCATTGACGAAGGCCACCGCCTCAAGAACATGAACTGCCTGCTCATGCGCGAACTCAAGAAATGCAAGTCGGAGAACCGTCTCTTGCTCTCGGGGACGCCGCTGCAGAACAACTTGAGCGAGCTCTGGAGCCTCCTCAACTTTCTCCTGCCCGACGTCTTTGACGACCTCGCGCTCTTTGAGAGCTGGTTCTCGTCCGGCGACGCGACCGGCACCAACGACATTATCTCCAAGAAGGACGTGCTCAACAACCACAAAAAATCCCAAGTGGTCTCCAAGCTGCACGAAATCCTCCGGCCGTTCGTGCTGCGCCGCCTCAAGCACGACGTGGTCGCGGACGTGCCGTCCAAGACGGAGCTCGTCGTCTACTGCGCAATGACGGAGCTCCAAGAACACTACTACCGGCTCATTGCAGACCGCAAGCTCCAAGGCGAGCTCGAAAAAAGTACGGCAAGCACAACGCCGGTACATTTCCTCGCTCCAAGCCATCATCATATATGTAGCTGAATGGAATGCATATATCGTAGGCGTGCGCGCAGGCTCGGCCAAGAACCTCGCCATGCAGCTGCGCAAGTGCTGCAACCATCCGTTTTTGTTCGACGAAGAGACGGACGCGAATGGCGAGCTTGTGACCGACGAGTCGCTCGTCGAGACGTCCGGCAAGATGATGGTGCTCGACAAGATGCTGCACCGTCTTCTCGACGCCAAGCACAAGGTGCTCATCTTTAGCCAAATGACCAAGGTCCTCGACATCCTCGAAGACTTTATGACGCTGCGGTCGTACGAGTACTGCCGCCTCGACGGCCAGACGCACTTTCGCGACCGCCAGAGCGCAATGGACGCGTTCAACGATCCCAACGGCGGCCTGCAGATCTTCCTGCTCTCGACGCGCGCCGGTGGCCTCGGTATCAACTTGACGGGCGCCGACACGGTCATCCTCTACGACTCGGACTGGAACCCGCACCAAGACAGCCAGGCCCAGGATCGCTGCCACCGCATTGGGCAGACCAAGGACGTGGCCGTCTACCGCCTCATTGTCGAGAATTCGTTCGAGAACCGGATGCTGGAGCGCGCGAACGCCAAGCGCACGCTGGAGCGCGTCGTCTTGAGCCGCGGCGAGTTTTCGTCGCAGAAGAAGAACACGTCCAAGGAGACGCATCTCTCGCTTGACGAACTCGAGGCGCTGCTCAAGGACGACATTGCGATCCGCAAGGAAGCGACGGGCGGCATCACGGACGCCGAGCTCGATTTGATCTGCAACCGCGACGTCGTGGTCGACGCGTTCATCAAACGAACCAAATCAGACGTGGCATCGTCCAGTACCGGGTACTATGTCGTCGAGAACGCCAACGTTGCGAGTATGGAAAGCTTTACATGATCGACCGACGATACGAACCAATATTGTGTACAGCCGATCTCTGCTTCTTCGTCTTCTACTGCCACAAGAGGCGCTGCGACTGGAGAAACGAGGTTAGGAACGTTGGAAAGTGCTGCACGTGGAGCAAGTGGAGCGTCAGGCGGCGCGTCGCCGGCGTATACGCGTCCGAGATGGGCGCGAGCAGCGCATGGACGAGTCTACGCGTGGCATCGTGTGAGGCGATCGACGGTGACGGAGGAGACGCACGCCATGGACACGACGAGGTCGGTGGCATGAATCGGATGCTCAAACTTGATCCAGTGCCAGAGCTAGTACCGCCCAGTTCTTACCATGTTACTTTGTCGAGTCGTAAGTACCTGGGACCGAGCAATCTCGGCTGTCGCCGAGTCTTCGACGCAGTGGTCGAGGACGACGACTCCGTCCTGGCGCCCCCACGCCTCAATGTAGGCGAGGACGACGCGCAAGTTGAACGCGACCGAGTGCATCGTCACGTGGCCACGTGGCAGCGCGAGAAGATCGCGCGGACTCGGCATCGAGGTGGCTTCCACCTCCCGCGGCGTCGCCTGCGCAGCAAAGATCTATTCCCAACTCAACAGCCCGTTCGAGGAGAACGCTTTGGACCTCTTGGACCTCTTGGACGAGCGAAAGATCAAATACCAGCGCGCCGTTGGAGCCGGCGATTGCTTCGTGCGTCTTGGCCTACCGAACTGGGTCAGAGATGGCCCGTCGATGGATCTTGGTACCGCGCGGGTCTTTTGCAGCATCGCAGCGGCCTCCGCCGGCGTGGCCTGTGCGAGAACGAACGGCACCATGCCGGTCGTGGCCGGTGCGCGGCGTCGAGCGCACGTCGCAAGAAGGACGTGCATGTAGTGTCTACAAAGAGCCTTTTTTACGATTTGCAATTCGCCAAGACGAAGACGCACGCTAGGAACGGCGTCTGCATCGACACGTGGGCTTGACGGTCGGGCAGCGACGCCTCACGGAACGACCGAAACTTGCTCAAGATGGACGCAGTGTAGTCCCACATGCCGCAGTTGAGCCCTAACGCGTCGTACACGAACATGCGCACAGCGTCGATGCGAAGAGAACGCACCCGCCGAGTAGTGCCGGAGCGCATACAAGATCGCGTCCATCTCGAACGCCGCCAGAATATGCTCGATGAGCACAACGGCCTTGATCGAATGCTAGTACGAGTTCGTAGAAACTCGCAAAAGGCGACAATCGAGTCACACCAAAGGGACGCCAAGGGTCGCTTCCGTGTACGCAAAGACGCGGGCCCAGAGACCGGCCTCGGCCGCCGACTCGAGCTACGTTGATACATTGATACTTTTGCAGGTACCACGTCGGACCTTGGGCAAGTAGAAAAAGGGACCGCGGCCCGTCGCAACCAAGTGCGCGGCGCTAGACACGGTGATAGCGCAAATGGGATGCGCTTCGTCGATCGTCGTACATGCTACCTGTGAAACATGTGCAGGCCAAAATCAAAGAGGGCGCCGGGCACCGCATGGCCGTGCACCAAGACGTGCTAGTGCGCGGGCGATGCGAATACAACGCAAGCATCGATATGACATACCTCTTCGTCCATGTTCCAGGCGCGTGGCCGCGGTAGGAGCAGCGCCGGCGACGACTGCACGCCTTGCAGCATCCCTCGTGCGGCATGCAGTAGGTTCCAGTGGCCGTGGATGACATTCTTCCACGACGGGCAGTGGCCGTCGTCCATGTCCACTTGAACACCTTGCGCGCCAGAGTTGAGCGCCGCAACGAGCTCGTCCGTGCGCGCTGGCGACGTGTCGCCAATGTCGACGCGGCGATCGCGCAGGACCTCGGGCAACGGGTCGATGGTCCACGCGTCGCCATCGGGGTACGGGCCGTTGCGAAAGACGCATGAAGCGTGCGCCTCGTCGAGGCTACTGCACAGATCGAGCTCGAGCTGGCGCTGGAGGCGTGTTATGTGGAGCGCCCGAACGTCGTCCCGGAACGTATTCGCCAAGCCAGCGAGGAACGCAAGGGCCGGCGGCGGAAGCACCGTCGCGAGCTTGTCGGGGTCGGGCGACGCCGCCGGCGAGGCCTCGCTTGCAACATACACGGCAACGTCGATGGCCTGGAGGTGGGCACGGATGCGTGCGAGTCGGTCCTGCGCTGCCATCGTCAAATCCGAAACTGAGACCGGATACGGTCTTTTGGCCAATCAGACGCGAGATTGGTCGTGGAGCTTCAAGCATGGGCGACGGCGACGACGACGACCGAGGTAGGATGATGATGCTTTCGGGCAGCGATACCTAGGTGCATGTAGCCACGCCCATGCGCAAGATCAACGGCCCGCTTGGCGACCTATGGCGGAAGCGCCATCAGACGCTACAGTACGTACTACTACGGCCGCGACGACGCGCTTACATGAGCGCAGGACCGACCATGGCGGCGCGAGCGCAATGCAACTCCTTGAGAACGCCGACTTTGAGCATGGCCCATGGATCGAGATGTGCCAGTACATGGATCTGAGCCCGACCGAAGGCGTCATCAACGGTAATCGCTCGTGCCGCATCCACGTACTAGTATGCACATCGTCGTCCAGGCGGGATCGACCTCAGCCGGCTGCGCATGAACACGGAGCAGATCGCTGCCGGTTTTCAGACCTCTGGCGTCGTCGAAGAGGTTGCTTGCACCGTCCACTTCTCTGCGGGTTCGAGAGCGCCGTGCGTTAGGACCTTCTGGTGCTCATCCAGTCGGCCAAGTATGTCGACGAAGAAATCATCGCCACCTTCCACGTACGTCCATCTTCTCTCGCTAGTCGAAGTGGCATCTCCTCGTCGGTCCAGGATCCGCTTGGCTCGATCGACGGCTACTTCCACCGCGACGTGGTCGATGCGATTGGCGTCGCGCTGGTTAAGGGCGCGGGCCTCGTGCTCCGCAATGTAATACCTGGCGTCTCCTTCATCGTCGAGACCAACACGATCGTAGGTGACGGTCTTCATGCCAGTGGAGCGGCGGCAGCAGTACTTGAACATTTGCGCGGGCAACATCGTGCATCTCTTTCCCGCGACCGACGCGTTCGAAGAAGAGGTCGCGGCGTTCCATCGCGACCAAGGCGATGCGATCGAGGTCCTCGAAGACAGCTCGCTGGCGGCGACGACGTCGGCGGACCTCGCGCTCATGACGCAGCGCCAAGTGATCCAACGGTCGTCCAAGGCACCGGCGCCACTGCCGGAGACGTCGAAAGGTGGCAAATCCAAAGGCAAGTGGGCGTGGAAGTCGTTCAAGCCGCAGAGCAAGCGGCAGAAAGCCGCGAGCCCCGCCGTCTCGATCGCGAGCTCCGAGAACAACGAGAGTCCGGCACCCGTCATGCAAGCCCAATTAGCACCGCGAGTCCCGCCATCTCTGCCCGCGAAGCGCATGCTACCCATGGCCTCGACGCCTCGGGTCGACGTACATGGCACGCAGGAAGATGAGTCGGGGATTGAAATGTCCATGCCCGACGACCACGACATCGACTTTGCCATGCCCCCGCGCCGCGTGACGTTTACCCAAGCCAGCGCAGCCGACCTACTGAACGACGCGCTCGAAGACGACGACTGGTAACGTGCTGGCGACGATGAGGATGAGGATATGCATTGGGATAAATAGTCGGGTCGTCGTATTGGCTTCTCATCGTTCATGGAGCTGCTGGAGTTCTACGCCATGCACGCATCACAGAAGAGGATATATATGTTGCGGACGCACCTTCGTCGCTGAGGCGGTGGGTGATGGCCAAGAGGCGCATGGTAAACATGAGTTCGATCATCTAGCGCGAAGTAAGACGGAGGAAATGCATCCAGAAGCGGTCGTACGATGACGGCGATGTCGAGGCCGCTGAGGGCTTTACGGTACACGTCCTTCTCTGGGTTGTTGTTCCAGAGGTACACGACGAGGAGGCTGTCGATTGCACACAGCGTCGCAAACTAGGAGCGTCCGCTTGATACATTGATACTTGGACAACGCGTACCACAAAGTATTGTTTGGGGCTAAAGTTGAACACAATCGAGTAGCCAACGATCGAGATGACCATGCGCAGCGGATCTTCGTACGACATGAAGACGAGGAACATGACGAGCTTGACCGTCTACGCACCATCCATCCCGATAAGCCGACAACACATGCGAGGGGAATTGGAGGAGAATGGTCCACCATGTCGACGAAGATGAAGACGCCGAGCCGATGCGCGAGCGACATGAGGCTCTCGAGCAGCGTGAGCTGGCGCGACGCCGCCGGTTCAATGACCGCGATCGGCGAGATTGTACGTCGAAAGTCGTCGTCATCGTCTAGTGCTGGCGTCGACGGAGGCGTGATTGCAAACATGTGCTCGACGAGCTCGGGCGGCACGTCGTCATCGTCCTCGAGCGCCGCCGGCGGCTTGAGACCGCTCGTGCGCTTGAGTGGCGCGAGGCGCAGCCGCGGCTCCTCGAGGTGCGGCGGCAGCGAGCGGTACGCTGTCGTGGTCGCGGCCCGCAGCCGTGGCGGGTTCATATGCAGCGGCAACTGGGGCTCGGACCGACGGGGCATCATAAAGAGCCGCGCGGCCGAGAGGGTGCCTGTCGGATGCGTCGACGCGGCCATACCTGTGGGCGGTCGCGCGTCCGTGTGGCGGCGCGGTGCTGGCGGCGGCGACGGC